ATAGGTATTCTGTGCGACGGAGGGTGGCATATACATGTTGAAGGCGGCGGACCAAAAGGAGCGTTTGGCAGGACAAGCAAAGAAAATTGCTCTGTAGTCTCCATGGATGAATTGCATATAGAGCAGATGGGGTCAGGAGGAGTTTTGAGGCGACTCTGTAGCAGTTCTCTAGTAGCGATCTTGTTATGAAGCACGCGGTACCATGTGTTTCTTGCATTCAAGGGAAGGCGTAAGGATCAAAGCATTTGCCATTTGAAAGGTGCCAGAATTTTTGGTGGAGTCTTCGAGGGAGGTGAGGGAGGAAGGGATTTGAAGCCCTTGGTAGATAGAGGAGCTATCTGGAAAATACAAAATTTGCCTAATCTTGAACAGAAAGAATAAACTGAGCCTGAATCATTTTTGGAGGCGGAATTGCCGCTGGCTAACCTACCACAAATGCCTTTCTTTTGATGACAATAATGTTGATTTCGATGCTGACTAAATGGGATCATGGAATTAAAAGAATAATTGCTTGGCCTGAATACTTCTTTTGGGGAGCTTTTCCTCATGATGGTGTCTTTTGCAATGACAGCATCTCAAAAAAGTTGCAGTCGATGTTACGCAAGTCCTGAATTTACTTAGGACCAGCTTTACGTCGCCATATTATTCAGAGCATCAGCAGCAGTGAATGATATGGCAATGCTATTATCTGAAAAAAATGGAGATTGTGGTTTACAAATGCTGCATAAACCTTGAATTTTTTTTCACAGCGTCTCATTAATAGGCTTCGTTTGATATCAGTGTAAGTAAACAGGGCGCTGAGGGTGATACCTCCTTTCCTCCTCCTCCAGTCTCTTTTTTTTTTGTATTAAGATGTATCTTTATTGCTTTCTCCAGACTCTGATATAACCTTTCTTTCACTAATAGTTGGTTGTTTAATATCAACTTCATATTATGCCAAAATTTTATTATACCTGATTTATTATGTCTCCAGTAAGAGCCTGCAGGATGTCGCCATCGTCATTGAGCGTAGCGAGATTGCATTAAATTCAACATTTGGTAGTATTAGTCTTAATAGGCTTTACCGCAGCCGAGCAAAGGTGTAAAACCGTAGAGTTCAAGCAGTAAATTCGAGTATATATTTCCGCTTTTATAAGTTTACCAGCAACATTTCGCATCAACAAAATTTGCATGAATTAGCTTTACCAAAATCAATATGCCTCCTCTTCGAATTAAAAATTGCGCAACCTACAGAACTGCCCTTCCAGTAAGTTGCAGCTAAGAAAGATGTGATTCATGCTGTGTAAATAAAAGCCATAAAGCAAAAATACAGCCAAATCGGACACTTTTGAAGTCTTCATATCTTGACATGTAGACTTTTCTGAGCCTCCGGAATAATACCAGGCAATTGTACATGAATAGTAGTAACTTCCTGACACCCTTGCTCAACTTTTTGGGTCAAAAAAAAACATGGCCAAAAATCGATCAAAAACCATGAGGGGTACATCATGATTTTCATTGAAAATCAAACAATCGCATTTTTTACCTTAAAAATGATGACTTTTACTATGGCATATACTAATTCAAAGTGTTTCTCTCCACTCAAAGCTACTTCAGAAACCACTTTATGCGGTCTTTGTATGCAAAATTTCGACATTTTGGCCAAAAACCTTATTTCGGGTTTTCTGTGATTGCTCATTAAGTTGAGTCAGAACAAGTATTTTACTTGGCGTCATTGGAAGCGACTTAAAAAGTACTGCAAGAGTGTATTAGGAAGCATTGTATGATTATTGCAATTTATATAGTTGAATATCTCAAAACAAATTAAGGAAGTCAATCTTGAACAGAAAAAATAAACTGAGTTTGAATCAATTTTGGTGGTGGCGGTATTGCCGCTGGCTGGCCTAGGTGTCTTTTTGTTGATCACAATGACGATTGTGATGCTTGTGGAATACATCCACTATGATCTGCATTCCGACAGTTCATCCAGTTACCAGATTTAGATATAAACTGTATGTACACTGGATTAGATGTACGATATCGATTTATACTATAAGAAGATATGGACTTCAGATACGCTAGTACTATAAGATTCATACTATATAAGATATAGGCTATAGATGGCACCACGGACATGGATGGCACTATAGACTTATACTTGTATTCCGACATTGACTACGGATGTTTACCATATCTGGATAGGCACCAAGATTAATGCAATATGAGCTTGTTGCTTCAGATGTGCACTTTATGATCCACGCTATGAGACACATGCTTATATCCGTGATACTAGCTACAGATACTTTATGTACTACAGACTTGTACTATATATGAGACATGCTATAGACATGCATACGATATGCTATAGACATGCCAAAGATGTATGCTCAGCAATATACACTCAGATATGTACTATTGATATAGACTAAAAAGACTGTACCTATCGGATACATGCTACTAGATCGATATTAATTATCCTTATAGAAAGAATAGATCAGGGTACTTTGGATGAGAGTCTAATTATTCATCCAGGCTAAGCTAAATCATGATTAGCTTGCTGTAGCTGTCTTTTAGCATGATTAGACATTAGTTGATCTGAGTTGACTTATTTGTCAATCTAATTAATAGAGCTTTTATCCATTGTTACAGTATTTAAGAAGGATCATCTACCTGGCCAGTAGAGAGACTTTAGTTTACTTTACACCTGTCAGTTTGATAATAAACATACCTGTATCAAGTTGACTTCATTGTTTTTTATTCTTTTTTTTCCGTGAATTTTAGTCTTATAAAGCCTCAAATTCCACAAAATGCGCTATTGCTTGAAGCTTTGGCATAACTCTATCATGAAATATTGACAATCTAGTCCTGAACAAAAAATCGTTCCCAGATTTTTTGCTTGCTTTTACACGCAGATTTTGAACAAAAATCGATAATTTTGCATGATACCCTTTTTGGTGATATCTCGACAAATATTCATTGGATTTGCACAGGGCAAATACCATACGGTAGCTCTGCGCTATATCTACTTTAATCTAAAGGCTTGAAGTATCAGATGTTGTACGTTTTCTTCATAAATTTGCTCAAAATGATATATTTTATGAGCTACAAGCAGAGGATTTATGAAACTTTTATCGTTTCTCTATAAAAACCATACTATCGTATAGAAAATTGAAAAATAAACAGAAACTACTAAGCTTAAAGCTCTCGTTCGCTTAGTAAGATCTAACGGTATGGCCCTTTGAAAATAGGTCATTTGGAATATTTTCCCACATTACTCATCCATATTACCCTGAATAGCCCCACTTTAGGCACGCCCTACGCAATCAAAGTACTCTCTACAACTTTTAATACACATTCATTCCACATTCATATAGTAATTTAAAAACTTTCACTAGCAGCATCTATTTAAAATTATCTTTTTTCTAAAAATTACTCTTTTCTCAACAACCAAACTTTCTACAAAAATTTCAATTGCATCATCGTTTAAAGGGCAAAAAATTGGTATTGGAACATGCTAGTTTCAAGGCTCTAACATCAATTTTTCAAAAATCAATGTTCAATCGTCCAAAAGTTGAAAACCTCAAAATCAAAAAACATCTTGTACATCCAGGTCCTCATAGGTAGAAAAAATCAGAATCTCATCAAACTTAAATATGTTGTAGAATAATGATATTGGAGCAACTTTTAAGTGGGAATATTATATTGGAAATGCATACTTCATGAGATAATCAACATTGGAGATGCTATTTTTAAGCGGGGGAATATACATATTTTAAATTGGAAACGCTATTATTCTTAAATAAAGCAAGCTACAGTTGTCTAGCCTTGACAACAAAATTCTTCAACATGTCAGGTATCTATTGATAACTTAAAACCAACAAGTTAATGTGGCCAGATTTTGCATACGAAAGCCTCAGAAACGGTGTTTCAGAAGTCGTCATAAGTACATTCAAAACATACATCGTCATTAGCATCATTGAATGCGCCTTGAAATGTACTCCAAGACAGCTTAAGGGAGCTCAGAAAAAAAGTATAATGTCTATAGTCGAATCCTGCAAAATATATTGAATAAGTCAGAAATTCCTATTCGAGCGAAAGAGTCCAGCGGAACTCAAGCCCGTTTTGGCTGCTGCTTGCTGACAAAATGATGTTTCTCTAAATCATGGATATAAGCAATGTTGATGAAGCTAATAGAAAGAAGATTCTGCGTCGAGGTAATTCCATACCTCAAACTAACAAACGTTTCTTGATCTTGATATACATATACATATTTGGTAGATTTAAATGTTGTAATTTACACCTCTCCAAATGTGAGATGCAAAATTGACACTTTACTACTCAAGATTGGATACGATGCAGTGTCTCAAGTATTACGGCTTCTGTGCTTTCAATTGAGTTATCTGTAAGCCAATAGTAGTACTGTATATGGTATGGAGCAATAAAATAGATAAGTTTGTCTAGAAGAACCACTCTATAGCAATGTAATGGTCATCATAATCTTATATTATTATCAAAGATTCTCGGTCAATCAACGCCACTCTCATCAATAATAGAGTTAACGAATAAAGCAAGGCTATCACTGAGATTCAGCAAGGGCTAGTTAGGTATATACAATCCTAAAAACCTATGGAGATGTTTGATTTGCTCCGCAGAAAATTACAGGTGAATCTTCGTGCTAATGAGCAAGACATTGCGTAGTACCCGGGTCCATAATCATCTATCTCCTCTCTGGTTGAGGTGTGACCACAGTACATCAGCCCATTCAACAATACATGCTCTTTTTTTTTCGCTTCTCTCTAAGGATGGGAGTATTCTGTCAGAAATATGAATTCTCAAGTCTTGACTGAAGAGGTATAATTGCGTTTACGCTTTCAAAGGCAGATTGCATAGTAGATGTTGCCCGCACTCATGACGTGGTACGAGTTTTACATTTTGAAGTACTACTATAAAACCGCAACTCGTCTTTTTGTTTGCTTGTTTCTCTTCTTCAAGTTTGCTATTAGAAACTAAATTATTCAGCAATGAGCGCTCAAAAGAAAGCTATCGTATTCCTATGTGAGGGTGCAGAGGAGATGGAATTCACAATCTCAGGTAGGTCATCCTTAAATGCTTTTCATGATATGACGATGGCTAAATGGATGAGTCCAGTCGATGTATTGCGTCGTGCTAAGGTAGAGGTAACAGTCGTTGGCGTTGAGCTTGCTAGCGATGCTGCTGTTTGCAGCCGTGGCGTAAAGATTACTCCTGATGTCAAGTTCAGTGAATCCCTTAAGGCTGTAAGTTGTTGAAAGGTTGTTATCAAAAACATCCGAACCCTAAAATTTGACGATAGGATGACTATGATGCAGTGATTATTCCTGGTGGCAATGGCAGCGCAAAGACATTGAGTGCTCATGAAGGTGCCAAAAAGTTGATCATGGATTTCTACAACAGCAAGAAGATTGTTGCATTTGTTTGTGCTGGAACTCTAGTAGCAAAAGCAGCTGGTATTCCTAGCAAGCATACTGTTACTTCATATCCTGCTGTCAAGGGGCAATTAGACAATGGTAAGTGTTCAGCTCCTCTAATGTTCTGATGCATGTACGAGTAACATTGGATCTCTATTAGTCTACACTTATTCTGAAGATCGTGTCGTTGTCGATGATAATGTCATCACCAGTCGCAGCCCAGGAACTAGCTTCTTGTTTGCTTTGACTATTGTCGAGCAGTTGGTTGATGTCAAGGTAAGTTCACTCAAACTCATTTAAAATTACAACTTGTGTAGTAACATTGAATCTTGATTTTAGACTGCCAATCTTCTTAGAGATGAAATGCTCACTTGCTCTTCTTTGTAATTAAATAAATAACTTATATTGGTCTTTTCATATATATATATAAAAAAACTGACTTGTCGAAGCTTCAACCTTGATTGACGTTAATGCACGTTGTTTCAAGCTTGTCATAATGATGAGTGGATGATTGTACTGCTACCAAGATCCGAGTTTATAGTAAACATGTGACTTGAGAAACCTGATCCGGGTCTCCAAACCTGTTTGGAATCTCTGTGTCAAATACACCAACACACCAAGCCTAGCAAAGATCCTTCCTTTAATCACTTCAGCCAGTCGCCATGGTAAGAAAGACAATGCCATTGCACCAACAACGCATCCAGAATGACAATCAATACGTGATGTATCCAATAAAGAGGATGGATGGATGAACAGATTCGTAATTTTCTCTTATTTGGCTATATGCATGGATGGATGGGATTTCTGACTGATACGCCACAAATCGAATTGTTTTTTCCTAATACCTATTACGATATTTCATAGCCTTTCGTTAAGCAACAGAAGAACAAGGCCTACTTCAAGCGTTACCAAGTCAAGTATCGTAGAAGAAGAGGTAATTCATAAGAGGACCTTCTTGGAAATGTGAAGAGTATCATGCTCACGTATTTGCATCAATTTAGAGGGTAAGACCGACTACTATGCTCGTAAGAGACTCGTCGTTCAAGCCAAGAACAAGTACAACTCTCCCAAGTACAGATTGGTCGTCCGTTTCACCAACAAGGACATCATCTGTCAAATCATCTACGCCAAGCTCCAAGGTGATTTCGTTCTCTCTGCTGCCTATGCTCACGAACTCCCCCGTTATGGTGTTAAGGGTGGTTTGACCAACTGGGCCTCTGCTTATGCTACTGGTCTCCTCCTTGCTCGTCGTACTCTTGCCAAGCTCGGTCTTGCTGACAAGTACGAAGGTTTTGCTGAGCCCGATGGTACCGTCCAATTGATCGAAGCTGCTGAGGATGCTCCCCGTCCTTTCAAGGCTTTCCTCGATGTTGGTCTCGCTCGTACCTCCACTGGTGCCCGTGTCTTTGGTGCCATGAAGGGTGCTTCCGATGGTGGTATCTTTGTCCCCCACAACGGTAACCGTTTCCCTGGTTTCGATATTGAGACCAAGACCAACGATGATGAACTCCTCCGTAACTACATCTATGGTGTTCACGTCGCTGAGTACATGGAATACCTCGAAGAAGAAGATGAGGAACGTTACAAGAAGCAATTCTCTACCTTCATCAAGGCTGGTATCACTTCTGATAAGGTTGAGGATATGTACACTGAAGCTCACGAAGCTATCCGTGAGAACCCTGCTGCTCAACCCACTGAGAAGAAGGGTAAGCCCGCTAAGCCTTACCGTAGACTTGTTGCCCTCAACAAGAAGCAACGTCTCAACAAGATCAAGGATGCCAAGGCTGCTTTCGAAGCTTCCCAATAAGCTGGTTGTTTTGACTAAGTTCTTTTGTTATCTTGTGTAATAAAAAAGCTTTATACACTCAATAATGTCAAGGGAAAGAGATTTGATCTACTTGATGGATAAGGAAATGTCGAGGATTAGGAAAGTGTATGGGAGTATGATGCTTGAAAAGGACCACAATTCATGAGAACATTCAAGGTTGATCTGATAAGTGATTTTATAATCTGTGTAAACGAATTTCCGTGATGATTTTGTATAATGAGTGTCTATAATTAACATGAGCTTAGCGAAAAGATTTGATAAATGCAGTTGCTCATATAAAGATCTGAAATTGCCATGCTTACCCCTGGATCAATGTCATGTCATTCCCAAATATAGCAACATCTTTTGAACAACAAATAATTATCAGATTTGATGTGCAATCATCATTAATTTATGGCGAGCTTGTTATACTTGTACGTTGTCTTGTATTTAAAGCATTGTATACCCTTGCTACTTGTAATTGATATGTGCATGTTACTTACTTGGCCTTGGGTTTTGTGATCTGATGGCCTCTGCAAATTGAGTATAACAACCGAGTTGCCAACACGATTAATGCCCTAGAAGACCAACATTGAACAAAGCAGCTACATGGTACTAGTAAACCAAAGCAACAAAAGGCAATATATGGATAGAGAGCAGAATCAGGCAAATTTTTTCAAATGTTTAATGATTAAAAAAAAGAAAGTAGTATATTAAAAGATTTAGGCATCCTTAATCTTCTTGGTACCACGAAGGAGACCAGTACGACGAGCAGCAATCAAACCGACCTTTTGACCAGCAGGAGAATCACGAGCCATAGTAGAGGCCTTACCAATATGTTGATGGTTACCACCACCGTGAGGATGGTCAACGGGGTTCATGGCAACACCACGAGTCTTGGGCCAGCTGTTACGCTTGACTCTGTACTTGTGGAAAGCACGACCAGCCTTCAAGAGGGGCTTGTCAATACGACCACCACCAGCAACGACACCAATGACGGCACGAGAGGTAGAGGGAATGACCTTCTTGGAACCAGAGGGAAGACGAATACGGGTCTTACCATCATCACCATGACCAATGACGGTGGCATAGTTACCAGAAGTACGGGCAATGGATCCACGGTCACCAACCTTTTCCTCAACGTTACAGATAACAGTACCTTCGGGCATGGAGGCCAAGGGCATAACGTTACCAATGTTCAAGGTAGCCTTCTTACCGGCATAGATGAATTGACCAGTGTACATACCTTCAGTGGCAATGAAGGTTTCGGTACGGAGCTTGTACTTGTAGGGATCACGGAAGACAACCTTGGCGAGAGGAGCACCTCTTCCAGGATCGTGAACAATATCCTTGACAATACCACGGACATAACCATGACGTTCAGCGAAATCAAAGACTCTGAGCTTGGCAGCACCCTTACGACCAACGGTGTGGGAACGGAAGATACTTCCGGCACCCTTTCTTTGAGCACGAATAACACGACCCATTTAAGATGATAATTCTATGTGAAAAGCGTTAATTATACTTGTGTGTGTCATACGTCAACATTGAAAGTGAAGGGAAAAAAAGTAGCATGGCATGAGGGTGAACTCGATGTTGGGTCAAGCGAAATCCAGACGTCTCTATCGGCAACATGGCGAGCGTATAGACATTTCAGTGTTGTAGTTGGATCGAGTGTTATCGTTGTGGTGGCTCATACATATAGTGTCAACTAGAATTTACATTCCACTGCCTCTTTTCATCTATGCGATTCATCCATCTTTCGTTTCATCCATCCATCCATCCATCTTGATCTGTTTTTCATCCATCCATTATCGAATCGCCATGCTGATCGCCACCATTCATGAAGCTTTCCCCTCCAATTTCAATGTTGATATTTTGTTGCTTAAAACGTACCCTATTTGGGGAGAAGAGAAGGGGTCTACACTGATCGGCTTAATTTCATTATTTCTGCTGTTTGAGCAGAGCCAACTAAAATTGAGTTTTAAAATGTGAGTTGACTACAGTTGTCGGGCAAAGCCTAAAGATCCATTTTAGTAGTACGTTTGCCCAAAAAAAAAAAAGAATGTGTGTGAGCATTTGGCACATAGCTTACTATATTGAAGGAGTTATTGTATTTGAAATGTTGGTATAGTCGGTTGAATACATCAGGACAGATATTGCAAATATATATATATATATATAGCTGACAGAGATAACAGTAAATTACAGATGTACTTTTTACTTGGGCCTGCCGTTTAGCATTCTGTACTGAAAAGATTCCATTTATTCGGGTCAAGAATCATGTCATAGAGATGCTTTCAATGAATTGAGGCGCTTTTATTAGGCTCTGTAACCCAGGACTGGCCGTGTCGATTTCTAAAATGGGGCCATGACAACAACAACCTACAATGTCAAACCGCAATGATCAATCACCTACTGACATTATTATCATGCTCCTGATCTTGGTGCTCAAGATTATCTCATCTCGCAATCTCATTGTGTATTTTGACTAAGGATCACCTACAACTTATCATATCTGGATAGGAAGACATATTGCATTTCACATTAGGATTCGCATTTGGTTTGCAATCCTCAGCGATTAAATCTAATATATAAAAGTCAAACGTAAAAAGTAAAGTCAAACCAAACAGCCAGACTAAATGACAGCATTTTTTAGTGAGCAGTTAGCCCTCTCCCCCTGAGCTTCAGAGCCATCGATTGCCTTGATGAGGAAGGCAGCATCACTATTGCTAACAAGCAGCAGCCAAAATTATTTAATCTCCGTTGCCCGATATTCTTTCTCGATTCGTTGATTTTTAATCAATTTGCGACTTCTTTGATCTATTTTCCTTGATTCGACTATAAGAAGTGTGATGATCATGCTACGCCTCCTAATGCATTCTTGGAGTACTTTTGAAGGAGCATCTAATGGTATCAAGCATGAAATATATCTAGAGTGAATTTGTTGGGCATTATTGCATTTTATGAAATGACGCTTTTCACCGAAATGTTGAAATTTTGCATAATAAAGTTTCACAAGAATAGTTTCAGGGGTTGCTTTGGATCCAGAGAATCATTTTGAATTAATACATGTTATAGTAAAAGTTTTCATTTTTGAGGTCAAAAACGCGATCGTTTGATTTTTGATAAAAATCATGAGGTATCCCTCATGGTCTTTGGGTCGATTTTTGGCGATTCCAAAAAAGTTGGGCTAAGATGTCAGAAAGGTAGTGCTAGATGAGAGCGACTGCTTGGTGCTATTATGGCAGCCTAAAACGGCTTCTAACGCGAGAAATCACTGCTCAAGTGCATCCAGTTTTTACTGTGCTTTGCACACTTTCTAGTAGTAAGAAGTAATGCAAGTATGCTAGCTGCTTGTAAATGGTCTCTTTCCATGGATACAGACGTGGAACATCGCAGAAGAGTCAAATACCCAGGCGTAAATTAATTTTGAGGGGGGTTTTGCCGATAGTGAAACGCCGAAAATTCAAGTTTTGGTATACAGTATATTATAAGGATAGGTTGGTATTCTTGTCTTAATTCAAGACATTTATCCTCGAAAACACCACGTTCACATCAATCAATGTCCTCAGTATGTCATATCTAGCCATTCATGATGATCAAATATTCATAAGATGCTCAATCTTTACATGGCTGCATTAATGCAATGTGATTTTGCTTAAATATTACGATTTTCTGATACTGGTTTCTTTATGATCCATCTCAAGCCATTCGATAGGCCGCAAACGATTTTTTCGATCCCCAGTTCTTTCCTGACATATTTTGCCAATTTTTCAGATGAGGTTTTGTTCACATCGATCGAAATCGTCGATCGTGCATGACGGGCGCAAGGGTCAAGCCAAATAGCCAGATTGCAGCCACGCGAAAAAAAAAAACAAATGAAATGAATAGCATTATTAGATTCGTCATGAAGCAACTTTCAAAAAGCACATGCAAGCCAATTGTGGTAGATGGTATTCAGCTGTTGTAATCGAACTTGAATTTATTGGCAAACAAAGCAGGTTCAAGGCTGAATCGAATCGTTCCAGCAAGACCACTGATAATGGTCATTTCGTGCAGATGTTCAAAAAAGCAAGTGATGATATTAGAGCCAGTAAAGACAGAGACTGCAACGCAAGGTTGACTCAGCAAAGTCTCATCAACATGTAACCGTTTCATTATACATCGCTTTCATGCAAAACTACAAATCTACATTTATTGCAACAGCCATCCTACCTATAATATCACTCACTTATAAAAGTGACAGACAAGTTTTTGGTCGAGTCTGCAACATACACTTTGGCCGCCTCATAATATGTGTCACTCACAAAATAATCAAGCTTAAAACCACTAAAATGGATTTGGGGCTAAAAAAAAAAAAATCTTGACATCAAGCGGCAAATCAACCAAATGTGGTTCCTTGATGCTGACTGATGATGACGATAAATGAGTATATAGACAACAGTGACCACAAATGAAGAGAAAGGGTAGGCGATGCTGTAAGGTTTATGTCATTGATTGCTTTGCAATACTGGTACATGATGCACTCTTGCATCTAGTCAGAAATATGCATTCAAATGCTGCTTTCATCGCTGCTCCAACAGCCTCAACCTTCTGCAGACTTTCTGTATTTAGCTAACCGTCAAAAGCCCTAATTTAGGTTATAAAACATTTGACACTGAGAAAAGAACCTGAAATACAGCGTCGAAAAACAAAAACAGCTTAGAATGGTTTAAGCAAAATGACAGCTTGTATTATAGAAGTCTAGACAATCAAGCGCCATGATTACAGGACCCAACTAAACTTATAACACTGAAACACCACAGGTCTCTCTCATCATCAGCTTTCTCCGTCTTGGCATACGTCTATAGCATCATCGAGACCAAGAGAGGCTTGGGCTACACGATATCATAGATGTGGTTTTTCCGTGTTTGAACGCGCGCACTTGTGCCCTCTTGCAATGGATTCATGAATTGCCATATGAAAACTCGTGCTTTAAAAGCAAGTGAGCAAAAGATGATTCATGCACAGACACATACAACACATCACAAAGGCGTATGCTCGATGCACGCTAATGAAGGGCCTTTGTTTTGACGTTTCATTCATGGATCAGATGTTGCCAGCAGCAAGTGCTTTCAATAGGTTTTTAGGCATCGGTTCCGAGTAATGTCCGTGTATTCCGCATTGATTAAACGATACATGCTTGATTGTTTGTTATGTTTTGCTATCGTATCATGGATGCATTCTGCTCAGGAGAGAGAGAGCGAGGGTAAGGAACGAACGTTTCATTCTAAATAAAGTGATTTGAGGCATTCTTTGTATATACACATATCTCTTCCTCATCGTTTTGCTATAATAGCTCTCGGAGATGGCGATAAATTAGGTGCTTCTTGAACTGCAAATTGCATAAATATTTATGATGGAAACAGGTTCTTGTCTTCTTTCTCCTTGCTATTTTCATAAAGTAGTGCAAAAGATGGGGTCCCCAGGCCCACATTCACTTGCAGTTTTTTTTTTTTTCAGAATTAAATCGTGTTACAATTCATTCGAGCGAAAATGTCGTAATAGAGTGAGGAGGGGGCACGATAAAATATATTTGCCGAGCATTTTATACACTCTCAGGTATAACAATCCTTAACGTGTAGCATTTTTGACCTGTCGTCATTTTGGCCTTCTAGTACGTAATGAATGCCCTTATTTGTATATGAGCGTAGAGTGTACATCCAGCCTGTTTTCCGCTGTTTGTATATATATATATATATAGTAGCACTTGAAATGTCAAGTCATTTCTGAGAAAAGTGCTCTGCCATCTTGTCAACAAAGCTTCTAGATCTATGGGTACATGTAGATGCTATTCGAGTAATTTCAAAACGTGTCTAAATCCTTGCGTGTACCACATTTTCATAGTGATGCTATAGCCCAAATGACGCAATGGCTCGCTCATATGGCCAATCAGTTTACAGTGCTACGCCAAAATGATACAAAGTTATCTAGATTTGCTGGTCTGGATTCCCTTAAAAAGCTGGGGTTCAAGATCGACACTTTTCAGATGACAAAATGTATAAAAGGAACCATTTTCCATCCTTTTCCTCTCCTCTTGTTTAACTTTCTACAAAATCTTGTTCTATTTTCTCAATATTTATATGCTTTTATAAGATGATGTGCGATACAAATTGGTGTACCTTTTGTGATAATGCTATCAGTCCTTACTCTGATTCTCTCTACTGCTCAGAAGATTGCCTTCGTCAAGACGCTTTAATGCACCATCCTATGCTTGGCTATGATTACGCCGAATTGGAAGGATTTCCTCACAGCACTCAAATGCCATCGCTCGTAAGAAGAAAATCATCGATCCCAACATTGGCCGCCAACAGTAACAACAGCAGCACTGATTTCATTCAATTGCAAAAGATTCCATCGCTCTCACCATCCCTATCGTCATCGATCTCATCTTATTCTTCAGTTCATCCCTGTGATACCAATGCAGATTTCAACAAAAGTAATAGTGATACCTACGCCGCTGCTTCTTACTTTCATCCAAAGCCACGCAAAGTCTCCTCCATCCCATTCATGGAACAGCTAAATCAAGCATTGCTTCAATGCTAATTTATTTGTTTACTCTGTACACACACACTCTCGCATCACATCATATCATAAATTATATATACAACTCAACATTTACTTGATTAATATAGCATATCTTCCCTTTTGTAAATATTAATATCACATACATATGCCCAAAAAAATACAAATAAAACCTCTTAATAATGATGACAGAATAATTTGACCCGACCACTTGGCTCGTACAGTCGTAAATGTACAGTGAATCCAACAAGCAATGTCGCAGCCAATTAAAATCGATGTCGCTAGCCGATCAAAATCGATGTCGTTGTGTGATCAACATCAATTTCGCATGCCATGTGCTTTTGAAAATGATGTCGATGCCACCATGGTTTCTTGGCACTCGAAAGATGTAAAAGCAGACCTTTTCTTCTAGGTGGTGATTTTTCTTCTTCCAGTTTTTACAAGTTAACATGAGTACAGTATTTTTATTTGAAGACGGACATGGAAATGTCGTTGATTAGAATGGTGGCCCTGAGCCTATGGACTACATTGTTGATCAGGATGAATTTGTTGTTGAGGCGATTGCGGCTCATAGTGAGTACTAAAAACATGCAGCATCCAACGAACCTTCATCGGCTTGCCCAATGCTGATAGAGAAGCCAAAAGATCAAGACATTCGTATGAAAAAAGCAAACGTAAAACGTGATTATCTCTTCTCTAATCATATCCATTATTAAGAGCCGGGCAAAGCTGAATATAGCTACCGGCGAAGCCGGCAATGGGGAGGGGGTTTGGAGGAGGGGCTTACCCCCAACCACCAAGAGCATAACGCATCTATTTCAATACTTGATAACATTGATTTATAGGGGAGTTTTAGCGTAGCGAACCAGAGATGCAAAACCATGGTAATCAGGCGTCTAATCCAACGCTTGGTAACATTGATCTATATGAGGGTTCGATCGCAGCGAAGCAAAGGTGCAAATCTATGACAACTAAGTATCCAATCCAGCATTTAGTAACATTGATCAATACGAGGGCTTGATCGTAGCGAATCGAATATGCAAAACCATAGTATTTAAGCAGCAAATTTGATTTCTCATTTCCTTTATTAATAATGGATTGTTTGAAATCTACTTATATAGCAGATTTTATTGTTACTGACGAATGTTTATGCTTCGGATGGCTCTCTGTCTTTGTTTCCCTTCGGTGAGAACCAACCTGCACAGCGGCAGCTTGCGCTTCAGATTGCCTCCCTTGCGTATCTTATTATCAGAATACTGCTACTTTCATTTTGACTCTCCACTTACACATGACAAACCTTCATATTATCTGTAGATCTGATTCTTATGTGATGCTCTACATTTATATATACATTGCTACTTTATTTACGGGCAAGTATAGCACACTGGTACTTTCCCTTTTTAGTGTTTAGTGTCCCTAATACAGCAAATCTGAGTGCATTTGAGCTGCGTTTTCTTGCGTTTAGGGCCGTTTTAGATTGTCAGAATAACACCAGACAATTGCTCTCATCTGATGCTTACTTTCTGACACCTTTGCTCAACTTTTTGGGGGCCCAGAAAACATGGCCAAAAATCAGCCAAAAAGCATGATGTATCCCTCATGGTTTTCATCAAAAATCAAACGATCGCATTTTTCACCTTGATAATGAAGAATTTTACTATGGTATACGAGCCTTTCAGCACTTCGGGTGGTTTCCTGACCTACGCTTCGCTTCGGTGGAAACCAACCTACGTTCAAACGGCTCGCGCTGCCGCGGGCCTTTGGCTAATATCCCAAAATTAATATAGCTAAAATGTTAGAAGAGGAACCCTGATTGTTGATTGATATGTAATCACTAATCGTATGAGTGTTTATGCTTCGGATGGTTCTCACCGAAGCGTAGCAAAGGTAGAGAACCAACCTGCGCAGCGGCAGCTCGTGCTACTGATTGCTCTTGCGTATTTTATCAAAATACTGCTACTTTCATTTTGACCCTCCACTTACACATAGTAACCCTTCATATTATCTGTGGATCTGATTCTTATGTGATGTTCTACATCCATATACACGTAGCTACTTCATATACGGGCAAGCAGCATACTGGTATTCCCACTTTTTAGTCCTTAGTGTCCCTAATACAGCAAAATATGAGTGCATTTGAGCTGCATTTTCTTGCGTTCAAGGCCGTTTTAGATCGTCAGAATAGCCCCAAATGGTTGCTTTCATATGGCAGTTACTTTCTGACACTTTTGCTCGACTTTTTGGGGACCAAAAAAACATGGTCAAAAATCGACCAAAAAGCATGAGGTATCCCTCATGGTTTTCATCGAAAATTGCACATGCTGATGACTATAGGGCCAGGAATCAGCTTTTTGGTCAAATTATCACTCACCTCAACACTATGCCTAACATTCTGCCATCATTACTGATCGCAGGGGATATGAACTACTGTTTTGACAATGCTAGTTATCACCACTCTCACCGAGCAGGTAAACCGAAACAGTTTATGGAATTCTTGAACACCCATTTCTCTGATTGCCTCAACCCGAGAAATGAACCTCATGCATACACCTTCAAGCGCGGATCAACCATGTCTACCTTGGATTACATGTTTGCTGGACAGGGTATAGCTTCAAAGATGAGCGATGCCACCAACTCGTTCCTCCGTCCTGAATGGACTGATCATGCTCTTGTGACCAAAACATACACAACCGGATTGACAAACTGTGGTAAAGGCATTTGGCGTGCAAACCCTCACCTTGCCAAAAATCCTAGGTACAGACAGAAGTTGGCTGATGAAATCGAGAGATTCGTGGCGACCAAATTGGACTACAATCTTTCAGCTCAAGACAAATGGGATTTGATCAAGCGGAAGACCAAGCAGGTTACTATCAACTTTGCTAGACATCATGATACTTGGAGAAAGGCCAGAATCAAGGCGCTGCAAAGCGAGAGGAATAACTTGCTGCGATGCTACCGGAATGACATTGAGTGCTTGAAACTGCTGCTGCCGGATGTGGAGGGAGAGCTATCCAAGCTACAGCAGGAAATTGTGGAGATTCAGATGTTGAAAGCAGGCCGCCGATGGTTGGAGCAGAGTGAGAAGTCCCCAGGATATATCAAACACACCATTGACCAGCGTGTTGACCAACGGACAATTGCAATGTTGAAACATCCTAGCACTGGAGAAGCTTGCCTAGACACGGAAACCAAACTCAATGCTGCTGAATCCTTCTACCAGGATCTGTACACGGAGGAGCCAATTGACATGGATTGCTTGAATACCATGCTCGGTCATATTGACCGTACGGTATCACCGGAGGATGCTACAATGATTATGGAGCCAATAGACTATGATGATATCTTGGACGGTGCCCGTCGAACCCCCAAACAGAGTAGCCCAGGACTGGACGGCATTGGCTATGAGATACTTTACCTCCTTGTCTCTCACCCAAGCTGTCGTGATATTATCCATCAGATATTTAATGACGCTGTTCGCTCGGCAAAGTTCCCCAAATCTTGGCAGGCCTCATGTATCATTATCTTACACAAGAAAGGTGACAAGAGTGATCTAGCTAACTACCGTCCCATCACATTGATTGCAGCGGATTGCAAGGTCTTTACTCGCATCATGAACTCTAGAGTTGTCCAAGTGGCTAACAGGATTATCACCCCTTATCAATGCGGTTTCTTGCCCGGCCGTTATATTGGGGATCATGGAATGTCTCTCCAGGTGATTATGGATAATGCTCAGTCTGCTAGCTGGCGGAACCCCTCCAATTTTACTGCTTATGCTGGCATCATGCTTGATAATGCCAAGGCCTATGACCGGGTCCACCCAAAGTATCTCTCCCAAGTACTGCTAAAGTTTGGCTTCCCTGAAGCGTTTGTCACATGCATTACCAACCTGTTCTTCGATAACTCCATCTATGTCAATGTAAATGGCTTCTTAACCGGGGCAATCTCTCAGCGACGAGGGATTCGTCAAGGTGATAGTATCTCGCCAGTCTTGTTCAACCTGGCCATTGAGCCGTTCCTACTCTCCATAGTCAACAATGTGAACCTCACAGGATACAGCCTGCAACACGTCAAGCTCCCACACCAAATACAGAACCCATGGATATCTCCTGCTCCCATCAAGGTCCTCGCGTACGCCGATGATGTCCTGTCCTTTGTGAAGTCGCAAGATGAATTAGTTGAGCTCCAGGATCGTCTCAGAGTGTACAATCAAGCCTCCAATGCCAAGATCAATTACAGTAAATCCGTCGCCTTCCCGCTGCACGGCGGTAAGATGAAAGATACTGATGGCCAACAGGTCAAACGTTATGTCACTACTCAACTGCGTATGAAATGGTACGACAGCCACTCCACGGGTTATATCAAGTATCTTGGATACCCACTCTGGTTTGCTAATCACCAACGCGATGTCTTCGTCTCAGAGCTACTGGGCAATATCAGGGTCATGACTGACATCTACGGGTCTAGAAAGGTCTCACTCTACGGCAAGGCCAACATCGCCAACACGCTCATCCTCTCCAAGCTGTGGCATGTTATCCGAGTTGTGTCGCTCCCTCAAGAGGTTTTGAAAAAGATCAAGTCCACCATTTACCAATTTGTGATGTCCGGTTTGTTCCCACCGCTCAAGGCAAACTCATTCTTTCTACCTCGTGATCAAGGCGGGCTAGGCCTGATCGACATTGGAGCACAACAAAAGTCGTTACAGTTTCGATACCTACGAGTCTTTCTACTCGGTAACCATGGTCGCCTACCTGGCTTCACATATCAACTGCTCACTCACGCACTTCGTCTCACAAACGACGTCGCTCATCATGCCCTGCCTCTCTTGTTTCCATCTGCTCGCTACAAGAATACGCTGAATGGTCTCCATCCATTCCTATCGATGTTCAATGCCATGGACATCTGCAGCCTTCACAGAGACTGGGATAGACGCCCAACAATCACTACCATCATGAGTCTCCCCCTCCTTGCTGCCTTCAACCCCTTTGCTGTTACAACAGACCTGGAATTCATGACCAAAGATTCGGTTAGGAGAAGTTGTATCCGCGACTTCTTTGCATATGACCTTGCTCAGCATAGCCTCCAGTTTCGACCTCGGTCAGAATGCCCCACACCAACCACCTTGAACAAAGTTCGTCGTGCCCTAGCCAACCATCAGATCTCCTTCCAACGCTTTGTCAACCACAACAATGCCGGTGAGATGGATTTCCTGCCTTTCGTTGAATCCATGATCTACCAACAGCACCCAATCTTCAAACTGCCGAATAGAGAGCTCCGTTTCGTCATGCTAGACATGGCTAACCTCGATGTCGGTAGACATTACAGTAACCAACTCAGCAAACAGCAATGGAAGGCATTCTACAAGAACACGATGCACTACTCAGCTCGCAACCTTTGGTACAGAATGATCCACAAACAAAGCTCAAATCAACTGGCAATGGCCCAACGCAATCTTAAACATGCCGCATCAGACCGCTGTACCCTTTGCAATGAAGTGGAAGACGCTCAACACCTGCTCATCAGTTGCGTCCATAAACTTGATGTCTGGGACTCCTCCTTCAACGAGTTCCTTAGCTACCCCAAAACCGCCGATCCACAACTTATCTACAACTCAATTATGCACTTCAAACTGAAGCATTATTATATCTACAATTATGACTTACACATTACCATATATGACCTCTTTGCCACCATTATGCGTACTATCTGGAGACACCATTATCAACAGTTTTACAACCTCATCCCCTTTAATGCCATCCAAGTCTGTCGCCACATCCGCACAGAACTGTTAAGATTGTCAAATCTTAGGCAACTCTCCCATTAGTCTATTATTCAAGATTTATATATGGCAAGTCACTTTGTCTCCATACACTTGTCCATCTCTTTGATGCATTTGTTTTATTTCTAATTACTATCCTAATAAAATAATATCATCCAAAAAAAAAAAAAAAAAGTTTTCATCGAAAATCAAACGACCGCATTTTTCATCTTGATAATGGAGACTTTTACTATGGTATATCTTGAATCAAAATGTTTCTATCAATCCAAAGCAACCTCTGAAATTATCTTTGTGGGACTTTGATATGTAAAATTTCGACATTTTGGCCATAAATCTCTTTTCATATTTTTACAAATCATTCAATAAGTGAATTCAAAACATCTATTTTACTTAGTACCATTGGAAGCGCCTTGAAAAGTACTCCAGGAAAGCTTAAGGAAGCATGGGGTGATTATCATACTTCACTTAGTCGAATCTGCAAAAATAGCTCGATCGAGTCCAAAATTATCAAAATATGTCCAATCTGGAACAGACTATGATTCTGGGTTTGAATTAATTTTGGCTGGTAGGGCCAGCTGGAAAACTCATGCCCTTTTCATAAGGCAATACAGTAGTAAATGCCCTTGAAGCGTATAGAAAGTAGGTGGCAGGTCATAGCACTATCGTTTATGATGATATTTTATTGCCTTCTATATCGTTCATAATGATATTTTATTGCATTCTATATTTAATAACGTTAGTCTGGACATTGACAATGCATGGGTTGCATAAAATGTCTGCAGTAAGTAATGAAATCTCTGAGGCTCTGAGACGTCGCTCAAATAAAACATTGACAGCACTGAGCAGAGGAAAGAGGGTAGAAATTACAGTGGTTTTTGTTGATTGATTGTAAAATCATTATTCTCATATGAGCCAGGTCTGATAGATGCCTTGAAACTCAGGTTCCATATTAGGATTGTAAAGTGCAAAAGTACTGAACATTTATTATGTTATGATATGAGCCAGGTCTGATAGATGCCTTGAAACTCAGGTTCCATATTAGGATTGTAAAGTGCAAAAGTACTGAACATTTATTATGTTATGATATGAGCCAGGTCTGATAGATGCCTTGAAACTCAGGTTCCATATTAGGATTGTAAAGTGCAAAAGTACTGAACATTTATTATGTTATGATATTGAATCAAAATGTTTCTATCGATCCAAAGCAACCTCTGAAACCACTTTGATGAAGTCTTCATATGCAAAAATTTTGATATTTTGGCCCAAAAACCTTATTTCATATTTTCTAAAATTACTCAATAAGTTCATTCAAAACATTTATTTTACTTGGCACCATTAGAAGCGTCTTGAAAAGTACTATTAGAATGTATTAGAAAGCATCGGATGATTATCACAGTTTATATGGTCGAATATCAAAAAGTAGATTAAAGAAGTCGACAAGAGACAGACTGTGGCCAATCTTGAGCAGAAATAATAGACTGAGTTTGAATGAGTTTTGGCGGCGGTGGCGGCGGGCGGCGCTGCTGCTGGCTGGTCCAAATGCCTTTCTGATGCTGACAATGATAATGGCAACGATGGATTGCGATGCTGATTAAATGGGGATCATGGAATTGAAAAGACAATTGCTTATCTCGAGCAACTTTTTTTTCTTGGAAGTTTTTTCCCTATGAAGATGTCTTTTGCAATAACATTATCTCAAAAATACGCTGTAGATCTTACACAAGTCCTGTATTTACATGGCCAGTTTTATGCTGTCATATCAAGAGCAGCATCAGCGAATGGATACTTCTCCCTCCTGATTTTGATATAGCCTTCTCTTTTTACTATTAACTGATTGTTTAAAATTTACTTGATATGCCAGACTTTTATTATTTCTGATTTGAAATGTCCTCGGTGAGAGCCCGCAGGGCAACGCCGTCATCGACCGTAGCGATATTGATCGGCTAGTGTGCGCTATACTGTCCAGGATAAGGTTAGATTTTTCGACCTTAAGATTGAGAAGTGTATGAGCACATCAGCTGCAGCGAAGCAGTTGGGGATTCACATCCGGACTGCTCAGAGATGGGTTAAACAATACAATATGTGTCCTGATAGTATTTTTGAGGTTTGTAAGCAGGCTGGTCGTAAATGTATCTTGAGCAAAGAACATAAAACGGCTGTTGTCAACTTTATGGATGCTAAACCCTCTGCTGTTGTTGTTGAAGTGACGGAAGCAATTTAAAGATCTTAAATTTTCACGTAGCACTGTTTATGATTTCATGAAAAACGAATTCAATCTTTCGTTGAAGAAAGCCGACTTCCATTCTATCGAAAGAAACAGAATTGCAAAGCTCGAGGAGCGATACAATTGGGTTTGTAAATGGGAAAATACAGACATGAACTTCCTGACGAATTGTGTGTTTCTTGAAGAATCTGCTTTTGATATAAACATGAAACGCTCCGGAGCTTGGTCCAAAAAAGGTACGCATGCCATAGTTACCAGGCCTACTACGAGGGCAAACACGACATCTATCTTGGGCGCTATCTCTATTGCAGCTTTGATTGCAGTCGGTTTAAAAAAAACCAAGGCTTGCTAAGAAGAGAAAGGCTGGAGAATATGTAAGCTCAGGAACTGTAACAGTCCACTACATTAGTTTCTTAAAAATGACTCTCGATGAAATGGACAAACATCCACATATGAAAGGTCACTACATAGTCATGGATAATGCGCCCATTCACACCCATGAAAACATAAAGAAGTATATCGAGTATCGAGGTTATAAATGTGTGTATCTTCCTACTTGCTCTCCTGAGCTTAATCCAATAGAACAATTTTGGGCAGTGGCAAAAAGTAAAGTTAAGCGTTATCGGTTTTTGCAGGAAGGTACTTTGACAAAAAGAATAACAGTGGCCTGCAAAAGCGTGGAGAAAAGTCACTTCAAAGGTTTTGTTTTGCATTCTTACAAGTGCTGGAATAAATGTCGAAATAAAGAACCTATGTAATGGTCATCAATGGCTTCACCGCAGCCAACAATGAGCGATGCGAATCAGGAAAGCGGAAAAAGGTGATCTACTTTGGCAAGACTTACAGCAAAAAAAAAAAAAAAAAAGAGAGAGAGAGAATCATTATCCGTAACCGGTGCAAGCTTAACCAGTGCAAGCTTAATGTAATCGGTGAAAGCTTAATGTAACCGGTGCAAGCTTAATGTAACCGGTGCAAGCTTAATGTAACCAGTGCAAGCTTAATGTAACCGGTGCAAGCTTAACCAGTGCAAGCTTAACCGGTGTGAGCTTAATGTAACCAGTGCAAGCAACTGTTGTAAACCAGTAGAAATCGGAATAAGAGTTCCAAAGGCCTTGGACATAGTAAATGGATGTATTTATTCATGAACATTTGATTTGGAATTTAACTTTTGCATGTAAATCACTGGTTTTTTGAGGCCAGACCTGACCGTTACCTGCGGTTGAATATTTTTTTCATATGATCTCCTATTCCCTACCAAAAGATAAAAGAAAATCAATCGTTTATCCATCGCTTTTCAATTGTCTAAGATGACTTACAAATCCGGGCTTCAGCACCCATAATTTCCTTGCTTTAATCACGTTATACCCTTGACGCATGGATTTGGATTGACCAAAAGACCCATCATTCTTAATCCATTTACTTATCTGGTTAGCAGTGATCGAATCCTTTGCACTCGGGATATTGGCTGTCACCAGGTTAAAGATGTCCGTCTCGGTTAATGATTTGAAATCATAGTGGCTCTTGGAACAACTTGGTGGATCAATTGTTAAAACGCCACACAGAAAGTCCAAGATGCTTGCTTTTGTTGGTTTGATGTCTAAAAAAAAATATTAGATTTGAGTATACAGTGCTCTAAATTTGTTACCATGACAACTGTCCATTGATTTGCATGAGCTGGAGCCTGAATGAAAGGAAGGAATTGTAAGAAGGTAAGCAAATGACATTTCTAAGAAACACTGATAGCTTACTGCTTTCAATCGTAGTTAATGCATAATCATTGCTTTCAGCAGGTCGAATGACGTTTTTAGTTTCAATGTCATCTGGAAATTCATCTTGAGGAGGTGGTGTATCAGGGTATCCAAAACATGTGAAAGGATCGCGCTGGGCAGCTGCCTTGCCAATTGCAATGGGTCGCGTATTGCCTCTCTCCAATGTGTAAACAACTTCAAACGGCGTCTCTTCAACAATGGTCTTGCACTTGACACGATTAGCTTCTGTCACTGCCTCACCTAACACCAAACACGCTGCTTGTCCTTTTGTAATAAATTTTGTTATGACAATAGTTATGTTGTGGTCTCAAATAAAAAAAGTCAAAAAAAAAGAGCTATACTAAAAAAAACCAAAAAAAAGGGAAACACTACACACACGAGAAAATGAAAAGCCACTGCTTTCAAAGTAAGTTTTTGATATCCAAATAAATTTGCATTTCTTTCGTAACCCACAAGGAAAAAAAAAAAAATATGCCAGCACCATTAATATCACCAGCAGAAAAGAAATACATTGAACAAGGCGTTGAACAAGACTGTCGCTCTGATGGCAGAGCTCGTCTTGAGTATCGTCATGTTGTCTTGGAGAGTGGACTCTTATCGCAAGCCTCCGGTAGTGCTCGTTGTCGTTTAGGTGACAGTGATGTGCTCGTAGGTGTCAAGGTGGAAATTGGCCAAGTGGAGCCTTCAAAGCCCAAGCAAGGACGTGTTGTCTGTAACGTAGAATGGTAAGAAGAGAGAGTGTGTGTGTGCTGATGGCCACAATGTTGATTGGCATGTATTGACACACTCGTCTCTCTTGTAGTTCACCTAGTGCTTCACAACAATTCGAAGGTCGTGGTGCGGACGATTTAAACAACTCACTTACACTTGCCATGGATCGTCTTTTCAACGGCTCACAAAGTGGACTTGATTTAGAGAGTCTGTGTATCATTCCAGAACAACAATGCTGGGTCATTTACATTGATGCCATGGTGATGGATGCTGCTGGTAACCTGCTTGACTGCATTATCATGACAGCTCGTGCAGCACTTTACAATACCCGTATTCCCAAGACAGAAATCGAAGATTTAGGAGACGGCGAGTTCGAATTTGAAGTGGTAGACGATGTAGAAGATGCAGAGCCCCTCAAAGGTTGGGAGAACTTGCCCATCAGTGTGACACTGTACAAAGTTGGACAACGCTATATCATCGATCCTACTACTCTGGAGGAATTGTGCTCGCAAGTGACATTGACGGTTGGTGTGAATAAGCATGGTCTTGTGTGCGGTATAAAGAAGGGTCAGACTGGTAGCATCGAACCAAGTTTACTGAATGAAATGATTGGCACAGCTACAGCATTGGCGAAACCACTGATAGAACACATTGATGCCAAGTTGGTGAGCGATGAAAATAAGGTGTTGGAGAAGAAGAAGCTAGGTCAACATGTAGAGACGCTGGGCTTCTTTGCCTCTGTTATATAAATAAAGCTTCTGTGTAAATTTTGTAGTCGATTGACTTGTGTGTAAATCAGATGTTTGATATGCCCTGAGAGGATTAGCCATGTAGAGTGAAGCACATTGTAAGATCTAGAAGGGGATGACTTCTTGCTGCATTTGCGATGAAGCATTCAAAATGGTGCGCCTACTCACTTGATCATAGACATTACCAGAGTACACTAAGGGCATGATTTGATCAGTACAGCCAGCCAGCCAGCCAGCCAGCCAGGAAGAAAGAACATCTGCACTTCAATTTGAATCCACCTCAATTTTGAATTTTAAAACAAGTGCAACTCTTTCTTTGCAACCACTACATGTATGATAAAAGAGCTATCGTGCTGCTCTTCACAGCACTATGTGTCTGTCGCATCTATGCACTACCTGTGCAAGTGGGTAATGAAGTAGCTTTCGATCCTCCATATCGCTGGCCATCCCTGTTCAGCACGCCCATGGTCAAGCTACTAGGCGACACTTGTTACGAGAGCTTATTTGAAGAATTCAACATGGACGTTCCCTGCTTCAAATTGCTGATATCCAAAGGACTAGGCATTGGTATTGTTATTGGAGGCGCCATCGTCAAGATACCCCAGATCATCACCATTCTCAAGCATCGATCTGCGCAAGGCCTATCGCTCACCTCCTTCTTATTAGAGACCTGTGCCTATCAGATTGTGATGGTGTACAACATGCGCTTGCATAACCCATTCAGCACCTATGGCGAAGTCTTATTCATGACGTTACAGAATATCCTCATTTGTGTGCTGATTGTATGGTATACAAGCAAAGAAAAGCATTTAGCCGGCGTCACCTGCTTGGGTTTTCTTGGTATTTTCACGATATTGATCCTTGTGCCTAGCTGGTGCATGGCTCTCTTGTATGCAGCGCAGATTCCTATTGGATTGGCAAGCAAAGTTCCTCAGATTCGAGCCAACTATCTCAATCAATCGACAGGCCAATTGAGTGTATTTGCTGTTTTAAACTACTTTGCGGGGACAACAGCACGAGCATTTACAACATGGACTGAATTAGATGATCCCATCATGTTGGGAGGAAACCTATTGGCAAGCATCTTAAACGGCATCTTGGTGTTACAGTTGGTTATCTACTGGAAGAAGCAACCTTCATCATTGCCGAATCATGATGTCGTATGGACCAAAGCAGACTAGAATTGGGATTTCTTGATCTTCCTTTTTAGCATGTTTTTTTGGGGCAAGTACAGTGGAGGAGCGGAAAATCTCAAGCTGGTCTTGGAAACTGGAAAGAAGCTTACAAAACGCAATTACTGACTTTCAACGTTCCCATAGCCAGAAGCTGTGCCTAAGGTACATTTGTCTTATATAAAAGTGTAAAAAAAGATTTTCTATTCTCAGTTTTTCTATATAAATTAATTCATGTTATCTCAATTTTTGTATAAAAAGCCAGTTCAGTTGGCATCTTTCACTTCTTTATTCATCAAGCAACACAATCGCACATTGGCCGCCATGAGTCCCCAAGCTGTCGAACAAGAACAACAACAACCTGACGTTTCGGTGCAAGAGCAAATTAGATTGGCCGAGATTGAGAGAGATAACTTGGACATTGTCAAGAAGCATCGTGCTGACCCTGCTATCGTCGAATACGAAGCCTACAGCCATGCATCTGCCAGTGAAAAGAAGCACTCCTTGACCGTCTCTGTAAGTATATTGGGCTGGGAAATGGTCGATGAGAAGGGCATGTTACTCATTCAGGTACATGTTATGTATAGACATTGAGAGGCCCTGGTATGATCATTGTGCCTCCCCTTATGTTCTACAACAAGACCTATACAGAACTGACTTCTGTCCTTCATCTCGGTAAGAACATCTGTGGACATGATGGTATTATCCATGGTGGTTTAGCGGCTACCATCTTGGATGAAGCTTTGGCTTGCGTTGTAAGTGTACACTGCTGTCATGATGACATGGAAAGTAAACCTTAACCTTTTCTTGTTCATCTAGGCTATTCCTGCTTTACCAAACATGTTTGGTTTCACTGCCAACCTCAATATCAACTACAGAAAGCCCATCATGTCAAATCAATGGGTTGTGATGAAGGCCAAGTTGGATAAGAGTGAGGATCGTAAAGCTTACGTCTCTGCTTGGATCGAGAGTTTAGATGGCCAAACTGTATTCACTGAAGCTACTTCATTATACGTTTCTCCCAAGGTGCCTGTCAAGAAGCCTGAATAATTTATCTTTTAACTACTACCTATTAGATCTCCTCCCCCCTTCCCCCCTCCCAAATTACACCTCCTTAATCACTATTGCACACAAATATACTTGTACGAATAAAGCTCTTTCTAGATTATTATATAATGATAAGCAAATACTGTTTGGTTGACGCTAAAATGTGGTGTAGCAACAGGGTCTTGATCAATGTTTCCGTAAACTTGGTTTGTCACACATCCTTAAATCCACGTAAAATAATATTGCCGCTTAAAAGCGGTGGCACGTTTGAAGTGCTCAGGGTCGATTACTACACACACTGAAACTGCAACATTCAGATCTTTGTATTCCACTGCCTGGTCAAATTTACTTGAAAGCCAAGTGCGTTGTGAAAGATCAAAAAGTGAAGCCAAATATCCAAGCAAAGCTCTCGGTAGCTGGACGCGAGTATGATCCTTTCCGCTTGGTATACTCGGTTCATGATATATGCAGTTACCAAGATGTCAAGGGAGCTTCTTTATAGTCTAGAATAGTGTAGCTGTTCCTGAAAGTGTTGCTTGACATGTGTCGATTGATTTAATGTGAATAGATGTGCTTATCTGATGAGTAGGGCTTCGTATCTTTTCGCTGTACAAAGTCTCTGCGTTGTTTCGCTATGAGCTATATCTATGCTTCTCTGCTTCCGGTCCTTTTAAATACTACAGGTTGCAGATGCTCTTGCCAAATGGCGTGGTTCCACAAATGAGTTAACCGAAGAAGCGGCATCCTTCCAACAAGCTCTCATGTATGCTATAGTGATCCAACATCCGTCCATGGTGAATCTAAATTCAGCTGTCAACAAAGAGGTGGCATCTATAGCAACAGATTGAGGATTTTTAATCTGTCAAAACGAGCGATTGGCCGTCTTGTCAGATAAGAAGGATGATGATGACAATAATGCTAAATAGACTTCCATACTGAGTTGGATATTCCGTCATAGCCCTAAATGACGAAAATGGAACATCATTCGCTTTCAACAAACCCAAGCAAGAAGGAAGAAGAGAAAATGTAAATGGCATCACTTCTTTTTCCTTCCATGTGTTCGATCGTGTTGAAGGTATGATGATATTCACCTATTCGGCTTGTTATATTTATGTCTATTTTTTTTTTTTTTTTTTTTTTTTTTTTTTTTTTTTTGTAATTGATTTCGTACTACCAACAGCCATACAGGACATAAAAATAAAGCCAGCATATATTCACACCCAAACGTTTCTGGTCGCATGGTGTCCATTCGAAGCCTTTAAGGATAGAGATCTAGAAGGGCAAATGTCTTGTATCATGTCAAAAAGTATATTTAGACAGCAAGACAACCCGACAGGAGAGCAAAGAGAGGGAAAATGCAGCTCATTCGATCGGATGTCGACGACAAATCATATGATGTCCATTTTGTATGGTCAAAAAATTCCCATATTTTTTTTTTTTATTATGTTTGATTAAACTCGTTTCCCTTTCTTCCTTGTTTCAACTATACAAACGCGCATTTTAACTTAAGCCTTTTCATTCATCATCCCTTCCTACCTTTTTTTTTAAAAAAAACAAAACAAAAGACAATAGAAGCACTACAACACATATATACAAGTATGCGCCAGCAAGCACGAGCAGAATATTTACCTGGAACAACCGTTTTTGCAAAACTAAAAGGATATCCCTGGTGGCCAGCAAGGGTAATAGCATATGCGATATACACCATCTTCTAAAGCTAACTCCTGTGCTGCCCAATTAGATTGAAGTGGATTCAAATGTGCCAGCCAAAGTGTTAAAGCAAAAAAGCAAGACAAAAAATGCCTTATATACCGTGTTTTTCTATGGTTCCAGAGACTAGTAAGTTGTCGTGTCTTATAAACAAAAGGAAGGATGGGAAAAAGAGCAAAGGACTGAGCTCTCTTTTCACAGTGGGTTCTTTGGTCCAGATGCTATCAGACCTTTTGATAGTGCCATGGTGGAAAACGACCTCAAAGCAAAGAAGTTTAAAACCAAAGATCTGGAGCTAGCCGTCCGTCAAGCGTTGAATCCCTCTTTATTGACACAACTGGAAGAGGAAAATAACGAGGATGAAGAGGATGAGGATGCGGAGGACGAGGATGCGGAGGACGAGGAAGAGAATGAAAAGAAGGGAAAGAGTAAAAAGACATCAACAGCAGCGGCAAATAAGAAGAAACCAGTGGCAAATGGTAAAACAGCAAAGAAAACGGCAAATTCAGTGGGAACCACCACATCAGCACAAAAGAGAAAGAGTCGCAAACTGGCTACGGGAGGAGGAGACGAAGAGGATGCCGTAGGAGATACAGCTATTGGCGATAGCATGGATAGAAAGAGAAGAGTAAGTTGGACGGGTTATCTTTTGGGCTATCTGGTTGGGTTATCTGATGTGTGTCTATGATAGCGTAAATCCATGTCGCTTGAAAAGGAAGAAGGACATGAATCTCCAATCGCTCATGACACTGTAAAGGATGATATCAAGAAATCGCCAGAATACAAGAAAGTGTATCATATTAGACATAGATTGCAAAGATTAGTGTACAACAAGAAGGAGGTACGTGTTTGCGGATCTTGTAGTTGGAAGAGAGGGAGAGGGAGAAGCGTCGTGTTTTGACTCTTGCTTTCTCTTACTTAGGGTGAAATCCCACTCGATGATTACCCAAAGATCTTGGAGGTTGTCAAGGATATAGAGGAGGCACCAATGACATATAATCTTCTCAAAGTAAGTATTTTGGCCATGTCATTTGGATGTGGAAATGAAAATGAGAGTGCTGACATTTTGCTGGTTGGTATGTGTAGGATACCAAGATTGGCAAAGTCGTTAAAGCCGCTTGCTCTTATCCTTTTGAAAACGACACTGCCATCAAAGATCGCTGCCAGCAATTGATGAGAAGTTGGAAGACACATTTCATCGATCCTCAACAACACTCCAAGTTGAAATCGCAAGAGGATACACACATGCAAGATGTTTAAATAGCCAGAGAGGAAAGCCTTTTATATATACAGTGATTCTCTTTTGAACTTGAACTTTTTACACATGCACACACACACACACACACACACACACACACACACACATCAAGTCTCGTCTCAACCTTCTTCCAAACTATACAATCCATTTTACTCAACTCTTACAATTACAACACTCAACTCAGATCAACTCCAGTCATATACACTCATAAATAGCTTCTTGCCTCACTACCACAAACAAAGGATATGCAGTAATAAAACATGAAAAAAAAAAGGATAAAGAACTACATGAAGGGGGGGGGGGTGGGCAAAGTAAGTCCATGTGGTGCACTGTATGTCGACAGCGATCATTTCATTCATGTGCAGTCGAGTTGCATGTTATGTCTCTTTTGACCGTTCTTTAACAATAATCTAATTTGACGTCTTGCATCCATGCGTAATACAAAGAATTCCAGGAAGAGAGCAGTGGTATCCAATATGGCGGCTGTGAAAGCCTTGCAAAATGTCATCTCATCAAAGTACTGTCGATGTTATCCTACTAGTGATTACAGGCGTAGTAAGGCAGATCACTGCGAGCTGGAAATGACCTTTCGCAGTTTCTGCTTATATACAACACAGCATCTGACCTAATGAACAGCACCAACAGCAATGATTGTTCCTGTTGCATTCTATTCAACAATAATATATAACGTGGTCTAGCTTGTTGCTATCATGTGCAAGTCTACCAAAACTACTACTATTTCTGGTCTTGATAATGAAAACATTCTGTTTAGGAATTCAGGGCGTACAAGAAAGGGCTTGAGGACTACCAAAAATAGGATTATTATTATAGCTCTGGCCATTTTCTGATTCAAGTTGTTGTTGTTTATATGATGTCTCTTCTCTCGTACTCCTTCTGCTTATAGCTTGAATGTTTGTTTGTTGTTATTCTTTTTCCTCTTACTTCTTTTTCTTTTGCTTTTTTATCATTCATCCTACATAAACATGTTGCTGCTCATCACTATTTTGATTTTGACATTTGTAACTCAATTGATTCATGCAGCCCCTGCTGTGGATCAACCTACATATGAGCCAGGTGTACTGTATCTACCGGACAAAGCGATCGCATTAGGTAAACTAGGCGAGAAGACCTTGGCGTAAGAATGAGCGCTGACTTGCATGTATAGATGACGGATATAACCTGAGTATTCAAGGCGTTTTAGGTGGCATTGTGTTGATTGTATGTGGTTTGTTACTTGCATGTCGTCCCATGTGGGATAGAACACCAGCTGGTACTCGCACACAAGAATTAGCAGGCTTTGTTACCATGGGATTTGTTACTTGGGTGATGCTGGCTAATTTTGAGCCAGAACAAACGTATGGACAAGATCGCCAAACCATCTACTTTATTGTGCCTTTTGTTGTGGGTCTCGTCGTGATCACTTGCATGGCAGTGACAATTCAGTTATATCTCATGTTGATCGGTGGTTTGGGAGGTCTTGCATTTGGTTTGTGGATCTTGGGTTGGAGAGATGATTTGTCAATTACTTCAAATTCTGGAAGAGCCATCCTACTCACTGTGCTTGTGGTGGTGTTTATGGTGCTGTCGCTTTATTCGTGCTTTTGGCATCAGTTGGGTGCTGCATTGGCCGGCTCTTACATTTTCTTTATGGGGTTAGACATTTACTTTCACACAGGCTTCAATTACTGCTTTACTACGACATTGGATAGAAATCATGGTATATTTTTTGAACAATGTGGTGTTCTTTTTTTTTTCGAGGATTAACGTGTCTTGGATGATAACAGAACATGATTACCGGATGTACCGTGGTGTTTATATTATGCAATCAACGATCATTATCGCCTACATTGTAGGTTTTATATTCCAAGTGATTGGCCATCATTCCGATGTAAGTATATATTTACATGATAGCATGTGGTTGAGTAGAAAATGTTTTGCTAATTCAACTCGTTCATAGCATATTCGGATGCAACACTCGGTTGTCATGTCAACCCGAAACGATCCACGTTACATTACCAAACAGCCATTCATTGGAAGATACATGCCTGCTATGCCACCCCTTTGGAGACCTAATTGGTTCCAAAGAGGCGGTGCACCTGCTGTAGTTCCTGTCGCAACAGCAGTTTAAACCATATCCCGTGTATATATATATGCTAATCGACTCTTTGTATCATAACATCATTTACCATTCTACCCAATAAAAAATCATATCCTATCCTATAATTGCATCAGCTTATAGGTTTATCCTGTTGCAATGTTCTACAAAGAATAGACCATTTCCTCATTACCCTGCTTATTCCTCGGATAACAAGATATACCTTGATGTACATGCACATTGAGCCAGCTCAACCACATCATTACATTCAAAAAAAATCGCTTTATGTATTATCCGATGTCTAGATGCCAAATGTCTCAACATCATTTATATCGATTGAATCTATTCCGCTCTTCCAGATTTAGAGATTTCCTAATGTAGACTGTCGTAGATCTTTACCATGACTTTGATAGATCGTGGATATGTATACCATGCCTTAGACACGCACCATACTTAAAGGTACTGATAAAAGATGACCTTGACCAAATTTCAAACCATTATTTTCCATGGAAGATCATGCTCCAGCGGACGAGATTAGATTCCGATTTTGGGAGAGCAAGACAGTATAAGCATTATCCCATCCGAGGGTTGCCATATACGGCCAAAACATGGAGACATTGTGCCAATGAAATCACTTCCAGGAAAAGTACGGAAGTTGCGGCTAACAGTTTTGACAGCAATACGTTGAATATATAAAGAGCCATGATTTAAGCTACCAAACGGTTTTTTTTTTCATTATACTCTCTATACATATTACATCTCTTTACAATGGGTCTCCACATGCATATCCCTAAATTTATCAAAAAGACATTTGCTCACAAGCAAACCCAAGACGAAGATGACAAATTTACACCTGCTAATTCAGTCTACAGCTACTATACATCTCCTGCACCATCTATTGTCAGCAGTGCTTTCAGTCGTGATCCCATGCGCTGCGGTTCTCATCCAGATATCGTTGGCTACTACTATGATCCCATGGGCTGTAGATACAGTAATAATCATGGCATTGACACTACCAACACTGGTGCCTAAGGCGTTTGCCTCTTTCTCTCGCATTCACATGATACCCGATCAATTGAAACCAAAGTTTCTCAAACGCTTCAACGCTCTGCCGTTATGAAAGCAACATTATTACAGATCATCGCATTATCTGATTTACACATACACGCACTATTATATAGAATAATTACGCTTTAATATATAATTTCTTAATAAATCGCATACATTCATACATACCTAAATACTTTAATTTCTGGTGTTTCTTTATATTTGATCAGAATATGCTTTCCATTGTAAATCGATTCCAAAAAAAAAAAAAGAAAAATCATCAGATCTTAATCAAGATCAGCCACGGCAGTATACATGTTTCGCTTCACTAATGTTTCAAAAAAGGAAGCAACTGCAACAAACGATTGATCCAGGTTATCCCGGCGGTTGGCTCTATTCTCTACGATGTGAACATCCCATCCATATGTGGCTCGCCTATTTGTTTTCAAAGGAAACTGATTGCGCCAGCCACTTGAAGAATCGAGCACAGAGATTTGGAAGCGATTCTATAGCGATCCGAGTACTCCATGATAGCTTGTCTGAGGGCTGCTTTGTATTTACATCAGAAGAGGACATGCCCTATTTATTGCCTTTCCTTAGATATCTGTTACTAAATAGCAGCTTACCTGAAATGCAATGAAAAGCAGAATCTGTCACTTCTTTCGCGACGCTGGTATGAATTCATCAAAAATTGCAACATGATTTCACATTTGACCGTCTATATCATGGCAAGGAGAACTTTGACGCTGCAGTAAACTTGCAACAATCGCCAGCTCATCCAGCTATCTGCAAAAAGTACAATGTCAACTTTCCCCCCTATCACGGACGACATTGCACAATCGTTTGACGATTGCGATGCTCAGTTGTAGCACGTTTATCTCTACAGTGAACCCATTCCACAAATTGATTACTTGAAAGTGTCATTACAAGATAACCGAATACTACAAAATACACAATGAGAGAAGCATTTTATGGCACAAGCTTGATAAAATAAAAGAGCTGACATCCTGCAGAAAGATGCCTGTTCTAAAGAATTGATCATATGTTCGGTTGTCTATGAAGGATATGATACCATATTTTATTGAAATAAAGCGCTTTGTAGGAACCATAAGATGGTGCCCTATTGTACAGTAAGCTTCAACTACATATATAGATAGTCTTAGTAAGGTATAATTGTTGCAAGCTGTGCTTGATTCACATCGACAACGTATTGCTCTGCCCATGGAACGTAGCAAACTATAGTTGCTAGACGTGAACATTGAAATCTACAAAACAAGTTTCTTGGACACTTGATTTACAGGAAATACACCTTGTACATGTCAGTGAATACAAGGTATAGGCTGTATCATTAACACATGTGCAAATTTACTTATAATTAGAAGCGTCTACTGCCAAGAGAATGCATCAATTTCTTTTTGAGCCACAGACTAAATTTCGTACATTAGTATCACGCCCTATTTTCTTTACTCCAAAATGCACAGCAGTGTTTGCTGTTATTAATAGCTGAAAGATGATCTTCTCAACCTTGTGCTAACTCTTCCTTTGTTTCTGTTTTTAATAAGACGAAAGCAAGATGGTGTGACCAAAAGACAAAGAGACGAGATCAACAACCTACATATACATGTTTCATAGCATGATATGATGTATACACCAGCAAAATGACATGTGTTTTGTATTGGGCTTATTGATGTATAAATATATATATATATATATATATGAGTTCTTGATTCCACAACAGTTATGCCTAGTGGTATTTAATACTGATTTATCCTGTGCAACGAGATTTCATTTCACAGATCAAATGTGGTACGGTATCACCCTTGCAACCTCATGTTATTTGCTGATGAAGCCTTGCACGTATGTGGACGTCGATTAATATTTCTTTTTTTTTTATCAAAAAAGCGTGATAATGCTTTATATATATATATATATACGACCAATGTAAGCAATGTTTATTGTAAATATGATGCGCGTGTGTGTATGTGGCTGTACTCTTTCGATGCAACCATGATAGTATGTATGGATGTATACAAACAAATTATAAAAAATACAATGTGGAATTTAATAGAAAAATAGAGTAGGTAATATAGTAATTGGGATGGTTGTTACAATAATTTGAGCGAAATGGCATTTAGAGGGCGAAATAGGCGGCAACAGCGGCAGAGACCAAGGTAAGAGCTGGCTTGACCATGGTAGCACTGCTGGAGTTATTGTTGGGGACGACTTGAGCAACAGAGGGGACAGGAGTGGAAGCAGCGGCAGGCATGACAGTGGCGCTAGCAGAGGATGAAGCGACAGCGACGGCAATGTCGGCAGAGCTAGAGGCGACAGATGAAGAGGCAACAGGGATGACAGATGAGACAGATGAGACAGAAGCAGTAGCAGAGACGGCTGAGGAGGCATTGGCGCTCACAGCAGCACCGCTAAGAAGCTTGCCAGTACCCCAAGGAATGGCATCACCATTGGGTTGAGTCTTTTCGGTCTCTGCGACGAGCTTGCCATCAGCACCAGCAATACCGAAACGAGTGGTCCAGGCAGAGACACCATCAGAACCTTAATAAATTGTCAATATACTGGGCGGACTTTTTGCAATCAAAATGTTATTGTACCTGTGAACATGAAGAAGTAAATTGCAGAGTTAGGTGATACTTGAGGAGCAACGAAAGAATACTTCAATTGGTTAGCAGGCACTTTCTACATTGCAAATCAATGGTCAGTTGTTGGATAAAAAAAAAAAAAAGATCGAGTGAGCATGAGAGCAACTTACAGTGGCAACAGTCTGTAATTTGGTCTGGGCATCGTTTGAGCCTGTCATGAAATCTAAGATTTTGTCGTTAGGATCAACCGCTCAGATGTGGGGAGAGAGATGCATTAGATGATTCTGCGTACCAATGGTGTAGGTGGTTTTGGGATCCTTGCCGTCGAAAGCTAAAGAAGGAAAAGCATGTCAGTAACGATGCTATGGAACATGGATGACATGTTAAATCCACTTACTCCAGGTAATATCATAAGATTGACCTTCAATTTGGATGGTACCAGGAGAAGGATAAGTAGGAGAAACAGCAGCTTCAACATTGGCGAATGCAACGATGAGAGCGACTGAGGAAGCGAGGAATGTCTTGATTGAAACCATGATTGATGTATTTTATATTGAAGGAGAGTTTGATTTAATGATTATCAATGAAGACTGGAAAAAAGAAGTGAATGTAAACGGGAAGAAAGAGAAGAAATCAAAGGAGATGGATCTCGTTAGCAAGTGGCCTTTATACCTTTTATTTTTGATGCTCTGCTTTATAGACTCTCGCGAGGTAGATTGAACAAATCAGGCAACCTGCTTGTGGGCTACTGCTCTATTTGCAACAAGTTACACCCAGCATAACCGAAGCTTGGTCAGAGAATATAATAAGCGGGGATTCGGCAGTTCCACATTGGTGCTACACTATCAGTCGAACAATTTATTTATATCCTGTGGATATGGCGAATTTGTAAAATATAATATCTCTGTTTTGGTATAATTTGTGCTAAATGGTAAAAAAAAAAGAAAAAACTACTAGTACTATAGTTTAAAGGAGAGTAGCTGATGAATAGCGTGAAAACAAAGGGACATGTATAAGCTTGTATACGTGTTTCCCTGATTTTTTTCTTCTTCTGGTGGTATACATTTTTAAATTGTCAATTTACTTAGGCTGCGCCCAACAATTTCAGTTTTTTTTTGTGATATAAAGTAGACCTTTTTCAAAACCTAAAAATAGCGCTGAGTGAGGTTCACGATTCAGTTATCTACTGCTAGCCTGGGAGAACAGGGTCTTGGTATATAAATAGTGTTGACTAAATTGTTTTTTTTTTGGTAAAACATCAAATACATGTCTTAGTATTGCGAACGTACAATGAAAAAAAAAAAAAAAAAAAAAAAACGATGGTTTGCAGTTGGAAACTAATGCAATAGGCTTCTTATATGAATACATGACACATTAAAAAATCTAGATTGTCTTTATAGATTGCATATTGACCTTTATATAATGAGATGTCTCATTGCAATTCCTCATCATAAACATGGGCTGGCAATGCTGGCTTACTTTTTATGGAAATCAGCTTCAAGTAAGCTTGATCTGTGCGTGTACATGCTGTCATATAGACAACAACAAGAGTAAATCCCTCTTGTACCAAGCCTTTCCTACTCCCTCGCTTCTCGCCATCACGAATCCAATTTATGCCTCCTTAACCTAAACACGTATTCCGCAGGGCAGAGCAGAAAATAACATGTAAAATCCTGTTCACCTCCTAAATAATGATCCTTGTGTGTATGCTCATAGATTGTCTTGATAGTGTCGTTTACACACTAGATTTCTGTATGAACCATTGAAAACAGAACCCCCTCCCTCACTAGTTCCCCTCCTTGCGTAGATCCAATTCCATGATTGCTAGATTGTGTGTGACAAATGGTTGTCATGACAACAAGACAGACTGCGCTTTCTTCGCTCTGCCACGGCTGAGAAAGGGGAAATGTTTGTTGACAATCAAATAAAAACCATGCAAAATATGGTTCCCAGTCCAACTCATGCTGGCTTAATTTGATCATTCAAATTATACCTCGGTTAAAGTGTTTTTTTCGCACTCTAGGCGCTAAAACGTTTCTGTTTGAAACGATGACGATGCTGAGGATGTGGAAGGGCCATAGAACATTTCAAAGACCACCAAATTATTCGATTGATTGCCAATGACGTTTTTGAGTACAGTGAATCCAACAAGCAATGTCGCAGCCAATTAAAGTCGATGTCGCTAACCGATCAAAATCGATGTCGTTGTGTGATCAACATCAATTTCGCATGCCATGTGCTTTTGAAAATGATGTCGATGCCACCATGGCTTCTTGGCATTTGAAAGATATAAAAGAAGACCTTTTCTTCTAGGCGGTGATTTTTCTTCTTCCAGTTTTTACAAGTTAACATGAGTACAGTATTTTTATTTGAAGACGGACATGGAAATGTCGTTGATTAGAATGGTGGCCCTGAGCCTATGGACTACATTGTTGATCAGGATGAATTTGTTGTTGAGGCGATTGCGGCTCATAGTGAGTACTAAAAACATGCAGCATCCAACGAACCTTCATCGGCTTGCCCAATGCTGATAGAGAAGCCAAAAGATCAAGACATTCGTATGAAAAAAGCAAACGTAAAACGTGATTATCTCTTCTCTAATCATATCCATTATTAAGAGCCGGGCAAAGCTGAATATAGCTACCGGCGAAGCCGGCAATGGGGAGGGGGTTTGGAGGAGGGGCTTACCCCCAACCACCAAGAGCATAACGCATCTATTTCAATACTTGATAGCATTGATTTATAGGGGAGTTTTAGCGTAGCGAACCAGAGATGCAAAACCATGGTAATCAGGCGTCGATTTCAACGCTTGGTAACATTGATCTATATGAGGGTTCGATCGCAGCGAAGCAAAGGTGCAAATCTATGACAACTAAGTATCCAATCCAGCATTTAGTAACATTGATCAATACGAGGGCTTGATCGTAGCGAATCGAATATGCAAAACCATAGTATTTAAGCAGCAAATTTGATTTCTCATTTCCTTTATTAATAATGGATTGTTTGAAATCTACTTATATAGCAGATTTTATTGTTACTGGCGAATGTTTATGCTTCGGATGGCTCTCTATCTTTGTTTCCCTTCGGTGAAAACCAACCTGCACAGCGGCAGCTTGCGCTTCAGATTGCCTCCCTTGCGTATCTTATTATCAGAATACTGCTACTTTCATTTTGACTCTCCACTTACACATTGTAATGAAATAGCCAACCAAACGCAACTTGATTGAAAACCAAAGTTCATCAAATAGCACTCATTCAAATTCATGCTATTTGGATCTATTAATGAAAGCGCTCAAATGTACATCAAAAACCCATTTAAAAATACTAAAGTAAAGATACACGCTTATATCGCACATCGTGTGAATGAATCACTCCTGATCACAGTGTATTCAATCACACCCATGATGGTCGTAATAGGTGATGGTATCTTTATCCAAATAGAATCAAATCAATAACAAGCATATTCAAATATGACAACTATGCCCTGCTACCATAGTTGCACAATATCCCAGATAAAGGATTCCATGCTTCAATAACAAACATCACACTTTAAACCATCAAGGTTACATTAAACCATGCTATGACGATAGCTCACCCAAGCCCATCAAAGTTACTCAAATCGACCCTTATGGCCAGTGCTCTTGCATTGATTACCACTTTAAATCAAACGTCAACAACATTTGCCAGATATCGCAGTAGCAGCACCTATTACTCTTTAACATCACTAATCCTACAAGCTAGTTGCAAATGTATAAATACTCTTCTTTTTTTTTTTTACTCAATTCCAGGATCTTCATTTCATTTTATACACAAATAAAATACAGTTGATTTCTATTGTATTTTACCTTTGCTTTATTTTTTTTTTGTGAAATCTATTCAAACCTGATTTCACTGCAAGAATAAAAGCATCGATAACTTAGAAATTGAGCTCCGTACAATGCAGAACATCAGGGACATTAGAACGAATTGTAATGCACTTACTCTTCTGGCAACGCAACCTACTACACCGTCGTTTTAGGTCGAATTCTGTTCAAATCTAGCCATTTTCAAGCACGAATATCTCATGCCACAAAGCGTTTTGAGCGCTTGAAATAGCTTCATATGCCTTCTCTTGGCTACGCTTTACTTCTTGATGCTTTATCTCAATTTTTCTTTGGGTCGTTGCAAATTCATGAAAATCATCGTTTTTCCATGAGTATTAGCAAGGGAAAATTTTTGAAAATCAAACGATCGCGTTTTTCACGTCAAAAGTGAAGACTTTTCTTATAACACATATCAGACCAAATTAATCGTACAGATGAAATGCAACATTGGAAACTCTTTCTATGAGACTTTCATATGCTAAATTTTGACATATTCACAGAAAGCCTGTTTTCATATTTTTGCAAATTGCTTATTATTTTCAGTCTGAAGGCTGAATGTAACCAGCACCATTCGATGCGGCTTCTTTAGTCCTCTAGAAATGTATTAGAGAGTTGGGTGTGACAACGACAGTTTTCATGGTCAAATTTAGCAAAAACCTTTAAAGGATGTGAGATCAAGTCAAGTTTGAACACGAAAATACCACTGCACAATTTCAAATTAAATTGCCGCAATTACTACTGCTATGGTACAAGGCTGAGACTAAATTTACTGGCCATGACGTCGGATAGGGTGCCCTCTCATTTCTCCATGCCTCCGTTTTTTTACCCTTTTTGCAAGACGCGTTTTAGTATCAAGCTATGGTGGTTTTGGACACCGTTTGATTGATAATAACACTCTAGCTTCCGACAACTCTGTCTTGTACTGTTGGAAGAACTTGATACTGCTTCTTTGAAGTGGAGTATATTAGGTACCATTCGATAACGAGCACTGGAAGGCGTAGAAGTAACATTAATTCAATTTGTTTATTAGGTTTTAATAATTTCTTGCTTGTTTGAGTGCTGTTGCCATTACTTCTCTGCCATTTCTGCTGCCTGTTTCTTTGGTTTATCATGTCTGGTGATTGCTTCTTTGGCCTTTGTCTGGTCTCTGCTGGTATCGCTTGTTCTTTGGTTTGTCTACGGTACTGGTGTTGCTGCTGCTGCTGCTGCTATTACGGTCTTTCCTGGTCTACTGTGTTTGGTGCAAGTTCATTGTCTGGTCTATATCCGGTGGTTGCATATCTTCTGGTCTATCTACGGTGATGGTAAGTGATAAGTATCTTCTTTCTTCTGGCCGCAATGATATAAAACTTCCTTGAACGTTTGTATTATTGCTTCCTTTCTCATCATGTTACTGCATTCATGGCGTTTACTTTTTTGTTGCGTTTTTCCTCTTCTTTTGTTGGTTGTATTGCTTTACATCCGACTATTACCATGCATGTTGCTCATGTATGGATTTTTGTTGCAACAACAACGAGCTGTTCAGAGCGTCTCTGATGTTGTGTTTGTTATACTTTTCTTTGGCTCACTTTGTGTGAGTATTCCTCTTTTGCCTACGTACTACTATACTCCTATAGCAGTATGTTCTTTTCTTCTTTCTTTTTTTATTATTATTATGCTTCTTTGAAGCATACCTTTTTCTTACGTTGTGTGGATGTGCCTATCCCTGAAGCTCAACAAGACTCTATCCGAGACTAGGAGGTAGATAGGCTGCCTTCACTTGGTTATCACTACTTACTTTAGTGATGATTGAGGGTCTCAATGCCAGAATTTAGAGCTAGGTGGTGTAAGTAAGGCATGCTCTAGCACCTGAGGGAAATTTGATGATAGCAGCGGCTATATTGCTATATGTAGCGGCGCTTAAAATTTTGCCTCACATCAAAACAGAGGGAAACCCTCGCAAATTTTTTTTTAGATCAGCGGAGTTTTCAAGCGATTTGATTGGCTCAGAGGTTTAGGGACCGAAGGATTCTAGCTAGTTGATCTCCTATTGAGCTTTCATCTTTAATGAGTTTATATTTGCAATAAAAGAGTATCCAAATAGACCTGTAATGAAATAGCTACCCAAACGCAACTTGATTGAAAACCGAAATTCATCAAATAGCACTCATTCAAATTAATGCTATTTGGATCTATTAATAAAAGCGCTCAAATGTACATCAAAAAACCATTTAAAAAATACTAAAGTAAAGATGCATGCTTATATCGCACATCGTGTGAATGAATCACTCCTGATCACAGTGTATTCAATCACACCCATGATGGTCGTAATAAGTGATGGTATCTTTATCCAAATAGAATCAAATCAATAGCAAGCATATTCAAATATGACAACTATGCCCTGCTGCCATAGTTGCACAATCTCCTAGATAAAGGGTTCCACACTTCAATAACAAACATCACGCTTTAAACCATCAAGGTTACATTAAATCATGCTATGACAATAGCTTACCCAAGCCCATCAAGGTTACTCAAATCGACCCTTATGGCCAGTGCTCTTGCATTGATTACCACTTTAAATCAAACGTCAACAACATTTGCCAGATATCGCAGTAGCAGCACCTATTACTCTTTAACATCACTAATCCTACAAGCTAGTTGCAAATGTATAAATACTCTTCTTTTTTTTTTTACTCAATTCCAGGATCTTCATTTCATTTTATACACAAATAAAATACAGTTGATTTCTATTGTATTTTACCTTTGCTTTATTTTTTTTTGTGAAATCTATTTAAACCTGATTTTTTCACTGCAAATGTATCTTGAGCAAAGAACATAAAACGGCTGTTGTCAACTTTATTGATGCTAACCCCTCTGCTGTTGTTGTTGAAGTGACTGAAGCAATTTAGAGATCTTAAATCTTCACGTAGCACTGTTTATAATTTCATGAGAAACGAATTCAATCTTTCGTTGAAGAAAGCCGACTTCCATTCTATCGAAAGAAACAGTATTGCAAAGCTCGAGGAGCGATACAATTGGGTTTGTAAATGGGAAAATACAGACATGAACTTCCTGACGAATTGTGTGTTTCTTGACGAATCTACTTTTGATATAAACATGAAACGCTCCGGAGCTTGGTCCAAAAAAGGTACGCATGCCATAGTTACCAGGCCTACTACGAGAGCAAACACGACATCTATCTTGGGCGCTATCTCTATTGCAGCTTTGATTGCAGTCGGTGTAAAAAAAACCAAGGCTTGCTAAGAAGAGAAAGGCTGGAGAATATGTAAGCTCAGGAACTGTAACAGGCCACTACATTAGTTTCTTAAAAATGACTCTCGATAAAATGGACAAACATCCACAGATGAAAGATCACTACATAATCATGGATAATGCGCCCATTCACACGCATGAAAACATAAAGAAGTATATTGAGTATCGAGGTTATAAATGTGTGTATCTTCCTACTTACTCTCCTGAGCTTAATCCAATAGAGCAATATTTGGCGGTGGCAAAAAGTAAAGTTAAGCGTTATCGGTTTTTGCAGGAAGGTACTTTGACAAAAAGAATAACAGAGGCCTGCAAAAGCGTGGAGAAAAGTCACTTCAAAGGTTTTGTTTTGCATTCTTACAAGTGCTGGAATAAATGTCGAAATAAAGAACCTATGTAATGGTCATCAATGGCTTCACCGCAGCCAACAATGAGCGATGAGAATCAGGAAAGCGGAAAAAGGTGATCTACTTTGGCAAGACTTACAGCAAAAAAAAAAGAGAGAGAGAGAGAATCATTATCCGTAACCGATGAAAGCTTAATGTAACCAGTGCAAGCTTAATGTAACCGGTGCAAGCTTAACCAGTGCAAGCTTAACCGGTGTGAGCTTAATGTAACCAGTGCAAGCAACTGTTGTAAACCAGTAGAAATCGGAATAAGAGTTCCAAAGGCCTTGGACATAGTAAATGGATGTATTTATTCATGAAAATTTGATTTGGAATTTAACTTTTGCATGTAAATCACTGGTTTTTTAAGGCCAGACCTGACCGTTTCACAGGTGCTTTACGGCAGTCAAATTTGGAAATGATATTGGTACCCATCAGTTCTGCCCGATCAAATGATTCTAACTTGTGACCATGATCAATAACGACTCGCTTAATTGCCTTGGTATTCCTACAGAAGAGATAGAGATAGCATATAAATTTGATTATTACTACGTTGGTCTGTCTAATTTTTTTAATCACCTGATAAATGTACGGATATCAGACGGGCTTGTAGAAAGCCCAGCATAGTCCAGGACAACCAATCTGATAGAAAGCGTTGAGGTTGTTGCAAACATAAGGAGATCTATGTCAATAAAAGAAACGATGGATATAGAAATCATTGACAAGCCTTTTTTTTTTGTTACCTTGGAAGTCACCATTTTGGAATCGCAATTTTTCCATCAAATTTTTGGCAGTGAGTGTGGAAGATTTGTCTCTTGTTAAAAGGTCGGAGTCGGCTCGGCAAACGGGTGAAATGAACACTTTTTCACAGAGATCATTGATCCGTAAGTTATACACCATTTTTTGTAATAGCTCCAGGCGCCTTTCGCATTTTTCTTTCGATGGAGACTTTCTGCAATAACCAATAGCTATCCAGCCCGTTGATTGGCGTACCGATTCACGGAAAGACCTGCGGTTGAATATTTTTTTCATATGATCTCCTATTCCCTACCAAAAGATAAAAGAAAATCAATCGTTTATCAATCATTTTTCAATTGTCTAAGATGACTTACTCACAAATCCGGGCTTCAGCACCCATAATTTCCTTGCTTTAATCACGTCATACCCTTGACGCATGGATTTGGATTGACCAAAAGACCCATTATTCTTAATCCATTTACTTATCTGGTTAGCAGTGATCGAATCCTTTGCACTCGGGATATTGGCTGTCATCAGGTTAAAGATGTCCGTCTCGGTTAACGATTTGAAATCATAGTGGCTCTTGGAACAACTTGATGGATCAATTGTTAAAACGCCGCACAGAAAGTCCAAGATGCTTGCTTTTGTTGGTTTGATGTCTAAAAAAAATATTAGATTTGAGTATACAGTGCTCTAAATTTGTTACCATGACAACTGTCCATTGATTTGCATGAGCTGGAGCCTGAATGAAAGGAAGGAATTGTAAGAAGGTAAGCAAATGACATTTCTAAGAAACACTGATAGCTTACTGCTTTCAATCTTAGTTAATGCATAGTCATCGCTTTCAGCAGATTGAATGACGTTTTTAGTTTCAATGTCATCTGGAAATTCATCTTGAGGAGGTGGTGTATCAGGGTATCCAAAACATGTGAAAGAATCGCGCTGGGCGACTGCTTTGCCAATTGCAATGGGTCGCGTATTGCCTCTCTCCAATGTGTAAACAACTTCAAACAGCGTCTCTTCAACAATGGTCTTGCACTTGACACGATTAGCTTCTGTCACTGCCTCACCTAACACCAAACACGCTGCTTGTCCTTTTGTAATAAATTTTGTTATGACAATAGTTATGTTGTGGTCTCAAATAAAAAAAGTCAAAAAAAAAGAGCTATACTAAAAAAAAAAAGGGAAACACTACACACACGGCGAGAAAATTGGAAGACTCCTTTTTTTCAGGAAACCTTCAATTTGATCAGCAGCCGAGTAAATTTAAAAATTTCGAAAAAGTGGTGGTAGTGGTAGTGGTAAAGTGACTGGATAAGTTGCCAATGGCGATCTCGTTCTGCATTATTAAATTTTCTGGACATCATCGTGCGAGTTTTGCTACCTTGAAGCAAACAAATCAGGTTCAAGCAGCGCTTACATCTAATATGGCTGAAATCCTACGTCTCGAACTTGCATGATCAATTGAGAAGTCTCCAAGATTGCGGATCTGACTCATTTCAAGTGTTCCCACGTCTTAGATCCATGACAACCACTCGTAAACGGACAAGCCGCATACTAGAATAACCTCTCACTGCCTAGAAATATGCAAAACACAGTGACATGTGGATACATTTGAGCCATGGTTTCTCGTGTTGGAAGCCGTTTTAACCCACCAGAGTAGTACCGAACGATTGCTCTCATCTGGCAGTTACTTTCTGACACCTTTGCTCAACTTTTTGGGGATCAAAAAAACATGAGGGGCACCTCATGCTTTTCATCAAAAATCATGGTTTTCTCCGCTAAAGATCACAAAATAGCAGAAAAAGGTAGACCCTCCAGTAATGGAGGCTCTACGCTGGATTCTAGCCATAATCCAGGCAACAACATTTTTACCTATGCATCGCTTTTTCAAGATATCAAGAGTCAGAAGCGAACAACCTTCAACATTGCTCCAGCTATCGACAACAACGCCTCCACAACTGGAAGACATTTGGACTACAATTCAACATTTGTAGAAGCTAAAGACGGCTATTCCTTCGTCATTGACTGTGCTCAATTTGCTGGGATGGTGTTCAGAGAGAAGTCTTTGCTCATTTGTCTTTGTGGAATACATCCACTATGATCTGCATTCCGACAGTTCATCCAGTTACCAGATTTAGATATAAACTGTATGTACACTGGATTAGATGTACGGTATCGATTTATACTATAAGAAGATATGGACTTCAGATACGCTAGTACTATAAGATTCATACTATATAAGATATAGACTATGAAAAACGTTTAGATGTATAGATAAATGTATATTGGTTTATAATTCGCAAAAATTTTGTAAATTTAACGTTTAATTTGAATTTAATTATAATTGTGAATCAAATTTTATTTAAAATTATAACAAGTAACCAACATTTCAATTATGGATAAAAAGACAACATTACATTTATGTCTTGCATTTTGTGTAACATTATGTTAAAATAATAAATATAAATGTTCCTCTATAGATGGCACCACGGACATGGATGGCGCTATAGACTTATACTTGTATTCCGACATTGACTACGGATGTTTGCCATATCTGGATAGGCACCAAGATTAATGCAATATGAGCTTGTTGCTTCAGATGTGCACTTCATGATCCACGCTATAAGACACATGCTTATATTCGTGATACTAGCTACAGATACTTTATGTACTACAGACTTGTACTATATATGAGACATGCTATAGACATGCATATGATATGTTATAGACATGCCATATATCCAGATACATGTTAAAGATGTATGCTTAGCGATATACACTCAGATATGTACTATTGATATAGACTAAGGAGACTGTACCTATCGAATATATGCTACTAGATTGATATTATTAATTACTCTTATAGAAAGGATAGATCAGGGTACTTCGGATGAGAGTCTAATTATTCATCCAGACAGAGCTAAATCATGATTAGCTTGCTGGAGTTGTCTTTTAGCATGATTATACATTAGTTGATCTGAGTTAACTTATTTGTCAATCTAATTAATAGAACTTTTATCCATTGTTATAGTATATAAGAAGGATCGTCTATCTGGCCAGTAGAGAGACTTCAGTTTACTTGGTACCTGTCAGTTTGATAATAAAACATACCTTTATCAAGTTGGCTTTACTGTTTTTTTATTCTTTTCTTTCCGTGAATTTTAGTCTATAAAGCCTCAAATTCCACAGGTTCCATACTTCAATAACAAACATCACGCTTTAAACCATCAAGGTTACATTAAATCATGCTATGACGATAGCTCACCCAAGCCCATCAAAGTTACTCAAATCGACCCTTATGGCCAGTGCTCTTGCATTGATTACCACTTTAAATCAAACGTCAACAACATTTGCCAGATATCGCAGTAGCAGCACCTATTACTCTTTAACATCACTAATCCTACAAGCTAGTTGCAAATGTATAAATACTCTTCTTTTTTTTTTTTACTCAATTCCAGGATCTTCATTTCATTTTATACACAAATAAAATACAGTTGATTTCTATTGTATTTTACCTTTGCTTTATTTTTTTTTTGTGAAATCTATTCAAACCTGATTTCACTGCAAGAATAAAAGCATCGATAACTTAGAAATTGAGCTCCGTACAATGCAGAACATCAGGGACATTAGAACGAATTGTAATGCACTTACTCTTCTGGCAACGCAACCTACTACACCGTCGTTTTAGGTCGAATTCTGTTCAAATCTAGCCATTTTCAAGCACGAATATCTCATGCCACAAAGCGTTTTGAGCGCTTGAAATAGCTTCATATGCCTTCTCTTGGCTACGCTTTACTTCTTGATGCTTTATCTCAATTTTTCTTTGGGTCGTTGCAAATTCATGAAAATCATCGTTTTTCCATGAGTATTAGCAAGGGAAAATTTTTGAAAATCAAACGATCGCGTTTTTCACGTCAAAAGTGAAGACTTTTCTTATAACACATATCAGACCAAATTAATCGTACAGATGAAATGCAACATTGGAAACTCTTTCTATGAGACTTTCATATGCTAAATTTTGACATATTCACAGAAAGCCTGTTTTCATATTTTTGCAAATTGCTTATTATTTTCAGTCTGAAGGCTGAATGTAACCAGCACCATTCGATGCGGCTTCTTTAGTCCTCTAGAAATGTATTAGAGAGTTGGGTGTGACAACGACAGTTTTCATGGTCAAATTTAGCAAAAACCTTTAAAGGATGTGAGATCAAGTCAAGTTTGAACACGAAAATACCACTGCACAATTTCAAATTAAATTGCCGCAATTACTACTGCTATGGTACAAGGCTGAGACTAAATTTACTGGCCATGACGTCGGATAGGGTGCCCTCTCATTTCTCCATGCCTCCGTTTTTTTACCCTTTTTGCAAGACGCGTTTTAGTATCAAGCTATGGTGGTTTTGGACACCGTTTGATTGATAATAACACTCTAGCTTCCGACAACTCTGTCTTGTACTGTTGGAAGAACTTGATACTGCTTCTTTGAAGTGGAGTATATTAGGTACCATTCGATAACGAGCACTGGAAGGCGTAGAAGTAACATTAATTCAATTTGTTTATTAGGTTTTAATAATTTCTTGCTTGTTTGAGTGCTGTTGCCATTACTTCTCTGCCATTTCTGCTGCCTGTTTCTTTGGTTTATCATGTCTGGTGATTGCTTCTTTGGCCTTTGTCTGGTCTCTGCTGGTATCGCTTGTTCTTTGGTTTGTCTACGGTACTGGTGTTGCTGCTGCTGCTGCTGCTATTACGGTCTTTCCTGGTCTACTGTGTTTGGTGCAAGTTCATTGTCTGGTCTATATCCGGTGGTTGCATATCTTCTGGTCTATCTACGGTGATGGTAAGTGATAAGTATCTTCTTTCTTCTGGCCGCAATGATATAAAACTTCCTTGAACGTTTGTATTATTGCTTCCTTTCTCATCATGTTACTGCATTCATGGCGTTTACTTTTTTGTTGCGTTTTTCCTCTTCTTTTGTTGGTTGTATTGCTTTACATCCGCCTATTACCATGCATGTTGCTCATGTATGGATTTTTGTTGCAACAACAACGAGCTGTTCAGAGCGTCTCTGATGTTGTGTTTGTTATACTTTTCTTTGGCTCACTTTGTGTGAGTATTCCTCTTTTGCCTACGTACTACTATACTCCTATAGCAGTATGTTCTTTTCTTCTTTCTTTTTTTATTATTATTATGCTTCTTTGAAGCATACCTTTTTCTTACGTTGTGTGGATGTGCCTATCCCTGAAGCTCAACAAGACTCTATCCGAGACTAGGAGGTAGATAGGCTGCCTTCACTTGGTTATCACTACTTACTTTAGTGATGATTGAGGGTCTCAATGCCAGAATTTAGAGCTAGGTGGTGTAAGTAAGGCATGCTCTAGCACCTGAGGGAAATTTGATGATAGCAGCGGCTATATTGCTATATGTAGCGGCGCTTAAAATTTTGCCTCACATCAAAACAGAGGGAAACCCTCGCAAATTTTTTTTAGGTCAGCGGAGTTTTCAAGCGATTTGATTGGCTCAGAGGTTTAGGGACCGAAGGATTCTAGCTAGTTGATCTCCTATTGAGCTTTCATCTTTAAAGAGTTTATATTTGTAATAAAAGAGTATCCAAATAGACCTGCAATAAAATAGCCACCCAAACGCAACTTGATTGAAAACCGAAATTCATCAAATGGCACTCATTCAAATTCATGCTATTTGGATCTATTAATAAAAGCGCTCAAATGTACATCAAAAAACCATTTAAAAATACTAAAGTAAAGATGCATGCTTATATCGCACATCGTGTGAATGAATCACTCCTGATCACATTGTATTCAATCACACCCATGGTGGTCGTAATAAGTGATGGTATCTTTATCCAAATAAAACCAAATCAATAACAAGCATATTCAAATATGACAACTATGCCCTGCTGCCATAGTTGCACAATATCCCAGATAAAGGATTCCATACTTCAATAACAAACATCACACTTTAAACCATCAAGGCTACATTAAATCATGCTATGACGATAGCTCACCCAAGCCCATCAAAGTTACTCAAATCGACCCTTATGGCCAGTGCTCTTGCATTGATTACCACTTTAAATCAAACGTCAACAACATTTGCCAGATATCGCAGTAGCAGCACCTATTACTCTCTAACATCACTAATCCTACAAGCTAGTTGCAAATGTATAGATGCTCTTCTTTTTTTTACTCAATTCCAGGATCTTCTGTTCATTTTATACACAAATAAAATACAGTTGATTTCTATTGTATTTTACCTTTGCTTTATTTTTTTTTTGTGAAATCTATTCAAACCTGATCTCACTGCACACATGACAAACCTTCATATTATCTGTAGATCTGATTCTTATGTGATGCTCTACATTTATATATACATTGCTACTTCATATACGGGCAAGTATAGCACACTGGTACTTCCCCTTTTTAGTGTTTAGTGTCCCTAATACAGCAAATCTGAGTGCATTTGAGCTGCGTTTTCTTGCGTAGGGCCGTTTTAGATTGCCAGAATAACACCAGACAATTGCTCTCATCTGGTGCGTACTTTCTGACACCTTTGCTCAACTTTTTGGAGGCCCAGAAAACATGGCCAAAAATCAGCCAAAAAGCATGAGGTACCCCTCATGGTTTTCATCAAAAATCAAACGATCGCATTTTTCACCTTGATAATGAAGAATTTTATTATGTTATGATATTGAATCAAAATGTTTGTCTCGATCCAAAGCAACTTCTGAAACCACTTTGATGAGGCTTTCATATGCAAAATATGGCTATTTTCGCTAAAAATCTCATTTCTAATTATATTAAATTGCTCAATAAGCTCAGTCAAAACACGTATTGGAGTTAGCACCATTGGAAACTCCTTGAAAAGTACTTTAAGAATGTATTAGGAAGCATAGGGTGATCATCACAATCTATATAGTCGAATCTAGTAAAATAGATTAAAGAAGTCGAAAAAAGACGAAATCAGTCCAATCTTGACAGAAAAAAAAAAAAGTAAACTGAGTTTAAATTGATTTTGGCGACGGCTGCTGGTTACAAGATGTGTGTCTGATGAAGGCAATCAATGTTATTGAAGCTGTCATCCACATACTACTCCACCTTCAGAAGACAATGCAAGTACCAAGTTAAAGATTGACTTGCATGGCAATAGACAGTTGGCCTTTATTTACCTATCTTAATACTGCATAATTCAAGAACAAATACCTTTTTAATGGAGCCAGCACACATCTACAAGGAACAGAAAAGTATTTATTTGATGTTTAAAATGTATGAAAAAAAAAAGTAAAAAGGTATTAAAAAGAAAAAAAAAACTTGAAATTATTTACTATTATAAAGGAAAGGAAAAACAACTAACTATTAAAACTATATATTGTAACGAATTTATGCATTTGATGAGCTGACAATCAAGCCATTATTGTCACCTCTAAATAACTTTTCTGATGTGATATATTTCTCTTGTCTGTTTAACAAACGCTTGACACATGCCAACGTGGATGGCAATGTCATAAACAACCATGCTGCGACTGGTAAATTGATGTAATCTATCAAGTGGGACCACTTACGACTCTCTTGCTTGGACTTGAACAGAAATTCTCTATCAATGGCACGGTGCAATTGTTCATACACGGCCAACGTGCCAAACAAGGGCAACGGCAAGCACAGTGTGATGATACGGATCAAGCTCCACAGATGGCCAAAGAATTCGCTGGTCAAGATGGGGTTGTCAGAAGGAGCAATCAAAGCCAAAGAAGCAAAAGGTGGGAACAAGATGAACTGCATCAAGGGGACAGCAGCAAACATGAGCCAGCCTGAAGTAGCAGGCACCATATGTGCTTCCAAGATGATAAAGCACACCTTGAGACGTTCAAACAGGCTGATTGATGAGGAGGAGGACTGGAACGCATTCTTGAGCGTATAAGCAACATCTGCTACACCATTGTAATGACGCTTGGCTTGAACATAACGAGCACTGACGTTACTCAGATAGCTTTCCGTCTGCACATTGGTCAAGTTGATAGGTACATGGATGGGAGCTGTGCGCACTTGTCCTTGCGTTTTCCAAAAGCATTTCAACCACATATGCATGTCTTCACCTACTGCATCTGCATCCGTATCCCAATAACCTACTTTGTCTGCCAACACCATGGAAAGAGAATAGTTGCTGCAAGGAATGCACATGCCTCTACTGTTGCTCAAATTCGACATGACCATAGCGGACCAAGTGATGTCTGTAACGCGCACAGCAGCAGGTACATCAAAGCAGTTGCGAGAAAAGAAGATGGGTGGTGCACACAAGAGGTGGTAAGGGTCTTCAGCCTTGTTCAATGCCTCTTCCACTTCACGAATATAGAGCTCGGGTATGGCTGAGTCCGAATCAGATACTGTAATGATGATTCTGCGACGATCGATACCTTGGTCGACCAATTCCATACAGCCATGGCGAGCAGCATAAGCAACATTGGATCCTTTGCCACGACTTTCACCAGGAATATCTGAGGGATGGCCAGTAATGACAATATGAGCAAAGCGATCACTGAAATAAGATTGAAGACGACGAGCCTTTGCTTCCCAACCAGGTTCAGATTGTTCCATAGCCAAAATCAAGCCATAATGGGTCTGAGCGGTACTATTAGAGAAGCAGATAAATATCTTGTGTGTATGTGTCTCTATCTGTAAGTGAATCTTTACCTATGGCTGGCAATGCGTTCAATGGTATCCTTTAAAAGACCCTCTGGTTCAGCATAGTTGGGCACAATGAAGGCATGAAAGTAGTGCGTGTCTTGGTAGTATTGCAGCTTCTCCTCTACATCTTCTAATGTTTCATCATCACTGTTGCTGTGCTTGATGATCTCTGTGTCCTGCTTTTTGTTGCCACCAGTGATGGTTTTATCCAACCTCTTATTCCATTTACGGATTGTCATTCTGATCTTGCGAGATGTTAAAAAGAACTTGCACACATGGTTTACTTGAGTGTATAAAAAGACGGTAAAATAAAGAAACAAGACGACAAGATAAGTGCGAGGAAAGAAGAGCGGGCCCAAAGGAAGCACTGCTAGCGAGGCAATGGGAACTAGAGGTGCTACCCACTCTGAAGGTGATAACAGACGAGACATGTACAAGAAAGCAAAGTGTTACAAAAGAAAGAAAGAAACGAGAAAGAGAAAAAGAAAAAATCAGTCTAAAATAAAAAAAAAAAAAAAAAAAAAAAAAAAAAAAAAAAAAAAAGATTCAACACTACAGCTTTGCCCCACATACATCAACACACACACACACACACATACAAACCACATGCATACATACACCACATGTAGATAGAGTAACACCATTCGCTTCGTCCAACACAATCCTCGGTGAAAACTACGGCAAGCTATAGGCATCGTCTTGAGCCAAATGGAGTGCGATTGTTTCGATTCATCCCTCGGTGATCTGCTCCTATGGTCATGATTGCTGTATAATATATATCTCACCAGTCACCGGTATCAAACGGATCGAATATGGATGGTAGGGCTGTGTTGGGTTTCGCCGCCGCTGGTTTCTGCTGGGCAAATGTGAGTTCCAATCAGACCATCGATGCTGAGCATTACTTGGTCTCCTCCTCCTTCTTGGCAAACAAAAATAAATGAGTGATTTATTAGCTTGATGTTTAAACTACGGTCGATCTCTTGAAATGAGCAATTAGCATACTCCCTGGCCAACATCTTGATTTTCAATTGAGGATGTTTCCCGTTACTCAATCATCTTACCTAAAGGACTGCAATGTGTTTCTCTTGGAAAAATCAAAACATCCAATGAGACATGTCTTCTATCGCTGTGGTCAAATCAAATGACACCTTTTTAATTAAAACAAGCTTTTTTCGTTTCTATAGCAAAGTATGACACTCTAGTGTATATACATTGTGCTTGAGATCGAACTAAAAAGCAGCTCCTCATCTGGATGGTTTTTCAATAGAGTTTATAGTTTTTGCTCTCTTTCTCTTTCTCTCTCTCTCTCTCTCTCTTGATCATTGAATTGCAGGCGAGTTTTTGTCATTCAATGACATGTTCCTGATTCAAATCGAAGGCTTATATTTACAAGCCAATAATAAGCTATGGAAGGCTGTTTGTTCATTTAACCTTGATGCTTATATAACTTGGGCTGCCGTCCAATGCGTTCGCTTATTTGAATGGCTATACAGTAGCATAGGCTAGCCAACTCAGCGCACCATTCATCTCGCTTTTTTTTTAAACTTTCCTGATTTCATAATGAGGACTGACGACACACTCTTTTAACCGACTTTAGGCAAGAGATCGACGTACATTGACATTTATAAGCTCTATTCAGCTGAAACGTCTTTGAATGCTGTGAACGAACAAAGCAAAACGATCGTTTGATGTGCTTTAAAATGGTACACAGTTCTTTTTTTTTTTCCGTCAAGTAATGATTCATGCTGCCACAGTGACCAGCTACAGACTTACTAGAGTATTCAGTAGATGCAAATACGGTGAACAAGAGCAAATTTGACAATTTAATACAGCAAAATCATGATTGTTTAGTATATATATATATATATATATGCTAAATTGCTATATGAAATCCATGATTGTGGGAGGGGGGGGGGGGTTCATACCCTATTTACATACGACAAGCCACTGTTAAACAGCTTTCGTCTTGCCTTTGTCTCGGCTTGCATTACCACCGCGACCACCACTGCGACCACCACCACGGCCTCCTCTTCCACGGCCTCTGTTGGCTGCTCTGTCCGCCTTGGCTTTAGCAGCTGCTTTTTGCTTCTTGTCTCTTTCCAGTCTTTCGCCCCAATAAGCTTCGTAATTATCATCCTTGAAGGTATCGTCTTGTAGTTCTGCAGCTCGCATTGCTTCTCGTTCCTTGATACTCTCTGGCTCAAATCCACCCATGCCCAAAATCTCTTGAAATTTATTAACAGCTTCCCAGAAATGCGTGTTGGAGGGTGATAAGAATGTAACAGGGATTGGGTTACTGGCAGTGGCACCCTCAAGATCTGGAGGAGGAAGTAGTTTTGCCAGCTTTGCTTGTTCGTCGATCGGAAGACCAGACATCAGTTGAGGGATAAGTACCTATATCATGGGCATTATTAGTTCAAGCATGTCTCAAGTTGAATGCAATATAACACTCACCTTGAAATCCTCGTCCACTAGGAAACTGTCTCTACTTTCAATGTACGTTTGGAATTGTGCTGGGTCCTGCTCTTGTACTTGCTCATCCTCTGTAGCTTCGACTGGTGTAGCAGTAGCAGTAGTAGTAGTAGCAGCAGCAGTATACACGTCCAGCATGATATGATCATCATCCTCATCTCTGTACTTGGGCTTCTTCCTTTGTCTAGTAGATTGACGACGACTGGCACTGGTGTTAGACTCGGGCGGCCCCTTGCGCTTCTTTGCCTTGTTTCCATCTGTTGCATCTACCACGGTGCTGACATCTTTCATGTCTTGTTGCTCTACTGACTCGGTGGCCTTCTTGCTCGATGTGCGTTTTCTTTTCTTTGTAGGGACTGCATCACTTGCCGTACTTGTTACTTGATTCTCTTGATCAAGACTATCCGCGTTTGCCAAAGGTGAGCTTAAAGTAGCTTCAGATGCAGCAGCTTCAATGGCTGGAGTTTCCACAGCCTTCGCTTTGTATGTCTTTTTCTTGCTGGGTGCCTTTGGCTTAGTAGATGTCTTTGAAGTAGGTGTTGCCTTTGGCTTTCGAGGCGATTTTGCCTTGGGGGGTTTCGTTGCCTTTGTTGTACTAGCAACTGTTTCATTTTCAGCAAGGTAGGTTGTGTCTTGAGCCGCCTCGGTTATCGCAATATCAACTGCTTCCTTGTCTACGAGACTACTTACTGCCTGAGAAGTTGAGGGCAAATCAGTTCCCAGTGCCTCGATCGATGGGGTTTGAGCAGCGTCATGGATGGACGTAGAGGACGTAGCATCATTGTCAGTGGCATCCATCATGGAACCGTCTCTAGCTTTCGCTTTTGGTGTATTTGATACTTTTTGTGCCTTTGGTGCCTTTGGTGCCTTTGCTTTACCCGACGATTTTGCATTAGGTGTTGCTTTAGCAGGTCTTTTTGCTTTGGACTTTCCCTTTCCTTTTCCCTTTGCCGCTGTTGTATTGGCAGCTGCTCCATTTTCTGCAAGATTGACTGTGTCTGTTAACACCTCGTTCGTTGTAGTATCAATGGCCTCACTATCTACAGCATCAATCACTTTTGAATTTGTTGAAGTTTTGGGCAAATCAGTTTGAGGTGCGTTGATAGCTGGCATTGAGAGAGCATCATTGGTTGAAGGTAAGGCTGTAGCAATTGTGCCAGTGGCGCTCATCATGAGAGTATCAACTGCCTCAGCTTTTGATGTTTGTGGCTTACGTGGTGTCTTTGCCTTGGGAAGTGTTTCTGCTTTTGCCTTTGTTGCACTCACCATTTCTTCATTACCAATAGCATCTAGGGTTGCTGAGGATGAGGCTTCAGGTGCTTCGCTCATTGGAGCCAAAGCAGCATTATGGATCAAAGGTGAAAATGGCACAGCAGTATCGTCAGTGGCATCCATCATTGGAGTATCGACAGCGTCAGTCTCCGGTGCATTTGGCTTACTGTGTGATGCTTTTTTTCGAGGCGTGTTTGCTTTGGTCTTTGCCTTGGTTTCCATTGTGCTATTTGCTTCTTCAATTACAGCAAGATTGAGCGCATTCGTATCTGTTGAGGATGAAGCTTCAGGTACATTGCTAGTAGAACAAGTTGGAGCAGTGTCCGTGGCCGAGGATGGTGGTGGTGGTGGTGGTGGAAGAGGAAGCGGTGCAGCGATCATGTCAGTTGCATCACCGGCTTTTGGTGCTTCCAATTTGCGAGATGTTTTTGCATTAGACTTTTTCTGCGTCTTTGCCGGTGTCTTTGTTTGTGGCTTTATCTTTGTTACGGCTGCACTAGCCACTGTCTCCTTTGCTTCAAGATGGATGGCATCCAGAACAGGCTCTTTTGCTACAGTATCGTTGGTCTCATTCTCTGAAACACGGATACCTTGGACATGATCTAAAGACAAAGGCAAATCAACTTGAGACGCATTGCTGCTAGTTGGAACTGGATTAGCAGTGTTAACTAGAGGTGAAGGCGCGATGACGCTCGAATCAGTAGCATCCGTAACTGGAGCAGCAGCAGTTTGAGCTTTTGGCCCTTTCGATTGACGAGCTACTTTTGCTTTTGTCTTTTGCTCTCCTTTGGTTCTTGGTGTCGTAGTTCTCTTGCGTTGAGATGTGACAGATGTTGTTGCTGAGGGCTGCTGTAGTCTGGGTTCAGCCATCAGTTCTCCAGTGCTGTTCAAATAATGCTTATCAGAGGTGGTAGTAGAATGAAATGCAGCAGCGGTATCAGTGCCTAAAGTAGATAGTAAATCAGCATGATTAATACCAAGCATGTCATTAGCAGCAGCTAGAGCAGAATGCACTGTACCTGAATCAGCAGTCATTGAAGCTATAGTAGTATCGGCTCTTGAGGTCGATAATGCAGGCTCTACAGCAAGAGAAGGGTAGTGAAGGTGAGGAGCGATAAATGGAGCTGGAACTTGATGTGATGATACTGGAGCTTGATGTGGAGAGACTGAATTTTGATGGAGCTGTCTTGAGCCAGGAGGATGTCTTGGTGGTCCTTGGTAAGTAGTTGGCGAGCTCGAGTAGTAGTGTCTTGAATAATAATTTTCATGTTGAGGAGAATTAGTATTGGTTGATGATTGCAAATGAGCATTGGCTGGCGATTGCATATGAGTATTCATCGGCGATTGCATATGGGTATACATTAGTGATCGTATATGAGCATAGGTTGGTGATTGCACGCGAGCATTGGCTGATGGCTGCATATGAGTATCGACCGGTGATTGCATTTGGGTATTGACTAATGATGAGCTGGTATAAGGTGATCCCGGAGTATTGGGATATTGATACGGAGCATGGCGACTCAAATGTAGATACGGAGAAGATGAGCTTGAAACAGTACTGTTAGGAGGCATGGTTGATTGCACCGCAGAAGACGCTAAAAACGATGGCGAGGCGGTAGTCGTCTGTATTTTTCTCTTGCGTGGTGTGGCCGTTTTAGGGTCTGCTTTCTTTCTTGGTGTTTTAGACTTGAAAGCTGTTGTCGCTTTTGGATTTGATTTTGCTGCTGCTTTTGGCTGTGATTGTGGTTGTAATGGCGAAGGCTGGAACACATCATCGTAACCATAAGCCATTTCAGCTACATTAATTGTCTCTGTTGGCTGTGGATTTGATTCATTTACAAGTAAAGCACCATGAAGGTCAACATGTGTAGCCTTTCTTTTGAGTGATGCTGATGAAGATGGTGTGGGCTGCATTGGGATGATGTCCTGTGCTATCATTGTATTGACATTTGCTGCCATACTGACGGTTGTTGGCTCATTGTCATTTGTGGGATGATTTACCTTTATAGACTCTGCCTGTTGGACATTCTGGCCCTCTACATACTGAATACTCTGGCTCTCCGCCTGCTGAATGGCCTGGTTTGCTTGTGCGGATCTTCGTCCTCTTGTTCTTGATGAGAATTGCTCAAGTAACTCAGGTGTATTCCAGGTATCTTCCAATTTATGGCGCTCTGAAAGTTGTTTTGGCTTTTTCTTGGCCACTTTGGAGGTATTGCTTTGCTGGTGGGTATGCTTATTGCTAATAACGGGGATGCTCCCAGTTGTGTCACTCACAGGTAACGTTTGATCCACTTTGAGATCAGAGATGATGTGTTCTGCTTGGTCATGACTGGCAATGGATTGTTGCGATGGCGATTTCGATGGGGCGTGATTTATATTCAAAGCAGGATGATTTGCTTTGGCCATCTTGATATGTTAATCGCGCGAAAAGATAATGCTGGCTAAAAATCCTCAATCAAAATGCTTTAGACACAGAGTGTGGAGAGTCACATTATAAATACTACACATAAAACTTGAAACAGACAGCACAGTAAGCTCATGAACAACGCCACTCATTGGTTTCATTAGCAAAACAACCTCATATTTTCTTGTACTGATACTGATGGTGATAATGAACTTTGTGAGCGATCAAACCCAAGAATGCGAGCATCCATGAATGCCCACCGTGCACTATGATGGAACTGAATTTTCCAGACCAATTCATCTATTAACAATCCTTACAATTTGTATGTTACAGATCAAGTCATTCTAAACTACATTGCCACTGACTTGAAGGAAACAGATAAGATGTCCATCATGGGCAACTCTCGATGGAATATTAGACTAGATAAATCACATCACACAAACCCCACATTCAAGCCCAATGCTTGCAAGTCGATGGATGGTCAAAATCTGCCAGATGCTTTCAAGATTTCCACTTGTTTCAATGCGGAAACTATAGGGGGTTGTTTATATCTGCTAGGAAGATGTAGTCTATTCATTAGTACGGGAATTCATTGTTGGCCTCTGTATCGGTCCTAATGACAAGAAAAAGACAGTGCATGAACAAAATAACTTTGTTTTGCAGCTGAATCACATTTTTCCTTAAAACAAAGCCAATTCTAGTTCATTCTACACATACTCTACTAGAAGAAAATACAAAGCTCTGCCATTTGTTTGTGCTCTTGTGTTGATTCAAGAGAATCTCTGATATATAGAAACAATTTTGGCTAGATGTTCAAGTAAACCATTGCAAAGCAGTTGAATAACTGAATAGCACGGCTACAAGGGTAGAGCATGCCAACATTTTATTAAAAGGTGGTCCCAGTTTGGTTCGATATGTAAGGTACATCAAATGTACAAAAAAAAAAGAGCACGGCTGTAACTAGCTCTTGCTTATCATTCATACAATGAAATTCTAAAATATCTGCCACTAACTTTTAATTACTGTTTGAATGTTTAATTAAACAATTCTTTTATGAACTTTCAAAACCGTCAACTGCTTGTCGTGATAAGAGAGGCATCATCTGTAGCCAGCCATCCAGCCGCCGCCGCCACCGCCGCCGTCAAAATCAATTTAAGCATCGTTACATCCTTGCTCCAGATTGGATAAATTTTGCTTAATTTCGACTTGTTCGATCTACTTTATCAGATTTGATTATAAAAGTAGTGCTAATCCTTACCTACTCCTCTATGCTTTCTAGGAGTGCTTTTCAATGCGCATCCAATGGTACCATATAAGATAGATGTATTGAATAAACTTATTGAGTAATTTACGAAAATATGAAAAGAAGTTTCTGGCCAAAATGTCGAGATTTTACATATCAAAGTCCTACAAAAATGATTTCAGAGGTAGCTTTGGATCGATAGAAACACTTTGATTCAAGATGTACCATAGTAAAAGTTTTCACTATCAAGCTGAAAAACGTGATCGTTTGATTTTCGATGAAAACCATGAGGGGGTACCTCATGCTTTTTGGTCGATTTTTGTCCATATTTTTTTGATCCCCAAAAAGTTGAGCAAAGGTGTCAGAAAGTAACTACCAGATGAAAGCAACTGTCTGGCGCTATTCTGACCATCTAAAACGGTCTTGAACGCGAGAAAACACGGCTCAAATACACTCAGATTTTACTGTATCAGGGACACTAAGGAATAAAAAGAAATAATATTTGTATGATACCTGCCCGTATATGAAGTAGCTACGCGTATATGGATGTAGAGCATCACATAAGAACCAGATTCACAGAGAATATGAAGGGCTTTCATGTGTAAGTAGAGGGTCAGCATGAAAGTAGCAATATTTTGATAAGATACGCAAGGGCAATCGGTAGCGCAGGCTGCCACTGTGCAGGCTGGTTTTCACCGAAGCATAAACACTCATATGATTAATTATTTTATATCAATCAACAATCAGAGTTCTTCTAATATTTTAGCTATGGTTAATTTTGCGATATTAGCCAGAGGTCCGCAACAGCGCGAGCCGTTTGAACGTAGATTGGTTTCCTGACCTACGCTTCGCTTTGGTGGAAGCCACATAAAATGTCAAAGGGCTCGTATATCATAGTAGAAGTCTTCATTTCTGTAATTAAAAGCGTGATCATTTGCTTTTCGATGTTTTTCCATGAGGTACCTCCTCATGGTTTGGAGCTGATTTTCGACAATCCCAAAAAAGCTGAGCAAAAGTGTCAGAAAGTACGTGCTGGGCATAGGTGGTAGTTTGGTGCTACTGTGGCTATCTAAAACGGCTTCTAGCACCAGAAATTACTACTCAAATGATTCCAAATGTCGCTGTGTTTTGTGCTTTATGGAGTAGTAAGAGGCAATGCAAGTATGGCGGCTGCCAGTGTATGAGCCGTTCCCATTGAGACAGATGGAGGGTATCTCAGAAAAGAAGGCTCAAGTATTGACATTCTGGTATTTGACAATAGAATATAAATGCTCTTCATTTTATCATACGAGACGTGTGCCCTCACAAAGCAGCGCACCCTACATGACATATGCTATTTACTAAATCTCAGAGCATGAATCACACAGAATACATAATGCCCTGTCCACAGTGCTTTTTTTTACATACTACACCAAAATGATGACTTGCCCAAGACTGATAAATGAGTAAACTGCAGCATAAAATTGGCAGGTTTCATAGAATAACAGCATCCTTCACTTGTTTTATTTTCTTAATACCAACATGACAACTAAATTGTGTCAGAAACGCTTAAAGAAAGCAGCCTTCTGATACAAGCCAGCTGAGGAGTAAACAGTGGCTCAAAAGAGTTTTAATCGTTGTTTACTCTATTATCGACGCCACATCTTTTTCATCATGAAACTAAGAGGAGCAAGAAGAAGCACGTCTTGGACAATATTAAACAGAAAGACCAGAAGTCTGACATTACTCAGCAATAATGCGACTCCTTTTGTAGTTGATCCGCAAGACAATAGGGTCTCAAAATCAAACAAGAAGATACAAAAGAACACAGTAAACTGTATGGATATAGTTTAATGAATTACATCCAGGCGAACTGGTAAAGCAAGCTACTAATACCATTGTGATATATGTAAAAGGACCAAAGATACCAATGAGGAACTTGATGTACATGCTCCCAGTTCTTACTGCAAGCCATATGAAAGAGGCTATCCTAACAGGCAAAGATACGGAGCTTATTTGAGAAGCACCAATGCTGTCAGCGCTGTGCTTAGCAGCTAATGTATCTGGTTATGGTTTTTTTTCTTGATCTGAATGTCTGGGATCAGCTGATCCGACATAATAAAGTTGTATCAGGTTTCAAGGATTGATTCTGTGGTCATAATCTATATGGGACGTGTGATGTTTGTTTATTCCATGAAATTCAGAAGAAATTGAAAATGCGAATTGACCAAATATAAATCAAGCCTGCACAAAATATAACAATAACTCTACCATCAAGAATAATCGCATCTGCGGCAAACAAAAGTACCACTTGATCCCCTTTACTAGCATCCATACATAACTCATATCCAGCAAAGAATAATTCCGAGTCCTGTCTGACATTCTCCATTGCACTGCTTCAATATATGCATCCACAGCAACAAGCCGAATTCATGCAGCAACTGCTCGTAAGATCATCCTTCTATCTGTCTCAAAAACGAGTATACCATAATAGCGATCAGATGCCAATGCCCCGTTCGTGCTGCATATATACACACACTCTCTCTCTCTGCACCACAAATCCAAATATGCTATCCAGGTCCTGAGATTTGATGGTTCTTCTAATCATTGACAGGTATTTTTATTATACTACATTTACTTTTTTTTTCCCCTTTTTTTTTAGTGATGAGTTGGCTTGGATCCTACATACAAACAAATATTTCAACTAAGTAAATGTACTCTCTTCATACCCTTTGATAAAAAAAAATACATACCATCTACTCTCAAGTTTCTAGTCGCTGAAGGGATTCTGACAGTGATACCATCTAAATCTTTACACATTTCTATTTGACAACCCAAACGAGATCTAAATTCACACAAAATACACACATCAGAGTCCGTCTCTTTTACTTCTCTCTATACCAGCACTTACGTCTCGGTCAATCCAAATGCTAAATCGAGCATATCATTCTCTTCATCGGAAGGCTCTTCCATTTTATCAAAATATTCAGGCTCACAAATGACATGACAAGTGGAACATGCCAGCGATCCTTCACAGGCACCTACATATCAGTGTCCCCAATCAGTACCCCACCTACACCAACAAATCCAAGCGTCTTACATACATTCAAGATCAATGTCATAGCGTTGTGCAAGGTCCAACATGGTATCTCCTTCAGTTGCTTTCACATCAATTTTCTCGCCTTCAGGTGTAATAAAATGAACTGTATAAGGCCTACATCAATTCGAATCAATCATCCAACACATCCTTGTCCCACACATCCCCAACACTAACAAACTTACCCTTCACCACGAGAGATCTTTCCGTTGCCATGGAATAAAGCTGTCCAATATGTCAATCTTATATTAGTCATACACACACACACACACACATCCCTGTTTGTTTAGAACTTACCAGGAGCAGCGGAAAAGGATCTGATAGATTGAATGTAATTGGGCCTCAAGATTTGCTTGCTTGTGAATAAACGTAACAAGGACATAATAAAGTAGTTGCTAGACAAAAGAGAGTAAGGATTTTGTTACAAAGAAAGAGAGATATGAAAGATGAAAAAAAAAATCAAAAAAGTCTTAATAGTCAGAAACTTTGGCGGGGAGGATCGCAGTGATGTATGATTGGATAAGCACACTACCACTGTAAAAAATGGGGTATAACGGACATTGGGCCCTTTTTTTTTTGTTCAGAAATGGATTACAGTCAGGGGTGGCTGTAAGATCTCCTCCTCGGGTGGTGGTTGGTTGGTCTAACCGTTCTTTCAAATGTGCAAGACTTCCATGTTGCACTGAGCCATCATCCAAGATGTGAGAGATGAAGCTCATGGTCTAAAATGTGATGATGATGTAGTTTTGTTATAATAACTTTTTTTTTTTTTTTGACATTGAGGCTAACGTGCCATAGATTATCCCCCCCCCCACATTTGACATGCTTGCTTCGGCATTTTATAACAAACGGAATAATTAAACGAGAGAAACCTTAAAGCGACATGCAGTGTAACTGTGCTACCATTACAGTGGAAGCCTTTCAACAAGTCAATTGAGCAAATGGAGAGACTATTTATATTGAAATTCAAACTACTACTCTCAAGATATGACTAGGATTTTATCTAGCGTATCCTTCACATGTGTTTCTTTGACTGCCATGTAGTAGTGACAAAGACCACCCAATAAAGCATTGCACGTGAGAATAAGCTTTGCTTTCAAAAGGCCCCCCTTCTCTTTATTTAGCATAATTTGCTCATCCGTCGTCCAATTCCCGATGTCTGATTAGTGTTTACTATAAAAATGGATTGTGATTTCCTCCTGCTTTTTCCTTTTTCTCTCTATCTCTCTTTTCATACAAACCTGTTACAAGATGAAGTTTGGAAAGACGCTATTAGCAAATCAGATACCAGAATGGTCAAGAAACTATCTATCCTACAAGGCTGTCAAAGGAGAGATTAAAGCTGCGTCAACACAATTACCACCTTCTGAAGAAGAGATTACAGGTTTGTCTTGCTATCTTTTTTGCTGCTTACTCCAAGGCATTGACAGCACACATAAGCCATCTTTTTCAGATTGGACAGAGAATTGGAAAAGGTCAACACATTTTACGTCTACAAACAAGCATTGATCCATCGTCGATTATGGATCTTGCAGGAGAAACATGAAAAGTTCCATGATGAGAGTGATGAAGTAACATCTGCATTGAAGGAAACACGAAATCAAATGAATAAGCTCATGTGGTTTGCTGAATTGAACTCGAAAGGCTTTCGCAAAATACTTAAAAAGTAAATCAACAGAGAAGAAAACAAACAACAAACATGGCATTATTTGTTTTTATTGACTAGTGTCTTCTTAGGCTGGACAAGAAGTTGGGAGTGGATTTTCAGACTGTGTATTGGGAGACAAAGGCAAGTAGTGTGGTCGGATTGCCGTAGACACACACACACACACAGCGATTGACACACAGTGTGCACTAGGTTGCTGTCTTGCCGTTTGCAGCCCCTATTCAACTACGAACCGAACTGGATCAAGTGACAGAATGGATATTGACCTTGGCCTCTTCCGATGCTGACAAGCAATCATCACAGCCACAAGACAGCAGCAGCAACAACAACAGATCTACCTTGAAACTAGCTCGCTATACATCCAAGAATGAAGACATTTCCAACGTCATAAAAAAAGACGATCAGGCCGAACTCGCATCCTTGTTAGAGAAAGAGGGATCCAGAGTAAGCGTGCACCTCATCTCATCATGCTGCATGTGCTAATCTAAAGTGCATAGACCAATGACACCATTTTAGAATTAGCAGTAGAACACGAATCCGTTCACTGTCTCAGGTACCTCGTTTCAACTCTCGGCTTATCCCTCATCAACAACCGGGACATCAATGAACGCAACTTGCTTCATCGTAGGTGCATTCGACCTCCCACCTCTATGCAGATCATCAACGTGTTACTGGAACTCGAGCCTTCACTCACCACACAAAAAGATTTCGCTGGACGCAGACCACTTCATTATGCAGCAGAGTCAAATGACGCTAATTTGATCAAGGCCCTGTTACAACATGCCATAGATCATCACTATTACGCTTTGCATGACGGATTTGCGGATCCCGTGTGGCAGGATCGTGAAGGATTCACGCCCTTGTTCTTTGGCATCATTCACGGTAGCACAGTAGCTGTCAAGGAGTTGATTGAAGTGGGTCAAATTGACAACATTGATGAACTGTTCGCCTCTGGACAAAAATCACCTAGCATCTCGCATGCCTCACTTTCATCTGAAGAACTCATCGCCAATGAAAACGAGCCTTTACCTGACTTTGCTCGTTCGCTTCATCATCCTTCCTCTGTTGCTTTGGCTTGTAAATTAGGCAACTTGGAATTACTCAAACTGCTGATCAGCAAAAACGCGTCTGTCGATCTTGCGGATGAGGACGGTGAAACTCCCCTTTTGTTTGCTATCAGAAGCCGTTTCTTGGAGGGTGTCAAAGTGCTGATTTATGAAGGTCATGTGGACGTCAACTTGGCAGAGAAGGTCAATGGTTGGACACCGTTGATGATTGCCTCCATAGAAGGATTCAAGGACATTGTAGAGGCCTTGCTGGAAGCCAAAGCCGATAAAGACGTAGTGGATCAGAATGGCTGGTCTGCTTCAGAGCACGCTGTGTTTCGTGGTTATCTCGATATTGGTCGTTTGACACTGCCCAAGGACACCAAACTTCATCTGGATCCAGCTGTTCGCGCCAAATTCACCAGCGCAACAACATCAGATGACGACAGTGGCCAATCTACGCCCACATCATCTGCCTCACCCACCAACACCAAAACAAAACCTGCCTCCAAAGCAGTTTCTAAAGCAAGCCGACTCTATGGCCACAAGTACCTGACTGATCTGTCCATGATCATTATCACACTGGGCTCAAACGATGTACGCAATCCTCTTTGTCACAAATTCATTGACCTGGTAGAAAAGTTTCAAGGCGAAGATCAGCAACGCCGTCTCTCGCTCTCTGTGTCGGCCACCAACGCCTCGGGCGAGTTCCCCATCATTGACCTGCCATCTGAATTCACACATGCGTTTTACCCTGAACCCATCGTCTTGTTTACGCCCAAGCCCGAAGAAGTGACGCTACGATTTGACTTGATTGAAACATTTGGTTCCTCTCGAAACAGCAATGTATTGGCTCGGGGCACTTCTGTTTTAGCTGGTGATTTCATATTTACCAAATCCAAGGGTTTCAAGGGGCCTACTGAAAAGGCTTCGTTGCGAGGTCAGCAGACAGTGCCTCTGGTGCAAGCAAAGGACTTGGATTGTGTAGGTACCTTAGGCTTTGAGTTCTTTGTCATTACACCCTTTGAAAACAAAAACATGCGCATTGGTGATCGCTATACGTACTACAAGTCGGTGGACACGCAAGTCATTGGCCATCGTGGTTCTGGTATGAACAGAAAGGGATCCAAGTTGCAAGTAGGCGAGAACACGGTGCTCTCATTTGTTACAGCTGCCTCTTTGGGTGCCGAGTATGTCGAATTCGGTACGTTTTTTCAATGACTCGGCTACGTGTCCATTCTAAATCTTTGTTATGTAGATGTTCAATTAACCAAGGATTTGGTGCCTGTCATTTATCACGATTGGACTGTAACAGAAACAGGTTATGATATCCCATTGAATGCCATCACGTCAGAGCAGTTTCTCAACCTGAGAAGATCTGGTCAAATCAAGGAGTACCACACGGGTGTGAGTGAAGGGGCACATGGGGTTCTGGTTCCTACTGGGCATTCAGAGCCACAAGCCAAAGACACTGCTGTAGTAGCACCGACACCAACTTCTCAGTCTCTCTTGATCGCCAATGGCCTGCCTCTCCACCATCATCATCCCAATGAAAACGGCAGTGGTCGCAACACACCCAACGGCGTTCGTGCTAGCAGATCCCACTCCTTTAGCGCCAGTAGCCCTAACCGTCTCGATCTTTCTGACCCATTTGAGCAGACCCGAACCTCCAAGTCGGGCAAAATGAAGGGCAATGGGCCTGAAACCATCCAAGGGCCTTTCACCACACTAGCCGAAGTACTCAAGAGTGTGCCTAAATCAGCCGGTTTCAATATCGAAGTGAAATATCCCATGATTGATGAAGCAGAGCAAGACGAACTGACCCAGTTCCAGGAGCTCAACATTTACGTGGATACCATCTTGGAATGCGTTTACAACAATGTACAACAGGATCGCCATGTCATCTTTTCCTCCTTCCATCCTGAAATCTGTTTGGCACTCAATCTGAAGCAGCCCAACTATCCTGTCTTTTTCCTGACAGATGCTGGTACGTTGCCCATGGCGGATATTCGTTGCAACTCGCTGCAAGAGGCAGTGCGATTTGCCAAGCAAGCGGATCTGTTGGGTATTGTGGCTGCAAGTGAACCTATCCTGGAAGCACCTCGTATGGTGCAAGTCATCAAGGAGATGGGATTGCTGTTGTTTACCTATGGTGTCTTGAATAACGAAGTCGAAAATGCAATTGCTCAAAAGCACTACGGTGTAGATGCTGTCATTGTGGTAAGTGCAACGTCCCTTTTCGAGGCATTTGCATGCTCATCAAATGTACTAAATATGACTTGTAGGATTCTGTCTTGCCTGTTCGCAAAGGATTACGTGGAGATTAATGGAAACAGATATGAGATATAGTCGAATTTATTAATTTTAGAGAATAAAGCGCACACTATTGTCTACCAAGTCATGCTATAAATCAAGAGTTCTAACAACTTATGCTATCAAACAAACGTCAAAGGCTGTTTATTAAGTTTCAAGCCCCCCTTCATATGAGAGAGTGCGTTCTTGATGAGCAAGTGAAAGTGGTTCTAAAATCAGGCTAGATACGAACCACCTACTGACTCCATACTTGTGGCACTTGACCACAATATTGGATATAATGATTCATACAACACAGAATGTTATGCATTTGCACTTGTCTCTTTCTATGGCGACGAACTCAGGTCTAGCCTGTCATTGCTTTACATTGTTTTGTATATATGAAATGTTATTTCGCCAATGCTAGGCAGCTATTCATTAAAGTCGCTCATTCAGCATATAATAACATATTTAAATACTACGAAAGAAACGTCGTCAGAGACATATAAAATCCAAAAACGTTAAGCTCTGGACAATAGTCAAAAATCCTTTGTTCGCATTCATAAGCATGCCCATGAGACCCCGAGTGAAGAAGAAAAAGAAGAACGACAAGCCTGAAATCATATCAACGAGGATGCTCACACTAGACTCAACCCTCAAATGAGATTGGAGCTAATAAATTGTTGGTAAAGATAGACGCATTTAGAACTTGCCAACTGTCAGCGAGACTGCAGCCATCATTCTTAATGAATATTTCGATACAAGATTTGAAGATATATTCATCACATATCGAAATAGCCAGAGGCAATAGCCTCTTTTAAGCGACTCAGTGAAATGCATACTGCCTACATGCCATGTTGAAATGCTGCAATTACGTATATTTTGGTGGTGCTTTCGACTAGATGATTCTCGTTTAACCAGTATTCCAATCATCATCATTATTATCATCATCACCAGAAAGGCATTTTGGTCAGCTAGTAGCAAAGCTGCCCGCCGCCAAAATCGCTTCAATCTTAGACAATAACATCTGCTCAAGATTGGCCAAAACTCTCTATTGTCGACTTTTGTAAACTATTCTGTAAGATTCGACTATATGAATTGTAATGATCACCCTACGCTTTCCTAATACATTCTTAAAGTACTTTTCAAGGCGCTTCCAATGAGACTAGCTGTAGTGTTTTGACTGAACTTATTGAGCAATTTAATAAAATCTGAAATGAGGTTTTTAGCGAAAATATCAAAATTTTGCATATGAAAACCTCATCAAAGTGATTTCAGAGGTTGCTTTGGATCGAGAGAAACGTTTTGAGTTAATATATGCCATAGTAAAAAAAAAAAAAAAAAAAAAAGTCCAGTTTCAAGGTGAAAAATGCGATCGTTTGATTTTTGATGAAAATCATGAGGTACCCCTTATGGTTTGGAGTCGATTTTTGACCATGTCTTTTTTTTTTTGGCCCAAAAAGTTGAGCAAAGGTGTCTGGAAGTTACTGCTACTCGAGTACAATTGTTTGGTGTTATTCCGATGGCTCAGAAAGACCTGCATGTCAAGATATGCAGGCTTGAAAGCTGTCAAATTTGGCGGTGTCTCATACATTCGCTTGCCAAGAGGCGCGTTTTTGTCATGATACAAAGGCGTAAAGACGTTGTATGCATTCATCTAAATTTACAGTATACTGCTAAACCCATGTATTCAGCTGGAAATACTAGGGAGAGTAGCATTACTGTATTGCAGTATCATAGCATTATGATACAGCGTATGAGTGAGACAATGGCGGCTACAAGGCAAGCTGGACAATAGATAGTTACAAAATTAGCTCAAACGTAACTCGGTAGCTCAAATTACTAGGTGGTCCAATATCATCATAACCCTTTGGTGAATGCTACTCGACGCCTCAAAGATACCTGCGACCAGTCTTCCATGAAGGCTGGAGACAACGGTGGTCCTACCGGTGCTTGGTATTGCTGCATTGATAAATAGAAATCTTTTGATTTGCACAAGCAAAAATCTATTTAATAACGGACTGAGCTGAATACTACACAGCATCATATATCATGCCACATGAACATTTTGATTATTATTATTACTACAAAATATACTTGAGGCTATTTTATTTTTTTTTTAGCACGAATGATGGTGGAATCAATAAATATATACACAAGAGTATGGTAAGGCAAAACAACACACTAGTAATGACGGCTGTGTTGAGGATAGTGGTATTGATTCACAGGCTGCTGCTTTCTATTTTGAAAACCATGTTGTGATGATTTACTCATGGTCGTTGTCCTCCATTGCTCTTCTGTTTCCAGTGTGTCTGGTGCAGGACCCCAGTCGTCTTCCTCAGCTTGTTGTAGATGCTGATGATGATGCAGAGGTGATATAGAAGCTCGCTTCATGGAGTCATAGCCATCGTTGGTATTATTGTTGCTACTGGACACCATGTGCGGTGGTTGTGCCTGTGGTGGCGGCGCATAGTAATAAAACGCTTGTGGCGGAGGATACATGGTAGATGGGTCCATGCCGTAATAAACCATACCGTTGGCTTCATATCCAGGTGGCAATTGTTGTACATTGGGAGGTGATGGTGTATAGAATTTATGAGGACTTGTGCTGGATGATGGTTCCTGCGATGGGCTAGCAGATCCGCCACTATGAACGACCCTGTTGGACGGAGAAGAAGAAGAAGTAGGACCCATAGGGAATGGCACGGCATACATGGGAGTGCCGTTGCCATTGGGAATCATGGGCATGTAGGATGGATGAGGATGCGCGACAGGCGTTGGATAATACATGGGAAGATAAGCATCAGTCTCCTCCCTTGGTTGACGCCAATTGTCATCATATTGACTAGTACGATGTTGATGAGATGGCTTGTTATTGTTGTTGTTGTTGTTGTTGTTGTTGTTGCTATGACGGCCATTATTGGCAGTAGACTTTCGGTTGTACTCTGGATGAGAGCTACTTTGGCCACTATCATGTTGATGTTGCGAAAGATAGGATTTTGACATGCGATTGAAGGATGGTGAATAGGGTTGTTGTTGGGCGTCGGCAGGTGCTGTCATACCCAGCACTTGTTCATCTTCTTTGGACCATTCAGGTTCTTCTTCTGCCTCCAAAATAATCTCTACATCAGAATCGTCATCACCGGTACTTTGGAAATGGCCCCAAGCAGATGTTTCGGGAGTGTTGAATCCCTCTGTGCTGTTGGAGGCTGTTTCAGCAGCATGAATATCAGTCGTCGTTGTGGTAGTGTTCTTTCCAGAGAAGTAACCTCGACCTTTTTTACTCTGTTGTTCGTTGCGCGTCTTGTTGTTCCATTCTCTATCCGCATTCCAATTGGCACTATTACTGGATCGACTGTTATTCCAGCCACCACGTGCAGAAGAAGAAGATGAGGAATTGGATTGATCAAATGTAGCAGCAGCAGCAGCAGCAGCAGCAGCAGCAGTAGCAGCAGTAGAAGAAGAAGATTCGTTCCAGTTTGAGGTTGATTTGGTAGAAGCAGTGTCAACAGTAGCGCTCCAGGATGAAGTAGGCTTTGCGACAGACTTTGAATCCCAACTAGCTTCGACTGTGAATAAGATGTCAGTTTAAGTTGTAACGTTACATGCCATTCTGAACTTACCCTTTGAAGTCTCTGCAGTCTTTTGTGGAGTAGTAGTGGTCCATTCACTCTGTGTATTCACGTTATCAGGAGTAGTATTCCATCCAGTAAAGGGTGTTGTTGTTGCATCAGCTCCCCAGTGATCAGATGTAGCCTTTGAATCCCACTTTTGCTGCATAGAGTCATCCAGAGTGGTTTGTGATGATGATTTCTGATGCTGTTGATAAGCGCTGCTGCTATTGTTGCGACGAGATGAATCGTAGCGTCTGCTGAAGTCTATCTTGGTAAAATCAGAAGGTGTGGTATGCACTTTTACATCAGGCTTGACATTGGCCCAAGAGGAAGATGCTTTCTCTTCTGGTGGTATTTCATTGCGTTCTTTCTGTGGTGGCGCTGGAGATGTCGACTTGCTTTCTCCCTTTGCATGATCACTGCTGTTATTCACTGTTGCGTCCCATTGAGGCGTATTCCAATCTTTTGTCTCGTTGCTGTTATTGTTGTTGGACCAAATATCCTGTGCTGCTTGCATTTCCTCTGGCTTGCCCCAACTATCAGTGGTAGTGGCAACAGAAGGCGAAACGATTGGCATAGAAGCATTTTCTTGTCGTGTTTCGTCCTCTTTGTGATCAGCCTCTTGAACAGTGATTGGTGCAGCTTCTACAGTGGTTGTCTCCACACGACAAGTTGAATCAGAGTTGCTCCAACCTGATACAGCGTTCTCAGCCACTGTGTTCCATCCTTCAGATTGAGAAACTGTGGGTTGCTCTCCCCAACCAGTGCTGCTAGACTCAGCGGTGGTTGCAGGTGGTGGAGGTACATTCCAATTGTCTTGAGAAATTGTGTTTGCTGTTGCCGAGGTTTTAGGTTCCTTCTGCTTAGTAGACGTATTTACGCTTGTCGATTCAGGCAATGCTCCCCACCCATGTTCATTTTGTACAGTACGAGTCTTGGGCGAATCTTGTTTTGGCGTCTCTTGCTCAGTGCCAACTGACTGTCTCTCAGCTTGAGGTGTATCAGTTGGTGGTGCAGATGCCCATCCCTTATCAGCAACAGAAGCAGCTGCTGTTGACGTTCCCCATCTATCAGCCGCAGAATCCACTTTGACCATGGGCTTGATCTCTTCAGCTCTATCCACAGAACCCCAGCCATCCACATTTGGTTCTTGCGCCTTGTTGTTGTTCCAGATGGACTGATCAGCTGTGTGGCCACCTGCTGCAGCACTGCTACTATCAGTAGTAGTTGCTAATTGAGGCCATTCTTCTTGTTGCTGCTGCTGCTGCTGTTGTTGTTGAGTATAGGGGCGCTTTTGAGGATTGCCAAATCTGTTCTGTTGATGGTGGTAACCGCCTCGATAACCACCAGCACCTCGACCTCTTCCCCGATTGTTGTAATGATGGTATCTTGGTAATCGTGGTGGAGGTCTGTGATGGTGATCCGCTTGAGAAGGTGATTGTCCCGACTCAATCAACTCTCTTTTCCGTCTTTCATCTTGTTCTTCCAACCGCATCAGTTCTTCATAACCACTGTGATCCCATTTCTTGTGCATCAAAGGGTCTAGGTTGCGATCATACGATGGCTTCTTGATACTAGCACTGGCTGCCGTGTGCTGGCTGAAATGAGGCATCGATTCACGCGTCGCTTCGTTACCACCCGTAGCCAATGAATCCTCTCTGTATCTATCATCATGGCCCCAGAATAAGCCAACATAGGGTACAAAACTGGGATCCTCTGCTAATTTGCGTCGGTACTCACGTAGTTCCTGAACTGTCTTTTCTTTTTCTTGCTGTTGCAAATCTTGGTAATCCATGTCCACCGTTTGACTAGTAGTCATAGGGGTGCCATGTGATGCTGGTGATGATGATGACAATGGCTTTGGCTGGTCATTCACTTGTTCCTTCATCTGTGCTGTTTGGCTGCTAGTAGTGGGTGGTGTCGTTGTGGCCTGTTGAATTGCCTTGGTTTTTGTTTTCATTACTGTTGGCTGCTGCTGCACCTCGTCATCTTGCTCTGATCCTGTTTCCGTGTCATTTTCACTTGAATCATATTCACTGTCTGTTTCCCTTTCTTGTTGAGAATCATCCTCGTCATCCGATGTAGTATAATCGTTGTCATCATCTTCATCATCGTAATCAGTGGTTGTCATACCCGACACAATGGATTCGTCTTCGTCCTCATCTTCAGAGTCGTGCCCTCTTCTTCTATGTAACAGATGTGACATGTGTGTATGGTAATATAAGAGTCTTGGATATTATACAAAATAAATGGTGTAGAACAGGTTTAGAAAACTTTAAACTTTCCTGCGTTGTCGTTGTTGTAGTTTGGCGTTTGTTGGAAAGTGAGTCACTGTTCTGTTGGTGTTCAATGGTAAAAGCAGCAGCAGCAAAGGTGCCCTTCTTTTTTTATCACCACCCTATGCCTTCATTCCATGTCAATGCATTTCTCTTGGCCCTAGCAAAACCAGCATCAAGATGAGTTGATGCAAAAAAGAACTCTTGGGGGGTAGCCATTGCAATTAGAAATACTTAATTGCATCGTCTTTTGCGTTGTTTGCAATGTTCAAATAGCCTACAAAAAGATGCCACCATCCGATTCTCTTTGCTATATACATATATATATATAAGATGTTTAAATCAACTTTCAGCAACCCCTATTCACTAAAGATAATCCTAAAGAAGGGAGGCGTTTAATATACCATGCTAATGAGTAAACCGGATCACTGGAAGTGTGTGCATGCAAAACTATAGAAACCACACTGTCTCTATCGTACCACCTCATTAAACCCATCATTTCAGATACAGCAGAATCCCTTTTTCTCTTGCTGCAGCTTTAATTGCGTTTCTTTCTTGTTTACAAAATCTCCTTTCAACAAGATGACAATGAAACAAGCACATGAAAGCGACAGCTTGGAAGACTTGTCGGGAACTTTGTCATCGACGCATATCAACACAGACGAGAACCTCACAGCAGACAAACTGCTGGATGAACTGCCGTTACCGCAACAGCAGCAACAACAAGACGGTCTCTACATGAATGGTGCGAATGCTACCAGTCGAAACACATATGATCAGTTCTTTGAGGAAGTTTCTTTGGATTTACCTAGAGATTCTCAGCACTATCGCCAACAACAACAGCAACAACAAGATGCAGAGCAGCCTTCTCGACTGATGAAATTCATGCCTCGTCGCGGTACTGCTGCTACCAATGGTCATGCCAGCAAATCGTTCTCAATGTCATCACCCACATCCACAATAGCAGCAGCAGCAGCAGCAGCAGCAGACAATACAATCACTCCCTCTGATATCTCGGGCCCATTTTACTCTATTTCAGATGTGCTCGATGACTCGGTATCTCCCACCGCAACAGCTGCTGCTATGGCTGCTGCTAGTGCATCCCATCATCACCATGGCAACGACGACACTTACGATTCCATAGACATGTCTCAGCCCACAGTCAACCCAAGAGCAGCTAGACGTAATGTCAATGAGGCAGAAGTCGTTGTGACATCAGGAGGCGCTTCTATCCCAACGAGAAGAAAATCAACGTAAAGTAGAGCGCCATGTAGTCTTTGTATAGTGTATTCATTGTTCTACATATAGTCTGAACCCTTTTAAACGATCAAAATCCATCAGCCAAAAACCATCACCACTAGAAACAGTTATTTCTAAAACTCGCCCAAGGTCACTATTAAAATTGCACACAATGACCTGTATAATTTACTCATACCATACTTGAATAGAATGCTGCCGCCCAAAGATCCTCACGAAGAAAAAAAGCACTTGCAGGAATACGAATCCATGATGAAGCAAGCCAAGAAATTAGAAGCCAAAAAGCAGCGAGAATCCAACAAAAAACGAGAGGAAAAGGACAAGAAGGCTAGCTATGCTATTCATACCTGGGAGAACGACATTATTCCTCATTGGAAATCACGCATCAAGGATAAACGCACTATGGTGTTGTGGGATCAAGGGATACCACCTCGTTGTAGAAGAAAAGTATGGTGCCTCAAAATTGGCAATCAGCTGAATATCACAAAGAATACTTTTGGCGAATGCACAAGGCGTGTGCCTCAAGCAGTTCGTCAAAATAATAAAAGTACTACTGCAAACGGGGAATCGCATGGTGCACCGATGCCTATCGTCACTGCAAGCCATCATACCACATACGATCCCTACCATCCTACAGCAGCGACAGCAGCAGCAACGTCCTCATCAGAGCAAGTATATAGGCGCACACGACAACGAAGAACCAGCAGTTTAGACGTGCTGAGAGAAAGAAAAGAGGATCAACATGGCCACCACGAGGACGAGGATGAAGAGATTGAGGAAGAGGAGCAAGATCGTGTGGCTGGATTCTCCAATTTCACCAATATGCCCACGGAACATACGTCGTCGTCAACATACTCTTTTACCAGCAATGATGATCATTTCGATCGCTATAGTCAAAGTGAAGGAGGGAGAAGTGCATTAGAATTGGGATCCACACAGAGTCATGATGGTGGTGATGATGACAGCATTGGCGTGGAAGATGATGACGAGGAAGAGGAGACGGATGCCATCAGTGATCAAGATGAGGGGCCAGATGGTGGAGACATGGATGACGATAAAGTGCTAAGGGATCCTGCAGCCATCAATTTCTTAAACAAGGCCATTGATGAGGATATATTGCGTACATTGCCCAGTCTATGTGTATTTCAAGTAAGTGTGTACCTTACCAAGGTGGAGAGTGAATAGCAGGCTGACTTTCTGTGCATTTTATAGCCTGACGGTCCATTGTTCATGTCGCTTCGAAAAGTGCTTCATGCATATGTAGGGTATCGACCCAACATGACCTATGTAAGTATAATGTAGCCAAACTATCCTCCTCCACACCTTACTCATTGACGCCACCACTACCACACATACACACTCTATAGTCTCGAGGCGCCTCCTTTTTAGCAGGCGTTTTATTACTCAACATGGGCGCTCAAGAAACCTTTTCAGCGCTCATCAACATGATCAGTTCCAGCCAAGTCCTATCCGCCCTCTACAACTCGGACGAAAAGAGAATCCAAGGCTTCTTCAAAGTGTTTAATGTCATTTTTGCTGAAAACCTACCCAAACTCTACCTGCATTTCAAGAATCTGACACTGACACCTGAAAACTACTTGCCCGACTGGTTCATGACCATATTTGCTTCTATTATACCACTGGAATTATCGTCTCGTCTATGGGACATTTATCTGCTGCATGGCGACATCATTTTATTTCGTACCGGTCTTGTGGTGCTCAAGTATTTAGAGCCCTTGCTGTGGGGTGGTGGGTTTAGCGAGACGGTCAAGATCCTCAACATGGGGTTTGTAGGTGAACATCGTGGCGAGGAAGTCAAGGCGGCGTTGGCTGTCAGTGGACATATTACGGAGGGGGATGAGGATCCCTTTTTTGACGAAATATTGGGTCGTAAGGGTGTGCATCTGAGTGAAACAAGGTTCAATGAATTACTAGGGGCTCATATGCCTCGTTCCACTGCTACTGCTACTCATAGTACTATTACCAATATACAATAAAAGAAAAAAAAAACAGAATACAACATCTTTATCTCAATCCATTGCACAACGATTTATCTTGACGGTACAATTGTCGTGATAATATTATATGATATATAAATGAATCAGTCATCAGTTAAAAAAAACCACGTTTATTGAGTTTGACAGTTAGCTATGATATTTATACTATTTGATTTGTATAACAAAAGACGTAAACAGCCACGACACAATCAATACCTAGTTTATAATAATGAAAAAAAAAGAGCAATTACCCTAAATCGACCCTCTAGCCTTTTAATATCTAGCCGCCTGGCTAACCCCAAGACATACATCAATTATTGATTACATAAGAAAGTACTATTATATAAAGCTATCTGGTGCCTAGTAGAAATTAAAAAAAAATTGAAAAATGAGCCAATATTTAAACCAGAATACCGTATAGAAACGTTTGCAGCACTGATTAACGATTTTAAACTAGGATGTTCCTATACCAGTTTCTTGCCCTCTAAACGATAGTGCAATTGAAATTTGGGTGGGTAGCATGGTTGTTGGGAAAGGGAGATTTTAGAAAATAGATAATTTTGAATAGGTGCTGCTAGCAAAAGTTTTTAAATTACTACATGAATGTGGGATGTATGTGTAGTGAAAGTGGTAGAGAGGATTTAGTTTGACTAGGGAAGGATTGACTTGGGGTTATTAAGAACGGTGTGAAGGGGGAACATGTTCCAAATGACCGATTTTCAAAGGGCCGTACCGCTAGATTTTATCAAGTGAACGAGAGCTTCAAGCTTAATATTTTCCTAATGAACCTGTATTTCTAATGATTTAATCTTTAGTAGCCCTTGTATAGAAATGCTCTTTACTTGCGGCAAGAGAAGTTTTGACAATCTAACTTGCTCTTCTCCGTAAAAGGATAGTTTTCAATATTCGGCGTATCACTCCCATGAGCCTTTATGATACTCGTGGTATTTAACATTATATAAATAGCTGTGGCACGCTATGTCGTGCATCGCAAGGCATCCACCAAAAGAGACCAACACTATGGCAAGGACAGCAATAGTTGCCCTCAGTACGACTTGTTCTAATGGAGACGAAATCTCAAACAGAGACCTCACCATGAACAATTGCGAAGAAAATGTAACATCTCTATAGATGAACTGCACGGTGTATATCCACAAAAGCTGTACAATCAACAAAAACGAATGCATGGGCCCCATATCACTGCCAACCGTGCACGCACTGAAGTATGTCAGTTTTATTAAAAGAGTGAGGATGTATTATTATTAAATGCAACATATTGCTGTTGTTGCTTTTGCTCTTGCATCATTTCTAATAAACTCTTTTGACCTTGACGTTCATTAGAAGGCGTTGCGCTGGCTTGTCCAAAAGGGTTTCGACTGGTTTGCTGCCCAAAGGGCTATTTCAAGTAAAAGTATTAGCAAGCTGGCGGGTTTCTTTGAGTGATTGCAAACAATTACCTGAGGTGATGAGCTGCCATCTGTAATTGCGAGCACGTCATTGTTCTTGGGTTGCAATGGCAGCGAATTGGCGAAGCCGGTACCACTGTTAGAGAGATTGGATCAGTATACCTATCAACACTTGAATACAGCACTACTCACTATGGGATACGAAGATTGCCTCTATTTCCGTAACTGTCAAGGCCATCACTGCAGATAAAATCACAGTGAATACATGCATACCTAACTCAACTCGTAAATTGCCTTACTCGTTATTGGCCAACAAAGCATTTAATTTGGAATATTTAGCGTCTTGTTCGGTGGGTTTGAGCGGAATGTTTCTTTGAGACATGTGTGGCGATGCTGTGCTAGCTTGAGCAAATGATGGCGAAGGTGCAGCGAACGCATTGGTGTTGGCAAATGCAGGTGAAGGCGAAAATTGCGTTGTGCTGGTATTGGTGATCGTTGCAAAAGCAGGAGATGGAGAAGCAGTAGCAACAGCAGGTGTGCTGAAGCTAAAGTTGGGCGTATTAGAGCCAAAATTAGGTGTGTTGGAGCCGAAAACAGGTGATTGCTGTTGAGGCTGAGGTCTAGAGGGAGCTGGATTGCCAAACACCAGTTCACTGTAGTCGTAATTCTTTTGCTCTGGTGCTGCTGGTTGTTGCTGCTGTTGGCTCATTTGAGAGAATGGGTTTGTACCAGTAATCATGCTTGTCTGGAAGGAGGGCTGCTGTAAGAATTGAGGTTGTTGTTGTGGGAATCCAGTCATTTGAGCTTGAAGTAGAGGTTGTTGCTGAGAAGGGAAGCCAGTCATTTGTGCCTGAAGACCGTTGGCATTAAATTGGTTTGACAGGTAAGGGTTTTGTTGTTGTTGTTGCTGCTGCTGCTGATAAGGGTTATTGTGCACAGGCTCAGAGAACTGCATGGCCGGTTGTGCCCATTCCAGTTGCAAAGGAGCTTGTTGCTGTTGTTGCTGTTGTTGATATGGGTTATTCATGAATGTTTGTTGCTGGGGAAATGGTTGGAAAGAGGCGGATCCTGATCCAGATCCGAATAGATTATCAGCTGTTTCCTTGTCGAGTTTTTCTCTATTCTTTCTTTCTTTTTCAGCAGCTTCTTGTTGACTCAATTGAAGTGCCTTTTCGAGATCATCATCGCCTTGACGACGGTTTCTCTCTTCCTCTGCAGCAATTCTCTTACTTTCAGCCAATGCCTTTTTCAACTCGTTTTCATCATCCCAGCTTCCTCCATTTTCAGCGTTTCCGCCATTGTATTGTCGCACTGTTTCGTTCAAGTAATCACCCACATTGGCCATTCTATCTCGCATGCCTTGTCGTTGACGTCGCTCTTCCTTTAGTCGGTTGTCGTCCTGCAGTAAATTGGTAATGTCCTTTGCTTTTTGACGCACTAATTTCATCCGTCAGCCATGTGATCGTTACTGCCCACTTATACAACCCTCCGTCTTACCATTAGCGCCCACATCTTTTCCATTTTCTTCTATATGCTGAAACTCTTTCAAGGTCTTTACTACATAGATATTTTCTCTGGCGTACAAGACTACATTTTCAGATCCCACGTGCAAACAATAATCCAGCAACAGTAGAGCCTATAATAACCAAGAGATTTGGATTTTGTGTTAGTAACTGAAAAGTACAAAGATCGTCATCGTCCTTTTTTTTTATATATATACCTTGAATACATGACGCCAATTCTTTCCTTTATCGTTTAATCTTTTATCAATCATGTCCATGATCTCGATAAAGTCTGACCTAATAAGGAGTGTATAGTTTTAGGGAGGAGCTCTTCGTTGCGAACAAAGAGACGATCAAGCTGCGCTTGCTTACTCGTTAAAGGTGAGTTGTGCGATTTCATTCATCAGTGTACCGCTGGGACCCCAAGGATCATTGGATGTAGCTTCACGCACTTTGATTTGCACATCACTAAAGCCTTTGGCAATGTTCTTTCTATTCAGGACGGATCAGACAAGCATTCTTATAAATAGCGCAGATGCCTACTTACATACTACGAAGAGCACCTTTACCAGCCATGTTTATCGAGTGGGGGGAAAAAAATGGAAAAAAAGGGATTTGGAAAGAAAAGAAAGGAAGTAAAAAAGGTACAAAGATTTCTCGATGGCACGAGTCTTTGATCCTCATCTAGGGAGAACTCGAGCACACCCAACCTTAAATTCATCAATATCCCAGCTAATGGGCAACTCTATTACGGTCACATTTGATTACTTTTACATTAAAGGACCCGAGAAAAAAGTGCCAGAAACATCCATCGTGCGTTTCATTCATTCCTCACCCCAAATGTCCAAGGCAGAAGCAGAAAATCACAAGGCAAACGGTATAGCATACAGTATTTGACCTGAAAAGATGGTATTCAACTTTCATTTTGCAACTACTAGGAAATAAGCTCTTTGCAGAGAAGCGCTACGAAGATGCTATCAAGGAATATACATCAGCAATCGTACGTAGGCATACTATCTATCGAGGGATTAGACTAGCTAGCTCATCAGTATGTGTCTACGTGTAGATTAAAGACTTCTCTGTGGGTGTTTACTATACCAATAGAGCCTTGTGCTATTCCAAGGTGAGGCATGTCATGTTATGCTCATGTTCATCTTTATTCATGCAAGCTTGATAGCTGGAGCAATACGACAATGTCGTTACAGATTGCAGAAAAGCCATTGAAATCGACCCAACTCTTGGTAAACACCCAGTGTAATCTGATACTCAATTCATATGACTAATCAATCGGCTGTTTTAGTGAAGGCGTACTATCTGGTAAACGACACATCCATAAAGAACATATAGACACATTCGACTGACGCACCATGTAGATTGGACAAGCATTGACCGAGAAAAAGCAGCACACAGAAGGTATATTGAGATGCAATGTCAGCGCAACGACGGTTTTCTGATAACTTTCTTTCGTTACATTAGCATTGAAGAAGTTAAAGACAGGTACAATACGGCTTAATTTCATGCACCACTGGATTCTGACAATGAAATGCATTCAGGCTATGAATTGGCTATCCAGCAAAAAGTGAAATATGTGAATGATATCTTGCAGGCATTGCTTATTGCCAGAAAGAGAGTGAGTTACTCCAAGACATTTGCAGTGGCCATGCTTACTGACAGGCTCATAGAAATGGGAGGATGATGAGGCTATTCGACTCGAGAAGGAAAACGAGCTTTTGTGCTATGTAAAGGGGTTGATTGAGCACGATAGAGCACAACAACTCGCTGCAGTAGATCCAAACGACGAGGAAGCAATCGATACAATCAATTACAATATTGTACGTACAAATGCATACATGCCGCGAGATTCATGTAGCTGATGATTGTGTAGGATGAACGCCTCTCCAAAGTTCAACATGTTTTTGTGCAATCCAAGGATAATGCTTCAGTAAGAACAGTCAACCACCTAATATAGCTTGTTTACTGAGCACCTTATCCATACAGAGACGAGAGATTCCCGATGCTTATTTAGACAAGATATCTTTCAACATCATGCACGATCCTGTCTTTACACCAGATGGCATCACATATGAAAGACAATCCTTGTTGGACCATTTCAAAAGAAACGGCTATTTCGATCCCATTTCAAGAAGACCTTGTACTGAAAAGCAGCTTGTTCCCAATCTGTCTCTTCGCGAGGCTATTGAAGACTTTTTGAAAGACAATGGATGGGCAGCAGGTATGCTATTATTCAAGAAGTTTGATGGTATCTAACAATTTCAATTAGATTATTGATGTAGTAGTAATGTATCATGTTGGGTAGTTACAAACAATAAAACTGTATAGTATGTGTAATGTAAGCAACCGAAAATTGCTATTCCATATGAAGAGAGATAGTTGTTGAATATATTCGATATATTGCCCCCCCCCCACAGCAACCCAATATAAATGGCTCATAGCCAGGCATTCTTGTATACTGCTGAGCTGTCATGGAGTGAAATACTGCGTTCAACGAGGTGTGAAAAGAGCCAACACTATATCTTTCTGTTTCAGATCACATCTCAAGCAACCATTTGATTGTTATACGAGGAGCAATGCCCATCAACAGGAGTATTTCCACATGTGGCTATTGCAGGCGCCGTGCAATTGGATTATCCTCCATTGTGTACACAGGCATACACTTTGGTATTTAACACAAGACTTTTGCCCTCGCTACTGTTTGGGAAGGTTCTGTTTTATTCTGTGCAGTAGTTTGATAGGGCAACAGCTAGCAATTCACGTTAGGCTTCACATTTGTATTTGTATACTACGAAAATTAAACCACTTTACTGTAAGAAAGCTGTGGTAACAGCCTAATAAAAGATGCATGCTAAAATTAAGTAACTTTTCAATATACGATTACCTCGTTGGCTTCACAGACATGGATTGTCTGCATCAGAAAAAGGCATTTTGCCATCCAGTCGAACATAAATTAACAAGCCGCCCAGCTTCTGCTTTAGATTGGACAAATCTTGTTGAAAATCGACTTTTTTCATCTTTCTTGCCAGATTCGACTATAGTAAAGCTGATAATCATGCCATACTTCCTAATGCATTTCAGAAGCGCTATTCAAGGCGCTTCGAATGCTGCTGATTAAAAATGGTGTTTTGCATAAATCGAAAGAGTAGTGCTGGAAATAATGAAATTACGATCTAGGCCAAAATGTTGAAATTTCACGTATAGAAGTCTTACAAGTAAAGATCTGGGGGATGCTTTCGAATGAGAGAAACATTTTGATTTACTATGTACCATAGTAAAAGTCTTCGTTTTCAAGGTGAAAAATGCGATCGTTTGATTTTCGATGAAAATCATGGGGGGGGTACCTTATGCTTTTTTGTCCACTTTTGTCCATATTTTTATGGTCCCCAAAAAGCAGAGCAAAGGTGTCAGTAAATAACTGCTAGTTGAGAGTAAGCGTTTAGTGCTATTCTGGCAGCATAAAACAGCTTCTAACATGAGAAATCATCGCGAACATGCTTCCAAATTTCGCCATGCTGTGCACAGATTTGAGTGGCTGGAGGTAACCCTATTATGCTGTGTGCTCTTATATGAGTTGTTGGCATGACTACAGACGTGGAACATCGCAGAACAGAAAGATCCAAACATATGGATTGATCATTGATTTGCAGAGTGGCGTTGTACCGTAGCCAACAGGATACATTGCAGCCAGTCTCATAAAGGCTTACTGTTTGCCACCAAGGATCAGATCAATTCTCATTATATGCCTGACGCTAGTCAAAGATACGTAGTAAGGCTGCATAAAGTAGAAACTCCAATACCCACCAACTCTTTCGAAATCTGAATAAGGAGATCCTCGCTGTGATACATGTTTTCTGCTGTAGGTGGCACAAGAGGCTATATCCCTCATGCTTGTGTTAATGCTAATGGTGAGTTTATGGCAATCTCCCCAAGGTGTAACAACAATAGCTCGTTTAGAGTGGGAACCTGATGAGAATTTCACACTGCAAGTATGCTATACTTTTGTTTGGGGTTCTATATAACTATAAACCTCTCTCTTCTTCTTTCTCTGTTTGTTCTACACAAAGCATTTCAACATGAATCAATTAAGAGTGGCACTCAACAAATTACCGCCTGGAGCGACCATCAAAATCCTCCGCAAAGTGTTTAGTTTACCTAGTCCAGCAGCAAGATTACTATTACATGATATCACAAAGCCTCGCTCATCGCATAAGCCATGGATCCATAAGGTCCCTTGGAATGGTGAATGGTCTGGTTGTTGGGTCGGTGAAAATGTACGAAAATTGGACAAAGCCTCTCTCATGAAGCGCATCAATGATTGTGATATTGTCCTATTTAATGTGCATGGTAAATACATTTGGCAATCGAGCAACAACTCCCAAATAGAACTAACACTGCTGAAAATCTAGGCGGAGGATTTCGAATTGGAACTTGCACTATGTTTATGGACACCTGGATTGAATGGATCAAAGCTTTAAAGCATAATTACGGCATGGAAGCCATCATCATGAGTGTGGATCACCGACTAGCACCAGAGTACAAATACCCCAGCCCCGTCGAAGACGTCGTGCGAGCCTATGAGCATTTGACCCGAACACTACACATCGATGCTGACAAAATCATTGTAACAGGAGACTCATCTGGTGCGTCATTGGTGCTAGAAATGCTCTTTATCACACATGATCCCAGCATGTTTGAGATTGTTACAGACGACGATGATCCCAACGCCAATCAAGACAGCAGTGAACCCAAACTCAATCAGCTTCCAAGGCCTGCTGGCGCTGTGTTTAGCTCTCCCTTGGTGACGGACGAAACCACCTCAGAATCTTGGAAAACCAACGTCAAATACGATTATATTTCTCAATATACTGCCAAAATCATCAAAAAGGATTACTTTGAACCACTAGGCCCTGATTCGCCTCCAGATGCCAATCAAGTGCTGGGCATTGCCAAACTAGAGACAGGCTTCAAGGCATTTCTACCAGAACAAGTCTTGATGTTTGTGGGTAATCGAGAGACATTGCGCGACGACGCTTTGGATCTAGCCATGAAGGCAGAAAACGATGGCGTCAACTGGGAGACGGTGATTGAAGACTGTGTCCACGATTGGTTTTGCGTAAGAGAAGTGGTCAAAGACAAGAAGATGCTCATTCGCGCAGACACCACATTTGCAGATTTCTGCTATCGGTCTGTTCGTGGTATTCGACGCAAAAGTGCAGTGGGCCCCATGTCAGTCAAGAACAACAGCCAAGTCAAAGTGCTGTACGAGCTGAGCCGTAACAACAGTGCTGGTGGAAGCTTCAGCGATTTCTCTTCAATACGACGCTCAAGCGAAGGGTTAGAAGCAGTAATTGAAGAAGAAGACGAAGAAGAGGCAGCTGAGGCGGCTACATTCTACGAAAGCCTGTTCAATGATGAGGATGAGAGTGATTTCTCAGACACAGAATTCGAATCGCCTCTATCGATTGCTAGCTTTGGCAAGAAACAGTTTAGCAAAGCATCTGTGGTTCCAGAAAAGAATGGTAAACAGAAGCCCAAAACGGTGTTTGTTTGATCTAAAGCATGTACATAAAATATGTTGATTCAATTGATAAATTTTATTGGGGGAAATGGCTTTGACAAGCAAACTTGTCAAATGGCATATATTTTCTATACAAAGAGAAGAGAGTATAGAAACAAAAAAAAAAACGGCCAACAGTGAATTAGGGGAACAGCTATTATTCTCGAGCGACATTATCTAATGCTGTCAATCTGTTCACTGGTATTATCAGTACTTTATCAATGAACGTAAAGAGCGACATCAGTTTCTGATCTTTATCACTTATCCTGCAAGCACATTTTATTTCGCATGTATATACAATGAATGAGTCTTATAATGAAAATGGCCTGGCAGCAACAAAGCGCATTGGCAGCAACATTGAATGGCGGCATACATGTCTACAGAAATTTGAACTTTAATTGGATTATATTGGATCTCTATGCCTATCAATCTTGTGCTATTGTTTCGCATAGTCATAATAAGACATTGCGTACCTTACTTGGCCATGATCCCATTCATAAAAGGCCTACGACAGATGATGATGTTTCCGCACGTGATAACCTACAGCTTGCTTTCCATGTGGTGTTCTTGATCTCATCCCCTGAGTGAACTTAGCCAAGCATTTCATGCTCAATGCAGCCATGAAAATTGTACCTGAAAAAAAAAAACGAGGCACATAGTTTAATCAGTGATTAAACTGAATGAATTGGAATTAGTTGCAGTTACATTCTAATGATTGATGTTGACACGGACATAACACGAGAGAAAGCGATTTGCATGCTTTATTGCGAAGAATACAGTGAAGAAAATGCCAGTAGACTCCTAAAAATAATTGATGAAAACGAATCAGATAGCTGTTACCAAACTAATCCATTAAAGCCAGCGCTTGCTCCAATTTCTAGAATTTTTGCTGAACCACATATTTACAAGCGATATGAATCAAATAAGCATACTGTAAAATAAAAAGAATCAGTCGCATTTATGTAACTTACAATCCTTAGAAATAATGTTTATTAATAATACGAGTGCTTACCCTTTGGATGGCTCTTTATCTTTGCTTCGCTTCGGTGAGAACCAAACTGCGCAGCAGCAGCAGCTCGTGCTACCGATTGCCCTTGCTATCTTATCAAAGCACTGTTACTTTCGTGTTGACCCTCCACTTGCACATGAAAATCTTTCGTATTATCTATGAATCTGATTCTTATGTGATGCTCTACATCCATATACACGTAGCTATTTCATATACAGGCAAGTATCATATAGGTATTATCCCTTTTTATTCATTAGGGTCCCTGATACAGCAAAATCTGAGTGCATTGAGCCGCGTTTTCTCGCATTCAAGGCCTTTTTAGATCGTCAGAATAGCATCAAACAATTGCTCTCATCTAGCACTTACTTCCTGACACCTTTGCTCAGCTTTTTGGGGAACAAAAAAGCAGGGCCAAAATTCGACCAAAAAGCATGAGGTACCCCTCATGGTTTTCATCGAAAATCAAACAATCACGTTTTTCAGCTTGATAGCGAAAACTTTTACTATGGTACATCTTGAATCAAAGTGTTTCTATCGATCCAACGTAATCCCTGAAGTCATCTTTGTGGGGCTTTGGTGTATAAAATTTCGACTTTTTGGCCAGAAACCTCTTTTCATGTTTTTATAAATTGCTCAATAAGTTTATTCAAAGCATCCATATTACTTGGTACCATTGGATGCGCCTTCAAAAGCACTCCAAGAAAGCTTAAGGGAGCTCGGGTAAATCATGATATTTTTATAGTCGAATCTGGTAGAATAGTTCGCTCAAGTCGAAAAACTATTAAAATTTGGCCAATCTGGAGTAGATTGAAAGTCTGAGTTGAAATTAATTTTAGCTGGTGGGGCCGGCTGACAAACTCAATGCCCTTTCATCATGAAAGCAATACAGTAATAATAGATGCTTTTGAAGCGATGGAAAGTAAGTGGCAAGTTACATAGCACTACTGTTGGTCATAATATTTTCCTTGAATTTTATATTTAATAACACCAGTCCATCAAAATACTTGTTAGATCAACTTGTTTTCCTTTTGAAGCTTTGAAAGTGTCTAGGGACCATAAATTTATTATGTTATCATATAATGAATATCAATGAATGGTGAGAGGATGACAATTGTTTACTCATCGAAAAATTTGTTTTAAGATTACCATGAAATTCACTCTTTAATCACTGAAATGGCCACTGTTTGTATTCATTTAAAATTTCACATGAGTGCACTTCAAGTTGCAATTATCATCACATCAGCAAAACCAAGAAGTTTGGGAGCGGCTCTGTGATAATTTTGGGATGGAGGTTACGGACCGTTAGTGGCACTTGATGGCCGAGTAAACCAGGACAGATGCATCGAGCGTTTGGACAAACGCTACTTGCCATGGGTATTTGATGTAATGAAGAATGAGGAAGGGAACTTTGTTCTTCAAAAAGATGGCGCTTCCTGCCATACAGGTAACATTTCTACAAGCTGGAAAAAGAAGAAACCACTGATTAACAGCTTCAACTTCTGGCCGGCTCAAAGCCCCACTTCAAATTCAATCGAGCATCTTTGGGTCCTCATGGAGAAACGAATCGAGGGCAAGAGGCACCATATTGAAAATGCAGAATAATTGCTTGCCTGTATCCATGAGGAGTGGTCTTGATCTGGCGAAGAGATTAGTTGCAAGTATGCCATCCAGATATCAGGCTGTAATCAAGGCAAGAGACGAAACAACACGCTACTAAAAGGCATTGAATACAAATAAAATACTGTTGTAACTATCATATATCCAAATTTCATGTATCGTTTACAATGTTTTATTAATTCTGATTTGATGTGAATTGTTTGATACCAAAAGAATGAACTCAGTTACGGTGACTAAATTGTATCAGGTGTATAAAATGAAAAACTTGGCTCTTTAGTTTTCGCTTTTCTCACATTTTGATACTCTCTACGCAATCGATGACCACCTTATCAATACAAAGCCTGCTCTCTATGGGCAGAGCTTTTACTGCAGAAGCAGCATGCTACCTAATTAGTAGTAGTGATGGCCAAACACCTGCTCCATCACCCCCATCTCCCCAACCACAACCGCCCCATCACAAACCTCATCCAGACGATGAAGGCTGTAAATTGCTTGATTCATTCGCTATACTAGTTCAATTGACACTAGCAACGACTGCTCTGATCACTCTCTTCTATAAGCGATCCAGAGAAAGACCGCAAAGACCAGTGATAGTATGGTAACGTAGTGCAGTATGAAGCTCCTGATTTGTTTCCAACTCATATATATATATATATATATATAGGGCACTCGATGTGAGTAAACAGTTTGCAGGAGCAGGTGTGATTCATTTCTTAAACTTGGCCATCAGCTATGTAGCAGGCAGGCCTCGCAATGGAAGGCCCAAAACGAACCTGTGTGTGTGGTATTTCCTCAATGTCGCAGTCGATACAACGGTGGGTGTTTTGATTTTATGGTGTTGGCTGCGCTTGATTCAAAAGGCATTGGAGAAATTGCATGTCAAGCAAGTCAAAACAGGCCATTATGGATCACCGCCTTTAAGGAACATGCTGATTCCTTGGTGCAAACAGACATTCATCTTTGTATTGGCTGAATCATTGATGAAGCTATGTGTGTATGGCATGTTTCGTTATCTTCCCTTCTTATTTGCTTGGGGTGAGTGGGTGCTAAGATGGACCAAAGGAAATTATAGGTATCAGGTCATTTTTGTTATGCTGATGTAAGTGTGTCTACTGGGATTGTCGTGAAAGGGATGCATACTAACCGCTACATGCTAGATTCCCTCTCGTCATGAACATCATTCAATTTTGGATTGTGGATACCATTGTCAAAGTATCGCCTGCTTATACAAAACCGCTCACTCATGATACCACACCCTCTAGAGAGCCCTCTTCATCCGATTCCTCCTCTACTGCTACCAACAGTGAGAATGATGAACGCTCTCCCCTTTTACCCAAATAAACTAGCTTTTGCTGCTGCATTACATTCAACCCAGTGACTGGTTAGACTTTCGAAATTTTTTTCTGTACAAAATGTGTTGCCATGAATTTGATTTGATTCCTTTTTTCACTGCACAACACTATCCAACACTACATCATGTTTTCAATTGCGAGATATACTGGAGAGGAAGATCAAGAAAAAGATAGCCGCTCACTAGAGAAAAAGCAAGAAAGATTGAACAAACTCAATGCCCGCATTAGCAGTAAAAAGCGAAAAGAGGTCGATCCGTCAGATGCATCCGATACGACAGCCGAGAAGACCAAGGCAGACGCTGTAGAACACGAAAAAAAGAAGCCTCATGCACCAATAGCTAAGAAGACCAAGACACAGCCCACTGAGGAGAAAGAAAAAAAGACGACACAAGTTGAAGAAGAAGAAGAAGAAGAAGAAGCAGAAGAGGATGAGGAGGAGAAGGAGGAGGAGGAGGAGCAAGAGCAAGAGCAAGAGGAAACAGAGTCGATGGAAGTGGATTCAGTAATTCAAGAGAAAGACGTGCCTACATTAGAAGCATTTCCCGATATGCTTGGACCCAAGAGCAAACACAGCAAAGAAGAAGTCAAGCTACTCAAGAGTATGGGTATTCCTGAATGGTTATTACAGCCTACAGTTGTTTCGCCCAAGGATTCATGTGGTTTGGACAAGGCAGGACTTTCATCTCACTTGATTGAGCGATGCCAAGATGTTGGATTATCTTCCCTGTTTGCAGGTAGAGTACTTGGGATAGGATGGACGGATCAGATCAAAGACTGACCATGACAAATACAAAGTGCAAATGGCCGTCATTCCTGTATTTCTTAGACGACAAGCATTATACGATACCAGACGAGTACCCGGCGATCTTTGTATTTCAGCCCCTACAGGTAGCGGGAAAACATTAGCCTACGTGCTGCCTATAGTCGATATCCTGTCAAAACGAGTGGTGACGAGACTCAGAGCTGTGGTGGTATTACCCACCCGAGATTTAGTCACACAAGTCAAGGAGACATTTGATGCCTTTGTCAAGGGAACCAACCTCGTTGTAGCAGCTGCCAGTGGTCAGCAGTCATTTGCACATGAGCAAAGTGCGCTTGTGGGAAGTACTGGATCAGAGTACCCAGGTGGTAAATCTAGAGTCGATATTCTCATCACCACACCAGGCCGTCTCATGGATCATTTGACATCAACACCCAACTTTACACTGCAGCATTTACGTTTCTTGGTCATTGATGAAGCAGATCGGTTACTGAATCAGAGCTACAACGATTGGCTGAACCAAATTTTACATGCCACTCGACCAGAACAAAAACCTCATGCCGCTCCACTTGATTTCAAATACGACCCTCAAGGCGTGATTGAAGCAGATGCGATTGCACCGAGCTTTCTCAAATCATTTTATGCGCTACCCACTACGGATCTTGATTTACCAAAAGCACCCTCCGTAAGTAGCATTACAATGATATGGTAGAGCGTTACTGAATATGCGAATGTAGATACAAAAACTGCTCTTTTCTGCGACATTGACCAAAAATCCCGCCAAAATCGCTGGATTGCATTTGAACGAGCCTGAATACATCTCGGTACAAAATGAAGATGGCAGCGAAGCCAAGCAAGAATTCACCACACCAGAGGGACTCAAGGAATTCATGACTATTTGTCCTACAGACAAGAAGCCTTTGATGGTGATTTATCTGTTGCATCAAATGGGCATCAAATCAGGTTTATGTTTTACCAAGTCGGTCGAGTCCACTCAACGTCTGTTCACCTTGATTGAAGCATACGAGTCCACACAACCCGAGGAGAAACGCATTCGAGTGAAAGAATATTCCAGTGATTTGAATCCAGTGCAGAGAAAGCAAATGCTGAAACAGTTCAAACAAGGAAACATTGATTTGTAAGTTCAATGGTGTATTAGCATCATACAGAAGAGCGCTAACCCCACTTTTTGCATAGACTTATTTGCTCTGACTTGATTGGTCGTGGTATTGATTTGGATTCTGTTGAATTTGTGATTTCGTATGATGTACCTTATTACATGGACAAATACATTCATCGAGTGGGTCGTACAGCTCGAGCAGGCAGACAAGGTGAAGCCTATACGCTGGTGGAGATGCAGGAGGCTCGGCACTTTAAGGAAATATTGCGTCATGCTGGACATTTGAACCAAATCAAGACACTCAAAATTGAGAAAGACAAACTCAAAGAATTGGTGCCTGATTATGAAAAGGCAATGTCCAAGATTACGGAATAAATCTCTTTTTATTTAAATCTCCTTTTGCCTCTTTTCTTTCTTTTTTTTTTTTTTTTTTTTTTTTTTCCACATAAATCTACTCTACAAGAAGAAAGACGACGACGGATGGGCCCACCCAAATTGAAAAGATCGGTATCGTCTTCTTTATCAAGAAACTATCATTTGGAACCCTCCCCCTCCTACTCTTCAAACAGAAGAAACAGCACACTCACCAACAATGACGATATCATGGAAGATGATGATGAACAAGACCCACAAGATCCCGATGATGAAGACGGCCCAGACAACCATCGGGAAGAGGACCATGGCAGCAGAAGAAGCCGATCAGTGAACAGCATCGAACGAGAAATGACATTGAAGGATCGTCAAGAGGTAAGCATCATAGCATGCTGATCAGGGTAAGCAACCTTATCATGTCCTATCATGCAACAGGCAATGAACAAAAGCCATCCCTTTGGCCTGCCCATCTGGAAACCAGCTCTTTATAAGAAATCTCGATCCGTTGTTCGCAGCGCCAACAGAGCGCTCCATTCCTCGCCATCCTCTGCGCCTGATTTGTTCCTCAATCCAGGTAATATAGTCTGGTTGCTGCTATTTGGTTGGTGGCTAGCGCTGGCTATTTTGATGGTCTCTATCGTCATGGTATTGATCCCCTTTGGTGGCAGAGGCTATGCCCGCGTGTTGAGAGAACTCGCCTTTTATTTATTATGGCCATTTGGTCGCTATGTGGAACGTCAGGTGGAAATTACTCCTTCGCAACTGAGTAATGGCGGTGGCGGCACTTCATCCACTAGCATCTTGTTGGAGAGTGATACGGAGGAGGATGAAGAAACGGGATTGCTGGGAAGGAAGCCAAAGAGATCCAACAAGAGCATTCTACAATCAGCGGCAGATACCTTGCGATTGGGTCCTGCGGGATGTATTTACTATCTCATATTCTTTGTGTTTATCGGTAGGTTGAACAGTATGTTAACATGCCTGGTTTATACGGCTCACTCTCACTTTATACGTATACAGCCCCTTTATTGCTTCTCGTTTCAGCTATATGCTGGATGTGTGTTGTATCCATACCCATGGCCAAATTGAACTATATCCTAGTACGCCATTTACATCGCCATCCGCTTAGTCTACGCTTCAAATCGAGTCCTTCGGGTCTATCTCAAATCGCTGCAAGCGTATCTGGAAAGCCATCTGTGATTTTGCTCTGCACCTATCAAGCCATTGGACTGCAGTACTACAAATACACGTTTGACGGTATCAATATCATCTTTATCAACTTGATGCCCTTGGTGTTTTTTGTCATTTTCGATGATTGGGTCTTGAAGCGACATTTACCAGACGCCTTCATCACGTCTTCGTCCACTGTGTTTGCATTGTCACTTGCATCTGTGATCCCCCTGTCATACTTTATTGGTATGGGCGTCAGTAGTGTCTCTGCACAAAGTAGTATGGGCGTAGGTGCTGTCATCAATGCTACGTTTGGCAGTATCATTGAGATCATTTTGTATGCAGTTGCATTGATCGGCGGTAAAAGTGCATTGGTGGAAGGCGCATTGATTGGTAGTTTTCTGGCTGGTGTCTTGTTGATGCCAGGTTGCTCCATGGTGAGTGGTGCTGTAAAGCAAAAGGAACAAAGGTTCAATGCCAAAAGTGCGGGTGTCACATCAACCATGTTGATTATGGCCATCATCGGTGCGCTTACGCCTACTTTGTTTTACCAAATGTTTGGTTCTGTAAGTATATATATATATGTGACCTTTTATTTAAAAAAAAAATTGACATGCTTATATTTACCTTGTATTTGTAGTTTGAATTAAAATGCATAGGATGTCCAGATACCCCAGAAAATGGAACTATTGCATGCTCGAGATGTTATTATGATCAACTGGACCCAACCCATGATCCTGTCTACCAAAATAGTGTTAAACCACTCATGTGGCTCTGTGCAGCCATCTTACCCTCAGTAAGCGACACATGACATGCAATGATGTTTTTTTTTTTTTTTTTTTTTTTTTTTGTTGTTTCATCACTGACTTGCTAGCAAAGGCATACATCGTAGGTCTCGTTTTCAGTTTACATACACATGTGGATATGGTCTGGAAAAGCAATCAAGGCCATCATGATAGGAATGCTGCTCCTACTTACTACCAAAGACTGATGCCCACACACATCATCTCCCAATTTATGCATCATGCTCCAGCTGTGATCCATCATCCTCATCAACAAGACGACCATCACCAAGACCAACATGGGGATCCCGAAACACCAACACATGGATACTCAACTAGCGTGCAGTACAACCCAGCTCATATCATCGTACCAGCAGCAGCATCATCAGCAGTAGCACCACCTAATCATCCTCAATCACCAGAAGGCTCACACACTGCTGCTCTCAGGGGCACACCGCAAGACGGGGCTCAAACTTCCTATGCTTCCATCACATCAGGCGCATCTACTATACCTCTTGTCAATGCCACAGGTACTGCAACTGTCATAGACAATACACAAGTATCATCACCTCCTCCTCCTCCTTTAGCTTATATTCACGCCAATGAGGAAGAAGGCGAGGACGAAGAAGCAGCTGGCCACGACTCGCCCAATTGGAGTAAATCCAAGAGTTTCATCATCTTGTTTGGATGTACCTTACTGTATTCCATTATTGCCGAAATTCTGGTCGATACAGTAGATGAGGTGATGAAGGATCATCCTATGGATGAGAAGTTTTTGGGACTGACTTTGTTTGCGCTTGTGCCCAACATTACTGAATTCATGAACGCCATTTCATTTGCATTGTACGGTAACATTGTGCTCAGTATGGAGATTGGTTCTGCGTATGCTTTGCAAGTGTGCTTATTGCAAATTCCTGCCATGGTCGCATTTTCTGTCTGGTACAACTATGGCAAGGAAGAATTAGCTCAGTTTACATTTAGTCTAGTGTTTCCTCGATGGGATGTGATCTCTGTTATCTTTTCTGTATTTTTATTAACCTATACGTATCAAGAAGGCAAGGCAAACTACTTTAAGGGCAGCATCTTGATCCTAAGCTATGTCGTGCTTGTTGCTGGGTTTTACTTTATTCCACCTTTTTCAGAACATAGCGTACTTATTGGTATTCCTTCCCTCTCCAACTGATATTCCTTTTCCTAGAGATCTTTGTTTTGTAAATAGTTGTATGTACGAGCCAATAAATGTGTTTGTTTGTTGCCTTATTTGATAAGCTCCTTTTTTTCTGCGAGATACCGATCATCTATAGATCATAGTTACACTGCAGATTGTGATAATATGCTATCTGCCGTGCTTTGGCGGAATTACACTTGTTCAACACTGTCAATCTATGAGATGGTCATCACAGTACACTCTCTTATCGTTATCACATCCCATGCGGGACTCAAATAGCCATCCAGATGTCTCATTTGGAAAACGGGATGACAAAAACCTTGCACTATAAAAGAAACTCGATTCGTGTGTATAATTTATCCTTTTTTATACATTTAATAGCCCTGATGAGCGAAAAGGTGGTACCCAAAGAAATAGCGATCGCATCCAAGGGCGCTCTCGTGGCACAGGCATCGAGATCTGTCATGTCCAAGACGGATAAAATACTCGTGTTTTCAGGGCAAGTTGGCCAAGTGCGTATTTTTCAGTATTTAAAACTAACCGCATGTCAAAAAGATTACTGCTGGTATCCTGGGCAATGACATGGGAAAAGAGTGCCGTCTATGCTCTCACACCTACCATCACAAGCATGTTCCAAGCCAATAATATATCTGGCGTCCTCACCACAGTGCTCAGCATCTTGCAAACTGTATTACAGCCCATGTATTCCAAGCTATCCGATATGACAGGTCGTGCTGAAGCCTATACCATTTCCATTGTGTTCTTCATGGTGTCTTTTATTATCATGGCATGCGCTCAAAATTACAACACGCTTATAGTAAGTCTTGAGCAATCTGGCATATAGATGCGAACAAAATGTGAATCAATGGACTGAAGTAACAGGGCGGACAAGTGATGTATGCATTCGGTTTCTCGGGAACTTTGGTTTTAGGACCAATTCTTATTGGTGGTAAGATGGCAATGCTGATCCTTTACTGTGTGATTCACTATGATGTCTACGTAGATATGACAGATATTGTCAATCGGTCCATGTTTCTAGCCCTGTACAACTTTCCAACCATCATCAATCTGTTTGCTGCAAGTGCTGCTGCTCAAAAGATCCTTGAAACCAATTGGAGATGGGGGTACGCCCATGTTTGTATTGTTATGTTTGTCACTAGCGCACCTCTGATTTTTGGCTTATGGCGTATACAGAGAAAGGCGAAACAAACCAATCTTCTCAAGACATCCAATGCACTGCCAAAAAGCACATACCAAAGGACATTGGCTGGCAAAGTACTGTGGCTCTGTATCGAAATTGACCTTGTTGGAAGCATTCTCTTGACTGCTGGTTTGTTCTTGATTCTATTACCTTTAATTCTCGCTAACAATTGGGGTGGATGGGGCTCTTGTAAGTGTAATTTAGACGGCATGGTAATAAGATTGATCTGATCAGCTATAGCAATTACAATTGGCACTCTCTGTGCTGGTGGCGGTACCTGGATCCTCTTCGTTATCTGGGAAAAGATGTGTGCTGCAAAACCCATCATTCCACTCACAAGCTGGGAATCCAAGAATCCTGCATGGGGTGTTTTGGTGGTGTTTCTGATTGCCATTATTAACAATATGATGGACTTTCAGTACTTTTTGACATATCTCCAAGTGACACGTCGATTAACATCGCAACATGCAACCTACTTGGAACGCGGATTCAATGTAACCTATGTATGCTTGCCCTTGGTAATTGGGTACATGATGAAACACACTCGTCGATGGCGACCGTATGTCTGGATTGGTGCTTCTTTTGCAGTGCTCGGCCCTGGTCTGATGATCCCCGCTAGAAACTCACACTCGCACGATGCTTTCATTGTCATCTCCCAAGTGATCTTTGGCGCTGCCACTGCATTTATCAATTATCCTATTCTTGTGGGCATTCAGGCTTCTGTGCCTCCAACAGGTGAGCTTCATTCAGATGCACTTGAGGAAAATCAAATTAAAACAATGTAGACATTGCCATTGTCATTGCTCTCTACGAAGTGGGTACATCGGTTGCTGCCAGTATTGGCACGACTATCGCTGGGTCTGTTTGGAACTCGATACTTCCTGGATTGTTTAAAAAGCATGTTCCTGGAAACTACCAATATGCTAAAATTGTCCAAAGCATTTCATATGCGCTTGCTCTTCCTGAAGAACAATACCAGGGTGTTGTTGTAGCTTACGATGTTGCTATGCGTTTATTAGGTATCATTGCGGTTTGTATAGGTGCACTGAGCTTTTTAGCATCCATTCCTCTAAAGGGATTTTTACTCGTGAATGAAAAGGGTCATGAATCTTCATCTCAAGAGGATGTGAATGTCAAAACTTTAGGTGAGGAATCTGTGGATGAAGAAATTGTCATTAGCCATACCTCTGAAATGCCCGACAAAATACCGTCTTAGCCGTAAATTCACATTGTCAATAAATCACATATGCAAATATATTTTTGCAGCCTCTAATTTGCTTTTGGGAAATGAATTGATAACATGAGCACACATTTCAGATATCCACCTTGAGTTTCCCCCAATCTGTGATGGCCTTTAACAGCTTATATTGTTGCTTGCCTCGTCCTAAAGATGATTATGATAACATCCGGCTACCTAGATTAGAGATCCTGTACAGTAATAGGGAAAGATAATCTATCACAGTCTACACTGCTTGTCTAAAATCGGCAGATACTCAATGAATATTCTGTATTCTTCTTAAACTTCAGCAGTATCAGCAAGTGGAAAGGGGTTGAGCCTGCAGCAGCTACTTGTTCCAGAATAAAGGAATATATGCGTCCGTGCCTATTCATTATAAAAGCCTAAATTGCTGCATATTGCTCTGAAATCAGGGAGCAGGGCTTGCCTTTGTAGGATGTGCAGATGACACTATATTATGCTTCAACACTTTTATTTTGAGAAGTTTTCCGCATCCTTCTTTCTACAATCAAAAATGCTATCCTTCAGGAGATGCAAGTAAAGATCCCGTATGAGTGAGCAACGCTCTCTAATTCCTGATACCATCTTTCATTATTCTCTGAATTCAGGTGGGCCGAGTACCGAGGCGTGTAATGTTATCAGCTTTTGATGTATATCTATCTATCTATATATATATATATATATATATACAAAGCTCTTGATGAAAATTGCAAATACTCAAAACCGCCATCATTCAAGTATTGCTTGTAACAGTGATAAGAAGTGTAAGATTCCAGAATGTAAAGAGTCAAGACTGGAGTAATACTCGCTTTCTTTATCCTTTTTTTCCAGTGATTCTAGTTTTAATCGTTCCTTGTTGATGCAGCAGTATAAAAAGTCAACCGAATTTTCTAGTCCACTTTATTTGTCCTCTTTTGTTCATTCACCATATACATTTTGACAATGGCAATGAATCCACTCGCCTCGTCTGAGCCAACCTAACGGCATTGGCATACAGTCAGGGGAAGACTATTATGTTTGAGTGCGCTCAAGACTACTTTACGGTGTATCAAGCCTCGAAAGATGCACTGAAGAGCCAGCAAAGAAAGCTGATGAGCTGTGGTGCTTCACTTGTTCTGGATCTTGTCGATATGACTGACGGCAATTTTCGGCTGATCACTGGAAGATTTTGAACACCAAATTTACAAATGAATTCAAAATCCAAGATGACATTACATTTCATTCTTTTTCTTTCCTCGCTCGTTCTCTTTCTTTTTCCAATAAATCACAATCATCACTTGATTTATCCGTCTTTCGCCTTTCACTTCTTTGTATTTCATCGATACAACAAGATATTCATAAGCAACGATGCAGTTGAATCTTAGATTTGCAAGCCTCCCTGCATTCCACCGGTACAAAATCTGTCAAATGGTGGTTTTGTTTTTGCATCGAAAAATAGAATTGTTTGTGCTTTGATAATGATTGATTGTGTCGCATTTCTTGGTATTCTAATGCGCATGGTAGTTCTCTCTTATACCCCATTCGTTTACGTCTTTTACGAATGATATACAGTGAAGCCTCTAAGTTTACTTTCATTGCACAAAGGCCTTGCACAGCGTGCGAACGCTTACAGTTTCAATGCTGAAGCATAAAGAATGCATGTGTATATGCAAACAACTTCTACACAAAGACGTGCTCTGAGGAACATTACGCATATTAAGAAAACCAGATGCACTCCATGTACAAATACACAAACCCCATTATTGTATACCAAAATATCATTTTTCAGCTTTTTTGCTACTAGCAAGAATCCTTCAGAAACAGTTTACAGCTGTGAATTTGGCTGTTCCACAATGACCTACGTCTGTATCAATGTGAACAGCTCAAACATAAGCGCGCAGCATAGCAGCATTACCTCTCGCAGCCCAAATACATGCAGAATAAAGCAAGATTTGGGTGCATTTGAGCCGTGTTTTCTCGTGTAAGAAGCCGTTTTAGACGGTCAGAGTAGCACCAAGCGATTGCTCTCATTTAGCGTTAGCTTCTTGACACCTTTACTCAACTTTTTCAAGACCACCCAAAATCGACCAAAAAACCATGAGTGATACCTCGTTATTTTCATCAAAAATCAAACGATCGCGTTTTTGACCTCCCAGATGAAAACTTTTACTATGGCATGTATTGGATCAAAATGTTTCTGCCGATCCAATACAACCCCTAAACCTTTATTTGTGAGAGCTTTATATGTAAAATCTCAACATTTTGGCCGAAAACCTCATTTCATATTTTGGAGCCTTGCGCAATAAAGTTAGTCTGAGAATCTGTTATAATTAACATCATTAGATGCGCCTCAAAAAGCGCCCCAAAAATCACTTGGGAAGAAGGGGATGATCATCACAGTTTACATAGTCGAATTTAAAAAAAACAGATCAAGAAAGTCGAAGTCGACCAATCTTGGCCAAAAGATACGGCGGCATTTAAATAAGGCCTGCCCAAGCTTTTGTAGAAGCTGATGGTTGCTCTTGGAAGCTCATAAGATTGAGATTGCGGATCAAGAGGCTCTATACCTTGGCGGAAATGCTCCCAAATGCATTGATCTATATCCAATGTGGTAGGTAAAGCATATAATCCTTGACCACAACTTACTCTCCTTGTTCATGGTAGAAATTTCAAGAAACTTGGCTTACAACCCACGTGTAAATAAATGATACGCATGTTACACCACTCAATTATTCTAAATATGCGAAATTGTGTATGCTATGACCGAAAAGAAATCCAAACAAATACCACCGAATTGAACAAGAAAAGCATATGCTGTTTATTTGTGATGTATTACAGAAAAAAAAAACATGGTTGGGGAAAGGAGGGGGAATATCATAAAGAGGTTTGGTTCATATACATAGAAGATCTAATTAATATTTACACAATTGTATGTGTGTAGGTTTTTTATACTACTGGTAGTGGTGTTTGTGCTTGGATTTTGTTGTTTTTGTATAAGGCATAGTTGAGTGATGTGATTTGTAAAGCGAATCGTTGATGAGTAGAGGAACAGCCCATATGCAATTGTCAAGCGTCACTTTGATGGTACTTGCATCACATGCTGACAATCCAGAGACAAGCAAGTCTTCTTTTTTACTGCTATTCTCACTGTTGTCATCCTGTTTATGATTTGGATACCGCTCAAATTCCAGTGCAGCATGGTACAGTAGTTCACTTGACACTTTGAGGAAATGTGTAATCAAGTGCCCTAAAAACTGTACGACATACGACCTTCCTTCGTCCATAGCGGCATGCAGTGCGTCCAATGTGCTGTATATTGTGCTGATGCCCGATCTGACTGGCAGCAGTAATGTATCCCACAGTGTATAATATGTATCCTCTTCCTCTTGCTCTTTTTCGGTGTGTATTGCGCCGTAAATAGGTCGAATAATACAAGTGGGTCTCGTCTGAGGATCATCTACTGCTGAATACGATAATCGTCTTGGTGAATTCATGACTGTAAATGCCACCCATTCAAATTGGTCTTCCATATTGTGCCTTGGATGTTGTTTCAACCATCTCACCTTGAATGTGGCAAACGTTCGCTTTGGGAGCTTGCTTAACCTTTCACACAGGAACCGAACGTCTGATTTGTAGACAAACGACATGATAGGGTGGCCTCTGAGTTCATGCGGTTTTTGAGGAAATTCAGAGGACGGATAAGCATGTTCAATGGTGCCAAATGGACTGAGCCGTAAGATGGTTACTGGCCCTCTCATCGTATTGTTGGAGGTATGGATGTTGGGTGTTGCTGTCATCTGTTGAACGGGTCGAATTAGCCAGTATTCCAGATCAGTGGCATTGGCCAATGGATCAAAATGAGAGCAAATATCAAAGGGTATATCACCACAGGATGCATGGCGGAGGGTATAGCTACAAGAAGAAGAAGAAGAAGAAGAGGAGGAGGAGGAGGAGGAGGAGGAGGAGGGCTTTTTAGGGACTGAAGAAAGGTGTAAGATGTCTACTGATTTCCCAATTAGACGAGTGGGTTCATAACCAAGCATATGAAAGACTTCATCTGTGGCAGTAACAATGGTCTGTTTCTCCTTGCTGACAATAAGCAAAGAGGATGATCTCAAAGGACAAGCATGAAATGAATGACAAGTGGTGTGTTGCATAGTAGGTTAAAGAAGAGGAACTAGAAATAAGCAAGGACGAAAATAAAGGAGGGTTTATATACACATGCCCAAGTTGCACATCTCGCGTGGCCCTCCAATGTACACTCTAATTTTGGCGGCTATCATATGAAAAATTAAAAGCATATGAATGTTTGATCGAATCCAAAATATAAAAGTAACACGACGTAAATTATCAGCTATTTGTTTCATTCGTTTTTTCTCATCACACTCAATAAATTTGGTGTGTACAACAAGTGGAATGTATTAAATGACTTGAATCAAATAGTAAGACGACTTGCCACTTCGCAGCACACATACTTTGCCGTCTATTAAATCAGATTCCTCAATTGTCTGCTTGACATTGGTTACGCGTTGGTTATTGAGATAGAATCCACCGGCCTTCATCTTCTTTTGTGCATCAGCTACGATGAAACAATGTGAGTACAAGGTGTAACACGAATTTACAAAGGCTTACATTTAGACTTTGCAGCATTTGTAATAGATGCAACCTTATCCAGCCCTGCACCAATAACGGCTGATCTTTCCAGTTGAATAAATCGATTAGCGTCAGATTTGAATGCTTCAATAATGTGATCCCCGGTTAAAGTGCTTAAATCATCTCCAAATAGCACTCGAGTTGCTGTCTTTGCTTTACGTAAACCATCACTGCCATGTACAAGTTCAGTCGTTTCGTTGGCAAGTGCCGTTTGAGCAATTCTTGATTCGGGTGATTGTTGATGTTGGGCCATAATGTCAGAGACCTGCTCCTTTGTCAAAAATGTAAACATCTCCAAGTACTTGCCAACATCGCTGTCTGTCGTCTTCATCAAAAACTATCCAAAATAGAGATGAGTCATTGTCAAAGACTAGGCAGCAAATGATATGAACCTGATAAAAATCAAACACGCTTGTCATGGACTCATCCAGCCAAACAGCATTACCAGCTGATTTTCCAAATTTCTCGCCGGTCGAGGTCAACAGCAATGGGATGGTGATACCAAATGCTCTTGATTCCATGTCATCCTTTTTCTCTATTTCTTCCTCCTCCTGTTGTCTTTTTCTGTAAATCATGTCGATACCGGCTGTAATATTACCCCATTGATCGCTACCACCCAACTAATGTGTAAAGTGAGCCATGTCGTCTCCAAGACACACGTACAGCTTTATACAACTTGCCTGAATTCGACATTGGTGGTGCTTGTAAAGATACCAGAAATCATACGCCTGCAGCAATTGATACGAGAACTCTGTGAAACTGATGCCTTGTGTTGTATCCATTCTCGATTTCACACTCTCTTTGGCCAACATGGTGTTTACCCGAGCAAATCTCCCCACGGAACTCAAAAAGTCGATGGCTGTCATGGAGCTAAACCAGCTGTAATTGTTCAATACTTTGGGTGTCAAATGGTCAGTTTGATCAAATCCATGTCTTTTGGCATAAGCAGCTCCATTTTTGAAAAATCGATGAATTTGGCTCTCGATGCCGGCCACGTTGACCTTGAGCACATCTTGTGATAATGGCACACGCTCAGATTTACGGCCTGAAGGATCGCCAATGCTTCCAGTAGCTCCACCCACGAGAGCAATGGTTTGATGTCCTCTGACGTGGAAATGCAGTAACCCCATCAAAGTAACGAGGTTTCCTAGATGAAGACTTTTGGCGGTAGGATCGACACCACAGTAGATGGCGGTAGGCGAGTTGGTCTTTTCAGTTACTTCAGGACTAGACATCATTATCATTCATCATGCAAGGTTCGGCAACATATCATTTTGGCTTTACCTTGTAACATTGGATACGAGACCGCGATGCGTCATGTCTGTAATGACATTGGAATAGGTGCTCAAGAAGGATTTGTTGACCTTGATACTTGAAATCCATGCTGAGCTGCCAGCTCTTTTTAGAATGAACATATTGACAGGCGAGAGAGAAAAGAGTACCCCTTGTATTGAAAATCTGATGGGCTGGGCATTTGAAACGCCTCTTTCTTTGGTGCTGCTGCTGATTCAAGTCAGTGACTGCAGCCTGTCAGATCAACGGATGGGCTGTGTGTTGTGTGCTGTGTGCCTTGGATTGATAGTTTACAGATTCAAACTGAGCAGCACCGATGCCATTATCTTATATAGGTTGGCATTAACGCTTCATCTAAACAGAAAGTTGTGCTGAGCGGATTCTATGATCAGATCTGAACTCTTTGGTAGAATCATTTCACTTTTGTCACCATTGATTGTCTGTGCTTCATGTGTTTTTATATGCCAGAGAACGTTTATGATAGTCCGAGTTCCAGGCACACACACAGCAACTATTGCTAGGCTGATGCTTTTAAATAAAAGCATTCAAAAAAAAAAGCAGCAATCTATCCGAAAAAAAAAAAACTGAATGAACCAACACCAGACATCATTATAAAATGATAGTTTCTTTTCCTCGTTTATATACTTTATAATAACAAAACTCATCAGTATTACTTCCTCCACTGTTATTCATGTAAAAGAGTATAACCAGCTATAGCAAGGTCAACAAGACCAGATCGAATGGTTGTCATTTGAGCCAACTCTACTGTGAAGCCATCAAAGAAGCCAGCAAGCCATACGTGATATCTTGGCCTGCATTGGGGAAGTCTATCAAAAAAAGATTTTCGCATCACTATCTTGGTAGAGCACCAGGATACAACCAGAGAGTATGTAACAGGCGATCAGTAAGCGCACGTCCTGGCAATATATAATCCTGAAATGGACATTTTAACATTTGTGATTACGCTGGACATGGCTATTTCCAAAATGGCAAAACACAAGAGAAACAAGCACCATCGATATCTCATATTTATCCGTAAATATCCCTTTGCAGGGCACTTTGATTGCAATAATAAAACGATGGAATGGTGATTGAGTCAAGCACTGGTAGTTGCGTGCTTGATGAGTGGCCGCATCTCATTACCTGATTTCGAATATGATGAATCTTGTTATCAATAGGGCCAAGTCATCTGTCGTTGAAGATGAGACTTGCGCCGGCATACATCCATGGAGAGCATATCAATTCATCGATCAAATATCAAGGGGTTTTGCTCTGCAATTTATCGGATCCATCAATCTCCGTCTGTGAAAGAGCATTTCACACGTGATGATTGCAAAACGTTTAAATATTAGAAGTATTCCTAACAGCATTTTTTGCTCTTCTCTTCACCTAAAAGCACAATGGGCGATATTGCAGAACAAGAAAGAATAGAAAGACGTCGAGCAAGAAGACAACAAAAGATTTTAGCTTCTGCAGAAAGCAGGCTAAGTAAAATCACGGGTAGCCAAGCTGGTACGTTAGTGTTGAGTTGACACATGTTGACAAGCTGCTCATATTGCATTAGCATTGCGAGAAACACCATCACCAACTCCCTCTCCATCGACATCCACTCTCAACTCTCTTAGTCACGAAAAAAACACCATTGCAGAGCATTATCCCTCGCCTTCTGATCCACGTCGCCAAAAATACGAAGAGCGATTGACACCATCGCCCTCCACATCCTCCATCAAAAGACAGCAACTCCATCGACCTGCCGTCCAACGAGCCATTGAAGAAGAGCAAGCCAACGCATTGAATGAGAATGGATTTCTCGGTGGAAAAATTCCTCAGCTCTTGCTAGCCAACATGTTGCGCAAAACAAGTCCTACACCAAAGAGATCATCACATCCAGCCAACAAGTATTGGAATTTGTTGCATTTTATATCGATGGTGTGGTTGGGCATGTTGGCGATTTACGAGGAAGGAAGGGCTCATGGGCTGAATCAAGTGCCAAAGTTGATACAGAATCCAGTAGAGGATACAACAGATACAATCCATTTTGTAAGCGTGCCAACATTTGAAAGAGAGAGAGAGAGAGAGAGCTAGAACTAACCCTTCCTGTTTTAGCCTGTCTTTTGGTACTTTGTGGTGCTTGAAATGACCTTGCAATTTGGAAGAAATGTATATCATCCCGTAAGTTGGATTTAGCATTGCCACTCAATAGACACAACTAACACTGCCAACAGCATCTCAAAACCCCGGAAGAGACCTCATTTCTCAACGTCGCAAGTCAATTACCACCGCAATTGCAACACCCAGCCTACTTGATTCAGAAATACGGTGTCATGGCAAACCGAATTTTTAGAGATTTATGTATTGTAATTTTTATCATTGGATTTACATCCTTGTGTTTGAGTATATGTGTATAGAAAAGCAGAGTGTATAATATAAAAGGAGAATTATTTTTTCAACAGACTATGCACAACATGCGACACCTTCAAATTCTTGAGATCGGTATACGTTTGACCAGTGCCAACAAAGTAGATGGGTTGGCCTGTAATATAAGTCATGGAAAGAGCGGCACCCACCTTGTCATCAATGGTATCGAATTTGGTTAGAATCATACCATCAATGTGTCGAGGATTTTGCAAGCCAGAGAAATCTTTGAGGGCTTGGTTGAATTTAGTAAGCTGATCCACAGCTTCATTACCCACCAAAGCTTCACCCACAAAGATAATCTTGTCGGGCTGATTCACAGACACCAACTTGGACAGAGCTCTCATCAAGGGTTCATTGTCTTGCATGCGACCGGCGGTGTCAATCAGTACAACATCGAAATTGTTGACAGTGGCATAGTTGATGGCATCCTTGGCAATACCAGCGGAATCTTTACCATAACCACGTTCAAATAACTCCACAACACCGCCGCCACTGGTTTGAAGTGCACGAAGATTACGAGCATGCACACGCAGCTGTTCTACTGCACCACTACGGAAAGTGTCACAGGCAGCAATCAAGATCTTGTAATTGTTTTGCAGTAACCAAAAGCAGACTTTACTCAGATTGGTAGACTGTCAAGAGTGAGTGAGTGAGCCTATGGGCAAACCTATCAAAAGCAACATCTTACCTTACCCACACCATTCACACCGATAAAGCACATGGTGTATGGCCTCTTTTCGGATTTCGCTTGTTCAATGTCTCGTAAGATATCCAGCGATGTTTTTGGTGTCAAAATACGTTTCAATGCAGTCTCCATACTGTTTCTGACAGCGGTTGAAATTCTCTCGAAACTACCCAGCTTCTTTCCCAATAAACTGGTTCTCACACTCTGACACAGATGATCAGCAATATGTGTAGCTACGTTTTGTGTAATCAGATGCTCCTTGATGGTGGCAATCACTGGATCCAAAGTCTCTGCCGTCATTTCTCGTTGACCCGTGAATGATTTAAAGTAAGAGAACAGGCCAGATGACGTGCCCTTTTGAACCTTCTCTTCTAATTCTTCCTCCTCCTCATCAAAATCCAACTCTTCATCCTCTTCTTGCATCACATCCTGTACTTCGTAGATGCCCTTTTCATTCTTTTGACCGAGTTTAGATTCATCCACAAATTGAGCTGCAATAGCATCAGCATCGGCTTCCTCATCCTCATCCTCCTTGTTGTTACTTGATTTCTTGTTGCTGCTGAAATCAAGCGCTTCCATTTCTCCCTTTGCAATTTGACCATCCCATACACGAGCTTGCTTTTGTGATTTCTTCTTTTTCTGTGTGGTGGTATCATCATTCATGCTTGGTGAAGCAGCAGCTGATGCTGATTTACTTGATTTGCCCTTACGTGGTCTACCACCTACTCGGGGACTAGCTTGTAATTTTAGAGCCTTGATATTCTTGGTGATCTCATCCTCGTCGACTGTATTTGTGTTGATCACGGGGAGTGCACCCACTAGAACAGACGATGCTATTAGCTGCTGATGTCAAACCCCCCCACACACACACACTCTGCTCATCTTACTGTTTTGTGCTTGAGATCCCTTTAACGAACTTTCAAACTTTTTAGTGTTTTCAAACTTTCTTGGTGCACGTTGGCGATGCTGAGACGAGTATTTCTCTTCGATTTGTTGCAAGAGTTGATCGAATAGAGGGCCAAATGAAGTGAAATCACCATCCACCAACTGGCCTTGAGCAATGAGATCCTTGTTGGTTTCCAGAAACATACGCTTCACCGTTTCCAAAAGCTCGTCAATGTAATTTAACTGTAATATCTTCTGGTAGGCTACCACAAACACCAAGTCAAGTTCGTTTGCAAAGGTCCACTTTAAAGCATAGTTTTCCTTGAAATAAGAATCTGTACCCGCGCGTTCTTCAATCAGCACATTTCGAATCAAATCTTCCACGGGAGACCCGTTGATGGGAGCAAATGTCTTTTGCCATAATACAAAACCACCTTTGGTGAGAATAGTGAACAGGTCAAGCATTTTGTATAAAAGAGTGAAACAAAAAGGATTGTTAAAAAATTTCCAACAAAGAGCACATTATATACAGTTCCACATTGATGCAGCTCATTGGATAATTTGAGAGTCCATTTTCGTGTGTAATCCGCTTCATTGGAACATGTCAGTGCTGATTTTTATTGCCTTTCATGATTGTTCTCTCTTTCTTGATGCTACACAAAATTTAAGGGACCTTCTGATTTGAATCTCTGTTCAATAAGTAAGGTAATCTAATCTGCCTGCAGGTGAGCAACGGATCACCTTTTGGAATTTCGTTGATCGACTAGGTGAATGCAAAAACCTATAGGGGTTTGATTTCATCAGGCGCTTTTCCGTTGTAGAATGGGTAGTGAAAGGCTGTACTCAAATACAATCATTGACTATATGGATAAATGAACCTCTCAACTCGAACGAAATCAATCGTTGAATGACGGTAAATGGGGAGCAAGTTTATACCTTGACAAACTTGAAGATTATTGATGAATGTTATGGCAATCTCTTGGAGTGTCTCTCCTTCAAATATACAAACATCGCAAAGCTTCACATGGATGCTGAAGCTTGTCGCTTTCATTACGACGACATCGCGCGCTTCAAGCCCAATTTGGATCATGTCCGGGAGTCGATCAAAGGGATAGTATTCTAAAAGAAAGTACTTTTTTCGTAATACATTTTTAATGGATGTGTTGAAATGCCTTTCATCTATTGTAGAGTGCCCTCTCATTATCGAGGCAAAATTAGATCAAAATATACTGACGTAGGCGATTCAGAACATCACAAGGCTATATCTAATGCAGCGAAGCACACTGTGTGAGTAGCTTTGGTTGATTGTCTAACGTATTATGATCTTAAAGATTCTCCAATATATATATATATATATATGAAAAACAAGCGTATTCGTGTACAGGTTGTATAGCATTATTATGTATACTTGTGGTACCATGCAATGCGCATGTCAACTCTATACCAGATTATGTGGCTACTATACCAATATGCGAAATAGTTTGGCAGTGTTTCTGCTTAAAGGTCGTCCGTAAAATACAGGATCTTGAGTAAAACCATAGAGTGAACGTGCATTTGACTCTTGAACTATGCATATCATAATAGATCCAAAGTAAACCTATTGAATGGTTCTTGTTTTATCTGAAAACGATGCGTCTTTCGCAAGATATAACCAAAAATGGTGTCCTGCAAAATCATTGATTTTTGACCAAAATCTGCCTGTGATAGCAAGGAGAAAATTCTGGTGACCTTTTTTTTTTTTTTATCAGGACAAGATTGTTGATATTTCATGATAGAGCTATGCCAAGGCTTCGAGCAAAAGCTCATTCGATAGGAAATTTTTTGGTCTACAATGTTTAGTAATGCTTAACAAAATGTTTTGATGACAGATACTGATTAATCTTTAGAAAACAGTGAAAAAAATCGCAAAATGTATCTCATCAAATATCAGTTGAACAATGCACACCAAACACTTGATACTAATACCATTGTATTTTCCTTTACATTCTCTACAAGTTTCATATAAGTTTGAAGGGGTGTTTACTATCAAGAATCAAGTAATATTTAAGATCGATAGATTTCGGAACCCCATGGATCCTCATTGAGAACAATAAAAATTGAAGCTCCGTTGACCTTTGGCATGTGTACACCACACAAGTATTATGCATCTGACCAAGCATTTTAAAAACCAGAGCGTACGAAAAGGGCCATAGTAACTTGCTGGTTTCAAGTTATCAATAGATACTTGACATATTGAAGAATTTTGTTGTCCAAACTAGACAACTGTAGCATGCTTTGTGCAGGAATAATAAATTTTTCAAGTTAGAGTAAGCATAGTCACCCGTTTAAAATACATGATTCACTGTGCTGACCTAAAGAAGTTGAGGATTGGGCCAGCAATAACACCCTTTCAAGATGGAGATATCATGTCAATACAATATTAGAAGGTTGATTTCCATATCATGGTTACAGAATCCACTGTCATGTCAAATATGCTTGTCTGTAGACGACGATCATTATGACCCAATGTTCACTTTGTGGCACAATGCATTTGAGACGACCAGTCTCAACACAAACTCGAAGCAAACTGTATTGAAACACCAGGTTTCCCTCATCTTCAACTCTACATACACATTTACAATGATATCCTCATGGGAACGAATCCCTAAAGAACGGCTAGAGGCCGTATTTGACAAGATTGAAGAGGACGATTTCTTTGTTACGCGCATAAGAAAGCACTGTCTATTCCCATTAATGCTGACATGCAAACACTGGTCCAGTATTGCCAAAAAAGCGCTTTACAGTGAAGAATGCGAAATCAATGTAAATTCGACCAAAAAACTCATTTCGTGCGGAACAAGTCGTCAACAACAACTTTGGCTCAGAAACATTCTGATTACCTACGAGTTAGCCATAGATGCATCCTTGAAAAAAGTGCCACTACCCTATCCATCATTGTCAAAGATACATCGTCTCGTCTATATATAGAAAGGGTTGATTCAGCAACTCTATTGTGGCGGACGCCACTAAAATCACGGCGTCTTGACATTGATCATTTGGAATATGAAGATCTGGAATACATCGAGTACAAATTTGACCGCTTGCCAGATCTGCAGATCACATTTCAGGGATCTCCCTATTATATGCAAGACTTCTATGTGTACTTGGCAAGATTACCAAACTATTCAATCCAAAACATATGCATTTCCAACGACCGCTTGCATAATACAATGATGCACCTCACAGAATGCTTCCACATTACTCATCTAAAGTTTCTAAGAGGTTAAATACAGTAGGTGTATCTCTCAAATGCTTGGCTAAGCCCAAAGACGGCATTTGAGATACATTTGAGCAGTGATTTATCGTGTTAGAAACTGTTTCAGGCTGACAGAGTGGCACCAAACAATCGCTCATGCCTAGCACTTGCTTTCTGACACCTTTACTCAACTTTTTTGGGATCCAAAAAACATGGCCAAACCCCATGAGGGGTAACCTTATGGTTTTCATCGAAAATCAAACGATCGCATTTTTGGCCCCAAAAATGAAGACTTTTGCTATAGCATATAGTATATCAAAATGTTTCTATTGATCTAGGGCATCTCCTGAAGCCACTTTTGTGAGACTTCCATATGTAAAATTCTGTTATTTTAATCAAAACACCTCTTTTTATATTTTCAAGGTTTGCTCAATAAGTTTATTCAACATATCCATCGTGATTTATACCATCGAATGCGCCTTGAAAAGTGCTCTCGAGAAGCTTAAGAGTGTGTGTAGAGATTAGCCCTTTTCTATAGTCGATTCTGATAAAGAAGTTTTTTTTTTAAAAAAATTTTGTTTATTGATTGAGCCGCGTACACTAGGAGTACTGGGTCGAAGTGAAGAGGCGGGTGCAATTGAAAAAGAGATAATAAAAAGAAGGTAAAATATTAACTAAACTAAACTAAACTAAACTAAACTAAACTAAACTAAACTAAACAGAACTATCGAAACTATCAAAACTACAAGAGGAAATGGATTTGATCCTCATCCACTGTCTGGCGAACAGATAAAGAAGTTGAAATTAGGTCGAATTTCTTCCAGTTTGGCCCATCCTGAGCAAGAGCAAAACAGTAGGAGTCAAGTACAGTTTAGCTTGCAAATGCATTTTATATCAAGACAATCGATGCTTTTGATGCTGAAAGAAAGCGAGCTGTATTGCTGCGTAAGCATACAAAGCCGTTCTTCAAAATATAGCTGTAGAAATCATCTACGAGAAATGCATCGCATAGCTTTACATTTTCAAACCCCCCCCCAACAACCTTCCTGACCCCCCTAAGGCCATACATCTGGTGTATTTGATACAACCAATAGCTCATTGTATGCATTGCCGACTCGTTGATCGTATGAAACTAAATTCTAGTATTATTATTTATTTAATGAATGAAAAGGACGAGCTTGCATGTTATTCATTCAAGTGGACACAGCGTATGTCTCTAAACAAGGTATTTAGGTTTGTCCTCCTCTTGCTTGATACTTTACGTTATTTTGTGTTTGATAAAGCTACAATCAAAGATCATGACAATTTTTCAGGTGCTTTTGGAAACCGAGTTTCCTGCAATAAGAGTATTCGCATTGTGCACAGTACAGTTTGGGATTGTCGACATCGATTGTCGCATTAGGATTAGAGATAGCGTGATGGTCTAGTGTCATAAAATGAACGTTTCTGCAATGCTCTCGATATCTTGCTCGTGTTTTGGAGGACTTTTTGCATACGCTACAGTAATAATGAGGGTCATATGGATCTGGTGGATTTTCTCGCTTGGTATTGGCTTGCGGCGGCGGCAGAGTCATTAGGTGTACTCTTCGAAGATGCATTCGATATCTGCTTTTGGAAGGATAGGTTTTTTGACATACGCGACAGTAGTGATTGGGATCGTTGATATCTGGTTCTGGTAGACTTTTTTTTTTTGGTGATGATGGATATAGAGAGTGTACTAGTTTCAAATGTTGCTTGAGACAGGATCTGTCTGCCAATGTCTTATTACAAGAACGGCAGTGAAAGTTGGGTTCATCAACATCTGACATCACGCGTTTGGGCTCCTTTAATAATGATCTCCAATCCACCTTATGAATAGCGAAAAGATGTAGACGATAAGACTGTCTGCTGGATAAACGCATATCACATAAACTACAATAAGAATCCATCATGCTACCTAGTACTGTTTGCCGTGGAGCAAATTGGGAAAGCTTCATTCCATGTCCAAATCGGCAATGATCCCTGTATTGGTATGTCTGTTTGTAAGTACGATTGCATGCTTTGCAATATAAATTTGGATCGTCAGGATCAGGAATAATGCCATTTTCGAGCGGTTTCCATCTGTGTATTGGTCTCAAAGCCATATAATGGGCGTTTCTCAGATGAATTCTGTATGCGTGTTTGTTACTAAACTTCACTTTACATGACTTGCAGTGAAATTTAGGGTCATGTATATCAGGTTCCAGATTGATATTCTTTATCTTTCTCTTGCCCATTTGTCTGACATTGTGAACTGATTTGCGATGTTCTAAAACAGATCAGAGGCTTTCCATCTTTCTGTCGCAATGATCGCAGCGATAGTCATAGTCTGCCTCACCAAACTCGTCTGCAGAAAACGCGGTTTAGAGTATATTCTCAAGCACACCACCTGACTTACCAGGCTGCTGTAGTTGTAGTTCCTCGCGTTCTTTTGTTTCTTCCTGCTTGATGGTGAGGTTGGTAGTAGCTGGTGCATTGGCTACAGGAGGAGATGCATTGCTGGGAATGATGTCGGATTTTCTCTCCTCTTTTTTGATATCACCCTGAACATGCTTCTTTCTGTCTCTCAGTTTCATGGTAAAAAAAAAAAAAAGAAAAAATTGAAAAGATGTAGCGTCAATAACAGAGCAAACAATGATTTACTCCTGTCCCTTGGTGTCGATTTAAAGTCGTGTCAGTATTAACATAGTACAGCAATGCAAACATGAGACCATGAAAACAGCCGAATCATGCCCTGTTATCAAAAAGAAGCATGCATTGAAATTCAATACTTGACGCAAATCCTGTAGCAAACGTCTGGCAAACAAATGGTTTTACCAGTGGCCTCTTGTTGTAATTTACAAAGTGGATTAGAGATCACATCCTCCAAGCTTTCTATATAGACTCTATTTAATCAAACATTTCAAAAGTACACGAAATATTCTGATGAGAAGGGCGAGTGTTTCTGTAAAAATCCAGCTTCTTTCGACCACCATGGCATCTACTGAACCATAGCAATGCCAAACACAGAGGTAGCACCAATAGCCACTCTTTACAGAAGGGAATCCATGATGCTGTGTTCAACCGTATCGTCATAAAGCTCTCAAAAAGATCGTATTGAGACGAGGAACTGCTGGAAGGAGTATAGCAGACGTAATCTACGTATACAACAATCCCTCTCTGCACAATCACTTGCATTCTAGAGGAAAAGTAATTCCTTTTAAAGTTGGTTTACAGTCTCTTCTTTCATAATGGTACTGCTTTAGCATCCTTCTTGAGCTTGTAGATCCAACAGCCAAGTCGTTTGAGTTGGTGCACTTGGAGGCGTGCTGCGAATCCAGTAACGCCAGGCACCAATTTGAAACTCGACTCTATTCCATGCCTGTGGAAAAGTGGCGTTTTCTCAGTTTCGGTTTGGAAGCACGCACAAAAATGCAACATCTCGGTGCCAAATTGACACATTCTTCTTTTTCCTCTTCTTTTTTTTTTTTTTTTTTTTTTTTTTTTTTTTTTTTTTTTTACAACAACATATACCACACGGCACATGTCATCTCATGCGAATAAAGGTATTTTCTTCAAATAGCTGTCATGGCGAGTACAAGTACTCAACACAACTCTTTCGCAGTGCAATGTCCCATCTGTCATCAATGGGTGGTTGCTTCCAAGATAAACGCACACATTGATGCAAACTGCCCTGACCCATCATTGAATTCTCTTCAAAAACAACCTAGCACCCACATGGAGATTGACAATGATTTTCCAAAGCTCGAGATTACCACTGCTAACGATGAAAAGAAAGCAGAAACCAAAGGCAGTAATAGCAGCAGTGTAGCGTCAAAGCCGAGTGCATCATCATCGCCTGTTCGCATAGCACCCTTATTTGCACCTAAAGCACAACAACCATCATCCAAAGCGGCGTCATCGCCGTCGTTGTCGACGTCTTTAGAGTCAAGACCTATGCCCACATTTGGAGGCATCAAACGACAGCAACCCGCTGACGCTATATCGCCCGCCACCACCACCACCACCTCATCCTCATCCACCTCAACAGCCCAGCCCACCACCAAGCGCAGTAAACGATCCGATGCAGTTCTGGACTCCATGCCATTAGCCGCTCGAGTTCGGCCCATTACTTTAACAGACTTTGTTGGCCAAGAAGAACTGTTGGGGCCTGATGGCATTTTGAAAAAGCTGATTGATCATGACCGTATACCTTCCATGGTATTATGGGGACCGCCTGGATGCGGAAAGACCACCATTGCTCGTATTATCTCCAAAATGACCAAATCCAGATTTGTGGAATTAAGCGCTACAAGCCACGGTGCAGCAGATGTCAAGAAGGCGTTTGAGGATGCCAAGGGACATTTGATGTTGACGGGCCAAAAGACGTTTGTGTTTATAGATGAAATTCATCGATTTACAAAGACACAGCAGGATTTGTTTTTACCGTATGTGGAGCAGGGCACGATTCACTTGATAGGTGCTACGACAGAGAATCCAAGGTAAGTGTGTAAGAGAGGACTGGGTATATGCACATCACTCATATGATATATCAAAGTTTCAAAGTGAATTCTGCTCTCTTATCAAGATGCAAGGTGTTTGTGTTGAAGCGACTGGATCAAGATCAAATTGAATCCATTTTGACTCGAGGATTGCAGAAATGGCGAGGCGAAGAGGAAATACAAACGGATCATAGTAAGGATAAAGAGGCATTAAAGCAACTGGCTGTCTATAGTGATGGCGATGGTAAGTTTAGATATATATATATATATATATATATATACGAGGGCTGATGAAATGGGACGACTCACAAAATTCTATAGCAAGAACTGCTTTAAACACCTTGGAAATTGCAGTCAGCTTATTACCGTCCAAACAACATCCATTGGAGATCGATACAGTCAAGGGAGCCTTTCAAAAATCACATTTGCTGTATGACCGCAATGGAGATCAACATTACGACATCATCAGCGCATTACACAAGAGTATCCGAGGCAGTGATGCCGATGCCGCCTTGTACTGGCTGGGCAGAATGTTGGTCGCAGGCGAGGATCCGTTGTACATTGCTCGCCGTTTGGTGCGATGTGCCAGTGAAGATATTGGATTAGCAGACAACACGGCACTCCCACTTGCCATGGCAGCGTACACGGCGTGCGAAAAGATTGGCATGCCTGAATGCGATACAATCTTGGCTCATCTGGTGGTGCATCTTGCCGAGACCAAAAAGAGTGTGCGAAGTTACAAGGCGTATAATTTAGTCAAGCAAACCATCCAGGACAACCCAGCGTATTCTGTGCCAATGCACATTCGCAATGCACCTACTACATTGATGAAGGTAAAGTCTTGATTTTTATTAAATGTACATGTGTGTGCCTTAACACGCTTGTGATAGAATCTGGGATATGGTGAAGGCTATAAATACAATCCAGACTATCAAGGGCCCGTGGAGCAAACCTATCTGCCTGATGAATTGCAATTTGAACGGTTTCTTGAATAAATAAAAAATTTACTGTTCTTGTGCTACTTTTTTGATTTCTGCAATGCGTTGGCTGATGGTATCAATAGCAGCTGTCCAAATTTCCAGTTCTTTGTGCTGACTGATGACGGATGTTTTAAAGGGTATAATCTTGTTGGCTGATGATGCGATGCTGGCTTCTTTTGTGAGATATCGAGTATGGCTTCTTAGAGCGAATTGGATATCCTGGTGAGAGAGAGAGAGAGAGAGAGAGAGATGAGTCATGTAGACAAACGCGCAAGATGGGATCATACTGTACATTGACCAAGGAAAAATATCTCGATGCTAATTCGCGAAATGACATGGCTCTTTCGCGAACAAATTGGTCTGTGTCCACATCGCTTGGTGCTTCATCCGAGAGAATGGAGAGAGCCTCAGCAGCTGTTTCAATCAATAACACGAGTTTCTATCGTCATCTGTACATGAGTTCCTCTGGCACACATGTTTAGCTTTGCTATGACTTACCTTTTCGGCTTGATGGAGATCCTGAATACGCATGGTGCTCTCGGCCATACGGCCTGTTGGATCAATGTATTGATTCTTGTTTGACATGTAGAAAAGACTAAAGAAGAAAAAAGGCCCAACGAAAGGAAAGGGGTTCAGAATTTGAATATAATGAAGAGAGGCTGAGCTCTAATGCGTGATGCTGTTGTTTTGTAGTGATAGTTACAGCACAGCACATGTTTAATACAAACAGCTGGCCGTTTTTTCTTTTCTTTTCCCCTCTTTCTTTCTACTCTATATTATTGGGATCTCTATACCCAACTACACCTCACATAGCTCTCTTTTATATATATATATATACCTCCTTTTTATCCTATTCCATCCCTTGTTCCAAGCCGCAACCCCTTTTGTATATCTTTCTATAATAGTCAATTCGACAAGCAAAGCGCTCTCTCCTCCTTCTTCTGACCACTACTTATTCCCGGGTTTTTGTGCGATATAACGACAAACACGCATGGCAGGTCCTAGCGATAAAATAACAAGAGAATCAAGCTTCGCGTCTCGAGTACAACAATTTGATTTCTGTGGAGAATCCATTGATGCATCACTGAGGTAAACTGTCTAAAGTAGTCATAGTAAAACAAGACGGAAAATTTATCTTGTAACCACCACATCAGAAAACTGCTGGCCAAAGTATTACTGCCCAAAGAAGCGCAACAAATTGATCGTGCCATGGAAGATTTCGCCAAGCGCTATTACGAATGCAATCCGAGTTTAGTGGATAGCCCAGATGTAGTGTATGCTGTTGCGTTTTCAATCCTGCTCTTACACACAGACGCTCACAACAAGAACGTGAAACAAAAGATGAACAAGGACACGTTTATCATGCGCACCAAGATCATTGAGGGTGGCGAGGGTGTGCCTCATGAGATACTGGATGTCATGTACGACAATATCGTCATGTCAGAATTCACCTATGCAGATGGACACAAGGAATCCAATGGCAGAGCAGCAGCAGCAACAGCACAGACTGCTGAGAGATCCAACTCTTGGTTTTCAAAACTAAAGAGTGGCAGTAGTGATACCAATGCACATACCCAGTCAGTAAGTACCACACAGTCTCCCCATCACCTAAAGCATACTCACACTGGTAAAAAAAAAAAAAGCAGGCACTTTTAGCTGATCTTGGCCAGAAATTAGAGCAACTCATGCCTGCTGAAAACACCTTTAGCTACAAACGGACTCTAAAGCCGATTCCTATTATGGAAGTTCATTTCTCCATCTTACGAGCCAAATCACTGTGTTTGGCAGGTGTTCGAAGTCGATATGGAGGCGGCGGTAGCAGCGGATCAGACAGCAACACCAACACATTTACCATTCGAGTGACCAAGGCAGGCATTCTGGATCGAAAGTACGACCTCACGCAAGGTGGGAAAAAGGCAACGGCGCGAGGATGGCGACCCTTTGGATGTATACTGAGTGGAAGCCAGATCATCTTTTTCGCTGACATTTCATCATTTCAAAACTGGCTGGATCATCGAGAGGATCAAGAACAACAGGAGGAAACCGTGACACCACGAAGAAACAACAGTTTTCCAGCATTTTCATCCTTGGCAGCAGCAGCAGCAGCAGACTCTTCTTGTTCCAACCTCAGTACGACCACTTCACTCGCATCCATGTGCCCTCAACAAGCCTCACAGCAAAATATACCCACCAACGCCTTTCTGAGACCCGTTCAAATTGTATCACTCTCTTATGCTATCTGTATTTGTGATGAAGAGTACACAAAATACCCACATGTCTTTCGACTGATAACAGGTGATGGGCAGCAATTCTTGATGCGCGCAGAAGATGATCAAGACATGGAAGATTGGATGCTCAAGATCAATTATGCCGCTACTCTGAAAACAACAGGTGTACGCATGAGACCTACAAAAAAGCCTAGCAACAGCAATGAATCCACACAATCCGTAGATACCAACAAATACAACGTGGACCGTTTGAAACGAGAAGAAAAGGCGCGAGAAAAGGTGATTGAACTCACACAACGTATAGACGAACAGGTGAAATTACTGGATCGAGAATTACAGTTGCGTCGAAATCTGATGGCACTGATTCCCTGTCAAAAGGCAACCAAAGACAGAATCCTGCTATTTGCAGATGCAGTAGGCAAAAAGCTCAAGACAAAACGGATCGAGTTGCAACGGTTGCAGTGTTATCGAGACTATTTGGAGTGTGAACTTTCGTGGTGTGCATCACAGCAGCAACAGCAACAGCAACAGCAGCAGAGAAAAATGTCTTTGCCTTTGCCATCTCATTTGTACACATTTACAGCATCTCACAACAACTCTGCTAGCAACAACGCAGTATCATTACCTGTGGGTGGCACAGGCAAGAGAGAGAGTATCAAGAAACTTTCCAATCTCGTATTCACAGCGCCTCCTTCTGATGAGCCTTCACCCGTAACGACCAGTTCAAGCACAACGTCCTCCTCACACCACATGTTACTGGAATCCTCATCAGGTATAAGCGACCTTACCAACTCTGCTGCTGGAAGTCATCTTCATAGTGCCATCAGTGATTGTGAAAGTGTGGCTACCTGCAATGGTGTACTACCACAAGAACATCAAGGTGACGACAATAACGACAATGATGACGACGACGATAGAAAGAGCCATGATTCTACACCTCAGCTGCCCCTATTTTCATTCCCCAAATCATTCATTGAGGGTGTCTCGTTCATGGATAGTAAGCACGTCAAGGCAGCATCGGATAAAGCAGTGGAAATGGATCGTATCATGCGTCGTCGAAGTCAAAGCAATCCGGTCATGCCACACGCGACGCGATCCCCTATCATTGACAAGAAGCTGTTATTGGTGGATGCACCTACCAGTAAAGGTGGTCGACAGAGAAGTGGATCAGAAGCGTCGTCTGTGCAAGGGGATGATGATGACATGAGTGTGGTGATTGTCAATGATTCGGAAGAGTTGCTCACAGATACATCCTCATGGCCAACCACAACACCCTCTGTCACCTGACATGCTGGAATCTATGCGTTTGCAATGAAATAAAAAAAAAAAGTGTGTTTCACGAACAAAGCAATGAATTCAGGGAAAAAGCAGGGCAATATTTATTGGATGTTTACAAAAGATGGACTGAGCGGGTTATTTCTACAATTTTCAGTCAAGTGAGAGTGAGCTTTGGGATGGAACAGGCAGCGAAGTTGAGGTTTCTTTGGGTGGGTGAACTTTTGCTTTTTAATCTTATGTTGTTGTTGGAGTTGAACAACTTCTACTTTGGGAGAGGCGCTTTGTTTTTGTGTGTGTGTCTGTGGTTGTTGAGACGCACGACGGTGCAATTCATAAGGTTGAGGTCGAGGAGCCGGTAAAGGAGGGTTCTCAAACGCATCATTGCAAGAGCAGATTTGATTGTGGATATCTCTAAAGAGATCAATAGCACTGTAGATGGTGTCCTTTTTCTCTGGATGGTTCTTTTTGACATGTTGATACAAGAGTCCAAACTGGGCACGGTCCTCCAAGGTTGGCAAGGCAGATTGAAAGTAAGTAAAACCAAGTTCTTCAGACACTTTGGCGTACTCGAGGTTTCTGACAAAACGATGGACGAAGCTGTTCATCGACTCGGTTTCTGCATTGTAATGCGCCAACGTCAATTGTTTGATGGCTTCGGCCAAGGGCATCTCATACTCTTGCAACAAACATAACTTGAATTGGGACCAGGTCAATTGAGGTTGTCTAACCAGCAATCCGTCCAACCAATGGTGCATAGGCGTACTCAACCTGGAAGGGATCAACGATCTCCATTTACGTTCGATATCAAAATCATAGTCTTGCACAGCGCGGTCCACTTGTCTCAAGCAAGCATAGATGGTGCTAAACACCTTTTCTCGAGTGTTGGTGACATTGCCCTCCCATTGAAAATACGGCACCAGACGCATCATCAGCAATAGTTTTTTGTAGTTTTCGTCCGAGGGTTGAAGCAAAGGCGTATCTTTCTTGAGACTAGCAATGGCACGTTTAAGATAATTGATTTGCGTGGTAGTGGCACAAAAGACATCACTCAGTTCTTGTTTGTGGGGTGTCATGCAGAGGTCCAATGTCAAGGTAACCAACTTGCCCTTGAGATCCTTTAGCATGTTCTCCATAGCAACCACATTTTCATCGCCACTGGTATCGGGTGCACGTTGTTCTCGTCGACGTAGTTCATCTACGGATGTCTCAGCAGCACGTTTGTTGGCAACAGTAGGAGCAGCGACAGAGACAGTGCTAGTAGCAGCAGCAGCAGCAGCACTAGCAGCTTGACGAGGAGGAGAGGTGGATGGAGAGCTGTAAGGAGGGATACTGGTGGTGTACACCTTTTCAGACGAAAATCGTTCTTTTCTACTGGCATGGTAAGCAGCAGGGGAAACAATCGTCTTGCTATTACTTTTCTTAGCAGCGGTAGCTTTACTGAGCACAATGGGTTTAGCACTACAATCACCGTCATGTATAACACGACTGACAGCAACTGAGGAATGACTAGAGGTATTGTCCCCACATAAACTATAACTGCTATCTAAAGTAGCCTGGTTTGTTTGATCATCACTTTCAATCTTAACAGGACTTTTATGATGCATCGCAGCAGGAGCTCTCAAAGAAACACTGCCGAAAACCACATCAGCCTGCTTAGAAGATACTATAACAGGACTTTTTGCCACGTTGTTTACAGAGCTAGCCCACCCTCCCATTCTTTTCTCTACGTGAGATTGGTTGAAGGGACCAGATGCCACAATCTTTGCTGCCTGCTTAGCTACTGCAACAGGGCTTTCTGCCTGCTTAGCTACTGCAACAGGGCTTTCTGCCTGCTTAGTTACTATAACAGGGCTTTCTGCCTGTTTAGCTACCACAACAGGGCTTTTGTTCACTGCTGCTACATTACGACTAGGGCTGCTAGCGAATGAGGGCATGGCGGTGGTAGATGCCAACGAAGATACAGCCCGTATGACTCTGGGTCTATTACGTGGATCTCTACGTGGATCTCTAGGATGTAACTGCGGTACAGTACTCCCACTACTAGAGTTATTCGCATGATTGGAACCTCTTACCGCTACCGTTGGCTCCTTCGTCGTGGGCACAAGAGTAGAGTGTATCTCGTAGGAACCAACAGCCTGCTGATTGACATTTTTCATCACGACAGGTCTATTTACATGGCTATTAGAATCCAAGCTGACTGCAGGGTCATGGTTGCAAGGTTCTTTTTTCATGAGCATAGAGACGCTTTGATCAATAGCTTCGAGTTTAACGTCCTTCAACATGATTTTTTACACAATTTGATGAAAGACAGAGAGAAAAAAAAATTTTTAGCTGTTTTGTCCCAGTATTTATAAGGTTTTTTTTTTTTTTTTTTTTTTTTTTTTACAACCCTGGGAATGCTTCCTAGTCTACTTTTTTTTTTTTTCTCGTAGCACACCACTGTTCCTGCCCATGATTCGTAAAGGTAAATTGTATGAGCCAGCCTGCTCACGATTGGCATTCGCATGAAAGAGGACTCAAACTGTACATGTGTAGATATCATCACCTTGACCTACGAATTCTGTAAAAATGTGGCATCCTGTTTAATGCGAATTTAATTGAATCTAACCCAAGGAAACAAATATAGTAGAGACATGGCTTCATCAGTTGCTTTATAAATGCGAATTGTATCCCAAAGCCGTCTTTAAGCAACAAAAGAAGTTTCAAGTGCCTGTCTACATTGCACTGCATCCACAAGTACATGCCTATATAGCTGATTTCGTTCAAGCATGCCAACCTTTGCTAGAAACAGTAGGTCTCCTCATCTGAAGCGTAAACTACGCATTCTAGTCTAAGTTTTGTACAGGGAAATGTGCGATTCATCGCATTGACTGTCATGGAAGATGCCGATAGACCACTAGAAAAGTTTGTGTTAGAAATTAGGTCGCTATTACACAATACAAACATCCCAGCAGATACCGTTCTTCAAAGTGAATCCTCATTTACATTGGCTGATCTAGAGCAATACCTGCGAGCCTGTTTAATTAAGCTCAATACATACCAGTTTCCAAACAAACAAACCACATCCGACACCAGAACGTTCATCTTGTCCATTGAAAAGATACAAGGCGGGTACCCTCATCAACAGCTAAAAAGCAATGATGGCAGCATGGATTGGGTGCCAGCAGAGACAAGCTATCGTTGGAAAAATATCAAGCCATTGAAATCAGTGGAACTTGATTTAATCAGAGTAAGCCCTCTTTCTTCCAAGATAAAATTGTACTTATTGAATCATTTTTTTATTAGTTTAATACTTTTGTAATGGAAGCTTCAAGAAAGGGTAAAGAGCGATGTCCATAAGGAATACTATATATATATACAAAAGAGAGAGAGAGAGAGAGGTGGACGAATATAAATAAAAAGGGGGGGGTATCATGTAGTTGAAAAAAAAAATCTAAGCGGTGCCAGTGCCCAAGTAGCTCCAAAATCCTCTGGAGGTACCACGCATGAGTTCATGGATACTGATCAAATTTCTCGACATTTCCTTGATACTCCAGAACCCAATACGCTTTAATCGTCTATTGCGTTCCTGTTGATCCAGCGTCAAATCCACGAACCCTTGACCCAGCTTTTCTCCCATGCGTTCAGCCAGTGTCGAATCATACAATGTCCACGATCCATCAAAGTTACTGAGATCCATGACCAAGCGAATCTTGATGGGGACAATGGCCTTGTTGCGAGAAATGTAGCCCACCACAGGTCTGACCATGGCGCTGTTGAGGTAACTGAGTTCTGGTGTCTTGAGTGGGACTGAGGCCTTGGTATCTTTGAATCGGAAATCCATGTCCATGACAAACTTTTTGGCATTGGTGTCTTCTTCCTTCTTTTTCTTGGGCTTTTCTTCGCGCTGGCCTCCTACCACTAAAATCTCCTCTCCGTTACCTGCACCGAGAATTACAGGTTGCGAGAGCTCAATGCGATCAGTGAGTTCGTAGACCAATTGTCGCAAGAGCTCAGTGGAATCGGCTTCTACTGCTTCTTGAGGGATGTAAATGTCTGCAGAAATATCGACTGTGCCTGATGTGATCCATCCAGGAGGTCCTTCCACGCCTCGATTGATATGATCTATATTGACGCCATCGATTCTCAAGCGAGACTGCACAAGAGTTGCTTAGCATGCCTATTTTGTACCAAACATGAATGGGGCGCCTACCTTTCGCTTGTAACCCTGCTTTCGCATATCATTGTCTGTCAATACACCAAATCGAGTAGATTCACCACCAACTACCACGCCATTGGGATCAGGCTTCTTGAATGGGTAATAATGATAGATATCATGACTTCGAAATCCAGTTTTCTGCGAATCAATGTGTCCTGACTGTTCCAACACACTCTTTTCCAACTGTGGCGAATGGACACTGAATAAACATTTATCAAAGGCACCAATAATCGATGTAGCGCATAACAAATCATAAAACAGCCTTTCTGAATGTCAGTCCAACATGCACAATCCCAGCAAAAAAAAAAAAAAAAAAAAAAAAAAAAAAAAAAAGAAACTTACCATTGCTTTCTAAATCTATCCAATTGAGCCTGGAATATCGAGATGGGGTATGGTCTAAATCCATGTGGTTGATACACAGTGACCAACAAATCTTCCACAGTCAATTTCTCCAATTCAAAATCACCAGGCGTATATTGATGTCTGGAAGCGACTGGATCATAAGGCACGTCTGGATCCCAGCGTACATGGCGTCGATCCACAACACCACGCACACCTTGCACATCCGCACTTTGCACTAGACCCTTTCCATCCATCCAACGAATCAAGCTGAGTGTTACTTCCACTCGGTCAATGACAAGATCATACCACATCCACTTTTTCAGCACTTCATTGTCCTTTTCATCCTCGTCAAGCTCCACACCAGCTAATGGATCATTGTCATCTTGTACAGTGATTTCGTCTGCAGGGATTTCTTGGCCTGTCTCCAACAAGGCGGCATGGCGCTCAAACTTTTCATGTTCTGAACGAGGCATGCGATAGATTCTGACATTGTTGAATCTGATTTTGCCATCTTTCCAGTTGGGCAAAATGGCAGAATCAAACACGACAGTGGCTCCTGTAGCCGATGTGAGGTATTTTCCAATGCGATATGCAATCCATTCTATACGAGATCATGTCAGTTCAGCTGCTGTCATCCCCCCCCCCCTCTACGAGAAAACAAACCTTGAAATTGCAATGAATTCGCCAACCACAGTATCAAACTCACAAAACTTGTTGTGCCTGCCAACAACCACACTGTATGTCCAAGAAACAGCCAAGAAAACAAGGCTGTCGCATCGTTCAATGTCCAAGGTCGAATCTGCCTCATCAATGGGTATTTAATACGAATCTTGAGTCTGTCAAAGAATCCTCGAGCCTGTGCTAGCAACTCGGCTTTGGTGATGTGCTTGTGTTGGTTTTGTGATGTGGCATAGTGACGAAATTGTCTGCTCATGTAGAGATGTGTACGGTGGCTGAATAGCTTGGGTTTGATGGCAATTGCATTGTGAGTGCATACGCTACTGCTACTGCTGCTGCTGGTGGTGGTGGTGGTGGATAGCAAATCAGTGACCAAGATGGATTTCTTTTGTGGCAAGGTAGCTACTTCACGACGATCAATGCTGTATGCAAATACAGGTGGTGCAAGCAAGAAATTCTTGCGTTTCTTTGGTGTGTTGTAAATGTTGAATAGCTTGTTGGGTTTCAGTAAGGATTTTTTGAGTAGATGAAATTTTGACATGATGTGAAAGGAGGTGAGTATGAGAGTAGTAATGTAAGAAAGAAAAAAAAAAAGAAAAGAAAAGAAAGGGCATTACATCAGGCAAGGGGGGGGGGTTGGTCGGTTATTCATTTTGCCCTTGTTTTACCATTTACAATGGCCACCACTGCGCACTGACGAATCTCTCCTCTCAACCACTTAATTGAAGCCTATCCAATGGACCTCTCTTTTGGCGAGTTGTCAGGCTGGATGTTGCGTAGGCAGAAGGTTGTAGGATCAATGGCATGCCAACTAGATTGCTTTTGACTTTGTTTTGCCATGCTACGAATCAACTCGATGTATCCAGATCGCAATGATAATTACAGCATCATGATCTATGCGTCATTGCATTTGATGGAAACAGAGCAACCCAGCTTTCTCTTCTTGCCATGGCAAACATAGGCTTGACTCGTTACACTACCGAAGCAGACGAGATCGCAATTTCATCTAGAAAACTTTGTATCTTGATATTTGCATGATTTTTCCGTGTACAAACCAAGCGGGATGTTGGCTGCTTCCAATGTGACCTGTTCAAATGCCTGCTTCTTTCTTTCCTTCGTTTTCTTTTCTTTTTACCACATTTTCATCCATTCATACACATTGTAACAACGCCATGTCAGGTAACAAGAGAAGAAAAAGAGCTTGATGAACAGTGTTTTATACCAAGATCTCATGTAATAGACACACTTTTGAAACGTTCGTCTGCAGATGACTTTGATTGGCCTGCAACCATCTTTCTCGTAAGTGATCAACAAGAGATACATCCAGCACAGATAACTGATGCCGCGCCAGTATGTCGTACTCATCATCATGGGTGTGGGTATGTGCTTTTGTCTGAGACGAGCCAACCGTCTTATACCCAATAGATTCAGCTTCCCGTTAGTGGATAGAGGTTCAAGAAGAGAAAGAGGATTTCATAATTTGGGAGCAGAGGAAGAAGGATTACTGAGCCATTATAGCGATGTAGAAGATGAAGATGATGCAGAAGTAATTGATAATCAAAATGCGCTTCGTATATCCAGTCGATCCGATGATGAAGATGAGGAGGAGGAGGAAGACTTTGGACATTTGCAAGCCCATGATGCTACCGCTACTACTACTACTACTACTACTACTACTACTACTACTACAGCTGCTATTGAACCCGACAGTGATGATGATATTGAATCTACAAACAAGGCGACACCTTACAAGGATGATGAACATCACAATCCACAATAAAACTTGAGCTCTTTTTTTTTCAATCTATTGCGAAACATAATGTGGGTATACGTCGGGCCGGTGGATATTGTCCATGACGATCTCTAGGGAAACTCGAAACAAGAACAAAACTCCCATATCCACTTTACCTTTACGTAAAAAAGATAACTGTAAAGGATTGACGATAGTGTGGAGTTGTCAGCAAAGATCGTGCTGTTTTCTTTCTGTGAGGCTGGTGACGAGCATTTACGGTTACTAATGTCTGCATGGTCTTGGTACACGGACGCACATTGGGTTTCCTTAGCATCCGGAAGATGCTGTCAACGAAACGTATGAATGTGATGCAAACTGCCAACTTTCTCTGTCTCTATCATATAGTATGCTGTCGTGACCAACCAGAGGTGTAAGCATTAAACCATTGAGCACCAGACAAGGCTCAAAAGCCTTTGTTCTCCTTTACAGGCATGCACATTAGACCCTGAGTCGACAGGAAAAAGAATGACAAGCCTGAAATATTATCAACGGGGATGCCCACATTCGACTCAACTCTCAAATAAGATTGACGCTAGTTGTTGATGAAGATAGGCCCACTCAGAATTTGCCAAATGTCAACGATATTACAGCCATCATTCCCAATGAATATTAGTCTGAAATATATCCTCATTACAGACCGAAATGGCTTTTCAGCCAGTGAATAATAGACTCTTTGGGTGAATTAATGAAGCGCATATCAACCATCATTATCATCATCAGAAAGGCATGTTGGTCAGCCCGCCACCAAAATTGATTCAAACTCAAGTTTTTTTTTTTTTTTTTTTATCCAAGATTGGCCAGAATTTCTCTTTTTTGGACCTCTTTAATCGTTTTTGCGTGATTCGACTATACAAATGGAAATGGTCAACCCTTACTTCCTAATACATTCTTGGTGTACTTTTCAAGGCACTTCCAATGATGCCAAATAGAATAGATGTTTTGAATAAACTTATTGAGGAATTTTAGAAAATACGAAATGAGGTTTTTGGCCAAAAAAGTCGATATTTTGCATATGAAGGCCATACAAAAGTGGTTTCAGAGGTTGCTTTGGATCGAGAGAAACATTTCGGTCCAATATGTACCATAGCAAAAGTCTTTGTTTTCAAGGCGAAAAACGTGGTCATTTGATTTTGGATGAAAACCATGAGGTACCCCTCATGCTGTTTGGTCCTCAAAAAGTTGAGCAAAGGTGTCAGGATGTTTCTGCTACTCAAGTGCAATTGTTTGGCGTCATTCTGGCGGTTCAAAAAGGTCTACATGTCAAGATAGTAACGCCTGAAGGCTGCCAAATTTGGTTGGGGTTTCTCGTATATGTATACTAAACTTCAAATAAATTATCTGGTCTGTGGCCTTGGTTTTGTCTAAACACGCCAATACAATGGATAATGTCTCTGCCCACTCCCCAGAATTAAACCCTCTCCTGGAGCAATTTACGCCCTCTGCGAAAAACGCACTCAAGAGGGCAGTATTGTCCATGCAACAATGCAGCTTCTCACTCAGAATCCCTGTCATGATCCGTTTTATATCAAGTAGCCCATTCATACACTTGAGAAATCCCTCATCAAATTACTCAGTCAGGTCTTCTACATGACTTTAGCGAAAAAAAAGAAAAAGGCGAAACCCCTGATCAATGCATTGCTCTCTCCATACTTTGCTATTAGTACATCAGCATCCAACTCTGAGACACCTTTATAGAAATCCAAGTCTTTTTTTATGCGTCTGTTTCCCCGTAATGACCAAATACTTCAAACCCATTCATGTTTTTTTTTTTGGATCGGTAGAAATGTGTTTGTTTATGGTATGACTCATCTTCTCTATCAGTGCCATACACTTATTTTTGGGTTCTCTACAGTTTGAACCAGCCTCTGATTAATCTGCTTCTAATATTACATCCACCGGCCCGACTGTGAACTCATAGATAAAGGGGCGAGAGTGAGTGTGTGTGTGTGTGAGCTGATGTCACTGAGCAAACAACAAATGTCCCAAATGGGTTATTGAGTTTATAGGTCTGGTGGCTTGCCCTATTTTCACAACATTTGTATCATCATCAAAAGCATTTTTTTTTTTAAGTCTTTTTGTATACTCTCTCTTTTTTTTTTTTTTTTTTTTTCTACACAATTTCTGCTCGAATCTTCGTGCGGGTGCTAAACCAAAGCCAAATCCTTCAAACTGAAAAGGTGAGTGGGTTGGCATTTGCAGAGTAATGGAGGATGGTGTTCATGACTCTGTTTTTTCGGCAGAGGGAAAAATATTTTCATTTTCCATTTCTTTTTACGTCTTTTTCTTTTCTAATCCAACGTGATCATCGTTCTTTAGAGTAAAGGAAGAAACACAAGACTTGAACAAGTCTACAACGACAGCAGATAATAGAAAAAAGCAGAAAAGTAGGGACTCAAAGTGAAAAGGCGCCGAGAAATGAAGAGACACTAAAACACATTTGTGTAGTGGATGATATGAGCAGTGGATCTGACAGCGATTACGCTAAATACTGGATTGATTGGTTTTTGGAGACAAAAGGAAACGAATACTATTGCGAAATCGATGAAGAATACATTTTGGATCGCTTCAATTTGACTGGATTAAATGTCGAAGTACAGCAGTATTATGCTGAAGCATTGGATATGATTACCGATAATTTGGACGAAGAGAGATTTGATGAAAAGGCAAGAGACCAAATCGAAAGAGCTGCTCGTCATTTGTATGGATTGATTCATGCACGTTTCGTCATTACGACTCGTGGATTAGCAAAGATGGTAATTAGTGTGTTAGAGTTTAGATGTGGTGAGATGCTAAACATGAATTTAGCTGGATAAATACAAAAAGGCAGAATTTGGCCGTTGTCCTCGTGTGCTCTGTAATATGCAATCGCTGCTTCCTGTTGGCTTATCTGATATTCCAGTAACGAAAACTGTCAAATTGTATTGTCCTCGTTGTGAAGACATTTACAATCCCAAATCATCCCGCCATGCTTCCATTGATGGTGCCTACTTTGGCACCTCATTTCCACACATGTTATTCCAGGTTCACCCCAACTATTTGCCAACCAAGTCAACTGAACGTTATGAACCTCGTATCTTTGGCTTTAAAATACATCAAATTGCTGAACAACATAGATGGCAAGATCGTGCTCGTGAAGAATATCAACAAAAGCTATTAAAGGCAAAGGAACAAGAGCAAGAAAAGTAATCACCCACATCATCTCCTCTCTCCCGCAACTACCATCTCTCATCCTAAATCTTTTTTTAACAGTATGTACTTTAAAATAATAAACTAAACAAAAAAAAAAACAAGCTTGTTTATTTATATTGAATTGAAATGAATGACAAACGGAAAGAAGAGCAAGAACATTATGCCTTGACTGAAATGAATGTGCTGCTTTTTGCTCAAAATTGGGGATCAAAAAGGAGGGGGGGGGGGAGAGAGGACTTTGCGTCTATTCCGGTTACTGCTGTGATACAAGACGCTAACTAGCCTTATTGTAGCACATTACCCAGTTTTGTTTTCTGTTTAAATAAGATGGACAGTTATGTGGGATCTGAAAGCAACATTTTCAGTGCTAAGCTGAACCAGCAGCAATGTTGATTAAGGGTGTTCAAGTACAAATCCTTTCTGCTATACTTAAATTGGTGTTTTATTATGATTGCAAGTGTCATATTGTGTATGACAGGTATGGAATTCTTTTTCTTTTATTGAGCGCATTCATTTAGACAGATTTGATGGGTAATAATAGTAATACTGGTTAACCTTTTTCTGTTAAATGAGAATGATACACAAGCATTCTATTATCTCCTTTTCGCGCAACTGGAAGTTTGATGTCAAGAATAATTACCTTCACAAGTATAAAAGAGCTTACCATTGTTTCCGTTTTCTCTTTCTCTTGATTTTCTACCTCTCTTCATTTCTTTACCCCCTTTCTCCAAATACACTTTAGGTTTTTTTTTTTTTTACTTACTCTAGTAATCAAAACATCCCAATTCCCATATAACTGAAAAAAGCGTTGACCGCACCATCTTTATACACATTCCATTTCATTTCAATTCACCCCCTCCCCCCTTGTACTTTCTCTCTATATAAACATGAAGCAGGCTTCAATCTCCACCACCTTATTATCCATCTGTGCCTTGATGTTATGCTGCTCAATGGCACTTGCATCTCCTCTTGACAAACGAGGCATCTCCAGCTGCTACAAGAAGAATGCTCGCATCACTCAATATTGGATTCCTAAAGAGGGCGACAAGGACATGAGCAACAATGGCAACAGTGTGTCTCTCACTGGATCCAAATCCAAGAAACTCAAGGATCGCAAAGGCAAGACCATTGCCAAAGTCTCTAAAACCACATTTGAGAAATTTCAAATGGAGGGTACTGGCTTGCTCCAATCTGGCACTATGGTTAATTTGGATTCAGGCAATAGCATCTTTATGAAATTAGATCGTGGAAAGACTCCTTATGGATTAGGCTCTAACGGTAATCGACTGGTCCCCTGGATCAGTGTTGCTTCCAACGATATCAAAAAGGGCACCACGCTCTACATCAAAGAAATGGATGGCCTCGTTTTACCTGATGGCAAGAAACACAATGGCTGTGTCCGTGTCGACGATGAAGGCTGGAGTATGGGTGGTTGTCAGCTCGATTTCTTTGTGCTCCAATTCAGTGCTTACAAGGTGTTGACCAAGAAGATTCCTAGCAAGGTGCATGTTGTTGCAAAGTCTTGTACTATCAAAGACTATGTTACTTCCTCCGTCAAGAAATGGGCTGTGCTTCATTAATCTTTCTTGTTTCTTTTGTATCTGTATTGTATATGTGTGTACATTTCCTCCCTTTTCAAAAAATAAATCATTGTTGCCAACATGGTATATGATGGCATCATTTTTTTTTTCTGTTACCAAAATGAAACAAAAACTGTTATATTTGGTAAATCAGACACAAGATAAATTAACCCAAATAAACCAATAAAATTGACATGGAGACAAGGAAATCATATGTACCTAATTAAACGCATGTTGAAATGTTAGCATCTGACTTGGGAAATGGCAATTAACTCTAGTAGAGGATGAAAGAGAGAGCTTGTGGAATGGAAAATTGAGAACTGATACACAAAAAATTGAGTTCTTTTCTTGGTTGATAATGAAGAGTTCTGCTCTAATAGATTTCAATCTTTGAATTGGATATGCAATTCCAATTTTTTTTATTATGAGTGGCAAAGCCATGAATAGACCTAAATGCTGATTTTGTATGACATTGGACAGAAAAGCATCAGCCTCTTTCTTAATGTAGCCAGATTGCGCTGGTAGGTCAACTCCGTAGTGAGATTATACAATATAGTTCATTACCTCGATTTATATAGTAACAAACAACGATTGGGTACCTTGAAACAAGGAGGAGCATATTTCAGGGCAATTTGGTTGATTTTGCATGTATTTTATACGTAGCAAGATTGACTTTCTTAAAGCGTCAAGTTTCCCTTGCACTGATAAACCTTTCAGATGATGAAAATCACAAGATGGGAGTGCTCAGAAAAAAAGTACAAAGTGTTACAAGTGATACCAGCTTCGCTGTGCATGAGAAGCACCAGAAATGTTTGCTTCTCTACTATTTTCGCTTCGCTTTGACGAGATTCAACCAACGCGGCGGCGGCTTGCGTTCTTCCAGCTCATGCAAAAGACTGTAAGCTTCATGGACTAGCCTACTAAAATGGCAGTTCGTTTTTTTTTATATATATGACATGGATATACCAAGCTACATTCTGGATGCACAATGTGCATAACAAAAACAAAGCCAAGACTATATGAATGACAGATCCTATTATTACACTATCAGGTAATCACAATTAATTCATACGGTGATGCTCAACGCACGAACAGCCTTCAAACGACATGCAAATACAAACTTGTTTGCATAATGATGCTCGCACTGTACGCAATAGTATTTGGGGTGATTGATGTCAATATTGACCTTTGGTTTTCATATATAGCGATGATCTAATAACGTAGAATGAACGAGTCTGTAGTGCCTACGATATTCTTCCAATGAGCTTTTGGTTTTATCCCATACACTACAATAAAATACAGAATCGTGGGGATCAGGAAGGTTGTTAAGATCTTTAAGGAAATGTAGAACTATTCAACGCATTTTTCAATAGATGGACTTTGCAGAGTAGGTTTGTCTATATCCACGACACTAGTTTTTGAGATCATTGACATCTGGCGTTATGTCTTTTGGCTTTTGCAGCAGTGATCACCAGTTGGCTTTGTGAGTTGCAACAAGATGATAATGATAAGAACGCTTGCTTACCAGACAGACTGAAGGCTCCCCATCCTACTGCTGCAAAGTTCACAGCAGTAGCTATGGCCAGTTTTTCCGAGCTCACCTGAACATGATGAATTTTAGAATCTGTTCATTAACACACTAGCTGTCTTGCCATCTTGCTGTAAGAGTTTACCACATTCTTTTGTGTCCTCCTACTTGATACTAACATTAGTAATAATAGTTGGCCCATTGAGTTTGGAACGAAGTGTATCGCTAAGAGCAAGCTTCAGATTTCTGATCTTCTTGTCTGATGTTGTCCAGAACACGCTTTTTTCTGTTTCTTAGTTTCATGGTAAAAAAAAAGGGGGGGGGGAAGATGGCAGTGACAGCAAAGTAAACAATGAGTAAACAATGAGGAAATATCCTTCAAGCCGCCTGTTACGCGTTATGCTGGCTCGTTCCAGGAGGCTCAATTTAGAGTCATGTTGATAACATCGCAGTAGAACAAACTGAAGATACTAGCCCATAAATAAAGCCAGGTTATGTTGCGTATTGATTTGTTATAAAAAAAGAAACAAGTGGTTTCTTTGGTGTTTCGTATGAACTAAGAGGTAATATTGACAAGATCTTGTATATATCTTGTAGTTTTTTTTTTTGAGAACGATTGTGCCTAGTAGCTTATACCAACGTTTTAATATTTCATTCTTTCTTTATCACTTGAGATCACTTTATGGACCACCTGTACCTATGGATTTGAGCTGTTTGAGATGCCCTTCATCAATATCAGCAACGTTCAGGCAAACAGCATACGAAAACGCCTTTGACTATCCACATATATGCAAAGTACAGCCAAATTTAACAGCATTCAAGCCGTGTTTTCTCGAGTTAGAAGCCGTTTTAGATTGTGAGATTAGTACTGAACAATTGCTTTGGTCTAACACCGCCTTTCTGACACCGTTGCTCAACTTTTTTGAGACCAAAAAATCAAGACCCAAAATCGACCCAAAAGCATGAGGTATCCCTCATGATTTTTACCAAAAACCAAACAACCGCTTTTTTGACTCCAAAAATGAAGACTTTTACTATTGCACATATTAAATCAAAATGTTTCTCTCGATCCAAAGCACCCTCTGGAACATTATTTGTGAGGCTTTTGTATGGAAAATCTCGACATTTTGGGCAAAAACCTCATTTCATATTTTCCAGTATTGCTCTACTATTTGAATCAAAACACATATCATAATGGACACGATTGTATGCGCCTTGGAAAGTACTCCAAGAAAGCTTAGGCGTGTATACGATGATCATCGCGTTTTATATAGTCTAAACTTGCAAAATAAATCAAACAAGTCGAAAACTGGACAAAATCATCGAATCGAAATAGAATAAATAGCGGAGATAGAATCAGCTTTTGTTGCTGGTTGGTGGTGGCAAGAGCTTTTGCTTCCCTAAACCATGAACGCAAATGATGTTTATCAAGCTAATAGGAAGACAATTGCGAATCAAAAAGACAATATAATTTAGTCTGGCTACGCTGTATTGCTGCTGGTTTGTATATTAACACAAGAATACATGAATTGTTGCAAATTACTCATCCAAATGCGAATTTTAACAGGACATGCAATTGTCACTCTAATCATGGTTTTGTGCTTTGAGTGCAAGTTTCTTTTTGAGTTGGATTGTTTCAATTGAGACTATTATTGCTTTAATTTGAGATGAAACCGCCTTAGATCGATCAAAGCACTCCAAATGACGTCCTCATTGAGTGTAAGAAATATTAGGGCAGCTAAAGTGATTCAGCATTTCTTTTGCCTTTTTCTCTAGATTTGGTCTCAAGAGGTCAACTTATCAAAAACTGTCTATCAAAAATTGTGTCAATGACTATAGCTTTTAAAATATATATTTATCTCGTGGTTTGTTTGTTTTGTAGCTTGCTTCAATCATCTCTTTGTAATATGAATCCATGACAGAGCTTTTGAGAAAATGCCTACACATATCCATGTGTTCACCAATGACATTCTCTGCAAGAAAACGGATATACGGCGGCCGCACTCTGATCATCTGGATTGGCTGACTCTACACGGTTAAATACAAATGGCTAGAGAAGATCTTGTGCGATGAAACTCTCTCAGTGTTATTTAATAGACAACAAACAATGAATCTTTACAAGATTTTCATCCATATCACAATTAACTTGAATATAAAAACCTACATGCTGCTCATGATATTTTAATTGCTTGGTATTATAGTAAGTGATGAAAAAGACACAATACAATAGCACATGAATGATGTCAGTAGCACGTTTCTCAGGACCACAAAGCTAACCAAACACCTGGATTTTTAATTTCGTCCGTCGGCTGTATGCCCAATAAAATGATCAGTTGGTATATAAGAAGCTTCTTTCTTGTTTCTTGTTTCTTATTTCTTATTTCTTTTGTTTAACCACTATGATTGCTGACACCGCAATTCAAACTTGTCATACAGCCCTTGAAAGGCTTCTTCCTTTCTTTCAAAATCGTAAGAACAGATACTCTTGCATTGGTGCTGCTATTGCCTGTATCCTGTTGAGACACATCTATGCGTCCATCGCATTACCGCCAAGACATCTTCGCTCATTTCCAAGAGTTTCCACTTTTGCCATCCTCAACTCTTTCAAGAACTTTGAGTCTGTGCCAAATCGCATCAAGCGGCTCATTAACCCTATTACGGATGCTGGCTATAGCTTTTACATGGTTTGTATCTGATTTGCCGTTCATCTCAACATAGCAGCATCTCATTGACTTGTTATATAGGCTCGGTCTCCTATTGCTTGGAATCTGTTTGTGGCAGACCCAAAAGCTGCCAAGATTGTTTTAATGAAGACAGGTATATACTTGCGCTCAGAGCATTTGCATATCAGGTATTCTACTGTTACTAACGCCTGTGATGGTAAGACAACTTTCCCAAAACACATAATTTCTTTGGTAAATCTGGAGACAATACACCGGTAGCAGTGCTTTTAGGTAAAGAGAATGTTGCTGTCTCTAACGGAGATGTTTGGAGAAAGCAAAGACGAGTAAGCGCGAAATGTTCATTGAATTACTACACATTGAGATGCTGACAAGCGTAAATGCTAAAGATCATGAACCCTGCTTTTCATCGATCTCAGCCTATCAAGACATTTGGTAGTGTCATGCCATATTTATTTGATGCCATTGACGAAAATCCAGACAGGGTGATGATTACAAAACATATTAAAGCATTTACCTTGGATTCTCTGGGATTGGCAGTGTTTGGTGAGTACTATACCAACGATGAGAGAGGTTATATACGCATACTCATGTCATTGAACCTAGGCTTTGACTTTCAATCATTGAGAGGAGACCCACAGCAATGGACAGAAACCTACCATATTGTCATGTCCAATATTTTCAATCCACTATCCAACTTGTTCATCAAATTCAGCTTCATCTTGAAGCACATCTCGACCAAGTTTGTCAAGACTCAAGCAGCAACAAGGAGACTTTTATCCATGATGGAGGATTTGGCTGATGAAAAGCGACAAAAGATCCTCAACGGGGAGATGAAGAACCTCAGTGATCAAGAAAAGGATTTACTCACCATGATGATTGAAGCTGACATAGAGGAAGGCACCAAGACTACGACGACACAGCTAAGAGTAAGATATAGCATCTGATCAATTTGTAGAAAATGCTCTCTAAGTCAATATTGCACTAGCAAAATATTGCCATTTTCTTTTTGGCTGGTCACGATACCACAGCAAATGCCATTTCTCTTTGTCTCTACAATCTAGCAAAAAATCCAGATGTGCAACAGAAATTACGTGAGGAGGTGTCAGGCATTTTGGGTGATGAGCCTGTGGATGTGGTTCCTACCATGGACGATCTGAAAAAGATGGAATATCTGAATCTGGTCATCAGAGAGGTAAGTCTACTGGTAAAGCTCACGCGAATGAGACCATACTTTATTGATTCACGACTAGAATCTTCGACGAAGCGGACCTGTGGACAGGATTATATCCAGAGATGCAACAGACGATATTATCATCAATGGAGCCCACATCCCAAAAGGCACTCAACTGAACATCGACATTGGATCACTTCACTTTAATCCCAAGCTTTGGCACAATCCAGAAGAATTTATTCCAGAGAGATTTGCACCAGGTGGTGAAAATGATTCGCACGAAGGATTTGCGTATCTGCCATTTGGTAACGGCGCCAGACAATGTATTGGCATGAATTTCAGTTTGACAGAGCAAAAAGTAGTGATAGCCATGTTGGGTAAGCTAGATATTATCATGTGTGCGTGTGTGTGTGTGTGCGTATGTATGCCTAACGAAATGATCTTGATTGTGTAGTGAGAAGGTATTTGATCAAAGTACCAAAGGAATCTATCCATTACAATCAGGTTCAATTCGATATGCCAATGACTATCTCACCAGAATCGCTCGACTTGAAGTTTTCCAAGCTCTACTAGTCAGTTACGCAAATGCAATAAATCATATCATTGTTTGAAGGTAGAGACAAAGTCTTTTCTCGGATGGATGGTCAATCTCATGGCCAGTTTATGCGGCACCAATTTTTTTGAGCGAGTGCACTGGCTCAATGTTCAATATTTATGCTATTAGTCGGAAGGGATACAATGCGGGCACTGTTATTGGCTCGATTCAGCCTATCAACGTGGATGATGACGATGGAATATATGCGGATGCTGCCGCTTTGGATACATGCTCTGAATGATTGGCTTATATCCCTTTTAATCTTGATTCTATCAACAATCATCGATGGCGAAAATTAAAATGATTCAATTTGGCAGTAATACAAATAAGAGCAACGTATACCAGACATCTGGATCTCAGCCATCATTTCGATCGCCTGCATAATCGATGTTGGTTTATATATGCGATGACCACATTTATTTTCTCGATTGTAATTATTTTGCTTCCCTCTCTTTCTTTCAGTCAATACAACAATGATGTCTGATACAGCTATTCAAAAGTACCGCCAAGTTCTACAAAAGTTGCTTGCCTTTCTTCAAAACCGCAAGAATAGATATGCTTGCATTGGTGCGGCCATTGTCTGTATTCTTTCACGGCACATTTACAGATCCATTGCATTACCGCCAGAACATTTGCGTTCATTTCCTCAGGTATCCACTTTTCAAGTTCTCAATTCTTTCAGAAACTTTGAGTCTGTGCCCAGTCGTATCAAACGATTGATCAATCCCATCACAGATGTCGGTTATAGCTTTTACATGGTTTGTATGAGGGTAATGGCGCCATGACAATGGCACGGACTGATGTCTTTTGCTCATTTGTAGGCACGGTCTCCTCTTGCTTGGAATCTGTTTGTAGCAGATCCAAAGGCTGCCAAGATTGTTCTAATGAAAACAGGTAAGCTTTCGATACAAACAAATTAATATATCATCCGCTCCTTACTCATGCTTCTGATATCTAGATAACTTTCCGAAAACGCATCAATTCTTCAGTAATTCCGGGGATGACACACCATTAGCGATGCTTTTAGGCAAGGAGAATGTTGCTGTTTCTAATGGAGATGTTTGGAGGAAACAGAGAAGAGTGAGTTGACAGAAGGGGAGTGGCGGCTACAGGAGGTTTAACATGGCCATGGTAGATCATGAACCCAGCATTTCATCGTTCTCGACCCATCAAGACATTTGGTAGTGTCATGCCGTTTTTATTCAGAGCTATTGATGAAAATCCGGATAAGGTGATGATTTCCAAGCAGATCAAGGGATTCACCTTGGATGCTCTCGGGCTGAGCGTGTTTGGTAAGTTATAGTTTATCTGTTGGCCTTTCTTTTTTTTTTCGAGAGTGCTCATGGTTGAATCTACTCAGGTTTTGACTTTCAGTCATTGCGAGGGGACCCTCAAAACTGGGCAGATACCTACCACACTGTCATGTCCAACATCTTCAACCCATTATCAAGCCTGCTCATCCGATTCAGCTTTATATGGAGACTTATTTCAACCAAATTTGTACAGATTGAAAAAGCGACAGAGAGACTATTGTCCATGATGGAAAATTTAGCGGATGAGAAGCGTCGACAAATCCTCAATGGAGAGATGGAGGATTTGGCTGATCAGGAAAAGGACTTACTCACCATGATGATTGAAGCTGATATCGAGGAGGGCACCAAGACCACGACGACACAGTTAAGGGTAAAGTATATATATTAGTAGTTACAAGGTGACGGCCATGCTGATTTTCGTCTGTTACCCGTACAGCAAAATATAGCCTTTTTTCTCTTTGCTGGCCATGATACTACTGCAAATGCAATCTCTCTGTGTATTTACAATTTAGCAAAGAACCTAGAGGTACAGCAGAAATTGCGTGAGGAAGTGTCTGACATTTTAGGCTGTGACCCCAACGTTGTCCCTACCTTGGACGACTTGAAAAAGATGGCCTATCTTGATCTCGTCATCAAAGAGGTAAGTAACTTGACCTTATAGCCATCGCCATATCTAAGCAATGCGCTGATAGAATCTTCGACGAAGTGGGCCTGTGGATCGCATTGTATCCAGAGATGCAACAGACGATTTTATCATCAATGGAACCCACATCCCAAAAGGCACTCAACTGAACATCGACATTGGATCACTCCATTTCAACCCAAAACTCTGGCACAATCCAGAAGAATTCATTCCAGAGAGATTTGCACCAGGCGGTGAAAATGATTCACATGAAGGATTTGCCTACCTACCATTCGGCCATGGCGCCAGACAATGCATTGGCATGAACTTTAGCTTAATTGAGCAGAAGGTAGTGGTTGCTATGCTGGGTAAGTTGGACATCTTGGCTGATCTAATATCTAATTTACTGAGAGTGGTTTTGTGATAGTAAAAAAGTACCTTATCGAGGTGCCAAAGGATTCTATACATTACGATGAAATTCAGTTTGATATGCCAATGACCATTTCGCCCGAGTCACTAGAATTGAAGTTTACAAAGCTCTAAACAAACTTTCTGTATGCATAGCTTCAGCATAATACACCATTGCTAATAAATACGACATTTTATATTGGATTCTCAGTCTACATATACATTTCTACCGGTAAGAGCACTCGGAAGACGTTGAGAATAGCACGTTATTACCGGCCTCAATTAGTACAACTTGATGCATTTATCAATACAAATAGAAGAAAAAGACATTGCATTTAAGAGAATGGAATGATTAGGTTTTTATTTGATATGAAGTTGAGTTTGTAGACGAAAAGTATAGTGGGAAAGGGATGAAACTATCCTATATACCCATACATACAAAGTCAGTGGTATATAAGAAGTCGAAATTTACTCGATATTGATTTGGTTATTTGTTTGCTTGTTTTCAGCCTTTGGAACAACCACCTTGAGTACACCGTTATTGTAAGATGCCTTGATCGTATCAGGTCGAACAGCGATAGGCAAGGTAAATGATCTTACAAAGGAGCCACTAGTACGTTCCTGAACCAACCACTTGTGTCCCTTGGCAGTGTGTTTACCAACTTGCTTGTCTTTATCCTTGCCAGTTGTCGTCAACTGTTGACTGTGCTTGTCAGAGGAGGAAGAGACTTCGCTCTTCTCTTGCTCCTCTTCGTACACAGGATCTTCAGACTTGTACTCCTTCTTGACGTTACCACTGATAACCAAAGTATTGCTATCCGACATTTCAATCTTGATGTCTTTCTTTTCATAACCAGGGAGTTCAGCATGCAATTCATAAGCATCAGGCGTTTCAACCATGTCCGTGGTGGGATAGAAAGAACCATGAGTAGAGCGCAAGAGTGCGGAAGAAGGAGCAAAGAGTGGTTGCTCAAAGACAGCCATTGCTCTTTGCATGTCACGTAAAGCGTCGTTGAATAAGCGGTTTGAGAGTGCCATAGTGTTTCTTTTTCTTTAAAAAAACTTGTTTGATGATGAAAAGAAGAGGGTGGCCTTGGAGCGAAGAGCCTTTCTTTTTATATCTTTTTTGATTCGAAAGGTCTAGATGTGTCAGTTGCCATATCAAGCAAGTATGTGAGGCTGCATAAATGTGAGAAATTTCGAGTAATTTCGACCACTAAAATCTGGTGATTGGAAAAAAAAAGAAAAGAAAAAAAAACAGCGTGATTGCCATGCTTAGATAATATTTCTAGTAAATTCTCGTAAAGTGCCTTGTTGATTGATTATTCCAGGGTTTTCGACACTTAGAAAGTAGCTCACGACCATCATGCTCAAGTTGCAACTTCTATATTCAGGATAATCATAATGAGCCAATTTTTCTACTGGCTATTATCCTTCTAACCACACACTAAAACTCTTGAAAGCGGAATGATTTTACAGACACTCCAGACATGTCAGTGACCATTGGGATGTTTGACATCTGGTTTTACTTTACTTTTGTTGTGTGGCACTGTCTGAAAGATAAAATGCACTGCTATTAAATGCGCTTTGAAGCTGTCTTTGCTTGCCAAGTCCTACCACAAGAACGACAGTAAAAGTTGAGACTATTGACATCTGGCGCTATGTCTTTTGGCTTTTGCAGCAGTGATCACCAGTTGGCTTTGTGAGTTGCAACAAGATGAAGTACTCCAAGAAAGCTTAGGCGTGTATACGATGATCATCGCGTTTTATATAGTCTAAACTTGCAAAATGAATCTTTTTTTTTTAAAAAAAAAAAATTGTTTACTGATTGAGCCGCGTACACCAAGAGTAAGAGGTCATGGTGAAGAGGCGGGTGCAATTTAGATATGAACATACGGATAAAATATAAGATAAAATAATAAATAAACTACCTATTAGATAGTTTATGTTACAGTTGGGAGTGGCACTGATCTTCTGCAATGGTCTGGTGGACAATGCTTCGGATCCGGCTCAAGATAGCTGTATGATCAATAGGAACATGGTCAAATATAAATCGCATGTGGGCAAGCCACAATTCAGCAAGAGTGATGAATAAGATGCGGTATGGCTTGATGCCTTCACGCTGGCAATACCAGATGTCGGCAAAATCAAGATACTGCAGAGCCTGTTGGATGTCGGCGATCGAGGTGGTTGGCTAAAGAAATTCAAATATGACTCCCTGCCACACTTTCTCTTTAGATGGGCAAAGAAAGAGGAGGTGGCTCGAGGAATCTTTGACAGACAAACACACAGGACAGAGAGGAGACTCAAACACTGCAGGCATGATGCGATGGAGAAAGCGACGGTGGGGAATACATCCCAAAATGAGGCGGTATATCACATTACGTTGGACAGTGGTAAGCGACAGGGGCCAAAAGAATTTCCAGCCTGCTGTCGAGATGTACCGCAAGGTCAACGGGGGGGAAGACAGACGAGAGAACGGCTAGCCGAAATGTTTTGGCCAAAGCCGGAACATTTGCCATAGATCGACCATCGTGGAGACGAAATTGCTCGATCAACGGCGTGAATGAGACAGAAGAGTCCTCTAATGGAATTGGACTACATACTGGCGCAAAGTACGGCTGAAATTGCAATTGCCCTGAAGCCAGACCTTTGAACACAGTGGAAGGCGTTCGTTTCCAGAGGAGGAGAGAAGGATCACGCGTATCTTTCCAATGGGCGAAGTTGAGGCGAGCATCATACTGAAAAACATCCGCAGCCATCATCTCTTTAACACGAAGAGGCATCACAAAGGAAGAAGAAGGGGGGAATGTAGACAGCAGCATGAAGTGATAGCACCATAGCAGTAGCAGTATTGAGCCTGGCAGCACCAAAGGTTCGAGGAAGGGAATCAACCGCTCGATAGAGCATATCCACGGTTCCAGTGCGCTGTTTCAGTAACCCCTGATACCGAGACGAAGGAAAAAGCAATGGGAGCTGATGATATTGACATTGATTGACATTTCGAAGATGATAACTGGGGAGCGACAATACCGGATGAGAATCCACCGTGGATTGGTCATACACCAGCAGCGGTTGCAACCAACGAAAGTACAACGCCGAAGCTTGTAGTTGAATGTCAATCACGCCAAGACCACCTTGATCCTTAGGATGGGTCCAAACTTTCCACGGGATGACAGGGAAGATGTTCTTTCTCAAGAATTGGATTGCAAGAGATCGCAACTGCTTGAAATCAGCCAGCGTCAACGGTGTAACTCTCAAAATATACCAAAGTTTTGATAGCAAGAGAGAGTTCAAAACGGTAGCTCGACCTACCACCGACAGCGACCGAGTAGAGTGGATTTGGGTGGCAATTTTGATCTTTGTTATCAAGGAGGCCATGTAATTAACACGTTGTAGACGATTTTGCACCAGAGGATACCCCAGATAGATCAAAGGAACATCATCTTCAACCGAATGTAGATGGTTGATATAGATTTCAGCCAGAGAGTCCTTCCATAAATCCCAAGTATCCCTGCCAGACACCGAAAACGCTTCCACTTTGTCGTGATTAAATTTGGCATTGGAGGCACCGCAATACCTAGACATATGGATTTGCAACTGATCAAGATCAGTACGATCATGGACGAACACTAGGACATCATCTGCGTAGCAGAGGAGTTTGGTTCGTTCAAATCCCATCAGGTAGCCTTGGAATTGGCGATCATTGATGATGGCCAGCAGGAAGGATTCAAAGGCTAGATTGTAGAGAATCGGAGACAGCGGATCCCTCCCCCCCTGCCTCAAGCCTCTCAGTTTAGCTACTTCAGCTGTCAAATGTCCATTGATATTGATGCGAATTAGGTTGTCACCCATCAGTTTGTATATGCACTTGACCAATTGACGGGGAAATCCAAATTTCAGCAATGCATGGCGAAGGTAATCCAGATTGACCCGGTCATAGGCTTTTTTCTTGGTCTAGAAGCAGCCCGATATCCGCATCCAGGGAGCGAAATGAAAGATCATTGTTCCCTTTGTTCGGCAATTGTCCACTTTCTTTGAGCGTCCTCCATAATTAGTTGGCATATTATACCGTTTTCAGTAATATACCGTCCGGGGATGAAGCCCAGTTGATGTCTGCTGATAAGCTGGGTAGATGTTGTCACGATGCGACGATTGAGACAGCGAGTAAAGAGTTTGTAGTCAGAATTGGCTAAGGATAGAGGGCGATAGTTTTTCATCTGAGCCGGATCTCCTTTCTTGTATAGGAGACACATGATAGTCTCGTTCCAGGATTTCGGAAACTTCCCCTTCTGTAGTGCTTCATTGTAGATGGTTTCGATGAGAGCATGCAGTAGAGGAAATTTCAGGACCAAGTATAGGATTTCATATGGCAAGCCGTCTGGGCCAGGGCTGCTTAGCCGGCGGGTTTTCTTGCTGTCCTCTAGGAGATCTTCAATGTCAATAGGTAGTATCAGTGATTCCTGTTGTTCGCCTTGAATCTTCAGATGCCCGGGAATGGATCGAATCAAGGTACTAAGAGCAACGGAATCAGTTGGATCAGGTGTAAAGAGAGTTGAGTAGAAGTCGGTCGCAATAGCAGCGATGCCATATTGGTCCCGACAGAGTTTATCAGTAGTGGGATCCCTCAATTCCGTGATTGAACGTTGATTCTTTCGTGTCAAAGCCTGCCGCTTCAGGAACCCAGCAGAATTCTCGTCATGTTCTCTCCAAAACTTGGCTGCCTTGAGAATCTCAATTCCCGCTATCGAGTGCTGCAATTGTTGGACCTGATTGTTAACATGATCCAGCCCTTGGAGCACCAAGCCTCGATTCTTCTTTTGTCTCATCATCTTGTTTCGCTTGGAAAGTAGCTTGTGCAGCTGTTTTTTTTCCTCCAATTCAGATCTTCCAATTGAAATTTCCTGATGAATAGCTTAACTTCGGCTTTTACCCAATCCCACTGTTGTTGAGGCGTAGTAAAGGTTTTGATTACTGTGAATTGCTCTTCGTTCTCATGTAGGAATTCTGCCTACGCCTTGCGGAATTGTTGGTTACGGGCCAAGAACGGGTTGGCCTTCCAGCTGCCAGGTCCACGCCCATTAATGTCCTGGTATTGGAAGGAAAAGCCTAGTAGTTCATGATCCGTCCATTCCTGAGAAAGATATTGTTGGTTGAAGCTAGTAATTTGGTGATGTGCATTTGTGCTGCAAAACACATAATCCAAGATGGCCAAGGACCTCCCGCTATGCCAAGTCATCTGCTTGTCATCACCAAATATATCAATATAGTAGTCATCTAAAAGATCCGTACATTCCTTAGGGGCACAAGCCAGTGTTTCATCCAGTCTGCGATCTTTGTACTGGTAGTTAAAATCCCCCATGATGAAGGTAGGGGATAGTATGTTTGTAATTGTTTCCTGGACAATAGGAATGCCCAGGAGCTCTGTATATAATGCTGATCGATACGAAGAAAGTGACGCCCGACCGTAAATGTTGAGAATAGTTGCAATTGGTGTAGTAGTCGTAGAATCCTGTATATCTCGAGTATGGTGAACAGAAGCCAGAATGTAGCGTCCCCCATCAATGCCTTCCAATATAAGATTGATTGTATAATGTTTGTTGAGTGCTATGATGCCGCAATGTTGTGTCCAGAGACTTGATTTGCTGTTAAAATGATTGTTGAGTATATCTATTGATAATGTGTTGGTAGCATGAGTTTCTTGTAACACCAGTATATCATATTCTAGTGTTCGAAGATATTGAATGAATTGCTGTCTTTTTTTTGGGATTTTCTGATTTGATTAAGCCACGGCAATTGAGGGTGGCTATTTTGAGTTGATGGTGGGTATTAATCATATTTAAAGATTGGTGGAAGGTGGTGTACCTGAAGGTGCAGGTGGAGTCAAATTCCTAACAATCGTATCCGTATCATCACCAGACATGCGTTTGGCATCACTGTGGGAGTTAGAGGTATCAGCGTGTTGATATCTGGCATCACCGATATCTAAAGAACCTTCCTAGCGGGTTAACTTCTTCTCTGCTTTTGAGGGATCAAATCCAGGATGAGATCTGCGCACATCCTTGGAAACACTGTTTAATGCATCCGCATCAGACAACTTCCTATTCGTGTTGTTCTCTTCCATAATGGTGTTTCCAGTCATTTTGGTTTGTTGTTGAGAAGCTTCAGGGGTGGATGAACCAGCATTAGGTTGAGAAGCATCCGGCATGATATGGTCCTTGTCTTCTACTGGTTTGCTTCGACGTTCAGAATCGGTTCTCTTTGGAGGAGTGGGCTTGGCTCCCTTTTGTTTCCTGGGCTTAGCAGGAGATTTCTCAACTGCACGGACCTTTGCTGGAACCGATTCTGCGTTGTTCCTATCACAATTTTTCGGAACGTGGCCATGTTTGTTGCAGTGGTAGCAAATTGCCCATTTGTGATAATCTGGACAATCGGCACGACAATGATCAGGCTTCTAGCAGTGACGGCAGAAAGCTGGCATCTGATCCCATAGTAACAGGATTTGGCGTTGTTCATCCTCCTTTACTCGCGTATCCCAAATAATAACTCTGTTGAGAGGCTCCAAGTGTCGCTTTCCGTTACATTCAAATCCAGGTTCATGTAGATCCATACATTCGTTTCGCGGGTCATGGGATAACGTGAGGTTGAGGGTGGCGTACCCTTCCCCCCTGGAAGATCCCATTCTCCGTCTTGAAAATTCCATGATCCAAGACATCTCCGAAGCAAGAGAAGCGTTCAGCCATTTCCTTCTTTAGTTGCACAGCTGGAAGAAAGGGAAGCTTCTCCATCGTTACGCGGACAATATTGGCATCTTCAGGAAAAGAGGGAAATCCTTTGAGGTAGGTCCCATCCTCCAAGGTGATTCCATTCTCGATGAGGTGCTTGCGGCCTGCAGAGGTTGGAAGCCACAGCGTTTCCAAATAGTGGTGGCCGAGGTATTGTCGAGTTTGTTTTCTGTATCCAAGAAAGTCTTCATACATATCTGTCCTTTCCGCTTCTTCATTAAACTTGACAAAAGCCTTGTCTAATAAATTTCGATTCTGCACCGTTGCCAAGTCGATAAAGACGGCATCCTCTTCTACTCCTTTCATGAATGGGCGTACCATAGCAATAGGTGCTGGAGTTGAGTTTGCTGCAGAAACGTTCTGGCTTGAATCTGCAGGCGAAACTGGAGGGGTGATCAGAGTAGGGTTGAACGAGACGTTCTGTTGTTGTTGCTTCTGTTTGCCCTTCTTATTGTTGCGGACGACGTGAGTCCACAACTCAGGGAGTGGGTATTGCGATGACATTTTTTTTTCACTGACAAAATAGATCAATTGAATCGATGCAAAATGAACCAAACAAGTCGAAAACTGGACAAAATCATCGAATCGAAATAGAATAAATAGCGGTGATAGAATCAGCTTTTGTTGCTGGTTGGTGGTGGCAAGAGTTTTTGCTTCCCTGAACCATGAATGCAAACGATGTTTATCAAGCTAATAGGAAGACAATTGCGAATCAAAAAGACAATATAATTTAGTCTGGCTACGCTGTATTGCTGCTGGTTTGTATATTAACACAAGAATACGTGAATTGCTGCAAATTACTCATCCAAATGCGAATTTTAACAGGACATGCAATTGTCACTCTAATCATGGTTTTGTGCTTTGAGTGCAAGTTTATTCAAACTTGTCATACAGCCCTTGAAAGGCTTCTTCCTTTTTTTCAAAATCGTAAGAACAGATACTCTTGCATTGGTGCTGCTATTGCTTGTATCCTGTTGAGACACATCTATGCGTCCATCGCATTACCGCCAAGACATCTTCGCTCATTTCCAAGAGTTTCCACTTTTGCCATCCTCAACTCTTTCAAGAACTTTGAGTCTGTGCCAAATCGCATCAAGCGGCTCATTAACCCTATTACGGATGCTGGCTATAGCTTTTACATGGTTTGTATCTGATTTGCCGTTCATCTCAACATAGCAGCATCTCATTGACTTGTTATATAGGCTCGGTCTCCTATTACTTGGAATCTGTTTGTGGCAGACCCAAAAGCTGCCAAGATTGTTTTAATGAAGACAGGTATATACTTGCGCTCAGAGCATTTGCATATCAAGTATTCTACTGTTACTAACGCCTGTGATGGTAAGACAACTTTCCCAAAACACATAATTTCTTTGGTAAATCTGGAGACAATACACCGGTAGCAGTGCTTTTAGGTAAAGAGAATGTTGCTGTCTCTAACGGAGATGTTTGGAGAAAGCAAAGACGAGTAAGCGCGAAATGTTCATTGAATTGCTACACATTGAGATGCTGACAAGCGTAAATGCTAAAGATCATGAACCCTGCTTTTCATCGATCTCAGCCTATCAAGACATTTGGTAGTGTCATGCCATATTTATTTGATGCCATTGACGAAAATCCAGACAGGGTGATGATTACAAAACATATTAAAGCATTTACCTTGGATTCTCTGGGATTGGCAGTGTTTGGTGAGTACTATACCAACGATGAGAGAGGTTATATACGCATACTCATGTCATTGAGCCTAGGCTTTGACTTTCAATCATTGAGAGGAGATCCACAGCAATGGACAGAAACCTACCATATTGTCATGTCCAATATTTTCAATCCACTATCCAACTTGTTCATCAAATTCAGCTTCATCTTGAAGCACATCTCGACCAAGTTTGTCAAGACTCAAGCAGCAACAAGGAGACTTTTATCCATGATGGAGGATTTGGCTGATGAAAAGCGACAAAAGATCCTCAATGGGGAGATGAAGAACCTCAGTGATCAAGAAAAGGATTTACTCACCATGATGATTGAAGCTGACATAGAGGAAGGCACCAAGACTACGACGACACAGCTAAGAGTAAGATATAGCATCTGATCAATTTGTAGAAAATGCTCTCTAAGTCAACATTGCACTAGCAAAATATTGCCATTTTCTTTTTGGCTGGTCATGATACCACAGCAAATGCCATTTCTCTTTGTCTCTACAATCTAGCAAAAAATCCAGATGTGCAACAGAAATTACGTGAGGAGGTGTCAGGCATTTTGGGTGATGAGCCTGTGGATGTGGTTCCTACCATGGACGATCTGAAAAAGATGGAATATCTGAATCTGGTCATCAGAGAGGTAAGTCTACTGGTAAAGCTCGCGCGAATGAGACCATACTTTATTGATTCACGACTAGAATCTTCGACGAAGTGGGCCTGTGGATCGCATTGTATCCAGAGATGCAACAGACGATTTTATCATCAATGGAACCCACATCCCAAAAGGCACTCAACTGAACATCGACATTGGATCACTCCATTTCAACCCAAAACTCTGGCACAATCCAGAAGAATTCATTCCAGAGAGATTTGCACCAGGCGGTGAAAATGATTCGCATGAAGGATTTGCCTACCTACCATTCGGCCATGGTGCCAGACAATGCATTGGCATGAACTTTAGCTTAATTGAGCAGAAGGTAGTGGTTGCTATGCTGGGTAAGTTGGACATCTTGGCTGATCTAATATCTAATTTACTGAGAATGATTTTGTGATAGTAAAAAAGTACCTTATCGAGGTGCCAAAGGATTCTATACATTACGATGAAATTCAGTTTGATATGCCAATGACCATTTCGCCCGAGTCACTAGAATTGAAGTTTACAAAGCTCTAAACAAACTTTCTGTATGCATAGCTTCAGCATAATACACCATTGCTAATAAATACGACATTTTATATTGGATTCTCAGTCTACATATACATTTCTACCGGTAAGAGCACTCGGAAGACGTTGAGAATAGCACGTTATTACCGGCCTCAATTAGTACAACTTGATGCATTTATCAATACAAATAGAAGAAAAAGACATTGCATTTAAGAGAATGGAATGATTAGGTTTTTATTTGATATGAAGTTGAGTTTGTAGACGAAAAGTATAGTGGGAAAGGGATGAAACTATCCTATATACCCATACATACAAAGTCAGTGGTATATAAGAAGTCGAAATTTACTCGATATTGATTTGGTTATTTGTTTGCTTGTTTTCAGCCTTTGGAACAACCACCTTGAGTACACCGTTATTGTAAGATGCCTTGATCGTATCAGGTCGAACAGCGATAGGCAAGGTAAATGATCTTACAAAGGAGCCACTAGTACGTTCCTGAACCAACCACTTGTGTCCCTTGGCAGTGTGTTTACCAACTTGCTTGTCTTTATCCTTGCCAGTTGTCGTCAACTGTTGACTGTGCTTGTCAGAGGAGGAAGAGACTTCGCTCTTCTCTTGCTCCTCTTCGTACACAGGATCTTCAGACTTGTACTCCTTCTTGACGTTACCACTGATAACCAAAGTATTGCTATCCGACATTTCAATCTTGATGTCTTTCTTTTCATAACCAGGGAGTTCAGCATGCAATTCATAAGCATCAGGCGTTTCAACCATGTCCGTGGTGGGATAGAAAGAACCATGAGTAGAGCGCAAGAGTGCGGAAGAAGGAGCAAAGAGTGGTTGCTCAAAGACAGCCATTGCTCTTTGCATGTCACGTAAAGCGTCGTTGAATAAGCGGTTTGAGAGTGCCATAGTGTTTCTTTTTCTTTAAAAAAACTTGTTTGATGATGAAAAGAAGAGGGTGGCCTTGGAGCGAAGAGCCTTTCTTTTTATATCTTTTTTGATTCGAAAGGTCTAGATGTGTCAGTTGCCATATCAAGCAAGTATGTGAGGCTGCATAAATGTGAGAAATTTCGAGTAATTTCGACCACTAAAATCTGGTGATTGGAAAAAAAAAGAAAAGAAAAAAAAACAGCGTGATTGCCATGCTTAGATAATATTTCTAGTAAATTCTCGTAAAGTGCCTTGTTGATTGATTATTCCAGGGTTTTCGACACTTAGAAAGTAGCTCACGACCATCATGCTCAAGTTGCAACTTCTATATTCAGGATAATCATAATGAGCCAATTTTTCTACTGGCTATTATCCTTCTAACCACACACTAAAACTCTTGAAAGCGGAATGATTTTACAGACACTCCAGACATGTCAGTGACCATTGGGATGTTTGACATCTGGTTTTACTTTACTTTTGTTGTGTGGCACTGTCTGAAAGATAAAATGCACTGCTATTAAATGCGCTTTGAAGCTGTCTTTGCTTGCCAAGTCCTACCACAAGAACGACAGTAAAAGTTGAGACTATTGACATCTGGCGCTATGTCTTTTGGCTTTTGCAGCAGTGATCACCAGTTGGCTTTGTGAGTTGCAACAAGATGATAATGATAAGAACGCTTGCTTACCAGACAGACTGAAGGGCAAACGGTGTTTATCAAGCTAATAGGAAGACAATTGCGAATCAAAAAGACAATATAATTTAGTCTGGCTACGCTGTATTGCTGCTGGTTTGTATATTAACACAAGAATACATGAATTGCTGCAAATTACTCATCTGAATGCGAATATTCCTTTGTTTAGCTAGCCAAGAATTTGGCGCCTTATAGGACCTCATTGCAATGAAAGCCTTGACAAGGTGTACAGCATTTTATATCATACTAACATGTACACCGAATTATGAACTTGAAAGTAGAAGATCTTTTGTAGATTTCTAGACTACATTGATACAAAACCCCCCTTGTTTTTTTTGGCAAAACCCGAGCACACAAGTAAAAAGATCAAATGTTCCTTCATAGGATGTTGTTTCTTTGCTACAAATACACACCAAAGACGTTCATGGATCTTGCAAAAAACACATCTTCAGAATCCAACAATAGCCCGCTAATCTACGTTTCCTTGTTTTGCGTGATAGATGTGATCCTGATATGCAATGACTCGCTCATGCATCCTAATTTATATGAGTTAGGGTACAAAGAAGTACACTAAGGCGATTGGATGATCTCTCCAAGAAGATGACAGAAATAAGCCACACTAATACCACAAAAACGTCTTTTGATAACCATCATCCATGCCACTTCGGGGAGGGGTACTACCCCAGCGGCGACCCTTTTCTTCTTTCCATTTCTCCCTTTTTTTTTTTTTACTATAACACAACCATGTCCTTCTTGTCACAATTCACAAGATCTGCTTTCCAGCAATTCACAAGACAACAACAACCTACATTGGCAGCCGTCAACCCTTCCGTGCTCACCCTTGTTCGTACAATGAAAGTACGTTCATCTGTCAAAAAAATGTGCGATGGTTGTTCTACTGTGAGAAGACGTGGAAAACTTTTTGTCACCTGTAACAAGAACAAGAAGCATAAGCAACGTCAAGGATAAATCAATCCTTAAAACGAACAACAACAACAACAACAACAACAACAACAACAACAACAACAACAACAACAACAACAACAACAACAATCTCTTCCTTTTCTCCACTGTATAGATGTAAATCACTCACTCACCTCACACTCGCACTCACTTACAAATTGAATAAAATATTGGCTTTTTGTTTATTGCCCACAAGTATACTTAACACTCTGTAGTCCAACACCAGTGATAGCAACATGCACTTGACCACTGTAAAAACATGTAATGAGTTATGGTGTCATTGGGATTATCTGATGAGCTGACAACTATACGACTTACTTGAATTCAATAGCATCTAGAGCAGATGGATCAGGGACATCCATGTAAGCAGCATCTGTCATGGAGAGAGATACAGCACCGTCTGACGCCTTATTGACCTGCCATTTGTTTAATCTTTGATCTGTGGATGTTGTAAATACAGATTGATCCATGTATTTGATACCAGTAACAGACGAGGCATGAGCGTCAGGTAAAATGAATGGGTTTCCCACTGGTATCACATGTGTTGCTGTCACTTGTAACAAGGCAGCAGATACAGCGTTGTCTTCTCCGCCTGTCAATACAAGCATGTGTTGTTGATCTGTCATGCAAATGTATGCGTCAATGGCGTGATTTCTTATGATGGCTACTGGCACACTCACCTTGATAAGGCACCGCCTCTAAAGCATTGACACCCGACATGTGAGCACTGTAATAAAAGGCTGGTTCAGATAATCTGAAGGCTGCCTTGGTGGGTTCTGCTTCTAATTGACCATGCGTAGCAACGGCAGCATACAAATCATCATGGATATCCCAAACAGCAATTCTACCATCGGTTGCACTTGTCAAGAAATACACCTTGTCTGCTACCTCAACATGTGTGATTTGGAGGATACATTTAGCATGCCATGTACCATCTGCTACCAAACAAAACTTTCTCGTCACTTCGTTAAACAACCAAAATCGAATCATGGCATCTGAATACACAGCACCAACGATATGAAGGCCCTTGCTGGGAGAGATAGCAAATGCAGTAGTGTCCATGATACGAGACTCGATATCCACACTGAGTGTAGGACACGTAGCTACCTCCAAGCAGTTTAAATGAACAAGGCCGTCGTTGTTGCCACCAGAGGAGGCTTCAATCTTCCAGCAGCGAAACTCTTCTAATCCGCCACTGGTAAACAACAGTGTCGATAATCCTTGACTGCAATTAATGTTCTTGATGACCGTCGTGTGTTTACGGATACTGACATGTGTATGGAACTTGGAGGCGGTGTGTGGTGTGTATTGTTGGATGCGCAAGATGGTATCCTCGCCACCTGTAGCAAACAAGATGGCACCCTCCTCCACCGAGAGCGAAGGAGGCAAGAAGCAAAGTGCACGTACTTCACGGCCATGGTAGTTGCTTTGCAAGATACTCTCCTTGAATCCATCCGTCGCACTTGAGGTTTCGCGGAAATAAGCGTACAGCACTTCTTTGCGGATAAAGGCAAAGGCAGATGTGTTGAGTTTAGCATCCTCTGTAGAGAATCCCCATCGTCGATGTCCACCGCCACAATGGATAGCCACCATGCTGAAATTTTTGTTTTCATTGTATACGAAAAAGTGTTTGCGATAGAACCCCATCAGCAAAAGCTCGCCATCCAGCATCATGGAGCCTTCCAATGTACCCTTGGTGATCTTATTTCTGTACAACTTTTCCAATATCATATCGTTGCCTGTGAACACAGTGTCGCCTTGATTTGCAATGCCCAGTTGTGTCTTCTTTTCTTGCAGTGCTTGAGACGTGTTGAGCATGTTGAGTCTGTATTGCACATAGCATCCATCTCTGCCTGCTGTATAAAACACAAGCTGGTTGCCTTGCTGCTCACTCTCTTCCTCCTCTTCCTCGGTGACCTCGTCTTGTTGTTGCTCTTGTTGGGTATCATCTGTATTGCCGCGTGTCTTTTTGATCAATACACTAGTAATGGCTTGTTTTCCATGCGACTTGCGTAATTGGAGTGTAGGCTTCAATGTCTGAATGGTGCCTTCAGGGACAGTTGCATGACAGGGCAGTCGATAAATCAACAATGCTGATTCTCTGGATCCACAAATCAAGATGTTTTCCTCTTCTGAATAGGCGAGTGATAATACGGTAGTACGTTCAGCAGGCATTTCAATATTGAACAGTGTCTTGACGGTAGGCTGTGTGTGTGTGTGTGTTGCAGACATGAGTATTTAGATTTGCTACAAACGCAATGATACTTACAACAGAGGTCGATAAATCCAGCCTGTGAAACAAGACACTATCATTGTACCCATTGGAAATGACATACAGCACATTCGCATCTACATATCGTAAGTGTTAAGCCCTCCTCCTCCCATTTGTATCCGCAACTTCCATCCTCACTAAACACGTTACCTGACGATGGCTCAATGAATATCTCAAACAATTTTTGCTTATGAGCAGCCATCTTGAAGGGCTTGAAGGCATCCGTTGGGCTCAAAAAGACCAAATCACCAAAGATGTTACCCACAACCACCACACGTCCACACTCTGAGTTCTTCATGATGGCGTAATTCTTGTAAGAGACATCGTGCTGAATCTCGACCCATTGACGTGGAGTCGTTGTACCATCGCACTTCAGCAAATAACCTTCTAGCGTCGCAGCGACAATCCAGCGATTCTTGATCATGACAAAGTTTCGAATGGTATCCTTGTGCTTCTGTCTCTCTTCTGGTAGTGGAAAAGCGACCAAATCATCCTCTGAATCAATCTTGTTGTCCTTGATGCTCAACAGTGACCACAAGCGAATGCCTGAATCTTGACCGCCTGTAGCGACAATCTTGTGCTCGGGATTGATAGCACAGCTCCACACGTTTTTACTGGCATGACCTTCCCAACAAGCGATACAATCGCCCGTGTCATCCTCGTCCGCTGTTGCCATAAGTGTGTTCTTCCATACACGACATGAAGCATCTTCCGAGATACTGACGAGGTATTCATCCACAAACTGACAATCCCATACACGTGCTGTGTGTCCAAACAAAACTAAAGGTGTTTTATCCTCCTCTTTCAATGGCCATACACGGATCGTTCTATCATCGGATACACTGACAATCTGGCTAGCATCGTCATTGAATCGCATGCCAAAAATAACACCTTCATGGCCTGTCAACTTTTTGTATACGGGTGCATCCTGTTGATCTTTTTCTCTGTCATACGGCTTCCACAAATGCACCTCGTTAAACACAGTGCCTGATGCCACGATCAGCGATTCTGGTGTAGATCCAAAAATACGAGCAGAGTACAGTATACATTTCACGTTGCATTGCACATGATAGACGACTTGATGGGTAGTTAGATCAAAAATCTCGAGGTCGTTATGGCCATACACCAGTGTCATTTGTGTGGTGCCATTCATCCATTGTGCGTCCATGATCCAGTCTTTGAACGGCCCAAAAGATGTCTTTGTCTCGATTGTTGCTTCGTTGGCAGAAGCGGTGATGTTGAGAAGACTGAGGTACTTTGATCCAAATACTGCGAGTTGTCGGCTTTCGACACCTTGTTCGTTTGTGTTGCTGGAACCTGGGGCTATAATGAAATATGTCAAAATGATGGTTAACTCAACACAGTAGCACAGCTTACCAAAGACAATGCGATGGATACGGTTGGCTGGTAAGATGGATTTCGAGGTGAGCAGCTTTCCGGTTTGTACGTTATACACTCTCAAATAGGGGCCATGACCAGCAAGTAAGATCGAGTTGTTGAAAAAGCTCAGGCTAGTGACAATGCCAGCATAGATGTTCTTTTCTAAAGCCTGTTCATGATAGAAAGCGATGAGTCACAGTGGTTTGATTCAAGTCATAGCATGTCTATATCTACTGTATTCTGAAATGGCATATCGTTCTATGGAATGGATCGTTCACTTGACTATCGCAAAAAGAGAGAAGGGCAAAATTTATCAACTCGAAAATACATGTCAAATTGGAGATGTTTGGATGGTATAGAACTCCGTTTTATGAATCAAGTTTAGCAAGTAGTGTGTGTGTGTGTGTGTGTGTGTGGCTTGTCAAAGAAAATGTGTACCTGTTTGAATGCATTCAATGCATCATGACTAGTGAACACTCTTCGTGTGTCCATCATGGAACATCATGCCAATCTTGACACTTTGGGCCATTCCAGCTGCATTTATCCAGCATCCCAACAAACATCGTATGGGCCGGATCATCACATCCAATGACGCTTATAGCAACCATGAGTCATCTCGTATGAACAGGCACAATAAACCAGTTCAAATGACCACATAGAGCTCATTTCCACCAATCCCACTATCGAACCCATCATGACTACAACTGAATATCTTACAAGTACTGCGCCTTCTGCTCCATGTTTATGCTTACACCAGGCAGCCATTCATGAATCACCTTCTCCTATTCCACTGATCCAATGTGACTAATATTTAAACACACCAACTATAAAAGAAAAGCACGCTGCCACACATCAAAAAAAAAAGTTTTGTCAAAATTTGTTTCATCCACATGTCTGCTGAAAATAAGGAACAAAAGCCTGCTGCTGCTGCTCCTGCTGCCGAGCTCGATCCTGTTGCCGCTGCTAAAAAGGCAGAAAAAGAAAAGAAGAATGAGGAGAAGCGTCTTGCCAAGATGGCTAAATTTGCTGCCAAACAAGCCAAGGTCAGTTTATATGAGAATCAGATAAAACCTGTGCATCTACTTATTTTTGCATCATCACATTACAGCTCGAGGAAGCCAAGAAAGCCAGTGCTGCTAACCCTGACAAGAAGAAAAAGAAGGAGGCCAAGGCTCCTGCTCCCGTCTTTGTCAACAAGACACCCAAGGGTGAAAAGAAGGGTAAAAACTCTCTAGTCATCACTTTTTTGCTATTGCCATGGATACTCATTGTTCTACAGACATGTCTGAACCTTTTGCTAGTGCTTATGATCCTCGTGCTGTTGAAAGTGCTTGGTATGATTGGTGGGTCAAGGAGGGTTTATTCAAGCCTGAATTCGGCCCTGATGGTAAACCCAAGCCTGAAGGTACATTTGTGATTCCTGCACCACCACCCAATGTCACTGGTTCTCTTCATATCGGACATGCTTTGACTGTATCCATTCAAGATGCATTGATTCGTTGGTAAAGTGCTTTATATCAATGGCATATGTGTAAAAAAAAAAAACCTCTACTCACCTTTACTTTACAGGAACCGTATGTTGGGAAAGACCGTCTTGTTTCAAGCTGGTACTGATCATGCTGGTATTTCATGTCAATCCGTTGTCGAAAAGATGCTGTGGAAGGAAAGAAAGATTACTCGTCATGATTTGGGCCGTGAAAAGTTTGTTGAGGAAGTGTTTGCTTGGAAGGAAAAGTTTGGTAACAAGATTTACAACCAATTTGAACGTCTCGGTGCTTCCTTCGATTGGGAAAGAGCTACATTCACCATGGACCCTGTAAGTACAGTGTATCAATGAGAGCATAGGGCGTCGTGCACTAACTTGCATCCTTAAAAGGGACCATCTGCTGCTGTGCGTGAAAACTTTATCCGTCTTCACCGTGATGGCATCATTTACCGTGCTAACCGTCTTGTCAATTGGTGTGTTCAGCTCAACACCACCTTGAGTAACTTGGAAGTCGAGAACAAGGAAATTCCAGGCCACACCATGATGAACGTTGTTGGCTATGATGAAAAGGAAAAGTTTGAATTTGGTGTCTTGAATGAATTCGCTTATCAGGTCGAGAATTCGGATGAACGTCTTGTGGTTGCTACTACCCGTATTGAAACCATGCTGGGTGATACTGCCATTGCTGTACATCCTGACGATGCTCGTTACAAGCACCTTCACGGTAAATTCGCAGTGCACCCTTTCATTGACCGTCGCATCCCTATCGTCACTGACGCCATTGCTGTCGATATGGAATTCGGTACTGGTGCTGTCAAGATTACACCTGCTCACGATTTCAACGATTACGAAGTGGGCAAGCGTCATGATTTGGAATTCATCAACTTGTTGAACGATGACGGTACTTACAACGAGAATGCTGGCCCTTATCAAGGCATGAAGCGTTTCCATATCCGTAACAAGATCATTGAGGACCTCAAGGCCAAGGGATTGTTTGTCGGTGTCAAGCCTAACCCCATGACCGTGCCTGTCTGTTCCAAGAGTGGTGATATCATTGAGCCCATGATGAAGCCTCAATGGTGGGTCAAGTGTCAAGGTATGGCTGAGAAGGCCATGCAAGCTGTTACTGATGGTGAGCTCAAGATTGCTCCCAAGGTCTCTGAGGGCGATTGGTTCCGTTGGTTGGGTAACATCAATGACTGGTGTATCTCCCGTCAATTATGGTGGGGTCATCGTATTCCTGCTTACTTTGTCAACATTGAAGGTGAGACCCACGATCGCATTGATGATGCCATGTGGGTTACTGGTTCGGATGAACAAGATGCCCGTGCTCAAGCTGAAGCTAAGTTTCCTGGCAAGAAGTTCACCTTGGAGCAAGATCCCGATGTCTTGGATACCTGGTTCTCCTCTGGTTTGTGGCCCTTCTCCACCCAAGGCTGGCCCGAAAAGACCTTCAACATGGAGCACTTTTACCCTGCCTCTCTCTTGGAAACCGGTTGGGATATTCTCTTCTTCTGGGTTGCCCGTATGGTCATGCTTGGTATTCAATTGACTGGTAAGGTTCCCTTTGCTGAAGTCCTCTGTCATGCCATGATCCGTGATGCCCATGGTCGTAAGATGTCCAAGTCCCTTGGTAATGTCATTGATCCTGTCGATGTCATTGAAGGTATCACTCTTCAAGGTCTTCATGCCAAGCTTTATGAAGGCAATTTGGATCCTAGAGAGATCAAGAAGGCTGAGGCTGGTCAAAAGGCTGATTTCCCCAAGGGTATTCCCGAGTGTGGTACTGATGCCCTTCGTTTCGCTCTCTGTGCTTACACCACCGGTGGCCGTGATATTAACCTTGACATTTTGCGTGTGGAAGGCTATCGTAAGTTCTGTAACAAGTTGTGGAATGCTACTCGTTTCGCCTTGATGAAGCTAGGTGATGATTTCAAGCCCAATGCTTCTGCTGAACCCACTGGCAACGAGTCGTTGGCTGACAAGTGGATCCTCTCCAAGCTCAACAAGTGCGCTATTGACACCAACAAATTCCTCGAAGAACGTAACTTTATGATGGCCACCAACGCTGTCCATCAATTCTGGCTCTACGATCTCTGTGATGTCTACATTGAAGTTGTCAAGCCCATCTGTGATGCTGATACAACCGGTGATGAAGCTGCTACTGCTCGCAAGGTCACTGCTCAAAACACATTGTACACCTGTCTTGAAGCTGGCCTTAAGCTCATGCATCCCTTCATGCCCTTTGTTACTGAAGAACTCTTCCAACGTCTCGGTCGTCGCCCTAGTCATGATGAGCCTACTATTGTCAAGGCTCGCTATCCTGTTGAAAACAAGGCTTACGATTTTGCTGATGCTGAGAAGGAGTTTGAGTCTGTCTTTGAGACCGTCAAGAGCATCCGTTCCATTGCTACTCAATTAAAACAAAAGAAGAACATTGTTGCTTACATTCAAACCAACGAAGCTGGTCTCAAGTCTCTGTTTGAGTCCAACAAGGACTCTATTGCTACTTTGGTTAAGGGTGTCGATGCACTGTCCATCATTGATGCCAGTGCTGAAACTCCTGCTGATTGCGATACCGCCACTGCTGGTGACAATGTCAATGTCTTTGTTCGCAAGTAAGACGTATGTGATTTTTGGTTGAAAGAGAAGGGAAACATCATCTATTAGCATATCCTTTTTTTTTTTTTTGTCGTTTGAAATTTTATAGTAAATAAAATGAATAGAATTTAGCTGTATTGTCTTTTTAAACTTGCCAACTTGCCCTGAATTGAAGGGTCTCTGCATGAACAGCCGACGGACATGTCAAGTGTATTCGGCTGTTCAATGTGACTCTACAAGGGCTGCAATGTCTCCCTCCATCCATGAATTGAGTTTCGTGTTGATCTTTATCTAGAACAACATACCAGAAAAATGGCACAACCGATCGCACAAAAGCTGCTTGTAGTGGGTGGCTCAGGATTCCTTGGTAGGTTTCTATATCTCTATAGCTAGTGGACATCTAATTAACATGAATCCCGTGTAAGGCATGAACATTTGTAAGATTGCTGCCAACAAGGGTTGGGAAACTGTCAGTTTGAGGTACACTCTGGAATAGAACAGCATGCCTAAAGTGCCAACACACTTACCATTTAAATGCTAGTAAAAGAGGAGAGCCTACAATGTTCAATGAGTATGGAAAACCAGAATGGGCTCAGAAGGTTTGCATGCAATGCACAGCTTGACAATGTATTTGCAACTGACGCCAATGATATTTAGGTGCAATGGGCTTCTGGCAACTCACTTCAGCCAGAAACCTATAAAGACCTGTTAAAGGATGTCACTGCAGTTGTGCATTCAGTCGGTATCCTCATGGAGAATGATTACAAATCTATTGCTCAAGCAAAATCGTTGTGTGAAGCCGCCAGTGGTGTGCCTCGTTTACTGTTGGGCATGAAAGATCATGGCAATCCTCTTGATCCCAACTTAAAAGACAACCCCAGACCCACTTACGAGATGATGAACAGAGATACAGGTAAGCCTTGCGAGCGTATGCATCTAGTATGAGATTGTTTTTAATTCAAGCCATGCCACACAGTCAAAACAGTAGCTGATCAAGTCTCTCAAGTGCCCACCATGCGCTCATTTGTTTACATTTCTGCTTCAGATGTGTTTCCCTTTATTGATCCTCGTTACATTACAACCAAGAGAGAAGCTGAACGCTACTTGTTTCAACAAGACGATAAATTCAAGACGGTGGTACTTCGTCCTGGTAAGTTTATCTGAGGGTATTACACCTGATAGCGCAAATCTAATCCCTTTATCCGCAGGCTTCATGTACAATGTGACAAGACCCAGTGCTGTCCCAATTGCTGGTGCCCTTCAATTTGCCAATGCAGTGACAAGTCCATTCAAGAATGGCATTGCTAGTTTACCTGGTGGAAAAATCATCACTACACCACCATTGCAAACGGAACAAGTGGCAAGAGCTGTCATTGCAGGCATTGAATCGAAACAGAGTGGTATTTTTGATGTAGAAGGCATTGAGAAACTGAGTCATGTATCCATATAAATAAATTCATGCAACTTATGCCATGTGTGTGTAACTTTTTTTTTTTTTTTTTTTTTTTAAATCTATCATGTGGCGTACGAGTTGAACCATTTGTAAAGCCTTACTCTGTCTCTCTGTCTACTTTTTTCTCTCTTTCTTTCATTTCTTTCACTCACACACACACTCACTCTCTCTCTCTCTCTCTCTGTTACTACATCAATGACATCAATTATAGGCTATACTCGAGTTCCATTTAATCCTTCATGTTCAATAGCGCCTGTGCAAAGGCTTTATCAAGCAAGGCCGCCACTGACTAGAACAGACCACAATGACCATATTGTATGTAACGATGAAAACAAGAGCACCAGCAAAAGTAGCAGACCTACGACTACATTTCATCGCATGTTCTCAAGGGAATCATCCGGCTCTAATGGTATCATTGAGCTGATAGGTGATACAACAAAGATACCACCACTTGAGTCAAGCAAGATAGCTATCGTTACAAAACCAGCTAAAGATAACAGCAAGAGCAGCACCCAGAAGAGCAGAAAGATAACCACCGCTATCACCACAAGCACGCAATCCAATCTCAAGAATTACAATACACATTTATCTATTGATTTAAACAACCAACGCGATTACCAACAACTGCCCACGCTGACAATTGACGACGACGACGCCAATGACTCAGCATCCAGCAAGAACTATGACAATTTGCAGCGACTGATGGACTCCATTGCCAAGCTAGCGTACGACAAGTCCATCAAGTTTCTCAACATCATTGAACTCCTCAAGCAACTGCAAACATATCAAGATCAGTATCGCTTCATGAGCTGTATCGACAAGCAAAAGCAGGTTATTTTAGTCTACTTCCCAAATACCCTCTCCACAAATGCACATCAGACACAACAATGGCTCAAGGCACATGCTGGCATCGACGTTGAACGTTACCATGATTGGCATTTAGTGCAGGATGTGTCGTCACCGCCACCAGAGCAACAGCAGGAAAAGGACTTTTTTGATGGGCCCAAATACTTTGACGATATACACATGTTTATCAATCAGGTGGATGCGTTGATAGAATCAAATGGTCTTTTTTCTCAAGCAGCAAAAAAAGGAGAGAACCACTAAAACAAAATGCTGTGGTAAAAAAAAAAAAAAAAAAAAAAAAAGAGGGGTTGGCCCAAATCAACGCGCCTGGTGTCTTGTGATAGAAATTCACATCGCAGCAAAGCAACTGCAAAGTACCATTCAAACCATTCAAATGCATAGCACACTTCATACACATACCAATTTAAACATATATAAATATACTATTCTGATTCCTTGTATTAAATTATCGTTCTCTCCCCTTTTTTACATGTTAACTGGATGATTATGGCGTATGTATTTTCTCCTTTTTTTTTTTTGTCTGGTAGCTATTCACAAATGTGACACATTTGATTTGTACTGTGTCACTGTACTTTAGCTTTGGCATTCACACACATGAAATGAGTTTCATGCAAGTTTGCAAAGTATATAGAATGTTGCTACCTTGTAAATTTCTGTCTACGCAGTGAGTCAAGAATGGCAAAACACCATGATTGTTAGATCCTGGAATGTATATAGTCTGCAACATTCAAAATATTATATTAAGCAGACGGATCGGCCACTTTTGTATATTATTCTCTAACTATGATATCATATCAAAATGAAATGAGCTGATCAGATGGTGCCAGAAGACAGAATTCAACTCAAACAGCAATTGTACATCCAGATGTATGAGTCAAAAAAAGCGTTTCAAATGGCATTACCTGCGCTGGCAAGGTAAAATGGCAATCCCTTCTGCCTATTATAGCGACAGTATATGCTATCTTGTCGGGTTTGACAGTGTTAATCAACTATATCGATATAAAATTTTATGCAATTAGATGGAACGTTTGTCAAATACTTGTATATACTGTATTAGCGATTGCATTATCCTCAGCTAGATTTGAGTGAATTCAGAACATGGTTAATTTTGAATAGATGTTACTAGTAACATTTTTTGGATTACTGTATATGTGCCGGATATATGTGCAGTAAAAACTGTAGAGGGTAAGTTATTTGACTAGGGCATGTTTAGTGTGGGGTTATTGTTGAGAAAGATGTCAACGGGCAATGAGGAAACATAGTCCAAATGATAATGGATATTCCAAAGGGCCACATCGGTGGATTTCACCAAGTGAATCCGAGTTGAAAGCTTAGCAGCCTCTATCTCTTTTCCAACTCTCTTTACGATAGTATGGTTTTTATAGACCAATCCTTAGATATTTCAAAAAGCGTCTGCTTGTGCTTGATAAAAATATTCGTTTTTCAGTGAATGCATAAAAGGAACGCACATTAGGTATCCAAACACCTTACAACATGTTGGATATAATCTAGAGCTATTGAATGGTTTTTGTTTTGTGCAAATCCGGTGAGTATGTGTCGAGATACGGCCAAAAAAGGGTATCGCGCAAAATCACTGATTTTTGTTCAAAATCTGCCTGTGATAGCAAGCAAAAAATCTGGTGACGATTTTTTGGTCAGGACAAGATTTTCAATATTTCATGATAGAGTCATGCCAGAGCTTCAGGCAATAGCTCATTCGATAGGAAATTTTTTGATTTACAATGTTTAGTAATGCTTAACAAAATGTTCTGATGATAGATACGGATTAATCTTTAGAAAACAGTGAAAAAATCGCAAAATTTAACTTATCAAATACCAGTTGAATAATGTACAGCAAACACTTGATATAAATACCATTGTATTCTCCTTTAAGTTCTCTACAAGTTTCATATAAGTTTGAAGGGGGGTTTACTATCAAGAAACGCGCAATCTTAAGGTCAATAGATTTTGGAATCCCATGGATCATCATTCAGAACAATAGAAATTGAAGCTCCGTTGACCTTCCGCATGTGTACACCTCACAAGGATGAATTTGACCGAGCATTTTAAAAATCGGAGCGTACGAAAAAGGGCCATATTAACTTGCTGGTTTTAAGTTATCAGTAGATACCTGACATGTTGAAGAATTTTGCTTTTAAAATTAGACAGTTGTAGCTTGCTTTGTTCGATTATAATAAGTCTTCCAATTTAAAGTATGTATATTCCCCCGCTTAAAAATAGCATCTCCAATGTTGATTATCTCATGAAGTATGCATTTCCAATATAATATTTTCACTAAGCAGTTGCTCCAATATCATTATTCTACAACATATTTAAGTTTGACGAGATTCTAATTTTTTTACCTATGAGGACTTGGATGTACAAAATGTTTTTTGATTTTGAGATTTCAGCTTTTGGACGTCAAGTGAACTAGACCAGTTTCGCGTCATAAGCAAGACCCAAAATAAACGTCATCTCAAGCAAGCCATGCTACCATCAACAGATAAACAATACATAATAAAAAATAAGAGGAGATGACAGATACTACTAAAGTAAATGTTAAGGGTATCGTAATGTGTTTTAGCACAAATAAACCTAAAAAAAAAAACATGCTCAACAACAAAGAACTATTCATTACGCATGATTCACAAACCATATATTGAAATGCCGTTCTTGATCCATCAGATCAACAACAAAATAACCCAACGATAATATACAAAATAATGGAATCGCTGGCAGCTACTAAACTGCTGCCAGATAAGAGATATAAACTAAATAGAAACGTAGAATATACATGTTATTGCACGCTATCCTAATTTCGAATAAAGAAGGGTGTTAACAGTATTCTATCATCTGCTTTTGCAATTCCTTTTTTTTTACTGCAGTAATAAAAAGGTACAGTAGTAGCCTTGAGCGATCGTTTTTCGACAATCCTTTGGCTGGGTCTGACCTATTGGGCGCTGTAGATCCGTGAAAGCTGATGCTTCAGATTTTGGTAAGACCTGAAACGATAGGTAATTCTTGGGTCTGCAACGAACAGTGTTACAACAATTAAGTTGATAAAAGTTTAGCACACGCTTCCCTTTGAAACCCTCTTAAGAAACATGAAAAACTGGCTTGCTTAAATACAAACTTTGCAATAACTACCAATAGCAGTACCGCTCCACGCACTTCAAATTCTGAAACACTTTTTCATAGATTGAAAGCAATTGTTGCTATCGAAAGCGGTTCGTTTGGGCGATGGTAAGATCCAAAGCATTACATTTTATTATAGCTTTGACCATGTAAAGTCTCTCGTAAAACATCATGTTTAAACTCACTTGGTTGCGCCCAGAGTTATGGAATAAATTCATAAGCTTTTCATTGAAGGTAAAAACAGCCACTCTCTACATTGATTGCTGCATAGTTTTGAACGCCATCTTTAAATCGGAAAGCTTCTGCAAGTACCAATCACGGACACAGTGATGGTAAATTGCAAGCACTGTCAAAAGCAGCAGAGGCATGAAAGAAAGTGTCAAAGCATACGTTTGCTTCATCTTAGAAAGCTAATTGCCATGCAGATGTACAGTATATAACGTTCAGGTGAACCGCAAAAAGGATTTGAGTTTGTGTAATGTGGCGATAAGCTCGGCATGTTGCTCTCAATGTAGCAAACGTTCTCGCTCTATGCTCAGAGGGTTTTGCACTAACACAAAATAAATATTCTGATACACAACATTCAATAGAACCAATCATTATCATCATCAACACATGTATTTACACATTTATGATACATTTATTACATTTCAAAAAGCTACTGCTACTTACAAGCTTATGATCCCTCCGTCGACACTTTTGCCAATCGTTGAGCCAAAGCGGCCCTGAATTCATCATTCTGAGTAGGCGCTGTTGTTGCCTTGCTAGCAGTGTTAGTAGCAGCAGTAGCAGTAGGAGGTTTGGGTACAGGTCGTGGTGGTACAATGGGTACGTGCGATTGCTGTGGTTGTGGCGGTCCACCATTCCAAGTAGTTCTTGACGACGCCACATGAAAGTTTTCAGTTTCCTCTCTTGATAGTCCCTCTGTTGAACCACCTTCATGTATAGTAACAGGTCTCGCAAAATTGTTGTTACTACCATCCGCGCTCTTTCTAAACGGGAAATAGGGTGGCTGGCTGTATCTCTTTTCGTCCTCTTCCTCCATGCTACTGTCTCCATGCGTACTCAATGTGTTCAAAGAAACTGATCCTGTGCTGAACCTGACATTGGAGCTGGCGTTGCTAAAAACTGAGCTGGTGCGGTTGCCATTGTTGCTACTGCTGCGAGTGCCGTACATGCTGTTCGATTTCACTTGTGGTGGTTCTCTCAAAGTGCTCAGCTCATCCACTGTGTTTTGACTCACCCAGGATCGCATCAGGATATACTGTGTTGCCATTTTCTGCTGCTCGTCCAGATTCTCATCTTCTCCGCCTTCCTCCATCATGGACATGTTGGCGACGCTGCTGCTACTGCTATTGGGTGATTCATTGCTACTGCCACCACCGCCAAAGAACCCGCCACCGCTGAATCGTTGTATTCGAGATGCGCCACGATGTAACGCACTCGATAAGGCTGGTCTGAAATGATGCTTTTGTGATGATTTTAAGAATGCAGCTGGTAATGAAGGCGTGTAACGAGGCCCAGTTTGGAAACGATGCATGGTATTGAGTACTTCATGGATGCGGGGCTCCTCTTCCGGATTGCCGGGATTATTGGAGCTCTTGAAGGCAGCCAGCAAGTAAGTGATATCATGGATAAAGGTGCCAAGGAACGGCACAGTGGGTCTTGAGTAGTGCTCATCTCGGATCAGCTGCACACTTTTGCCATTGACTACCGTGGTTGTTACCATGCCCATATGCTCTCGATATTGGCCATAGTTGTTTGCTTCTGACATGAGCTCATTCAATGCATCCAGCTTGGTGGTGCTCTTTTTGGGTATATATGCCCAAGTGCGCTTCAGACGCTGTACAGGGGGTGTATTCAATGCTGATATAATGGCTTTGAGTGTTTGGTAGTTGTTGACATCAAAGCAGCGTGAGGCTACCTTGATCCAGTAGTGAATCAGTTGTGCTCTGGATGATGCCTCTTGTGGTAATAAGACTGCATGCTCGATACAGCGAGTAATGTAGTTGAAGAAATCAGTCGATGCTACAATACGAGGATGTGGATGCTTGGATGAGTGCTCCAATAGTGCTTGTGGGGGTATTGCATCAAAGATAGCAGCCTCAATCAGGGTAATCTGATATGCAATGACATGGGCCTGAAACTGTAGGATACTTGGTATCGTCGCTGCACTCATGTAGGTTGTTCGAACGCCGTTCAATGTCACCTTGAGCTCTGCCAACACTCTGAGATACTGTGCAATCATCTGATCCAAACTATCCTCTGTCATGGCATCAAGTGCTTGTCCTTGAGCAATAGCTTGTTTGCGGGCTCTGCAGCTGCGAATCTTCTCCTCCAATTCATCTACTTTCTGCTGCAATACTCGGTGCGTCGTGAGAAGAGGAGGTGCAGGAATGAGTGGAACGTGATCTGTGTTCATGGTGCTCGAGGATGGCGCTAAACTATCACCAGCATTTGTCTGTGCAGGCACCAGATAATCAGGGTCGATTTCTCCCTCAGCGACAATGCGAATATTGGATAGATGCTTGGTATTTTCTGAAGAGTACTCTGTTACTGGTCTTGGAGACTTTTGTAGTGAACTGATATGGCTATGAGGTAGTGGTGGTAAACTCGTAGGTCGACTTTCGTAAACACGTGGTGTAATAATCGGTGGTTCAGGCTGTTGATGTGAATTGTCTATTGGAAAACTATTAATACCAATTCATCTAATTAAAGTCATGTACACATTTACCCGGCAATTCAGTTTCAATAGTCGTCGTGGCGGGTGGTTTCGATGGCGATGTAGTTGTCACTGTAGGAGATGGCACCTTGGGCTTTGGTGGTACAGCTGGCTTTTGCATTCTCGAAGGCTTTGGAGGCAGAGGAGGACGCTTCTGATCACCGGTTGTCTGTCTACTGATAGGATTGTATGTTGCCGGTGAATGTGTCTCGATGATGGTTTCTATATGTTGTAAGCATGTTTTGATGGATGATAAAAGAGATGCATATTGCTTTGGGCTGGAAATAATGGCTAAATAGAATGCAAGGTTAGGCCTTCCAATGCTACTCATTTAACTGTGTTTATCGAATTTACAGGAATGTACAAATTTGATTTCATTTAGTGCTTGGATGGCTTTTTGGCTGGTTGCAGTGAATGAGAAATAAGCTTCCTAAACATTGAATGCATTTAGTTTTTATTCAAATGAACATGAATTCCCATTTTTACTTTTATTTGTCCTTTCTCTTCCAGTTCAATAGCCAACGCAACATCTTTTTGTATATCCTCGTCTAACATTATCTATAGTACAGCAAGAAAAAGAAAAGCTTGAGCGTTTGAGTGCCAAGCCTTTTTTTTTTCTGTATAAATAAGCAAAAAATAAAGAGGGAAAAGAGAAGAAGGCTTAATAGGAAAAAGAGAAAGGAAAAGGAAAAGAAAAAAAAAAACTCGGGGAGAAAATTACAAATTGTTAATAAAATTGTAACACCCAGACACACACTTTCTTCTCGAGGCGATGTTTGTTGCCTTCAAATAGAGAGAGATAGCGATTTTAGAAGAAGAAAAAAAAAAGTAAATGCATTCATTCGTCATTGTGTACACTCTCAAGGACTTGTTTACCTAATAATCTATTTCAAGCAAACACAACAACATTAAGCTCACATCTGGAGCAAATCTTCCGTTTGAAGAAACAAAATGCGGGACAAATTCTCCAGATTGGGATGGGGCGCACCGGCTGTATATTCCGCCACTTTCAGGCAATTAGAAGAAACCTCTCATATCTGCGATTGCTTACATGTGCCTCTTGTAATCTAGGAATGCAATTTGTGGATATTTTGTTCACTAACATTTTGTGCAGATCGCTCAGGGCAGCCCAGTAGTAGCAATCATTACCATTACCTTGCTATCATTTATTATAAATACGATGTCTAGGAGCTCAATGAACTGTTTAGCCAGAGGTGGAGCCTACATACGTTCAATCTATATTGACGATGTAAAGATTCTTCGCTATCCGACTGCAAGTCGCCCAAGACTGTAATGTGGCATATCACTAAGAAGCAGCAACTGAAAGCGTATGCTTCTGCTGGATCAGTAGAGACAAGTGTAGTCTTGATGAGAGCCTCCCTAGTCAAGACCTGATATAAATGACCTGATATCTGTGAGAAAATAGCAATTAACAGTGTGAGCAAAATTAACTCAAGACCCAACGCGATAGAATGCCACCAAAAATTGAGTCAAGCAATGAGATTTAACGGTGCCATTCAATTGTGTGAAATGTACGATACAAGTAATCATTGTGTCATAGCCATTGGTGGGTCAACATGCCATCATGGTAGATACCAGAAAACTAAACAAGAGCCTACATATTTGAACTACTATTCCACATGCGGCCCTGAATCATCAAATGGGATCTTTGATAATAAACTTTGCATTGTATCCGATAGAGAGTCCAGTTAAATGGCTATTCGACAAGACAGGTTTATTTTAGAAGCAAACCATAGGCCATAGCATAAGTAATGGTGATGTGAGCTAGTTTCAAACTACGGTTTCTATTGAGATACCACGACAGGCCAAATACATCCACAAGTAATACGATTGCCAGCATATCCATAAGCTCCATACCAGCAAAAGCGGATTTCGTGGGGTCAGTGGGTTCGAAATCAACTAGATACGGTAGTGTTAATTTTTTGGAGAGACATCTATTGATTTGGTAGAGCACTTACATTTGTCCAATGAGTACATTGCCATGCCTTCCATAGAAAATACATGTACAACAAAGAATGATATCATAAGCTTAACTTTATTCGTATGCATGCAGATGCTTGGGTTATACAGTACCATTTTCTTTGCGTGTTACAATGTCCCACATGGCATCGCTTTCTTGTTCTTTCACTCGTTTTGTTTCAACCCAAGCTCTCTTTGGTAGTATCCATGATTTAGGCTTGGCTTGTATTCCGGATGATGAAATTGCTTGATCGGCTCCTTGATCGTCAGCATTCTGATGGTATAAGAGGATGGACGTGTCGCTTTCACTCGACATGTAGGAATTAGCAACGGATACATTTGTGTTCATCATCGAGTCCTTGACGAACGGTGTGTATATAATTGCGTTGGTTGAGGTATTATTGTAATTTTGTAACGTCTGAGGTTGGCTGAAAGTTGTAAAGGGTGCAAGCGAAATAATGATTGCGCAGATAGGCAGCATACCAGCCTTAAAGAGGGTTATTAGACTCATGGTTTAGAATGTCAACTCACTGGAAAGAAGAACGGCATGGCAATTCTCAAGCCTTTCTCTTCTTATAAGCATACTGGATGTACTCATTGTACGGGTCGCTCATTGTCTGTTAGTTTATTCATGTACAGGAAAATATCGCCAATGTCTTTTTGACTCGTCTAGATAGCCCTGGATTCTCCAATTTAACAGATTGTTGGTTTTGGGGATCCTGATTATCCTGCTTAACAGGATCATCTTCAGGAGCGAGAGAAAGCGTTGATGTAGAGCAGGGCACTTTGTTCTTGGGTAGATGTTGTAGCTGGGGTCGTGGCTGTGGCGTTTCCCTCACAATGACGACGGGTATGGTGGAGTGTTTCAGTCTATACTTGAATATACCAGCACCAGAATAAGCATGCTTGTATTTCGCCTTGTTTCTGGATCCAACGACCAACATGGATGGCTGATACATTCTCATCTACACAAAGTCCAAGTAAGATGCCTTACATTAATGATTTATTTTGGCCATTTGTATACTACCATCTCCTCCAAAGCAAACTCTGGTCTACTAAAAGTCAATTCTACGACCATGCTGATCTATGATGCACTGTGAATAACACGTCCTCTCAAGTAACATCATAAAGCGTGTTACATTGTCTCCCTGATGCGACTCTACTATCCAGTTCATTATCTCTTGTGCTTTGTCCTTTGGCTGTAATTCCTCGTCATCTAGTATTCACATCAAACCGTATCAGAACAAGCAGATACGTTGAACATCTCCTTTACCTAACAGATGGCTCTGTGAATAGACACCCACCACCACAATTTCATCTCCTTCATCCACCAGATTCTATACAGATTGCATACATACAACTTTAACTTTAATTGCCAATAACCATGCGTTTGTGCTTGCGCAAACATTACCGTCAATGCAAAGATAAGCGGTTCAATCTTATTACAATCTAAATCGATAGCCACAATAAACGTTCGGGATCTTCTTGTTCTTTCAAACCCTCTGCTGCATTGCTTCAATGTAAATGACTGATATGCAGATGAAATATTGGTGACATTGTCAAATGAAACTCTTCTCTGGTAAGTTCTGGAGCTGTCATACGAGGATTGGATCGAATGGCGTGATTCGAGTGATAGGGATGAATTTTGCTTATTCAACTTTAGCTTGAGCGATGGCTCAACAATGAGCACTTTTCTTGGTTGATTATTTTCTGCCGTGGTCATTGTTGGTGGTCTGAAAGAGAAAACAGATGCATTCAAAGTTTCCGAGATATCAAAAAGTTTATTATACAGTTGTTTGTTTGCTGCTGCTGCTGTGCTTATTTGTTTGTTTGCAGTACATATATGGACAATGGGCACAGACGAAATGCATGATTATGAGCGATTTATTATTAGGGACATGTTATACAATGGTAGAAAATGGAAACGAAAGCGAGCTTATATATAGATAATATGAGATTAAAGGAAGTAAATGCCGTTGGTCAATTTCATGCAAGTGTGGAGCTTATTGCTGATGAAATTGTTGTTGCAAGTGCCACAACTCGTTTTGTGGTGGCTGTTGTTGCTGTTGCTGTTGGGGTGGTTGACTCAAAGGTGATATTGTGTTGGCAAAGGGAGCTTGCTTCAGTTTGGCAATATGAGAATGCTCAATGTGATACTTTAAGCCGTTCAAATTCTTGTATCGCTTGTTACAGTAGCCAATGGTGCACATGTATGGCTTTTGAGCATCCCTCTCTGCTTCACTCAGCGTATCCTCCTCCGAGTGCCCATGCATTTGATGGTATTTGAGTCCATTGGGGTTCTTGTACGCCTTGTCACAACCTTCAATAGGACATTTGTAGGGTTTATCTTGGCCATCATCTGCAAATGATCGTGGTTAGGTAATCGTTACCACACCAGTATACACACACGCACACGTACACACACCTCCCAACTTACCACATGTTTGATATAATGCCTCAGATCTAAAATAATGCAGACTATCGTGCGCTGATGTAGGTGCATTTGCGCCGTTCACTAATCCAGGTAAAGCTTGTTTCAAGATATCTTCCGTGTGTTGACTTTGATTGCTATGTTGCGGATGTGGTGGAGGAGGAGGGCTCATGATGGCTGGAGTGGGAATGACTTCGCTTGTATTAATGACAGCAGGAGCAGGAGCGGGACTAGCAACTGGGGTTGGGACCCGTAAATCGTTATTCTTTCGAAGCAATGGGCTACTGGTAAGCGCAGCAAGCTCATGAGGTTGAGTAGGTAACGCAGTTGGATAGGTAGTTGTATCTACATCTTCCATCATCATGTCATCGATATCTTCATCTTCCTTTGGCTCTGGCTCTTCTTCGATGGGGGCATGATGATGTTCTTCATAATGATGTAACAATTCATGTAGATCTTGTACTCGAGTACCGCAGCATACCAGATCACTACAAAAAGCAGATTCCAGCTCTCTTTGATGCACAAAACTGTCTCGATGTTGGAATAGAGCGGGCATCGTGTGTGATGAAGGTGAGTACGACATGGCTGATGCGCCATTACCACCGCTACATACGACATGGCTATTAATTGACCTTATTGGCAACTAATCTATGATGTAAAACTTACATGGATTGTTTGCGCTTAAAGCTAATGTTTATATTTTGTGATGCCATTGACGTTAAAGTGTCCAATTAATATGCTACGCTTTATAAAATGTATATGCAATAAAAGTGAAAAAGGTGTATGTGATCGAGAGAAACAAAGCAACAAAGCTAAATTATGAAAGAGCAAGTTTTGGTTTTGGTTTCAGAATGTGGAAGGGAGAGGAAAAAAAAAAAAGAGTCGAAAAAGTGACAGGTTTGAAGGATGGGATGGATGTTCAATTTACAATGAATCATTGCACCAATAACATCATGGGCAAGTTACACAGAAATGCTATTCTGTATCAACTATAAATGGCATATATCACTAATTGCCAGTGCCTAGTGTATCCTTCAAAACATGGAGTGTCGATCGAAAGCCTCTTTGGTTATGAATCCTGAAACAGCAGTACATTTTACATTTGGTGTGCTGGTGACAGAGCCGGGCAGATATGTATGTATGTATGTATGTGTATGGGTGTGTGTGGGTGTGGGGGGGGTGGGTGTGGAAGGGGGGAGCAAGAGGAATGTGTGCTGTATTCAATGAGGTCATTGGGAGTGGTTCTCATTTGGAAGCCGCTTCCAAATCACACCAAATCAACCAAAGATCGAAGGTATTGACATCAAAAAAATATGGATTAAATAGTCTGTAGAGATTCTCTTTCAACATTGCATCCATGACAGCTCATTGATGGCTGCTGTATTTGTTCATTCTAGTTTGCAACGTGTGTTTATATCATCTGCAATGTACATGCCTAAAAATAGAGTATCCGATGACTAAGATTTTAGTTGTAACGATAGTGTTTGCAGGCGGACACCTTACTATCAAGATATTTGAAGATATAAATAATAATCAGGCTCTTCCAGAAAATTACTTGAACTGATTGCAGTACATTCAATGTAAATATTATGCATCGACACATTATTCAGCAAAAAATGCAGGCTAGTTTCATAATGTGTATATATGTACAGATTAATTTTGCGCGTTCAGATCAGAGTTATGACAAATAAAGTAAAAATAGAGATCATTTTAATCCCACATGAAGTGAGTCCGGAAAATTTCCAGTCGTATACAGTAGGACATGTATGACCCCTTTTTGTGTCAGAAGCAGAACAGAAAAAGAAGTATATCCATGAGTTTAAGTCTAATCTGATCCTTACAAATAACCAAATAGGAGAGTAAGAGATGTCATCTTGATCTGATGGATAGACAGCTTTTGATGTGACTCATCCACATGCAGCTTGTATGTATCCAACGCAATTGTTGTCATGGCAACCAAGACAATTCCTCTCCCTCTATCTCCCAAAAATCGAACAATAAATCCCCTTGGCAATCAGGGGTAAGATTTCGCATCTCCATGGCAACCCGTAAATCAGAAAAAAATTCAGGTACATGCGTTTAAATGTCCTTGAGTCTAACATTTCGCTTTATCATACTGAAATCTTTGTACTCCATCTAATGAATTGGCATGTACTACATGCGATTGAACAGCCAAATGTAAGAAATGAAGCATAATGGTGGCATAATGTGGTTGAGAGACCGCCCATATATGATCTTGACCATCAAAGCACACACACACACACACACGCACACACACAACGATTGCTCGCCAAATAAACACGCTACTCTAAACGTTTGCTTTGGTAAAAATGTAGGTTTCTGATCTGCTCAAGATTCGATTGCTACTAAAAACGTAAATATGCCCGCCACTATGCCTAGTATAGGCAGACAGTTATATAGATGGTATGATTCTGGTTTTTGTTATTTCTCAACATGCAGAACAACCCCTGCGTCGCTCAAATCTGTTGTTTGTGCGCTGAAATAAACCGGGGCAATGGCCACACATTCTGTTGGATTGAAAAAGCGCTCCAAACGGTGTATTTGGATCATTTTTTTTAGTGGATGTATAATGTGAGAAAAAAGAAATGTATATATAATCGATAGCATTAGAATCTGGGGTACATTAGAGACAATGTTTTCTTTTTTTGAACATTTTGTATTGCAATGACTAATGGGATCCTGCTCTGTATTGCAGGAAAATGTCATTATTTTCTTGTTAAACCAACAAGAGGGAGAATGGAAGACCTTAAAAGGGAATACATGTCTTTTTTCCTCTTTTCTCGAGCTCAAGATATATATACAGCAAACATATTTCTACAAATTGTTTACCTTTTTGCAATACGGTAAATACTTGTGCCGTTTGTTCTTAAAAAGAGTGTGACATGGCCCCCACTTTTTTTCGTTTTATTTTGTTTAAACCAAATCTTCTTCACTCTTCTTCTCTTTGCTTTTCACTCTTTCTTTTTGCTTTCAAACATTGCCCTTCATTTTCATTCGATTTCTATTCGATTTTAACATAGAAAGACGAGCATTTTGTTTGATAGTGTGAAATTTACGAGTTCCGTTCTTGACCCCCATCATCCCCCCTTTTTTTTTCGTTTCTACGATTTATCTATACATTTGACGTTATTTCAAGAAAAGAAACAGCTAAATCCAAGAATCTAATCTGTATATATCCACATATTTATACTTTCCTCCTTTTCACAAGCAAACAAGCAGCACAGCACACATTTCCATCATTTCTTGAATCCAGAAAAAAAAAATAACAGAGCAATGTTGGTCACAGAAACATTTCATGGTTACATTGAAACAACTCAAGATGTATTGTTGATATTTGAAGGTTGCCGTAGAGGATTGCTCCCTAGAATCTGCCGACGTCTTCAAGAACGTGAGCGTAAAATGATCAGATCAGGCTCCATTTTTGTATTCGACGAAAGAGAGTCAGGTAAATATGTCGTTTCCCAATGTCTCCCCTATCCCCCCCCCCAACACCCATAACTAAAATCACATTTAGGCATTAAGCGTTGGACAGATGGCCGAGTCTGGAGCCCCTCTCGTATTTTAGGCAACTTTTTGATATATCGGGAGCTAGACAAGAAAGCCGGAGAGAAGAAATCAGCTCCAATGAACAGTACCAATACCACTGATAGAAGAAGCTTCAGCATAGATAGTTCGGTCGATAGAAACAAGGAGCGCCAACTCGTTGGTAGTCTATCAGATTCTTATCGATTCAAAGAAGATGGTCTTATCAAAAAGACAATGTCTATCATTGTCAACGGCGTAGCTCAACATCTCATCTCTTACTATGATCCTCAAGAAGTCCTTCAAGAGAAATTGCGTGCTCCATCCTCGGTACCTGAATTAGCAAGCCTTGAGATTTCACCTGAATTGCTTGTCAAGCAAAACTTTAGAATCCCTCCTCTAGTTGAGCCCACATTTGATCAAAGCGATCATCATTTAGGCTCGATTACCCCTCCCGAAGCATCGACTTCCACTGGCTACAGCACGAACCGTGCGATGCATCCTTTACGTAGCATGTCGGTCGGTTCCATTCGCCATGAACAGCAACAACAATTGATGTATCATCCATATCAACAGCCTCCACAGCAGACTCAACAAAGACCGCAATCACCTTCGACTAATAACTATCAACATCCTTTATCTATACCAAATCTATATGGAAATAATAATAACAGCACTAATAATACAACAGGTTTTCATACGACTAATATGCCATCTCCATCGAGCTTGACATCTTCGCCCAGCACACCTATGCTTTCTCCTTCTCGTTACCACCAACAACAGCACCATCAACAACAACACCAACAACAGCACCAACGACACTACTCTACCTCCTCTGTTTCTTCAAACTCTTTACCTAGATTTGATCCTAGAAACTACTCTGATCCCATGCGACAAGGCTCCTCTTCCTCCTCTTCTTTGGGACAGATTATGACCTCTGAACAAAGCGAGCGTTTTGCCTCTCCTAATCTCGGCCAACTGCTAAATCCTATCCATCCTCTCAACAATACCAATTCAAATAATGACTCTCCTTCAACTCCCACGGCCGCAGCAACAGTAGCAGCAGTAGCAGCAGCAAACGCCGCCGCTAGCAATAATGACATATTGCAGTCCATGGGTATTCATCAGCACTATGATTACAATTCCTCTACTTTGCGTAACTCAATTAGCGGCGCTTCCACAAATGGCGCCACTGGCAGTACTCATCAGCAGCATCATCAGCATCATGATGGTAGTAATGGCGATGTTGAGCTAGACCTCGACACACATCACAACAATAGCAACAATAGTGGCGATAATCATAGTAATAATGGCAATCATGGAGGGGGCACTGGAGGTGGCGGCGGTGGTGGAGGCGTCGATTACATGTACTACCAACGTCCTTTAGCCAACCATCAACAACATTTGCATAACAACTTTATGTTTCAACAACAAGATGTGTATACTGGTGTTCACGATCAAAATGATTTAATGTTAAAATAATTTGCACCTTCTTTTCTCGCTCTTCTTTTTCTCTATATTGTATTGCTTCTTTTTTAATCCTTTCGACTATTTCTTTTCAACGGGAAATACACTGTATACATACATATCCTCCTCTTTTTCTTTTTTTTTTTAAAAAAAAAACACTTTGGTAGCTTATTTATTCCAGTGTCATTGTAGAAAAAAAAAAAGCTGATTATCACGATCAGTCTTGTATACATGATCAATAAAAACAGGTTAAACAAATTACCGAGATATATTTCTGTAATTTAATCATGGTGTGATTTACATGTGGTTTGTCTAAATGTACTCAAGCATGTACTATTACTTTATAGGAGAGCCTTTCTTCTAAAATAATGTATCATCGGATATACCTCATATTTTAGTATTTTGTTCGCGTCCAAATGTTTCATTTCAATATGGGCTTGATATGTATACACAAGTCAAAGGTGTACAATATGCTTGTGCTACATGTACATGGAACATTTGTATAGCTCAAGAACGAGAGGAAAGGGCTACTCTAAAGTAATGCTCATTATAGATGACCGATGTGGGGGTTTCAACAAATGAACTACTTGAAAGTGGTAAAAAAAAAAAAAAAAAAAAAAAAAAAAAAAAAAAAAAAAAAAAGAAACTCACAGCTCAGTGGACCCAAGCTATAGATGTAACATTTGGAGCAAGAAATGCGCGGAGAAGAAGAATGCCGTTGCAAGTTACTGCATTTGGAGCATTGCAATTTCAAAAACACACCAAGAAAACAAAGCCAAATGTTACACTTTAGCTTCAACGTAAATCTTGATGAACCAAAAGCACAACGTTTCATTTGATTTTGGTACAAATTGACCGAACCAAGCAAGCTTCATCCATGTCTCGTTGCAGTAGCTGGGTTCCCTTATTCGATCCAACATGGAGAGTAGATTCAGGGCAATCTTGAACGAAAATAATCAGAGCAAACGCTCGATCTGGCCTCGGAAAGCACGTCGATGGCCAGGATCTACGCAATTATACCAAACACAGCTACAGAGGAAACGCCTACTATCTGCATTTTTCCGCATCAACCATGTAGATGGTGCAGCAATGGTATAGGTATGAGTTTAATAACATTCGGCTACACTTGCTGCATGAAACGTATAGCAATGCACTAATTTATTGCTTGAGTACACTTAAATGATCTACATGTCGCTCTGTATGCACCCATCCTGATGTACATCTTTGAGTTCTCTTGCTTTCTTTCTCTCTTGTTACAATCAATACCAAACATGCATCGATTCAACTTGTATTCTCCTTCATGTAAAGGTTGCATGAGCAAACAAAGCAAATGACTATAAAAGCCCTAGTCTTTCAATACCTGGTAATAGGGACACAATTATCTTTCTCTCTCTGTTCCTCTAAATCATTACTATAATGCGTGTGGTATCTCAACTTTTCGTCGCTTTGGCTCTCACTAGCTGTATGATACAAATCTCTCAAGCTTTGCCTACTACCGATAACATGGTAATGAAGCGCGATGGCCTTCCTCTTGTTGGTGATTTATTGGGCGGTGCTCTTGGAGGTGGCGATAGCCGTGCCACTAACGTTTCTGCCAGACCTGCTGGTCAGAGAAAGAAGAACAAGATGGGTAACAATAAAGTTCATCCCAAGAAGGGGTCAATGAAGCAGAACAATTTTAAAAAGGTTAAGAAGGTCAAGAAGGCCAAGAAGGCCAAGCACGCTACTACAGATACCATGGAGTAATTTTTCAATTCAAATTTAATAAATAACATTGCTTTAGGTCCACGTTAATCTGATTTGATATAATGAATGATCTGCACAAGTAGCGAGATTTGTAATTCCATGCAGTAGTTCTGATGTACTCGAAGCCTGCAGTATATCTCACTGCTCAAAAATGCGCAAAGTACAGCAAAGTTTGGATGCATTTGGGTCGTGTTTTCTCGTGTTGGAAGCCGTTTTAGATTGTCAGAATAGCACCAAACAATTGCCCTCATCTGGCAGTTACTTTCTGACACGTTTGCTCAACTTTTTGGGGATCAAAAAAACATGGGCAAAATTCGGCCTAAAAGCATGAGGGGTACCTCATGGCGGAAAAAGCGTACGATCGAGTTAACCTCTCGTACCTTCAAACAGCACTCATTACTTATGGCTTCCCTGCTAATCTTGTCCGCTGCATCATCAACATGATGGGCCAAAATCTCTTGCGCATCAATGTGAATGGTTACTTTACTGATGATATTCCCAAGCTGCGAGGCTTAAAGCAAGGTGACCCCATTTCCTCTATTTTGTACAATTTGGCTATTGAACCCTTTCTGCGGTCTATTCTCAATGATCCATTATACCACGGCTATCAAATGCAGTATGCAACTGACCATCCCAACTATAATGCTAATGACCCTTTAGTTCATGTGTCAAAAATCCTATGTTACGCTGACGATGCTTTTGTATTTGTTCAAGACCTTCCTGATCTGGCAAGACTCGAGTACCACTTAGATGTCTATTGCAATGCAACCAATGCCAAGATTAACTACAACAAGGTCGAAGCTATCTCGCTCTCTGGTCAAAACACATGGTCATATTGGCAAGCACGACTCTCGGAAATGAATATCACAAAATTCACATCCAACAAGGATTCCAATCCAGTGATCTATCTCGGGTTTCCTCTGCTGCAATCGGTTCAACAACGTGAAGTATTTATCGGTGGTCTTGTCGACAATCTCCGGACAGCTACCAAAATCCACAGTGTAAGAAGTCTCTCCGTCGTTGGCAAAGCTACAGTGCTCAACAGTTTGATTTTGTCCAAATGCTGGTATGTACTACGAGTAACTCCGTTTGCTCAAAGTAATGTCCAAGCTATCCAGTCCATTTGCACCAAGTTTCTACGAAAAGGCATCTTTCCTGTTATCCCCTGGGCCACATGGACCAAGCCGAAGCCATTAGGTGGATTAGGTGTTCTGGATGTTGCTCTGCAACAATCAGCCCTATACTTTCGTTGGGTTCAACCGCTCCTCCATCCCTCTGACTCGCCCCACATCCTAGATCTCATGCTGGTCATGCTAGTGAATAAGCAAAATCAGAGTGCGCATGTGCAGGTTCCGTTGCTCTTTCCCCTCACACGAACCACTGGTCTCACCAAACAACGCACCAACACGGTAACAATGATCTACAAATCAGTTGACCGCCTCAAACGCATCAATGAACCAGTTCACCTCAATATTGCTACCGCCTCAATCCTACCTGTCAAAGCCATTCTGCAGCCGTCTGCCACTGTCTCCAAAATGCCGATTAGGGCCACTCAGTTGCAAGTAAAGGATCTTTATCAACCCAATCCTGACCAACCTCTGCAACTCGAAGCACGAAAAGCACCAACCATCCCAGCTGACATTCGACGCGCTTGCAAGAAAATCCTGAAGCAAATCAACGAGAACAAAGTACATATCCAGCCGTACTTTAGCCTCATGCTACAACCCCCTCAGGGTGGCACCAACCGCACAACCGACATCTCCTTCAAACCGTTTATTGACTCCTATGATTTCAACAGCCAGCAAGGCCTCACTCGACAGATTTCAACCAGAACATTCCGCACAGCATGCATCGAGGCTCACACCTCCAGCATTGCCAGGTCCAACTGGAATTTCTTCTGGTCTCTGTCCCTGAACCTTGTCCACCGTAATGTCATCTATCGCTTCCTCACCCACACCATCCCGACCAAACGCCTGCTACACTACTTTGAGATAGCTGAGTCACCTCTCTGCCCGATCTGTGGTAACGAAGAAAATGCTGTACACTTGCTTTTCCTCTGTTCCAGTAAGGCATCCATCTGGAAAGCTATCATCTTTGAATTCTTGTGGCCAACCGTTTCGATTGGTGATATTATCCAAGCCTGTTCCTCTCTTGACTTTGAAAACATCAAGTATGTCTCCAAATCATACACCACTGCTCACATGGTCGTACTGGTAACACTTGGCAACATTTGGCGAGCTCAAGTTCGTATGATCTTTCACTCGACTCCATTTATATGGATCGATGTGGTCCAGCAGATCAAGAACGAGCTCCTTCAACTACATGCCCAAACTGAAATTCACAAGCAATTGTAATTCTCTAATCACAATTATCATCTATCATCTGTTCCTGTCATCTATCGCTTTATCCTAAATACAATTGAATATCATATCAATTGCGCCCGCCTCTTGGTAGTGCCCTAGGGACCTACTTACACGGAGCAATCAATAAAAACAATTTAAAAAAAAAAAAAAAGTACCTCATGGTTTTCATCGAAAATCAAGCGATCGCGTTTTTCACCTTGATAACGAAGACTTTTACTATGGTGTATATTAAATCAAAATGTTTCTATCGATCCAACGTAGCCCCCAAAATCATCTTTGTGGGACCTTGATATGTAAAATCTCGACTTTTTGGCCAGAAACCTCTTTTCGTATTTCCGTAAATTACGTAATAAGCTTATTCAAAACATATATTTTACTTGGCACCATTGGATGCGCCTTGAAAAATACTCCAAGAATGTATTAGGAAGCATCGGATGATAGCCACAGTTCATATAGTCGAATATTACAAAATAGATTAAAGGAGTCGACAAAGACGAAATTTGGCCAATCTTGAATAGAAAAGATAAACTGAGTTTCAATCAATTTTAGCGAGAGGCGCTGCTGCTGGCTTACTCAAATGCCTTTCTGTACTCTCGACTTTTACAATATTCGATATAGTCAGCGGCCTCGTGCTTCCTCCCATCATATAGTCATCATTGCGATGTCTAACATTTGGAAAGCTCACTATCGTCTAATCTTAAATCAAACTTCCTTCGCTCCCGCCGCTGTGCTGAATAGTATCCGACTCGACATCCAAAAAATGATCGACGAAGATCTCATTCATGCCAGCCTATAATAGTCCCTCTTTTATATCGTTCTCATATTTTGTCTAAACATGTATAATATTATCACAGAAAATTGCGCCCGCCGCTTGATTATAGTCCTGCTACTATTGTCTACGCGGAGCAAGTAATAAAAACCTTTAAAAAAAATGCCTTTCTGATGATGAGAATGGTGTTAACAATTATGGTTACGATGCTGATTAAATGGAGATCATGAAATTAAAAGGGCAATTGCTTAACCCAAAAACTTTTTTTGGGAGAGTTTTGCCTCATAAAGGTTTTTTTTTTTTGTAATGACAATATACACATTAGATAATCATACATACTACAGGAGAAAGAAAGATGCATTCACTGAGCATTAGCAAGGGCAGACAGCTAGTTCGTTATGCTTTAAATCAAATAAGCCAGAGCGAATAACGACGAATTAGGTGGTCCTATATAGTGGCACAGATTATTAGGTGATTTCTATTAGGCTTATCCTGTTGGTCCGTAGTATATGGTCCCTAACATATCATGTTTACAATAGTAAGATATAGCTGCTTATTGTGCTAACACGTTTGAAATTCTTCATGTACAAGAAGAGATTATTGATTTACTTTGCATGAACGTATTCTGCTTCCGTGATTGTTAAACTGTGGTTTATGCATGTCACTTGATTTTCTCTGCCTTTATATTCTCTGAATAACTGCTTAGTATATATAGTTACATGTAGCAAGGACAATGAGGATTTGCCCCTAATTGATTCTCCTTTACGTACATGACTATGATGTGCCTTGCAGTCTCCTCATCTCCTTGAACCCCTCGCAGATTATGGTTATTTCAGTATTTGGCACCTTGTAAAATTACACGTCCCTACTGATTGTAAAAGGGGGCGACTCCCAAAGGTTCACTGAGTAGGATGGCTATGTGATGAGAATACCTTGCTAAAAAAAAAAGAAGGAGGTGTGGATAAAGGGGAGGAGGGATAGTGAGTAGAGTGTGGTAAAATGACACTGTGCATATACCTGTTTTTTTTCTGTAAGATCTTACCTTTCTATTGACAGTATGGAGCACTGATGGAATACAAATTCGTTGGACCAGAGCAGTGAGTAGGTTGGTTTATAAACGCATTTGTACACAAGATACCTGAATTTGCACAGCAAGTAACATGGCACTAGAATAATCAGCACAAAAAAATATAATCAATTATTGTGGGTATAGTATAGCATGTACAATTTCTTCAAGATATGTGAACTCTTCATCTTGCAATAGCGCTAATTAAGAAAACCAACAGGTGGGTGGGTATATGAAAATCAAAATAATAGGAGTACACAGCTCTCTTGCTCTTGCTACAAAGGTTTAGTAATTTCTGATTCTCCTTCTTATAGTGTGCATATGGAGTCATCCTTCAATTTCTTATTTTCGTATAAAAGGATCCATATCTGTTTCCCTTTTTATTACTATACAATCATACAATCATGCGTACACACACATTATTCGCAGTAGCACTCGCTAGTTTCTTGATCTATTTTTCAAACGCATCCGCCGTTGCACCCGTTGATGGTGTATTGGCCACTGTCGTCCCTGGAGGCACTGGAAGTCTAGTAGGCACTGCTGCTGGTTTAGTTGCTCCTGCTACAGGACCAAGCCCTGATAGAAAGAAGAAGAAGAGAAGTGGATTACCTCTTGCTGGCGCTTTACCAGCTGGCATTGTCCCGGGTCTCAGCGTCGCTGGCTTAGGCAATGTTGCTCCCAAGGGTGGAAAGCAATCTACTGGCGGTTTACTCGAGAAGCGCGGCCTTGTTGGTGGGTTACTGGGTGGCGATAGTGACAAAGGTGTAGGATCTAGCCGTAGTGTTCGCTCTAATGACCGTCATGGTGACCGATGGGACGATGAAGTCACCAAGCGTAGCAATATTCAGGAAAGAGATCTCTTGGGCGGCGGTTTGCCTGTGGTTGGCGGTTTACTAGGTGGCGGCAAAACTGCCAAAAAGAACACTGCTAAGCAAGCAGCAGTGACAAGCGGCAAGGGAAGTCGTGCTCGTAAACCCAGTGGTGGCCGTGGTCGTGCACGAAGCCAAGAAAATGTGCAACCAGCTGCCAACAAGGCCTCTGGAGGCGGTCTATTGGGAGGAGGTTTACCTGTTGCTGGAAGTCTTTTGGGTTAGAATACATGATTTTATGCTAGAAAACTTTTACTTGATTAATAAGTTGTGAATAAATTATTGTTTTATTATACAGAATGTACGATTGTGTTTGATACTGTCAAAGAAAATTAGATATGAATGCCAAGATGTGCTTAATCGCGTAGATATTGAGAGATCTCATCAGGGGCAGCCGATTTTCCACACTGCAAAAAGCTGAAAGGCACTATAAATAGCTCTAATGTTGACAGATGATGGATGAGATAGGTATATCCGGCACTATCATCAACCGATGAAAACACTGCAATTAGGCTCTTTTAAAATGAGCATGGAAAGTAATCCATTACCAATGATAACGCCATTCTTTATTTCTTGGTATTCTGATAGAAAACGTAGCTGCTGTTGATTTTCAAATTAACAGATCAAGAGCAGTAATTCGATACATTTGAAATCACTCATTTTCGCAATCTCGTCTGTATTTAGTAAAGTATAATTTTACGTAAAGATGTCTGTTAGATGGGAATCTATATACTCACCCTGTTCAATGAGAAATTAAGCAAGTTAAATTAAATGGATTTGCATAAAATTTCAGGTCTAAGATATTTGTTTTCAAAGTCGGCCAAACTTGACCAGTCGGTCGACATGCGCGAGAAGATTGCCACAAAATATACGTTGCTCCTGCAGGCAATCGAACTGAGCAGGGCCAATCTAATTCAACGCCAGAACAAACGTGGCTTCCATAATAATAAGAGCGCCTGTGTACCATACTACAGAAGAGATCAAAAAAGGAGTTGTCTAGAATTACAACCAGTTTAATTTTAGGTTTGCAAAACTGTCATCTGTTGCTCGTGAGTGCAAGAAATTTGAAAGGACGATTGAATTGAATCGAATGCCACTAAGCTACCATGAACGAAAAGGCACTATGCGTTTCCATTTACTCAACAAAATGTAAAAAGTAAACCCTGGTAAAGAGGCAAAAACAGTTGCAAAGCATATGGTATGATGATCTTTTTAGTTGAATCAAGTAACACTGTTTGGTGCTTTTATGGTTCTAACCTAACCACCTGAGCAACACAAGACAATGTCCCACAAATCAGTAACGCATTGACATTTCCCTCCCTCTTGTAAGAACTAATGGGTAATCGTTCGATCATAAAACAATTTATAATGTCGATATATAGAGATGTAGGCATCATTTTAGCTCGAAATGATTTAATGCTCCATTCTAAAACTTGTCCTGTGGGAACCTAATAGTCATTTTAAAACAATGAGTAACTGTATTTTTTTTTTTTTTTTTTTTTTTTTTTTTTTTTGGACTGAGCACGACGCAGATGAGATGAGGTCTATTTCTGACATCAATCCTAGAAAGCTACATTGACATCTGTTTGTACTTAAAAGAAACAAAAATCAAGACAACAACAAATATATCATGATGAATCAACGCATGTTAATTCTTGCTCTGAGTGGATGACATTTCATGGGCTCGAAATGAATCAGAAAGGCCCGAAAATGGGTTGGGTTACTGATTGACTGGTCTGACCCTTATATTTCATCATATCTGTGTGAAAAAAGGGGACCAATGGAATCAAAATGGCTCATATCTAGTTTGATTTTTCATGTTAATTCAACATATGAAAATATTCAACTTGCCATCTTGAATGATCCCACATCCCAACATGGTACAAAATCATCAAGTTGACAACCGATTTACAATGTGATGCTTGTCGTACAAGAAAAAAATTACTCAAAAATGGATTTATGCGAATGATATCTTTTGATATGTCTCAATTCGCCCTGGACTGTGTGTGTGTCCTGTCTGCCACATTATCGTATTTAAAGTTAGGTTTCACTCATGGAAAAAAAATAAAAAGGACCGATCTCGTATAAAATTCCCTTCGTCTCTCCTCTCTCTCTCATCTTATCATCACATTTTCTCTCTCTCTTTTTTTGCATCTTTTATTTATCAATCAATTCACTCACATGCCAAACAGAAGAAGATCCACAGGCCCTAGATCAGCACCAAAGCTGTTTAAATGTACTGGCTATGGTAACTGTGACATGGTATTTACTCGTAGCGAACATCTAGCAAGACACGAAAGAAAGCACACTGGCGAGGTACCATTTTATCATCTCCTTATTGATACATAGCAGGCCATAATTAACGATACCATCCAGAAACCTTATGAATGCATTGTCCCTGGCTGCAATAGAAGGTTCAGTAGATTTGACAATATGATGCAGCACACCCAGACACATGAAAAGACCAAAAGATCCTCCTCAACCACTCTCCATTCTACTGCTAAATCTGCTAAATTAAATCAAAAACCTTCAAGATCGCCCACTCCGATTAAATCTGAACCATCAACCTCTCGATACACGCTTTCATATCCCACATCTGATTTTAACGACAACAATAACAAAGAAGATGTACCTGCATTAGAACATTCGTCCATGGTTGACAGCCGAAAATTGCCTTTACCAAGAAGAGCCTCTTTGACTTGCACTTCTACCACATACAACCTACCTCTTACTTCTGCTTCTTTAATGTATCCAACCCCTCAACAACAGCTGCAAAATACGCCTCGCAACCGCTGCTCATGGCCAATTAGGAGAGAACCTTCGTTCTATCAGCAGCCCTATCAGCCTTATTCTACTGCGAATGAAAATCCTCATCACAATTCTCGCCGTAGATCATCTACATCTACTTTATCTTCAGAGTCAACTTTGGTATCACCGGTTTCTGCCACATTTCCTGCCAATAGCCATATCAGAAGAAGAATATCCATTGAAGATCTCCGTTTGCCAATTGAACATTTGAAGAGTATTCAGTTAGAAGAAAAGCCTAAATTGGATGCTGTCGATATCACCTCTGATGAATATGAAGCATTGGAAGGGTTCAGCCAATTTCATACAAGATCAGTAGTTGCTCAAACGCCATTATCTCCCACAGGTAACATGAAAATTTCCTCGTACGTTATGTAATTGTGGTACACTAAAACTATGTACGTATTTAGAACTGACGCCATCGCCCATCTTGAGGAATGAAAGCCCAAATTTTGCCTCTCAAGTTTGTGCAATGAGACAGCGTGTAATGACGTCGAATGAGTCCTTCTCAAGAGGTTAACTTTCCATATGTTTCTTTTTTTTTAGCATGTTGTACATTTGTTATTTTTATTCTTTCCACTCTCTCATTGTAAAGTCATTGTTATTCTTGTTTGTTTCTATTTCTTTTAATAAAGTAAATTAAATGTTCATTTAACATTTACCATGGTTTGACAATGGTACACAATCATGCATAATTGTACCTTGATCTCGAATAAAGCCTAAATTCGTTGTCATGACAGCCGAAGAAGCAATCAGATCTACTCTTGGTTTCCTTCTATCAGATCTCACAATGAACAATTCATATTTGTGGGTGAGTAATGAATCAGGATATGCAGGATGTTGCCTGTATTAGACAAGGATCGGTGACTGTGAGCATTTGGAAGTCTGGACTCTTGTCATACGCACAATCTTTCTGCCAGCTCTCTTGAAATTGAGTTTTCATCTCTTAAAAATTCACTAATGGAAGATACCACAGTCAAACTCTCAGTTGATCTAAGCAGTAGAGTTTTGCAACAATTCAACAAATTTTCCCATAAAGCCAATATCACCATTGACATTGGCCCCAACCTTATGTTGGCGATCAAATACCTCGCCGGTTCATTGATTCTTTTTAAGACTATCGACGTAAGTTTTCTGGATTTCTAGCTTAAGCCTTATAAAGATGTAAATGCATAAAACTGACGTCAATGTGTAGGCTATCTCGAGTGCTTTTCCTAGAGATAACAAAAAATCTAGCAGTAGCAGCAGCAGTAGTAGTAAAACAACGAAAGAAGAAAAGGCCCGAAACTCACCAAAGGTTATCAAACAATGATGGCATTCATCATATACTCCTCCCCCCCCAGGATTGAATAGGGGTTTCAAACTATAATGATATAATAAATCTTTAGAAACGTCGAAATTCATCTTATTGCATCCTTTCTTTACCTTGTTTCATCATTAATGAACAGCCTAAGAGCCTTGAAAGTTTTTTACAACAAATCCTACGATAAACGGCCCATCCTCACACTATGTGTCGCCAATGGCATCCTCGGCGCTGTCAGCGATACGCTAGCGCAAAGCATTAGTCTATACGACAAGTACAACAAACAATTAGAGGATAAATATCTACCTGAATCTGTGAGAAAGCATGAAAGTATGTGGACATTGACAAAGACATGGGATTTTCAACGTACACTACGATTTGCTACCTACAATTTTTGTGTGGCACCTTTGGGTGGCAAGTGGTACATGTTTTTGGATAAATTCTTCCCAATGCCTGTGGCTACAGGTGTCGTATCCAAAGCTGTGCAAAATCAAATTACCAAAAGGGCAAACGGCATGGCTATCAAGCGTATGGTGACAGATCAAGCTCTATTTGCACCTGCTGGTTTGGTCTTGTTCTTTACAGTCATGGGAATCGCAGAAACTGGTAAATGGGAAGGTGTAAAGGAGAAATTCAAGGATGCTTATGTGCCTGCACTGATTGCAAACTACAAGGTATGGCCTGCTGTGCAATTCATCAATTTCAAGTTTATGCCTTTGCAATACCGTTTGCCGTTTGTTAGCAGCTTGGGTATTATTTGGAATGCTTATTTGAGCTGGCTAAACAACGCTTCAAAGCAAGAGGAGTCTGTATTGGAGGCTTTGGAGAAAGAAGACACTGGCTTAGAGGTTGTACAATCTGCCTAGATTTTGTATAGAAATGTCATTTATTGTATATAACATATACCAATACTTATAATATAGTGGTTTATTCTGTAAATAACATAATAAACGCAATTTTAATCACGCATTGTAACTAGGAATCTGATTATCATACAAATAGTTGATTTGAAAATATCATTCTTTGCGCATCTTCTGGAGTATCATGGTCAAAAGCGCATACAATTTTATATGAAATTGCTGTCAAAAATAGTAAACGTCATGCTTTACCATGCAGTAGTTGAAGGAAACGTTTGTGTTTCATTCAAGTTCAAGCTTTATTGCTTTGAGCAGGCTAGTCTGCTGGTTCCTGAGCCCAAAGATCAATAAGGCGTGCTCATTTCGCAATATTTAATATTTAGAAGCGGCAGATACATTCATAGATGCCACAAGTTACGCCTTGTTGCGTTTTTAAATTTGTTATTTGTGCCTTTCATCAGATTTGAATATTACGAGGACATCTTTTAGATGGTTTCATTTTTTTCACGTAAAACTATACCTATCAATGACTTTGCCTTTGCCACTCCTCGTTTGTTCTGCTCTTTTGTGTCTTGGCCACTCTTAATATTGTCAGTGCTAAATGTAGAGAGTTGAGTCATAGTAATAGGTACACTAAATTTTGTTGTATATGGGAAACTACAGGCTTTGTTAGACATTGTAAAGCTGCATTCAATGATGCGCGTTTTGATAATTTTAAAAGCTCTGGGAGCACATAAATGTCCTAAGGGTGAATATGCCTGTTGCAGTGTTCCCAAGAACCCTGTCAATAGAGTATTTTAGTCTAATTGACCTCTTATTGCCCAATAATCCCTTGCTGGAGGGGTTGGCTCTCACTCCTCCTCATTAGTAGTTTATCTACCATACAAATATAGACATTGCAGGAAGTCTTATGATAGGGTGGGATAGTATTTTTTTTAATTATATATTAGTAGGATGCGCATTTGAATGAAAAGTTTGTACATATTGAATATAAGTAACAGAATCAAAAAAAATAGTAAGAAAGCTATGCTATAGCTCTGATCAATATGCAATTCCATTTTCCTAAATCATCAATTACCCCTAGAGCAAGCATAGCTACTATCATCTTGCCAACCGCAAAATACATTTAATCTCCGCCCTATCTTACTGCAATGCATTGGCCAAAATTTGCTTAAAATCGACTTGAATGAACTATTTTACCAGAATTGACTATGTAAGTTGTGCTGATCATCTTTTACTCCTTTATGCTAGTCCCTGGTGGTAGGGCGAAGTGGTAGAACTCCCGTATGCCAACGGGAGGATCCCGGTTCAAATCCTGGTGAACGCAAGTTGTTTGATTTTTTGAAGTAGTACTGATGTCCTCGTTTGGTGTTTTGTACTCTATCCATTATCTATATTTTGACGATTTCCGCAAGACTGTTTTGGCTCTAGGTGTCGCACCTTATTAGTAGTAGATTTCTTTCCCAACTTAATTCAAAAATATCTTATTCCCCTTCTTTGCAGACATTGGGTCCACCAACAGTCTTTTCTTTCCCTCAGTATGACATTTTAAGGACTTTAAATAAAACCTGGAGCTCGACTCCCCTACAAAAAAAAAAAAAAAAAAAAAAAAAATTACTCCTTTATGCTTCCTTGAAGTACTTTTCAAGGCGCATCCAGCAACGCTACTTGCATGAATATTTTGAGCAAAAGTATTGCGCAATTTATAAGAGTATGAAATGAGGTTTATGGCCAAAATGTCGAGATTTTATATTTGAAGGCTTCACAAACAAAGTTTCGGACTCTCACTTGGACCTGTAGGAACATTTTGGCTTAATATATGTCATAACGAAAGTTTTCATTTTTTGAGGTGAAAAATGCGATCATTTGGTTTTTGATGATTTTCCATGAGGTTACCCCTCATGGTCTAGAGTCGATTTTCAACGATGTTTTTTTGGTCCCAAAAAAGTTGAGCAAAACTATCAGAAATCAACTGCTAGATGATAAAAGCTATTTGGCCACACTCCGGCAGTTTAAAACGGCCTCTAACGCGAGAAATCACGACTCGAGTCAAAACAATTTTGCTGTATTCTACGTATTTTCGAGTAGTAAGGGGCAATGCAACTGCGCTGTCTCCCCATATATGAATTATCTCCAGTGATACAAACGTAGAGCATTGTAGTAGCGTCAAATCCACAGTTAAAAGCTGCTCACGGAGAAATTTCACTTGACAATACAATATCAAAAAGTGAAACGCTAGTGTACGTTAGTAGTAGGATAGCAACTGCCATAACACTATATCCTGTTATATTTTCTGTTGATCGACTAAAATACTTCGCCTGTTTCAATAACGTTCTTTTTTCCAATGAATAGGCTCATTCACCGGTTTTTGCATGCAATGATCGACGCATTTGTTTGTGTTCTCCTTCATTTCATATGCAAAAGTCATGAGTATAGCCCTGAGCGTCATTCGTTAAAACTTATTGCGCAGCACTTTACTTGTATATAGTGTTTAAATCCGTTGTGCTATTTAAAAAAAAAGCCTTTCCTTCAATCCAGAACTGCTATCTACATGCCTTCAGCTGACTATTCTACTGGTTTTTGCACAGAAAGAACCACAAAGCGTGCTTGTTTTGCACTATGGAACTTGGATATGCCCCCCTGAATATCGGCAATTGCGCCTTCTTGCAGATAGTTTCAATACTATAATTTGTTTAAATCTGTTACGTTACATGTCCCTGCTGTAAGATATCGTATATAAAGAGGACATTTTTTCACCTACTTTCAGCTAAATTCCTTTGATACTTTTGCTCAATCCTTTCAATATGCTTGCCTCTGTCAGATCCTTGGTTATTTTGCTTTTTTTGCGTCTTGGCAATCTTGAATGTTGTCAGTGCTACTTGTAGACAAACAAACAATGACGGTAGATATTACGGATATTGCTGTACATGTGCTGATACGGGCTTATTTGGTGAATGCTATGAACGCCAAACCACTGTATGCTCTGGATACCAATACTGCAATGGCGAGCACAGCTGCCCTACAGGCCAATGGGCATGCTACCGCGACTTACAAAACCCTTGGCATTAATCAAGGAGATCAAAACGTCTCTCTTATATTCTCAAACATGGAGTGCTTGGTGCAAAAGCTATGTTAAACTAGCAATGAATAGCTTTACTATTTATATTGCAATAAACATCCTATAACGAACATACTTTCTAATCTTCATCGAGTTTGTGATGGAATAGTTGAGGTATCGACCCTTTTTAGCAAACTATCGTCATGATCTCTTGGCTGTATATGTTACAAACTGGAAATGCGTAGATGAAAACATGGTTAAGATTATATGATGGAAGCATAGTTCGATCAGTGGATCAGAGACGATTACATTGGCCTTTTCCAAAAATTTAGTCATGTCAAGCATTCTTATCACCACACAACGTATGCATATTTTAGCATATGAATTTTAATTCAACGGGAGATTTTCTGATCTCAAGTTCTAAAAATATTTGTATATTTTTAGATTTAACGTTGAAAATAGAAAAATCCCATCTTGACATCAGAATTCTCAATTCATTTGATGATGATGAAAGTTGCTGCTGAGTTGAAAAAAAAGATAGAAAGGCGTAGCATTATGGTCAGTGCGCCCATTAGGGCAGAGATATTGCATCACAATTTGTAAGATAATATATGCTATTTTTTTTTACAGAATACTCACAAATGCAGGCATCATTTAAGCAAATCGATGTACGGTTAATGATGGTTTTAATCAATAAAGAAGGATTTTTGCTAGAACTTCGTTCAAGTAGCCTTAAGAATGATGAGATTATGTCCTGACAATTGGTTTTTCCGTTCCTTGTTTCCTGAGATAATGATGTCATACAGGAAAACAAGGTTTCTGTTACTTGGAAATCTATAACTCCCATGGAATCAATCGAATTTCTTTTGCTATTGTTTTATATACTTGGCATATACATCGTAAAATTGATTAAAATTGAACCGAAGCACAACCGAATCACAAAACAATGGTTTTAGTTCTAAACGTCGATCCATTATCATTGGACTTGTTGCTTCTATGCGATCGCTACCAACTTGCATTATGAGTATTACGAAGAGATTAGGCAACCAAACACAAAAGACATGGCCTATCAAACATGAGGCAGATTTTTTTTTTGCCAATTAGTTTATCCGTCTAGTTTCATGATTTTCGTACTACTGCCATCATTTGAAATTTCGATTTGTCATATTTCAGATAGTAAAAGAACTTTTTTTTATTTACAATTAAAGTTTGTAGATATAGTACAGAGGATAGATTAGTGCGTGAGAGATTAAGGGGCTTGAGCAACGACATGGACGACGACAGAATCAACAGTTTGCAGATATCTGTTTTGACGTCTGACAGCCAACAAGAGAGAAGTACCAGATTCTGGGACACTAACGGCAGATGGAGGCACAGTAAAAGGGAAGCTGGTTTGGTTTAATGGGCCACCAGCCAAAGTATCAGTCTTGTTGAAGAAGAAGATGGCAACCGTTTCATTGGGAACACCCTTATTAAATGTAACATTGACTCTTTCGCCAACATACCAAGTAGTATTAGGAGTAGGATATACAATTTCTGTAAACGAGGCATTAGTTTCAAATGTGCTTCACATTTGCTATGCCATTGTGTACTTACGTCCTTGGCTATTATCGGTCACTGGTGGAGCACTATTCAGTTCAGCAACATAGAGTTTTGCAATTTCGAAGTCATCCATGGTATCGTATGGAATGCTTATAGAAGACACCATTGAACAGAGACAGGCAAACAGGATGGTAGCAAGGATTTGAAGCTTCATTTTAGAGACAAGGATATTTGATTTGAATAATGAAAAAAAAAACCTGATTTACCTTGGGGTTTATATACCCTTTAGATCAATCCGATTATCGCACAAAAATGTGAATCATCTAAAGGCCGTTTGAAATGGCAAAAATACAGTCTGAAACATATGCTATCGTATTATTTTATAATGCACATGAAGGGTGCCTTAGCACATGATGATAGGTTCATTTGATTTATTCATGTAAAAAAAAGAAACATAAAATAATTTCCATCCTGGGTTTTATCTCCTCCAATAGCTGAAATTCCTTGTTGCATAGCCAGCATTTTGTGCAACTTCTTGATGATAGAGTTTGACGTTATAAAGACTAAGTTTTAGTGTGAGAGAACAGGAAAATTTATTGAATATATGTGTGTGAAAGAGATATACTATTTGGCTTATAAAATGCATATAGGTAAGGGGATGTGTGTAAGTGTGGGTGTGAGAGACGAAAAATACAGCGGAGCGCTAGTCTTTTAAAGCTCATAACCCACAAGAACATAGCCTGCTTCTTGGCCGTAGATTGCAGGATCAATCATTTCAAATCCAAGATACATAAAAGCACGTAGCATGGTGCTTAATGTGTCCTTGTAATTGTGTCGATCAATAGATACTACCAAGGCGCTACATCCCGTTTTCTCCTCGGCGAGCTCAATCAAATGAGTGATACTACATGACACACATGTTAAATACAGAAAAAACACCTCATCCCAAAAAGCTTACCATGATTGAAATTCACCATCTGCCCAATTCAACAAACCAGCATTCGGACCAACAAAAGGAGAGCTAAGAAAGACAGTGTCGTTATGAATGAATGCTTCACAAGAAAGAGTTCTCATCTCGGAAAATCCTGTTCTGGTTGTCTTGATGCTTAGGGTCTCTTCCACTTGAGAATGAAAGATGCTGGTTTGACCAAATACTTGGACAATATAGTCACTTTTGCCTGTTTGCAGTGTCGTGAGTCATCCAATGCTTTATCTCTGCATTTATCTCCAACTTACCATTGCGAGCGTTGACAGTGACAATATCGACTGCAGTTTCCTCTGCTACTAGGTTTAGTTTTGAGTTATTGCTGTTATTGTTATTGGAGGTAGCAGTGGAAGAAGAAACTGATGTCATGGGTTGTAGAGGAATTGATATTTCCTTTTTTGCTGGACTTGCGATAATCATGGACTCAAGATACTAAACTGTTTACTACTACTACTATTACTATTACTTGAGGGTATTATATTCTTTTCTTTGGTGGCCTTGGAAAAGATGGTGCTTGAAGCGTAAAGAAGGATTACTGTGTGCTTATCCAGTGCTGTTACTCTATTTCCTTGTAGGTGTTTCGCTAAAGCACAGCATTTAGTCTAGTGTCTTGTTGCTGAACAATCAAATGACTTACCTGTAAAAACACCTAAAACAAACAGAAATATGAAAAGGGGAGGGTCAAGGGTTTAAAAAAAATGTATTGAGCAATAAAAAAAAGTTTAAAAAGTATTAAAGCTTTTTTTTTTTATTATTTATGATATGGCTTTGTTGTTGTGTGGGGTTGATGGGGCGCAAGAAAAAAGAATACAGTGGTAGCTATTACTTTTTTTTTCTCAAAAGGTGGTAGAGGAAGCTGTTTCTCTGGGGTGAAAAAGAGAAGAGATGTATTGAAAAAGAAGGAGAAGAAGCGAGAAATTTTGGTGAGAATTTTTTTCGTTGAGCTATTTATATTGCACGGGGTGGTGTATCAAATCAATTTATACGAGTATAGATGACTTTGTACCACATTTGAATATTGACTACCACACCGCACCTCTCATACTTTTCATGTCATGTCAAGTGTACATTTCGTTTGGAAACATGCATATCATCTTCCATCTTTACAACACATGGTTACTCAAGTTTATTACAACAAAATGCTTCTTTTGAACACCCGAGTCGTGCTCTCTGGCATGTGTAAGCTGTTCATGATATCAGCTAGCACCCTCTCATTGGAAATAGCTGTCAGCGCTGTTATGGGCGTATATGGATACATGCCCCTCAACTTCTCGGCTATTTTAAGGTACCCAAAATGAAAATCTGTACCCCACTGAGAGAAACAGTGTGCATCTTCTAAAACTATCCGCGCGAGTCGATTGCATTGATGCAAATGCTGGATCCCTGATTTGCATTTTGAAAAATCATCAAATGTCAGCAAGAATACCATTGATTTGCGTAGTGTTGTATCGAGGATGGCTTGTTGAAACTGTAAAGGTAGCATCCAGTGCCTTTTTGACACTCTGAACCTGGATACAAACGCGCTTTGGACATGATCTGAAGTGTAGGATGGATTTGCATCTTTTTCTTGTAGTGATGCATAGGAGGCCAGTATCACAATGGTAATTAGATGAGATGGCTTCTGTAATGTAGACGGCAGTAGATAGCACATATCTCGTGCTGGGCCAGATGGCATAACGAGCAACATGTCTTGCCTCTTTAGATCTGCATGTATCGATTCTAGTTGATTTGGTATAAAGATTGTTTGGTTAAACAAAGCGAGTCGCTCTTGGATCATCTGTTGTTGGGGTATGTCGCTGGATATGCTGTTTTTGTGATCAGACTCGATCATTGACGCTTGAACACTAATCTCACTCTCCCATTCATTCGCAGCATCAAAATATATGGTGCTCTCACTCATGGTTCGTAGTATAGGTGATCTGTGAAAACGGGATTTAGATACTTGAGACAAACCAACAGCCCTGTATCATTTATATACCTAATTTGAAGCTTCATACACAGGAATCAGTAGCTGAAATCCATTCCAACTGTGTTATAATCCCAATTACCTCGGCTACTGAATCGCTTATTATCGGTTTCTGATTGCTGGCATTGAGATCAATCAAGTGTTTATCGCTCTGTTTCGAACTTTTAAGGTTGCTATCCGCATCAATGGTTGTCTGAAATTTAAGTAATGAAGAGCAGCTCTCTTGTTCCTCGTTGTCCGTTTCCATGTTTGTTGTCCAAATGGCAAATTGCTCAGCACTAGCTTCGTCACGAGTTGGCTTGCTAGGTTCAAGGCGTGCTGTTGGTAGAGCTTTGTTATTGTCGTTCGAGTCTATAATCATATATACACACGTCCGTGTAAGATGATAGCCAAACTTGTTCATGTATACTCTTGTACAATACTTCTAGAACTTCTCGCTAATTTGAGTTGTTTTGATGGGGAAGGGACTTTCGTGGCAGATGCGTGCCAGACCCGTGTCTTGACGGAAATAGGTCGAACAGCGTATGGCTTTACTGTATTCTCGTACCAAATCAGTTGCTCCTTGTAATTAGTGTCCATGTTTATTGTTTACTTGTGTTGAAAAAGGAAAAAGGAGTGTTTGTGGGTTGAATACAATCAAAAGCATCTTTAAGCTCAGTTGCGGCTACCATAGTGAAATAAGCTCTAGAAGGAGTTGCTGTAGTAGGTCATCTTGAGATTTGTTTTGAGTTTGTTAGCTAATAGATGGGAAACTTTTGGTGCCTACGTCTTCAGCAAATGTGGTTAGCCTTTTGGATCTTGTAATGTTAATATTCTATGGTATGAAAAAACCTCTAATAGCGACACTTGACAATGCCTATCAAGTACTGGTTTCTGTGTCAAGCTCCCCTAAAAACTACTTCAAATGACTGAACCCTTTTGTTTAACAAAGAAAATAATTTTCAGCTACAGCCAAATACTGGTGCAGTAATTTGAAAGTGTTAAACATGTAATTTGCCACTTCCAAGATATTTAGGATACACCAATTGTCCCATAAATCCAAGCATGGGGCTATTTCAGTGGCTTACCAATCGCTGCTGATAGCTCCTAATTCGAGCTCAGTGCACAAAATCAGTGACGTATAAAGTTACACTCTAAACAAAAGTTTTGTATTTTCAAAAATCAGATCTACAACTTTTTTTATCGACCTGACAAAAGTTGCCAAACTAAGTACTACTCTTCAAAGAACTTTAAGCGTAGATCATAGTGGTACAAGTTTCGTCTCTGTAGCTCGCTTTATTGTAACGATATATCGAATTAAAAAACATAGCTTTTTCAAGAAAATTGAAGATAGCACCAGATAACACTAAGCAACCCAAGCTACTATCGTTACTCAAAATTATTTTGGAGCACAAAATACATCTGATGAAGTAAAAGGTCCACATCCTGATTAACTTCTTGAAGAGAAAAGGCGAAAAAATGTCAAAAAAGAACGTAAAATCATTTCTAAAGGCACTCCCGTAAAGCCAAATCGCCGCATCTCTAACAAAACATGTAGATTGTTACTGTCACTATTCTCTACTTTTTAGCTTTTGCAAAAAGAGTGATTTTTGGCACAGCTATGCACAATTTTGTTTGGAGCCACATTTTTGGACCTCAACCCTCAGGAAAAAACTACGGTTTTCGCTAATTTTCTATAGAGGTTTATAAATTAAATCTATTGCAGTTAATATGGTTAGGTAAAGTCGTTTTAGAGCTATTAAAATCAGTAAGCATACTATGCATTGCTAAAACACTGCTCCCACAGATCAGGAATAACTCTTCTCTTTTTTTTGATAATTTTGCGTCTCTATGCTAAAAGCGTGGTCAACCACCTTCAAAATCGGAAACTGAAAAAGGCTATTTTTTGATACACAATCAAACTAGCTGGTTATTCTCGCTACGCTCGATGACGATGTCGTTCTGTGGGCTCTTGCCAAAGACATTTTGGTATATCAAGTAGATTTTAAACAATTTATTATTAGTAAAAAAAAAGAAAGAAAAAAAAGGTTATGTTAGAGCCACTAGAAGGAGGAGGAGAGAAGATATCTCCCTCAACATCCTTTTTGCTTACACTGATATCAAACGAAGCCTGTTATTGAGACGATATGAAAGAAAAATCAAGTTTTATGCAGCATTTGTACATTACAATTGCCATTTTCTGATAATAGGATTGCCATATCATTCACTGCTGCGGATGCTCTTAATAAGGTGGTGACATAAAGCTGGCCATAAGTAAATATAGGAGTTGTGTAAGATCTACAGCGACTTTTTTTGAGATATTGTCACTGCAGAAGATATCTTTATAAAGCAAAGCTCCCAAAAAAAAGTATTTGGTCTATTCAATTGTCCTTTCAATTCCATGATCCTCATTTAACCAGCATCGCAATCACCATTGTCATCAACAGAAAGGCATTTAGGTCAGCTAGCAGGAATGCTGCCGCCAAAATTGATTCAAGCTCAGCTATTTTTGTTTGCTTAAGATTGGACAGGTATTGTCTTTTTTCGACTTCTTTAATCTATTCTATGATGTTCGACTATATAAACTGTGATGATTATCTTACGCTTCCTAATACACATGGCTCTTTCCAGTAAAAAAACAGAAACAGACTGGTACACCAGTACCTGGTCAAAAAAGTTATGCTGCCGCAGTCAGACCTCGCATTACTACCACCCCACACTCTCTCATGCATGGAGAGGTTGTTCCTGTACGCAATGGTACACCTACCAACCCTACAACCCCTTCAACCAACCGCAAAATCAAAACTCGAATTTGGCGAAACGCTCGTACCAGCGATGGATACTTTCTAGACATATCCAAGGTCGCTACTATGACTGAACAGCAACATTTGAAGATCATTGATCAGCAATATAAGGCTTCCAACTTCCTTGGTATCAAGTTTTTGGGTAAAAACGCTCAACGATACATCGAAGTCTATCCCAATAAGGATATCGTCGAGCGATTCCTCACCGAAGGTGTCATATACGAAACCGAGAACTCCAAGATTCAACTCTTCCCTTGCAAAGCTGTGGATGGAGAAGGTAAATTGATCCAGATTACTCTAACGGACATCCCCTTCCTACCTCAAGAACAATTATTACAAGAACTATCCACGGCCATAGGGGCCTTTGGAAAAATTTTAGATATTGGGCTCAATTATGAACAGTCCATGGGTTGGTTTATGGGCTCCGGCTATGCGATTATCCAGCAGCAATCAAATGTCAAGTACCCTACCCTACACCACAGCATTACTTGGCAGACAGCCACTCAGGAGGAGGAATTCTGTCATGCAACTTTCCCCGACATGGCTACCTGGTGTCGCTACTGCCATGAAGAGGGCCACACCAAGTTTGAATGCCCCAAGGCAATGGCCCGCATCATATGTTACAACTGTGATAAAGCTGGACACCGTCAGGATACATGTACGAAACCCAGGAAAGGATCTTCGGATCGTGAATTTAAGAAGGCTCGCAAGATCCCATCTAACACACCCTCTGTCGAAGCCAACAAATCCCAATGGGCCCCCAGTAATATTAAGAACTCAAATGTGGGCAAGGAGCAAACTCAAGGGCAACAACAACAGCAAGATCAGGAACCAAAGCAAGATCTTAAGGCTAATGCTATGCCACCTATTAACTTATCGCAAGCAACTCAGTCTGGAGATTTGCCAGACAAGCAGGGCGAATCCGCAGATGAGGACAGCACTAGTCAGGTTACTCCAATGTCTACCGATGAAGAGGACGATGAGGATTATCAGCCTTCCACAAGTGATTCAGAGGATGAATCAGACAGCGAGGCAGAGCGTACAACGGAGGAGATGAGTGATGTGGAAACGAATGGAGATGAAATAGCTACTCTCATGAGCGACCAACAGCAAACACTATCTCCATTTAGCATGAAATCCGTCAACGGTGATAGCAACACCAACACCCAGACAGCTTCTCCCGAAAATCATAACGATTCTACGGTTCGCCACCAGAATTTGTTATAATTATGACGAAGAACATCTCTTTCAAATACGCTTCACTAAACTCCAACAGTCTGGTGAAAGCAGGCCATCCACAAACACAATCATCATACCTCCGCCACATTCGACTTCAACAGTTCAACATAATATCACTCCAAGAAACTCACGCTACTGATACTACTATTACTTCAATTGAATTACAATTACAAGCTCAACAATACTTATGGACATACTACTGCGGTATTGTCTCTTATTCTTCAGATTATATACTGACCAAGATTGCTACTAGTCACCTATATGAATCTGATAGATACATTTTTTGCAAGGTTCATCACCCTCACAGCTTTTATGAACCTTTTTACATTTTAAATTTATATGCGCCTGCAACCTCTGACCACCGCCCTCGACAGGAGTTCTTCGAATCTATATACACCTTGCTCTCGACGCTCTCCGAGACCATTGACCTCGAACGACTACTGATATCAGGGGATTTCAATTATGATTATGCACGGGACATCAACAATGCCTCTCGTATCTCGAGGACATCGTTGAACTGGTTGGGCTATTTAGATCAGCACTTCCACAACTGCATGATCCTCAATGACATGGACACGGTGCCAACTTATCAACATGCCTTTTCCACAATCGACTACGTATATGCTGGACATGCGCTACGACACTTGCTGAGCGATGCGAACGTTGGATTTATTCCCCTCTCTTGGTCGGATCATGCCATTCTTGAAATTACTCTCAAGCTTGGAAAATCCAAACTGGGCCCAGGACTGTGGAGGGGCAATCCCTGTTACGCAAACAACCCAACATTTCGGAAACAACTTGAAGAGACAATTAACGCCACCATGGATACAATGGAGGTGAACATGACACCGCAAGATCAGTGGGAACACATCAAACGGATAACCAAAAAGGCTATCCAAAAGTTTGGGGTGAAACACGTGAACTGGCGTAGGATGAGTATCAAGCATTTGGAACGCAAACGGAATCGACTATTGAGATCCAAGCCTCCCATTGCTACTCTCCGCATACTACTACCGCGAATTGACTCAATGCTTCAAATCTTACAACAGGAACTGGTAGATATTGCTGCTCTTAAGGCTGGGGATATCTGGCGTGAAAAAGGGGAGAAATCTGCCGGTTATTTGAAGCGATTACACCAAAAGCGAACATCTCAACAATATATGGCGTCAATTCAAGCACCTGATTCTTGTAGAGACCTCGCAAATAGGGGAGCAAGTATTATGATTACTACAGAGGTGGTAAATAGTGCCGTGGTTAATGGTGACCCTTATATGGGTGTGACTCCAAGGGACTTTGGTGGTGCTGGTGCTACTGAAGACAGCCTTGTCGAGCAAGATGAAACGAGGCTTCCTATGGATGGATTTGGTGCTGAACCAACAGACAATGCTGCTGACACGCATGATGGTGCTGCTCAGGCTGGTAACAGCTCTCCTGGATGGCGGCCCTGGATCTCAGGCCAAATTGAAGACATGAAATCGTTCGCATGGCAATACTATGCAGATTTATACAAAGCTGACCCTGTGGCGCCTGAACACATTGAAGCCTACTTAAACTCAA